AGGAGGGGGGTATTGCATCTTTGTCACTTTTCATATAAAAATCATCACATATAAAAAACAAAGCAAATTTCTATTAACAATCTTTTTTATTTAAATCATAACATATCATACATCATTTAATAGCTCTTTCAATTCTAAGATCAAGTATTAACACCCTAAGTTTCTATCATCAATATTTTCATCAAAGATGTGTTCTATACCCCCCCTCTTTGCTTATTTTTTGAAAGGACATAAATATAAAACATTTAAAAAAAAAATGCTTTTATAAAAAAATGATTCTTCTTAAATATCAAGATGTCATACATCAATTGATAGAGGGTACAATTCAAAGATCAAATCTTAACACCTTAATTTTATATCTTTTGTGGTTACACCACATACATGAAAAAATTTTATAAATTGTACAACTTCATTATTAAGTTATTAAGTGCTCTTTTGGTTTTTTAATTGCAATTAATATTAATATTTATCAACTTTTTTATAAAATTATGTTCTTAAATAAGCGCGAGATGTTTCAAAAATAAATGTTTTGTCATCTTCTTTAATTTAATTAATGAATATTTCTTAGAAAAAATTATATTTTATCAATTCAAATACTTCAATCCTTACTAGGTTGTATAGATTCAAAATTGAAATCTTAGAATAATAATGGTTATTGTATTTCACAAAATGATTTTTCAGATAACTCTAGAAGACTTAATTTGTTAAATATACCTGTATTATTCAAACATTCTTAATTTAATGGGCTTTTCTGAATAACTAAATCATATTACTCCAATGCTTCTTCAAATCTATTCATGTTCTCTAAGATAAGCGCTAAAATAATATACTTTATTAATATATACCTTTACATTTATAATACTCTACATTTTTTGGGTTTTGCTGAATGGCTAAATCATAATACTCCAATGCTTCTTCAAATCTATTCATTTAATGTAAGGTAATCGCTAAGAAAATTTTCATCAAGAATTTATACCTTTACCAAAAAAATTATCAGCATTTTCTGGGTTTTTCTGAATAGCTTAATCAAAATATTACAATGCTTCTTCAAATCTATTCATCTATTATAAGGCAATCGCTAAGAAAATATACATCATTAATTTATACCTTTGCATTTATAGTACTCTGCATTTTCTGGATTGTTTTGAATAGCTAAATCATAATAATCCAAAGCTTCTGCAAATCTATTCATGAAACGTAAAGTAATCGCTAAGAAAATATACATCATTATATTATACCTTTGCCATTATAATAATCAGCCTTTTCTGGATTTTTCTGAATAGCTGAATCATAATATTCCAAAGCTTCTTCAAATCTATTAATGGAACGTAAGGCAATCGCTAAGAAAATAAACATCATTAATTTATACCTTTGCCATTATAATAATCAGCCTTTTCTGGATTTTTCTGAATAGCTGAATCATAATATTCCAAAGCTTCTTCAAATCTATTCATGAAACGGAAGGCAATCGCTAAGAAAATAAACATCATGAATTTATACCTTTGCCAAAATAATTATCAGAATTTTCTGGGTTTTTCTGAATAGCTGAATCAAAATATTCTAATGCTTCTTCAAATCTATTTATCTATTGTAAGGTAATCGCTAAGAAAATATATAACATTAAATTTATACCTTTGCCATTATAATAGTCTGCTATTTCTGGGTTTTTATAAATAGCTGAATCATAATATTCCAAAGCTTCTTCAAATCTATTAATGGAACGTAAGGCATTCGCTAAGAAAATAAACATCATTAATTTATACCTTTGCCATTATAATAATCAGCCTTTTCTGGATTTTTCTGAATAGCTGAATCATAATATTCCAAAGCTTCTTCAAATCTATTAATGGAACGTAAGGCAATCGCTAAGAAAATAAACATCATTAATTTATACCTTTGCCATTATAATAATCAGCCTTTTCTGGATTTTTCTGAATAGCTGAATCATAATATTCCAAAGCTTCTTCAAATCTATTAATGGAACGTAAGGCAATCGCTAAGAAAATAAACATCATTAATTTATACCTTTGCCATTATAATAATCAGCCTTTTCTGGATTTTTCTGAATAGCTGAATCATAATATTCCAAAGCTTCTTCAAATCTATTAATGGAACGTAAGGCAATCGCTAAGAAAATAAACATCATTAATTTATACCTTTGCCATTATAATAATCAGCCTTTTCTGGATTTTTCTGAATAGCTGAATCATAATATTCCAAAGCTTCTTCAAATCTATTAATGGAACGTAAGGCAATCGCTAAGAAAATAAACATCATTAATTTATACCTTTGCCATTATAATAATCAGCCTTTTCTGGATTTTTCTGAATAGCTGAATCATAATATTCCAAAGCTTCTTCAAATCTATTAATGGAACGTAAGGCAATCGCTAAGAAAATAAACATCATTAATTTATACCTTTGCCATTATAATAATCAGCCTTTTCTGGATTTTTCTGAATAGCTGAATCATAATATTCCAAAGCTTCTTCAAATCTATTAATGGAACGTAAGGCAATCGCTAAGAAAATAAACATCATTAATTTATACCTTTGCCATTATAATAATCAGCCTTTTCTGGATTTTTCTGAATAGCTGAATCATAATATTCCAAAGCTTCTTCAAATCTATTAATGGAACGTAAGGCAATCGCTAAGAAAATAAACATCATTAATTTATACCTTTGCCATTATAATAATCAGCCTTTTCTGGATTTTTCTGAATAGCTGAATCATAATATTCCAAAGCTTCTTCAAATCTATTAATGGAACGTAAGGCAATCGCTAAGAAAATAAACATCATTAATTTATACCTTTGCCATTATAATAATCAGCCTTTTCTGGATTTTTCTGAATAGCTGAATCATAATATTCCAAAGCTTCTTCAAATCTATTAATGGAACGTAAGGCAATCGCTAAGAAAATAAACATCATTAATTTATACCTTTGCCATTATAATAATCAGCCTTTTCTGGATTTTTCTGAATAGCTGAATCATAATATTCCAAAGCTTCTTCAAATCTATTAATGGAACGTAAGGCAATCGCTAAGAAAATAAACATCATTAATTTATACCTTTGCCATTATAATAATCAGCCTTTTCTGGATTTTTCTGAATAGCTGAATCATAATATTCCAAAGCTTCTTCAAATCTATTCATGAAACGGAAGGCAATCGCTAAGAAAATAAACATCATGAATTTATACCTTTGCCAAAATAATTATCAGAATTTTCTGGGTTTTTCTGAATAGCTGAATCAAAATATTCTAATGCTTCTTCAAATCTATTTATCTATTGTAAGGTAATCGCTAAGAAAATATATAACATTAAATTTATACCTTTGCCATTATAATAGTCTGCTATTTCTGGGTTTTTATAAATAGCTGAATCATAATATTCCAAAGCTTCTTCAAATCTATTAATGGAACGTAAGGCATTCGCTAAGAAAATAAACATCATTAATTTATACCTTTGCCATAATATTAATCTGCATTTTCTGGGTTTTTCTGTATAGCTGTGTCATATTAATCCAAAGCTTCTTCAAATCTATTCATTTTCTTTAAGATATTCGCTAAGAAAATATACATCATAAATTTCTACCTTTGCCATAATAATATTCTGCCATTTCTGGGTTTTTCTGAATAGCTGAATCATAATATTCCAAAGATTCTTCAAATCTATTCAACTATTCTAAGGCAAGCGCTAAGAAAATATAAATAATTAATTTATACCTTTGCATTTATAATAATCTCCATCTTCTGGGTTTCTCTGAATAGCTGAATCAAAATACTCCAATGCTTCTTCAAATCTATTCATCTTTGCTAAAGCAATCGCTAAGCAAATATACATAATTAATTTATACCTTTGCATTTATAATAATCTTCATCTTCTGGATTTTTCTGAAGGGCTAAATCGAAATAATCCAATGCTTCTTCAAGTCTATTCATCTCTTGTAAGGCAATCGCTAAGAAAATTAACATCATTAATTTATACCTTTGCCATAAAAATGATCTGCTTTTTCTGGGTTTTTCTGAATAACCAAATCATAATATTCCAAAGCTTCCTCAAATCTATTCATAGAACGTAAGGTAGTCGCTAAGAAAATATAAATCATTTATTTATACCTTTTCCATTAAAATAATCTGCCTTTTCTGGATTTTTCTGAATAGCTATATCAAAATATTACAAAGCTTCTTAAAATCTATCTATCTTTGCCAAGGCAATCGCTAAGAAAATATACATTATTAATTTATACCTTTTCCATAATAATATTCTACATCTTCAGGGTTATTCTGAATAGCTAAATCATAATACTCCAATGCTTCTATAAATCTATTCATCTTGAATAACACAATCGCTAAGAAAAAATACATAATTATATTCAACCTTTTCCATAATAAAAATCTGCCTTTTCTGGGTATTTCTGTATAGCTGAATCATAATGCTACAATGCTTCATCTAATCTATTCATCTTTTCTAAGGCAGCCGCTAATAAAATATACATCATTAATTTATACCTTTGCATTTATAATAATCTCCATCTTCTGGGTTTTTCTGAATAGCTGAATCAAAATAATCCAATGCTTCTTCAAGTCTATTCATCTTGAATAAGGCAATCGCTAAAAAATATACATCATATTTTATACCTTTGCATTTATAATACTCTGCATTTTCTGGATTTTTCTGAATAGCTGAATCACAATGCTTCAATGATTCTTCAAATCTATTCATTTACTGTAAGATAATTGCTGAGTTAATATACATTATTAATGTATACCTTTGCCAATTATATTATCTGCTTTTTATGGGTTTTTCTGAATAGCTAAATTATAATACTCCAATGCTTCTACAAATCTATTCATCTTGAATAACGCAATCGCTAAGACAATATACATCATTAATTTATACCTTTGCATTTATAATAATCTCCATCTTCTGGGTTTATCTAAATAGCTGAATCATAATACTCCAATGCTTCTTTAAATCTATTCATCTTGAATAAGGCAATCGCTAACAAAATATACATAATAATATTCTACCTTTTCCATAATAAAAATTTGCATCTTCTGAGTTTTTCTGAATAGCTAAATCATAATACTCCAATGCTTCTTCAAATCTATTCATCTTTTCTAACGTAATCGCTAAGAAAACATACATAATTATATTATACCTTTTCCATTATAATAGTCTGCCTTTTTGGGGTTTTACTGAATAGCTGAATTATAATACTTCAATGCTTATACAAGTCTATTCATCTTGAATAAGGCAAGTGCTAAGAAAATAATCATCATTAATTTATACCTTTGTTATAATAATAATCTGCTTTCTCTGGGTTTTTCTGAATAGCTGAATCAAAATACTCCAATGCTTCATCAAATCTATTCATCTATTCTAAGGCAATCGCTTAGAAAATATACTTAATTAATATATACCTTTTCCATAAAAATGATCTGCTTTTTCTGGGTTTTTCTGAATCGCTAAATTATAATACTCCAATGCTTCTTCTAATCTATTCAATTTCTTTAAGGTAATCGCTTAGAATATACATCATTATTTTATACCTTTACTATAATAATAATCTGCCTTTTCTGAGTTTTTTTGAATAGCTGAATCATAATACTTTAATGCTTCATCAAATCTATTCATCTATTCTAAGGTAATCGCTAAGAAAATATACATCATTAATATATATACCTTTGCCATAAAAATGATCTGCTTTTTCTGGGTTTTTCTGAATAGCTGAATTATAATTCTCCAATGCTTCTTCAAATCTCTTCATTTTCTTTAAAGCATTCGCTAAGAAAATATACATCATTATTTTATTATACCTTTACATTTATAATACTCTGCATTTTCTGGATTTTTCTGAATAGCTTAATTAAAATACTCCAATGCTTCTTCAAATCTATTCATTTTGAATAAAACAATCGCTAAGAAAATATAATCATTATATTCTACCTTTTCCATTATAAAAATCTGCATCTTCTGGGTTTTTCTGAATAGCTGAATCAAAATACTCCAATGCTTCTTCAAATCTATTCATCTATTCTAAGGCAATTGCTAAGAAATTATACATCTATATATTATACCTTTGTCATTATAATAATCTGCCTTTTTTGGGTTTTTCTTAATAGCTTAATCATACAATTCCAATGCTTCTTCAAATCTATTCATCTATTCTAAGGCAATCGCTAAGAAAAAATACATCATTAATTTATACCTTTGCATTTATAATACTCTGCATTTTCTGGATTTTTCTGAATAGCTTAATTAAAATACTCCAATGCTTCTTCAAATCTATTCATTTTAAATAATGCACTAGCTAAGAAAACATACTTTTTAATTTATACCTTTCGTTATATAATCGTCACCGATTTCAGGGTTTTTCTGAATATATGAATCATAATACGCCTCTTTCTCTTCAACTGTATTAACTTTTTCTATTTTTTTAAACAATAATTAAAAAATTAAAGCTTTTGCTAAGATATATTTTATTTACAATAAACCTTAATTATAAAAACAGGTGGAATTATTATGCCTCTAGAAAGGATCACTAACTTTCTCTTTCCCAATTTTTAATCCTTTGTATAATTTGTTATTCACTTTCATTTGAAGACACTTATCTACATTAATAATTGTTTGTCCACTTTATAATTTGATTTATCTTAATAAATTGTTATATCTTAAAAGCTAGCCAAAATTTTACATGAAAGCTTTTAATAAAGATATTCATATACCTTTCTAGAAGTTTAAGTTATCTTAATACTATTACATTATTAATTTTTAATTAATTATTATCATAGCAAATAAATAAAATATGATAAAATCAAAAAATTGTAAAATTTGCAAATTGATGGGGTATTTACATAGGGGTCCATGCATCCCAATTTAAATTTTAGATAAAAACCAAATGTGAAATGGATGTTATCATTTTTTCCATTCATTAAGAAGTCTTTAAGTACCATGAGGTTTTCCCATTCTTTGAAAGTGTATTCTAGTATTAATTTATCAATTTAAGTTAATTCTTTATTTTTTAATTAATTAAGTAAAATTAAAGCTTAGTCATTGTATGGTTTATTTAAATTAGAAACCTTTGTTTAGATACTCCTTCCATATGTCATTGATTTGGCTTCAAGATTGAAAGAGCTAGTCAATTATTTTAATTTTTTTTTTTATAAGAGGATGATAAATTAGGATTTTTCCAATCATCTAAATCCACAAAAAATAATTTTTCCAAATTACTTAAATTTTTCACAATTTTATCATGTTTTTTCTCATTTTGTAAGATTACTTTTTCCTAATTCTATTAGCTATCTTTTTTTAGATTATATATGATCTCCCATTTTAACATATCTAATCATATTATTTTCTATTTTTTTTTATTTTTTACATATTGTGAATTTAGCAGGCTGCCTAAAATATTGATTCAAGTAATTCAGCATTAGGTTTCATTTATACTTAAGATCCAAATATACCACTTACAAAACCTTTTACAATATCTTCCCTTTCTTTATTTTTATTTGTAGTCATCTCAAAAGAAGTTTTTGTTAAGGAAAGAAAAAATTCCCTAAATCATTTGAAATATCCAGAAATTACTTTTAGAAATCAATTTTCATTATTCTATTTCTGTTCATTCCATAGAAACTAAATATTACTTTAGATAGAGATGCTGCAATCTATAAGATATGCAAACATTTAAACTAGTTTGTTCTAATTTATATCAAACATCTTTTCAATAATTTTCTAATTCCCTCTACAATTAAGTTGTATGAATTTATTATATATTACACATTTTTGTTGAGTAGGTAGATGTTTTCCTCTTAAAATATCAACCATTGAATGGCTAACGTTATTTCTTAAGATTCTAAATAATTAACAACAGCAGCTTTAAAACAAATGATTTCAACAAAAGAATCAAATTTGGTCATGAAATTTTCTATATCTTGAATATCTGACTTTAAGTTTGCTTATGTTCTTAGAATCATTCTAAAAGTTCCACAACCACCTCCCCGTAATGAAGAACTTTTCTTATTAATTGAGGCTAGCATTTTTTAATTAAACTTAAAAAATAAATCCAGTCTTTTATTTAGGAAAAACTTATAAAAATCTTAGATATTTATGATAATTTCTTAGTTATAAATTGATTTAGAATTTGATCTTTAATTTTCATAAAGGCTTGCCAGAATGAATTGTGAATAATGAAAAGAAAAGATCTAGGTAGATTTGATGGGAGATGTAATTCAAAAGGGAGAAAAAAAAATTTTAATTTATGTTTTAAGTATTATTAACAAATATTCTAATAAATGTTTGTACTTCTCTTTTAACCGAAATAATTCATTGATAATTTGGAATTGAATGTAAATTTATCCCAAAATTTTTGTTTTTAACCTGGAAGGAATTCTTCTCAAAATATCAGTTCTAATCATAAAGAAAGCAAATTCTGCTTTATATCCCATCTGGATACATATCAATTATTGATTACAGTTTCAATAATAATAACAAAACTCTTTTTTTATATTTTGAGTAACCAATTAGCTCATCATTTTTACTTTTTATTTTAATAACTTAAATTGCCTATAAACTTTTTATGAGTTAGTGTAATTCAAAAATGAAGAAGCATAAATGATTTAAAGACAGCAAGCTGTTGAAAAAATACTCAAGGTTTATTGAATTTATTTTTAGCTAGTTTATGAAGTATCTGAAATCATTTATTTAACAATTTTTAAAAATGTAAAATATATTGATAAAANATTATATATTACACATTTTTGTTGAGTAGGTAGATGTTTTCCTCTTAAAATATCAACCATTGAATGGCTAACGTTATTTCTTAAGATTCTAAATAATTAACAACAGCAGCTTTAAAACAAATGATTTCAACAAAAGAATCAAATTTGGTCATGAAATTTTCTATATCTTGAATATCTGACTTTAAGTTTGCTTATGTTCTTAGAATCATTCTAAAAGTTCCACAACCACCTCCCCGTAATGAAGAACTTTTCTTATTAATTGAGGCTAGCATTTTTTAATTAAACTTAAAAAATAAATCCAGTCTTTTATTTAGGAAAAACTTATAAAAATCTTAGATATTTATGATAATTTCTTAGTTATAAATTGATTTAGAATTTGATCTTTAATTTTCATAAAGGCTTGCCAGAATGAATTGTGAATAATGAAAAGAAAAGATCTAGGTAGATTTGATGGGAGATGTAATTCAAAAGGGAGAAAAAAAAATTTTAATTTATGTTTTAAGTATTATTAACAAATATTCTAATAAATGTTTGTACTTCTCTTTTAACCGAAATAATTCATTGATAATTTGGAATTGAATGTAAATTTATCCCAAAATTTTTGTTTTTAACCTGGAAGGAATTCTTCTCAAAATATCAGTTCTAATCATAAAGAAAGCAAATTCTGCTTTATATCCCATCTGGATACATATCAATTATTGATTACAGTTTCAATAATAATAACAAAACTCTTTTTTTATATTTTGAGTAACCAATTAGCTCATCATTTTTACTTTTTATTTTAATAACTTAAATTGCCTATAAACTTTTTATGAGTTAGTGTAATTCAAAAATGAAGAAGCATAAATGATTTAAAGACAGCAAGCTGTTGAAAAAATACTCAAGGTTTATTGAATTTATTTTTAGCTAGTTTATGAAGTATCTGAAATCATTTATTTAACAATTTTTAAAAATGTAAAATATATTGATAAAATTATTGTTGAATTTTCTTTTTAATTTACTTAAGAGGATTTTATAATTAAAATGAATTCTATTCAATTCAAAGGCGATATGAGAAAATAAGATTTCACCATATAAAAAAAGATGAATAAGTTCACATTCAATGTATAATTAATAATAAGTACACTCAAAATTTGGAGTTGATGTATATTATTTAGGCAGGCCAAAAATTTAAAACTCGTAACAAGCAAAAACACAGAAAGACTATCAAATCTATATTAAGTTAATTCTAAGCATCTTTATATTTTAAAATACCATGAACTGAACTATGCTACTATATTCCCTCATATTTTACTAATTTTTATGACACTGCTACTTATTATTCTAATATTATGATGCTAGTATCCTTTATCATTTAATCATCTTAATCTTGTTTAGGAACTTACAAAAAGCTATCCAATTACTTTATAAGTTAAATGATTCACCTCTTCTACTAATCAATATCATTCTACTATTGCAGCAAAAAATTGAGATTGATAATGCCTTCAAAATATCTGAAAGAAAATTAAAAGACATTAAAGAAATAATTTCAGATGGAAATATTAAATTAAGAAAAAATTTAAAGTTATAAGCAATTAACTTTACTATGTATTACTAAAATAGAGTAATTGAAAGAAAAAAATTACATGTGCCTATAGATCTAAGCAAATGAGATCTTCACTATGCTAACACTTGCATTAATCAATTGAACAATTGTTATTGTAGAACTAATTAGAATAAAACTTTAGTTATGATGAAGAGTGAATCCTTAAATGTATCTAATTTACCTTCGAGTTTCTTTGTTAATTTTAATATACTAAGAAAAGAAGGGTTTAAAAAATATTAAATTGAATAAATATATTAATGATAATAATATTAAAATTTTTTTTATCTTTTATGTTCTTAATAATAATCATATTCCTCTATTTTGGTTATTCTGGCCCTATTAGATCTATTGATTCTTTTGAACCTTCTCAACTTATCGAATTTGAATTTAATGATCATTTTATATTTAAATCACTTCCTCACTTGAACACTTTATCATAAATGTTAATTCCTTGTTTTCTTTACTTTTCATCTTTCTCTTCCTTCTTCTATTATTAAATGGTCTATAAAGTATGTTCCAAAATTAAAAGTTTTTAGATGATCTTTTTCTGAACTTTCTAAATGAGATATTTTCATCTTTTTTTCTTCATTGAAGGCTTCATTTATTCTATTTCTTTTATTGGACATCTATCCTCGAATTACAGAATTATTTGTTCCTATATTATCCAAAAATATCTTTAAAGCTCAATTGTTTTCTATTTAGTGTCACTTTTTTCATCCTTCCATCTCTATTATACAAGTTTATCCTTCTCTCTTAATATTTTAATAATTGAAGTTAAAAATTTCCTATTAACTTAATTTAAAATAAGTTACGAATTCTTCACAAATGCAACTCATATTTATCCACAATTTATCATATCTTAGATGACTGTTTAATAATTATCATATTGGCTCTATTCATATACTTCTTTATTTTCTGATACTTTTTACACTTGTAAATTTCTGAATTCATTCTCCCTAATTTAATTTATTTATTCTTCTAACATTTCAATTAATTCTTGCTTTGCATAATTTTCTTACTCTGCTTTAAAAATTATACCAAAGTCTCCCTTGTTATTTACTCGAAATCATTAAAGAATAACAAATAAAATAACTTAATAATCGAATTGGTATAATCTTAATTCTACTTTCTTTAAAGTTACAAAAAACTACCATAATCTTATCTGATCACCTCAAAATATTCTAAAGTCCTTTCCCCAATTTAACATAATCTCTCATATAATAAATTTTTCTCCTTTTTTTGACAGCTTCATTTAAATTCAAAATTTTTTATTTTATTCTATCAACATTTATTTTTCTTCATAAAATATCTTCAACAATTATTTAATATGTTTATAATTTACTATGTGGGTTTCTTTGATCCCAACCAAATTCTTTACAAAAGATACAAATTATTAACTTATTCTTATTATATCCAAAAATATTTTCATTAATATCTTCTATATTTTCAAAGATATTTGTATCTAATAATTAAGTTTATACCTACGCTAACATAAATTAATCATAGATATTATCCATTATTGTAATTTTTTTTTTAATTAAATTTTTTATGTATATATTTCTTGCGTTTAATTATAGAAATATCTAGATTCTTTTTCACTATTCCCATATTCTTTATAGAACTTATGGGAATGAAAATAGAATTATTTAGATTGATTTCAGGAGACTTAAATACTTTATAGAAATTCTGTATTCGAATATAGATTAATCTATAACACTAAGAATCCTATTTTATTTTAGAGAACCTGGGAATGATTATAGAATATCCCTATTGGCTACCTATATAATTTGTAGAAATTAAGGGATTATTTATTGATCAAAAATGATTATAGGATTCATATTTTATTTTTAGAACCTTAACTTTTGTAATTAAGAATGCTCAAATTTCCCAAATTTTCAAATTTTTATAGCAGACTCTGTCTCTTTAATACTATACTACTAATTCTGTTATTTTAATAAGGCATGTTTCATTGCAATTTATTCATGATAAAAATGAAATTTTTCCATCATTTTGGAGGAATTTGATGTGAAAAGTACTTCAATTTCAAGCACAACTTTTTTCTTTACCATGAAAAAGCCAATTTTCAATTAATTCATAAGTTTAGAAAGATTTCGATATAAAAACCTATGATTTTTAATCAACTCTGTATTTCTTCCCTTTGTTTTTTACCCTTTTTAAGTTAAATTATTTAAACCAAAAGTCTTTAGAATTCAATAATTTTTACTAATTAAAATAATAATCATCCTCTTCTTTCAATTTTTTTCATTAATTAACATTTTATCGCCATTGTTAGTCTTCATCTTATATGCAGATTTAAATTATTCATAACAATTTAACTTAAAAATTGAAAAAAGCAAATTTAGATTTTAACAAAATAAAAACAATTAGTATTTTTTTAAATAAATATTAAATAACATCAAATTTATCTTCAATCTCAATTTTCTATAGAAAAATATATGGAAAAGACACAAAATTAGGCCGCTCTCGCTTCGTTCTGGACTTGAAGTCGCACTAGTTGCTCGTCAGCATACGGATACGGATGTTTCCTTGCTATAGCTTGATGATACTTTCTTAATTTATAAATTATTTTGGCAATAATATATTCTCTATCAATCGCAAATATTTTGTTTGAAGCAACAAAAGAAAAAAGTTTCTGGGTTTAATAAGAATAAATCAAAACGATGTATCCTATCGCTTCAAAGACCACTATAAATATTCTTTAAGACAATAATCCCCTCATCCATAATTTTCCTTCACTTGTGGTAATGATATAATATTGCTAGTATTAATTGCAAAAAAAATCAATTCGAACTATCTCAAATTGCAATTAAGATTACTTAAATTTTGAGATCAAATTAATTCTAAATATCTAAATTCCTAGTGACAATAAGAAGATTTGAAACCAAGCAAATTTAATATTTGTTTCTCTCTTAAAAATTCAGAATAATAAATTATTGAACTTAAAGTATTTCTTATTTTAGAAATAAACAACTTTTATCTAAGAATTAGTACAAATCCCAATCATTATAATTGAAATATCATTTTTTTTGATCCATCACCTATAAATTATACAAGATATGCTGAGTTTTAAAATAGTTTATTAAAACTAAAAATAATTGTTAAAAAAGGCATATCAAAATTAATCTAATGAAATTACTGCTTCATTTTGAAAAAAATTTGAAAAAAAACAAAGGCATCTATTTGAACACATTTAATGCTGTATAAATTAAAAAAAATTTCTGGTTATATTTTTATTCTTTATTATGTATCAAAATCTAGTTGGATGTAATCCATTCCACTGTTACATGAATAAATTATTAGGGGGGAATCACTAGGTTTGCATCTCCAAACGAAATTGGTTCATTAGATAAATTATAAATTAAAATCATGCAAAGCTATACTTTTTCAGCTAGTTATCTTGGTTAAATGAATAACAAAAACAAAATGATGAAGTAAAATTAGATTAGTTGATCATTTTTAACGTATATTAATTAGAAATATCTTGTTTGACTAATATATATATTAATTGCTAATTATTTATATTATTAATAAAATGAAATTCTAACATATTTTGCCATTTATTTTTCCAACAAAACAGTTGGAAGTTAAATGAAAAATTCAATTTGAATAATTTTCATTTTAAATTGACTTTTATAAAATCCCAATTTTATTCAATAAATATATTTATTATGATTCCAAAATTTTTTACAAGGAATCTTAACAAAACCTAAACTCTTTAATTCACTCAGTCTTATCAAGCGTAATAAAGACACACTAATAATCATCAACCCTAAACTTTAGTAATTAATGCAAAAACTAGTCTATAAATTAAAAATACAAGAAATAAAATAAGTATTTTTTTTTAAATTATGATTTATTAGTATTTAAATAATAATGGCTGTACTTGTATGATCAATGATATAAAAAATAATTATCGAAAATATTAACATCTAGGATAAGATCATATTTCATATACTTTTGTTTTCTTGATATTTATTCAAAAAACTTGATTTTCTGTTAATTTAAGCTTACGCAATTTATTTTTACTAGATTATTAATAATGCAAAGATTAATTGCTACATGTTGTTTGAATAATTAAGGCATAAATCAGTAAAATAAGTTTTTTCATAAAATACTGAGTTTTTTATTTGATTTTCATCTGCAGTGAAACACATCTTTTAAGTTTAATCCATAATCCAAGCAATCTATTAGATGAAAAAATTTTTAAAGATTGATTATCAAATTAATTATTTTTTCAATTCTCATAACCAAAAATTACTAAAATAGTCATAGGTTAGGTGATTTTTTTTTAATTTTGAGTAAATTTATTTAAATAATTTAAGGAATAATTAGAATTTAAAAAAAGAACGATATTAATTAATTATGTTAATTTATAATATAATTTTCCATAAAAAAAACCATAAAATTCCTTGACTACCCCTAACAATCTTGAATTTCATCTTCTTATAATTAACTTTTTTTTTATCTACGAAGTAATTTATGGCTTAGGATAAATTTATTTCAAACCTCTTTAAATTTTTACAAAATCTTTTCAAATAAAAAAGAGAAATAACTTATGCCCCAACATGAATCTTCTAATTTATAATTATTATCTATTTTGTATAATTTAGTTATTCTTTGAGATGAATTTCTATAGAGAAACTACCATCTGCTGATATCCATTCAATTAATTCAAAATATGATATAATATTTTAATCATCATATAGTATTGTTAACTATAGAACACATTAAATGCTTTGTTTAGGAAGAAATTTATTCTGTTATTTGTTGTATTAATCTTATATTCCTAACTCATCATTTATCATTTGAATAACCAAGGATATTTTACTTTTCTTTAAACCATTTTTTAAGATGAAAGTAAAGGTTAATCCATCATTGTCATATTTACAATAATTACAGAGTATTCTAGAAATATACATATTCATTATTGCCTTAAAGCTGAAATTTCCTTTCTGAAATCTTTTCGACTCTTTTTCTAATAATGAGCCCTTTCTTATTAGTATTTTAAGCTCTTTTTCATTTTAGAAACCTCACAAATGAATGCTGAGCTAGAACATTAAATTTGATTTTATAATGAAAAATTTATCTTTGATCCATTTGTTTACCTTTTTAGGATATTTATTTTTCATAATATCTTATATCAATGAGCAGTTATTTTATAGAAATATTCATTATATTGAGAACTTTTAGATTCATTTAACATCAAAAGAGATTTATTATGCATTTATTGGAGCAATTAATTCTGAATTCTAAGATTTTTTTGAAAATAAAATTTGTATTCTTGATTTTTATTCAAATAAGATATTGATTTTGGATTACTTATTAATGGAAATCAGATAAATCACATTTAAAGAATTTTCTAATAAATCTAATCAAATTGATATCATCCTTATCTCTTACTAATTAGTATATTCCATTTGCAACTTCAGCTATTCTTTAGAGTAAACAATTACTGCTACTTTTCCCAATACCTAATGTATAAATTCGAGTTTAGATACTAATTGAAAAACCTTTCCATCTGTAAGTCTGGACATTATTTATTCTTTAAATAATTTTCATCGTAAATGCCTTATTCCAAAGCTTTAAATATGTCAATTCCACATAAATCGGCCATAATTTCATTTCATAATTTAAAGTTTTTAATGATATATTTTTGATTAATTAACCGCCAAATGAAATTACATTAACTATTAATTAATATGAAGTGCAACAATAGTGGTAGTTTCAATTATGAAAACTTGTCAAAATTCATCAGAAAGTTTCACCATTTAATCNATAATATTTTAATCATCATATAGTATTGTTAACTATAGAACACATTAAATGCTTTGTTTAGGAAGAAATTTATTCTGTTATTTGTTGTATTAATCTTATATTCCTAACTCATCATTTATCATTTGAATAACCAAGGATATTTTACTTTTCTTTAAACCATTTTTTAAGATGAAAGTAAAGGTTAATCCATCATTGTCATATTTACAATAATTACAGAGTATTCTAGAAATATACATATTCATTATTGCCTTAAAGCTGAAATTTCCTTTCTGAAATCTTTTCGACTCTTTTTCTAATAATGAGCCCTTTCTTATTAGTATTTTAAGCTCTTTTTCATTTTAGAAACCTCACAAATGAATGCTGAGCTAGAACATTAAATTTGATTTTATAATGAAAAATTTATCTTTGATCCATTTGTTTACCTTTTTAGGATATTTATTTTTCATAATATCTTATATCAATGAGCAGTTATTTTATAGAAATATTCATTATATTGAGAACTTTTAGATTCATTTAACATCAAAAGAGATTTATTATGCATTTATTGGAGCAATTAATTCTGAATTCTAAGATTTTTTTGAAAATAAAATTTGTATTCTTGATTTTTATTCAAATAAGATATTGATTTTGGATTACTTATTAATGGAAATCAGATAAATCACATTTAAAGAATTTTCTAATAAATCTAATCAAATTGATATCATCCTTATCTCTTACTAATTAGTATATTCCATTTGCAACTTCAGCTATTCTTTAGAGTAAACAATTACTGCTACTTTTCCCAATACCTAATGTATAAATTCGAGTTTAGATACTAATTGAAAAACCTTTCCATCTGTAAGTCTGGACATTATTTATTCTTTAAATAATTTTCATCGTAAATGCCTTATTCCAAAGCTTTAAATATGTCAATTCCACATAAATCGGCCATAATTTCATTTCATAATTTAAAGTTTTTAATGATATATTTTTGATTAATTAACCGCCAAATGAAATTACATTAACTATTAATTAATATGAAGTGCAACAATAGTGGTAGTTTCAATTATGAAAACTTGTCAAAATTCATCAGAAAGTTTCACCATTTAATCAAATTATCATACTTATATAAAGAAGATGATATAGAAAGACGAGTAAGAATAGAGATAATAATGTAAAATTACAAAAAGATGCCAAATTATTGATGAAATCAAATAAGAATAAACTGATGTGATTGATAAGGATTTATTAAAATGTAAAAATATGAACTTATCATATTTAAAGTTAAACAATTATTTGATGAAAGAAATTATGATGAAGCCTTTTTAGAGATAGAAGAAAAAATCAAGCAGAATGAACTTCTCAAGGAAAATAAAAAGAATAATGATGAATTATTAATGCATAAATGTAGAAATTTATTTCAACTACAAAAGCAAATGTTTTAATATAATTAGATAAATATGATGAGTCTCTGGAATGTATTAATCAAGCAATTACTTTAAATCCAAAAAATGAAAAGCTTCTTTATCACAAAGGTATAATTTATCCACAAATTATTTAAGGGATAACGTTAGTGAAGTTAGATTAATATTAATAGGCTTTTTAATGCTTTGATGAAGCAATAAAAATCAATCCTGATAATTAAGCATCTCTAATTTACTTAGGTAAAGATGTTTTTTATTTCAATATAGGGATAACACTAGAAGGTATAGATAATTATAATGGGGCTTACAAATGTTATAATGAAGCTTAGAAGTATGATCAGAATTTTTAGTTATTAAATATTCTGAAAGGTATTATTCAATTCAATTGTAATTTTAGCTTCAACATTAATTGGTTTAAGAAAATATGATGAAGCTATTCAATTGTGTGATAAAGCATTTTCGAATACTGATTTGGATAAATTTGCTTATACTACCAAAGGTATCATAGATTTAAGTAAATTTAAGGAAGGGCATTACTGATGTAACTTAGATACGAAGAAGCTATTGAAATTTGCGATAAGGTACTTCAAATAGATGAAACTTTAGCTGAAGCCTATGATATAAAAGGTAAGATTAATTATAAATTTATTTCTTTTTAGGAAGGATCTTAGCAAGTTTATTGAGGCCTGAGGAAGCGATTTAATAATGCCAAAAAGCCATTCAATTAGATTCGAAAAATTATGTACCTTACTCTACCATAGGTAAATAATTATTGAAGGTTAATTTAGCTGGCGCATTAATTTAATTACGCCGTGAAGAAGAGGCAATTGAATATTGTGATATGTCGCTTAAGATTAACCCAAGAGGCGATATAGCTCTTGGCAATAAGGGTATCACTAAACTAAATAATTAAGGAATTGCATTATTTGATTTAAATAGGTTTGAAGAAGCTGTTGAGTGTTTTGACTAGGCCCTTTCTATAAGATAGAATCATCCTATAATAAATTTACTAATGGGTATACTTAATTTTGAATAATCATTTAGGAACTGCATTATTCAATTTAGGAATGGAAGAAGAATCTATTTAATATTTTGATATGGCCATAGAGAATAATCCAAAATGTTTTGATGCTTATTTGAGAAAAGGTAAGTTTAATCTAACTTAATAACTTAAGGAATGTCATTATTTAATATGTATAGATATGAAGAGGCCATCGAGACTTTTGACTAATTAATTTCATTAGAGCCAGATAATTATTAAGCATTTTATCAAAAAGGTAAATGTGTAATTTCACAATTTTAGGAAGGTCTCTAATTAATTCAGGTAGATTTGTGGAGGCAATTGTATCTTTAAATAAAGCCCTTAAACTCAATTCAAATGTTTTTTCAATTTGGAATTCTAAGGGTATATTAAATTTGACTAAAAAATTAGGAAGATTGCTATTGAATATGAATAGATAAGAAGAGGCTATTCTATGTTTTAAAACTTCATTTTAATTAAACCCAAATGATAATGTAGCTATTGAATAGATTAGTAAAATTTATAATCTTAAATTTTAGGAGAGACATTAGAGAGTTTAAATAGAATTGAAGAAGCCATTGCTTTCATTTCTTAAGCTGTAATAAATAATCCGCAATCTCATGTTGCAAAATTTTAAATGGGTATATTTTAAATCTTATAATTAAAGCAAAAACTTTATTAAGAATCGGGAGCTTTGAAGAAGCCTTGATTTTTTCACAATAAGCCTTAAGTATGTAACCTTAGAATCAATAGTATTTACAGCTTTATTGTAATTATTTATATAATCTTTAGGCAAAGTTGTATTTATGTAGTAATTGTCAAAAGGATGTTTGGAATAAAATGAATAAGGGAATTGAATATAATTGGAAAATATTATAATACAAAAAAAAACAAATATTTCTATTAAATTATCATTGTTACATCTTTATAGAAATGGCTATTAAAAATTTATGAATAGTATTCCTGCTGTTGACTTAATAATAAAATTATTGAAACAACAAATATATTTATTTAATTAATAATAATATGAAGATTGATTTGAGAGCATTATTATGCTGAAAATAACTTTTGATTAACAACTATCATTACAATACATTAAGAGTTGAAATCAATTTAAATTATTGATAAACAAATTATGATATAGCCGAAATCAATCACAACCCTCAAAATGTTTTATTTTTAGTTTAGAATTTTGTTGTTCTTAAAAGTTTTAAATTATAAATAATATCAATTTCAACATAATTTAGAATATATTTTGTTGTCATTAATCTGATCATTATCGATGTGTGAAATTTTATAAGGCAGTTTGCAAATCTGTCTAAAATAATTTTTAATTGTATTTTTGATATAGAATCAATTAATTAGTTTTAACCTAATTTTTCAAATAATGTATATGATTATTTCCTTAACGTTCAAACAAATTAAAGGATTCAAATACTATGTGAGTATATAAAATTTTTTATATAATTTATGAGTATTACATATCTTAGTTTGATAGAAATGAAAAGATTTTAGCAATTATAAAATAATTAGGATAATTTTTTATTTAAATTATTAAAATTTACAGTGGGAATGATAAAAATATGAATAAGGAATGTTATTTTTATGTAGATTGAATGTTCTGATATTAAACACAACTTAAGATCACAAAATACTAACTTGAACTATAGAAAATTATTTCAAGAAATTCTTTGACCATAGAGATCTTGGGGTATCAATCTAGTAATTCTTTGTGGCAAACTTTCTTTTGACTTCATCGCTTTTGGAGACTAAATTTTTTGATAATTTAGTAGAATAAATTCGCTTTCTTCAATTATTAATGTTGTTCACTTCACCATTCGCAGCAATGCCAAACTTCTTTAATTTCTCTTTAGCCAAAAAATTTACATACCAAAAAGTTTTCAATTATTCCCAAATCATAACTAATTATATTTTTTTAATTAATTTTTAATCTAGTATATTTTGATATAAGGAAAGAAGGCTATTCATTTTCAAATATTTTGTTCAATCAATTTTATATCTAAAAATAAATAACCTGCCATCTGGATTATACAATTTAAATAAAAAATTTTTGATTTAATAACAGAATATATATTATTTTTCAAATTCTATTAGAATAGATATGCTTAAATATAATAAATTTGAGATTATAGCACTGCTTATTTTAGAAAATTAAAAAGAAAAAGTGAATGATAGCAATTCTCCTTAAGAAAAAATTAATTATGGTATTTCATAAAATATTTATGATAAATATCATCAAGAAAAATATTTAAAATTAGGGATGAAAGATGGCGATATAAAAAAGGCTAAATATGTAGAGGAATTATCAATAGATGAAATCATTAATTTTTATTATTAATTGTACATCAAAAATCATGTTGAAAAAATAGAAGATCCAAATACAGCCTATTTGTATTTTGATACATTAGTGAATTTAGGAACTAAAAACTCAACCCTTTTTCTATAGAAAGTTTGCAAGACAAAAAAAGATGGAGTTATTGGGAGGAAAACAATTTAAATGGTGAACAGCATGAATTAAAAAGATCTACAAAATGAACTTATTTAAGAAAGAATTCAATTTTTAAAGGATGCTATAAACAAAAATCCTTAAAAGTAAAGGTATTATGAAAATTGGATTTCAAATCTGGATTAATTAAAGGAATAGATTGACAAAGGAATAATACCTGAAAACGAATAAGAATAATCTGAAGGCTAATCAGAATTATAAAAAAATGTATTGTAATACAGAGAGGAAATAGAATTCGAAAAAAAGATTAGAGGAATTAATTTTCGTTCAATGAAATTCCTAATAGATGTTTAAGAAGATATACATTTGACCGATTTAGCGACAGCATTATTAGTTTTAAGTGATCCAAATTTATCAAAGGAAGAAAAGATAATCAAATTTAATTTAGTTCCTGTTCTTTCTCTAAACAAAGAGGCTGTGTCTTAATAAGAAAAACTTTATTGGCCTGATGAATTTGTAAAGAGAAATCTAATCTAAGATACTGAATTTGCAAGAGTGATGTTTGAAAGTAGTCATTTATTGCAATAAATAAGTTTGGGAATTTCTGCAGATGGCAAAACTCCTTTTAAATATCCAAAAGAATTAGAATTATGCGGATTGAAATCATATTACAATTTTGGTAAAATGAATGGGTCTTAGAATCTATATAAATTTATGCTATATCCATATAAATGTGTTTATAGTTGTTTGGATGATGAGTTTTTAATAGAAAGTATCTAAATTAAATGTAAAGCTAAATAGTTAGAAATTATGAAATAATAAATAATTGAAAATGAGATAAAGGATAATAATGATCAAGGATTCTTATTTGCAGAAAAGTTTAGTGAGATTTATGATAAAATATCCAAATACTACCCCATTTTTAATAGATTAGAAAAATTGTTCAAAGCTGTAGTTCTGGGTAAATAAATGATAAAAATGAATGTCAAAATTGATTCAGATTTATTAAGAGTATAATCTTTAAAAAGTTATAATTTACCAAATACCATTTCAATTCTCAAATGCGAACTTTAAAAAATAAATACAATATAAAATAAATCTACAAAAGAAAAATAATTGTTACAATTTGCATTAGGAGAAGTAGATACTAATTGCTAGACTATATTAGAGGATAAAGAAATCAAAAATAAAATGAAATTCAATAATTTAACAGAAATTAATATTCCTTTCTTTATATAATAAAAATGTAGTAATTGTAATAGAATGATTGAGAGCTAATTATTAAATTTAGGTTAAAATAGTTGTTCGATCCACCATTCTGATTCTTGTTATTTATGTCTGAATTTAATTGAAGAGAAAAATTAGATTTACCATTAAATAGATGATACTGAATATTCATTTCACAAGACTTGTTTAGAAGTTTATGAAAAAGTTCAAACTAGTGAACTAGACTTTGAGTTTGAGAAGACACTCTGAAAAAATAAGAGATTGATCTAAAATAATAGAGAATTAATTTTCATCATCTTTTATAATTTTCCTTTGGCATTTAATATTTATACTATATTAAAGACAAAACTCCAAATTCTACATATAATTGATACTAGAACTCCCTTTCTCCTAATCTTAATTTTGATGTTAAAATTATATATAGACTATTAGAGTCAAAAAAATTGAGTTTTTATTTACCAAAAATATCTTATATCAGGAACTCCAAATTTTCTACTAAAAATCGAAAGTGATGCTTGAGACCACTATGATAAGAGAATCATATTAATATATAATTAAGCCTAAAAATTAATAGTTTTTTTAATAAGTGATGGAAGAATTTTCTTAATTTCTATTAGTTTAAAGTTTGTAGAAAAAAGAATTAAACTCTAATATTAATTTTATTGAAAATGAGTACGATATTTTAGGCATCTAATGTATAGAACTTATCACTGAGAAATTCCAAAGTTACTATTTTATCAAAAAATAAATCAGATTCATCAATCTTAATATTTGATACTGATTGCCTAGTTTTTAGAGAATATTAATTAACTTGTTTGAAAATACAAAGTGTAGTCTGTGATCCAAATTTATAGTTTCTACTAATGTTTGAAGAATAAGAATAGGATAAATTAACTAATCTTTATTCTGCCTCATTAGAAAAATCTTTTACTCCTATAGCAAAGATAACAATTCCATCTACTAAATTCATAATGGTTGATTGGTGCAATAGTAGAATTTGTGCACTTATATTCTAAAATGACCTCATCTTATATGATATTTTTTTAAATAAAATCATCAAGAAAATATAATCCGATTTTCATTAAATTTCATAATTTACAATATCAAGGAAATTTGATTAAATCTTTTGTGAATTTTAATAAAATATTAATACTTCATTATGTTTAGTATTACCTGTTGAAAATTAGGCTGAAGTATAAAAGTTTGATAATTGTGTGGCTTGTAAATTAATGGAAGAATAAGACTAAGATTAACTTTTATTGATTCAATATAAATCTAATAATTTATTCATTTTATTAGCAAAATTTGATGATGGATTTAAAATAGAGAGAGAGATTTAGCAAAATTTATCAGATCCTCCTAAAGGTATTAGAAAAGTTGGATACCGAAAAAACAAAAAGGAATTACTCTTGATTGATTCATCTTCAAATTTGCACATTTATTCAATAAATTCTAATTACTAAATGTAGTAACAAATTAAATGTATTTCTAATATAGTTTAATTTAATATTTCACTTTTAGATGAAAATTTAATAATGTTAGACATTAAAAATCAATTAATTTTTGAAAATTTACCACCAGATATATCAATAAGACCTCCATATCCAGTATAATCTTTGACAATAGCTTCTCAAGTTAAGAAGAGAGCTATGTAAGGAATTTTAACTGATCAAAGTAATCTGTAATCATCTGAACTGTTGATATAGTAATATCATTAAGATTTTGAGAACTTAAGCCCAAAATTTACAAGTTTAGTAATTTTAAATCCTTAGTTTCGATTTTTACCTTTAGTAGATTATAGAGTTTTAAACCTTAATTATCAATCAAATTAAAAATTCAAGGAATTAATTCCTAAGATGGAAACATATGCTGAAACTCAAAGTGTTAAGAAACATTTAATTTAATTAGAAGCTGCTCTTAATGGAGATAATCCAATTTTATGTGAAGGTAGTGCTGCTTGTGGTAAAACTTCCATAATTTAATATTTGGCTTATAAAAATAATTAACCATTAATAATAATGAATTTAAGTTCATTTACTTAAATTTCTGATTTCATAGGTAAAGTTGAAATTCTACCAGGATTTAAATTTGAATTTTAGCCTGGTCCTTTTGCTTAAGCTGTTTAGGAAGGTTTGTGGATACTATTGGATGAGGCAAATTTGGCAAGTGATTCAATACTCAGGGTTATTGAAGATGTTCTTGAACTTGGATATATTACTTTATATGGTAGTTAAATAAACTCTCATATAGATTTAGTTGATGGAACTTTAACAATAAAAAAACATTAAAATTTTAAATTATTTTTAACTTAAAATCCAGCAACTGATTAAAAATTTGCTGCTTCTAGAAATGTATTTTCTCCATCTTTGATGAGTTAATTTATTCCAATAAAATTTGAACCAATGAGTATGAATGATTTAAATTTTATAATTGATGAAATTTTAGCATAAAAAATACAAGAATTAAAAGAAGAGCCAGAAGAAAAGATATCAATATAATAATTATCCTCTTTGATTATGATGATTTATGAAGAAATAAAATTGAAAAATATGGATGATGGATTATTTACTTTAAGAGATATAGTGTAAATTATTGATTTTATTTTTGTTACTTTTTAATAAGATAAGTAGAAAATTTTTGAATTATTACCTTTAAAAGATTGCATGAAATTAATCTCAACATAATTTATTTATTTAAAAAAAAATCGTGATTTAATAAATTATTAAATAGATTAAAACAAATTTATTGCTAATACAATAGATAGATTTGATTAAACTAAAGATTAGAGAGAATAAGAAATTAGAAATTGGAATAATACTCAATAATTAAAATTTCTCTCATTTCATGAAACATTATTTTCAATGTTAACTTTATGTTATAAAACAAAACGGGCAGCATTAGTTGTAGGATAATAATTTTGTGGAAAATTATCAAGCATTCTTCTTTGGTTAAAACTTTAGAATATCTAAAAATATGAAATATTAGAATTATCATCAAGTACAAATGCAGAAGATTTATTTGGAAAATATTAACCAACTGCAAATGGATTTGATTTCATTATAGGACCAGTCACTAGATGCTTTCATTAAGGGAAAGTTTTAATTCTAACTAATTTTGAAGCACCAGATTGTGCCTTAACAGAATCATTAAATGGAATTTTGGAAAAAAAATTTCTTTAATTATTAGTTTAGAATGAAAAATATTAAAGACACTAAGATTTTGCTATAATTGCAATTTCATCTGATTTTGCAGAATTGGATAAAAAATTTACGCCTGCTTTAAAGAGCAGATTCTTAAGTATATTCTTAGATTTTAAAGTAAATATATATGACATAATGTTATTATTTTAATTATCAAATCTACCATGTGATATGAAATTTGTAAGTGATATTACTTCGAAATTAATAAAATAGAATGATAGTAAGATTTCAAATAATTTAGAAACATAAATTGAATAAATATAATTTAATAAGATAATAAGATTTTTAAAACCAATATAAGAAATCTAAAAATTTGCCCAAGCTTAATTTAATATTAATTTATAACAAAAAGTTATAGAATGTATTGATTTCTTCATTGCATTAAGTTTATAAGATAATTAATATCTTTTGAATGAAAAAACATAAGTGCCTCTTCATTATTAAGAATTATAATCAAATGATTGTAAGAAAAATAATTTTATTGTAACTTCATCAAGGAAAATAGTTACAGATATAATTGCAATAGCAGTTGCTGCTAAAATACCTTTAGTTTTGTAAGGAACAGCAGGTGTTGGAAAAACAAAAGTAATTTCTACATTTTAATAAACTTGTAAATTATTTGAATCTACTTCTTTTCATTATATAAATTTGAATTAAAATACAGACATTAATGATTTAATGGGATAATTTGTATCATCTTGTAATAAAGATAAAAAAGAATTTATATTAAAAAAAGGCCCATTATATTTAGGTATGGAGTAAGGTGGGATAGTTTTATTAGATGAAGCTAACCTATCAGATGCTAGTATACTTAATTTTTTAGCATCAGTTGCTAAGTATCCTTCGGAATTTTAAGATCCTGTTTCAAATTAAGTAATAAAGGTACATGAAAAATTTAGAATATTTTTTGCTTAAAATCCTCCATCATATAATTGTCGAACTGAACTTCCATAAACAATGGCTTCTAAAGTTATAGTTGTTGAAGTTCCAAATTATAGTTATGAAGAAGTAATTAAAATTTGTACAGAATAATAATTGCATATGTAGAAAGATTGTATAAAATAAGGTATGGAATATTTTTTAACAACATTAATACCATATCCATAAGATGGTAATGAAAAACTATTGAATTTTAATGGAACATAATTTACTTTAAGATAATTCATAAGATTTAGAAACAGATTAGAGAAAACAAATTTTTCAACAAAATAACCTAATTGGGAAAATATTTTACAATTACATTAGATGATACTCTTTCCAAAAGATGCCTCTGAAGAATAAAATTTAGAAAGTAATATCAATTAAAAATAATAATCATTATTTTTTTCTATAAAGAATCATAAAGCAGAATTAGAAATATCATTTTAAATTGGGAAAAATTATAAAAAATATTAATCTGCAGAATCAAATCTCAATTCTAATTAAAGATTAGTATTATGCAAAATAGCATTTTGCTGTTATTTTAAGGAAAATATTTTAATTACTGGTAGAACATCATCAAAAACATACTTATCTTAACTATTTACTTAATTAGTAGAGTTTTAAAATCCTTAGCCATTTGAATTAATATATATTAGTTCTGAAACTGAGATTACAAATTTAATAGGGAGTATGGAATCTCATAATCAAGAATCTTATGAAAAATATTGTTAGAATTTAATTCAAAAGCTAGATGATGAAGAATAGAAAATAAATTAAAATGGAAAAAATATTGAAAGTATTTTTAAAGAATTAAATGAAAAATATAATTAAAAAGAGTTCTTTGATCAAGTTATTAAAAATATTGGTAACCAATTTCCCTTTATTGAAAGAGGATTAACATTTAGTGCTAGATTTGGTGGTGTTGCATGTTTAAAAAATATATCAATGGCAGATTAATCTGTTATAGAAGGATTAAATGCATTATTAGAAATAGAACCACATTTTATTGTTAATGGATAAGAAATTAAATTAAATAATGAATTTTTTGTGATTGCAATATTAAATACTACTTTTGGAGGTTAATTAAGTGATGCATTATAATCAAGACTCACAAAAATAAAAATACAAGTTCCATAACTAATTAATTCTTCAAAAATATTGGATACTTCTTATTAAAACTATATTCTTAGTAAATTTTAAAAAAAGACAGAGAGTGATTAAATAATTTAGTTTATTTAGAATCTTCTTATTATAACTAAATAATTTAAAGAGGTTTACTATGAAAATATATCTGATAGAAAATTTTATTAATGGATGAGTTTTTTGGATCTGGATTTGGATGCAACTAATTTATAAAAATTAGCATTAGGATTTTAATTTACAATTTTGGATAAATATAGAGAAAATTATGAAGAAATTATAAAGGATACAGATCTTAGAGAACATTTCAAGCAAGCGGAAAATAAAATTTTTGAAAAATTAAAAGAAAAATAATTTTTTAATTCTTCAAAAATAATAGTAAACCCTTCTACTACAAAAATATTATAAAGAATATATTCAGCAATTTCAACATAATATATTCCTTGTCTAATTGGACCTCCTGGAGTTGGAAAATCTGCAATTGCATAAGAAGTTGCTTCAATAATTAAAAAGGAACACTGCAGAGTTTGTTGTTCAGATTCTTTAAGTGTAGAAGATTTATTCGGATCTTATGCACCAAAGATTGATAACAATAAAGTTGTATTCATCTTTCAAGAAGGCTATTTAGCTTAAGCATTATCTTAAAAAAGCTTAATTTTATTTGATGAAGTTAATTTAGCATCCCCTGAAGTATTAAGCACACTTCAGGCTTTATTTAATACAGATGATAAAGAGATTAGAATAAAAGATAGTAGATTAAATAAAGATAAATGCGTATTTCTATGTTCAATGAATCCATAATCATATGAAGGGAGATAAGTATTACCTTAATGTATTTAAAATTTATTATGTGATGTATATATTGAAGCATTCAGTATTGATTAAGTTTTAGATATATTTTAATAGAGGTATAAAAATGAAATAAAAAATTTATAAAATGCTGGAATTAATTTTTAATAAATTTTAGATTTACATAAAGAACTTGCTTTATTAGCATCATAAAAATAATAATCAAATTATGACTTTAATATAAGATTTTTGGAGAATCTATTATAATTATTCAGTTAATAATTTTTAGATTAGAGATAAAAATTAAGTGATGAAAGACATTAATTAGAATTAATAATTGTTTGTTTAGATATTATATATGTATAACACTTTTATTAGACAGAATTTACTAAACAAGCTTTATAAATAATTTTAGATAAGTTTGGATTAAGTGAAGATGAATGGATGAATAGAAGAGTTTTTTTAGAGTAAAATGCAAATATTATTAAAATAAGTCGATAAATAGGCAAAGATTTTAAACCTATATTTAATTTTGCATTATAAAATTAGATACAACCATAAATTTCAAATAATTCATTTGTAATAAACTTATAAAATTCAAGTATTTTTGAAAAACTCTTTATAGCAATTCAATCTAAAAAAGTAATATTATGTTAAGGAGATGTTTCATCAGGAAAAACATCATGTATTATTAAAATAGCTAATCTTTTAAACTAAAGATTTATTTTGTTGCCAATACATTGTGATTTAGAAACTGATGATTTGCTTGGAAATTTTGCTTTAGTGAATCCTAATTATGATTATATTTAATAAGAATTAGAGAGAGTAGCTTTAAAATAAAAATCAAAATTTATTCTTAATATCTAATAAAAAAAAGAAATGAATATGAAATATATAGAAGGAGTTTTAAAGATTTGTTGCAAATTTGGATATTGGTTAATTTTAGATAATATTAATTTAGCAAGAGCTGAAATAGTAGAAAGATTAAATTCTTTAGGAGAAGATACACCTCGTTTATTTATTAATGAATTTGGAGACTCAAATGCTTGTATAATTCCTCATAAGAATTTTCGTTTAATATGTTTATAAAATCCATCTAGATAAGACTCACATATATTATCCCCTGCTTTTTATAATCGATGTATTAAGATTAATTTCTAAATTGATCTTACAGATAATTATATTGATATTATTGAGATTTTAACCCGAAGTGGTTTAGGATAATAGCTTTAATTAGAAGATACTGTTATTTTAGCAAGTAATCTATTGAAGTAAATCACTTTTATCAAAGAGCAGTCTTAGTGTTAAATTAATCTAAGAAGTGTTATAAAAGCTTTTAGAATGATTCAAGAAAATGGAGTAAAATCTTATGATTAAATTATGGAAATCATTTTTGGATCAGATTTTAGAGAATGCAAAAACCATCCAGATTTTCCAATTTATGATTTTAGATCTCAAACTGAAGTTGATTCTTTTGTAGATAAGTGTACGGATACTATCTTAAATAAATTAATATCTAATTCTTTTTAAATTGTAAATTATGATTAAACTAGAAAATTATTAGATTTAAAAAATTTAAGCAAATTCTTAAAAACACTATTAGCTAAAAAAGACTTACAAAATTATTAAAATTTTATTGAAGGTATTAGTAAAGAAATTTTGTTGGTTAATTGTTAAACAGAGAATTAATATGATTTAGGATGTTATGAAATTCAAGTTAATGGAGATTTAAATATTTAATTATGTTTGGAAACTCTTAAAATATAACCTACCTTTTTGTCTTTGTACATAAAAAACAAAGAATTGTTAAAATTTATACTGAAATCAAAATGTTAATTCTAGTAATATATATTTGTAGCTGAAGCAAGATTAAATTCTGAAGGCTAATTGTTGATTTAATTTTAATAATCTAATGATATATCTTTGGTTCCTTTGATTAAATCTCTTATAGGACCATCTCATTAATTATTTTTTAAGACTTTTAAACATCTTTTATCTAAAGCCGATATTGAATGTTTATTATTACTAGATCAAAATACAGAAATTTTCTTTAACTTCAATTTAAATGATTATACATTTTCTAATACAAATTGTAAATTTAAAGATATTTCTGGAAAATTCATCGTTAACAAGGAAAATATCACAACTTAATTTTACCTAAGCTGTGATTTACATCTTGAATTAAATTATTATTTTATTAAGAAAGGTAAATTTGGTAGAATCAATGATTTAATTTCACTTAGAGGAGAAATATGTATTCCATAATAAAATATAGTGTAAATGTTTTTAGATTATGGTTGTTATAGCTTAATTTCTAATATCTATGTTTCTCTTAGTGAAAATTTTGTCCCATATTTAGATCTTGAGGAAAAAAATATAAAATTATCCCTTGAGTGTGAAGAATTTATTCAAGTATATAAATTACCATTTTAGCTTAAATTCAATAAAATATTAATAGATATTCTACTAAAATAATAAATTACTATAAATGGAAATATTAATTGTTCTTTTCAGATACTTAATTAAAATATTTGTAATTTAACAGCAATTATTCAAAAGAAAAAAATATTATTCTAATTACTTGATGGATAAAACAAAAATAATTCTTAAAAAATATTATAATAATTTCTTTTGAACTATTTTGATAAAGATAACATTTTTATGTCTAATCTTTCATAAAATAAAAATACAACTATAAAATAATTAGAAATAATTACTAATTCAATTTGTTGGAATTATTAATTAATTTTTGAATTTAATTGGATAATTAAAATTTTTAAGATTATTGATTTTCAAATAAAAACTATGGATATTTATTGTCATATTGATGAAAAAAATAAATAATTTACAATATGTTTTACAGCTGAAATTCTTAAATTCATATTTGAAATTGAGGTAGAGTTTGACTTTTTGGATTTATTTTGTTAAAATAAAAAAAAGATTTTACTAATGAAATTAATAAAAGGAAAGAATACCCCAAAGTTAAAAGAAATAATTGCTGCCTTATCAACTGACTTGGAAAAACAATTCTCAAAAATTTAAGGATTTGAAAAAGTGGAAACAATTTAATTTTAGTAAAAAGAGAGTTCTTAATAGATTTTTAATTTAGATGAATTTAAAAAATTAGGATTAGGCCTTTATAATTAATTTGAAAAGGAAGCTCATTAGATGCAATCTCATGATTATAATTCTGAAGAAGTTAAATTATAAAAAGAAAAATTTTAATCTAATTTAGAATAAAAAATAGAATAAGAATTAAAAAAAAAATAACCAGAAAATTACAATTAGGAAGAGCCAGAAAATGAAAATGAAAATGAGAAACAGATTTAAGAATCAGTTATTATATGGGGTAAATAAATTAAGATGAAATTTAGAGTAGATCTATTGGATTCATGGAAAATATCTAAATTCTTATGTCTTAGTAAATGTTATTTAAAAATTATTGGTTTGAATGAAAATTTTGAGTTAAATTTAAAAGGAACAATAATATTTATAGAATTTCCTCTAGTTAAATTTAAAAATTTGTTGTCCCCAGAAAGCTCATTCAATTTAGATATAGAAAAAGAAATTTTACTAAAAGATATTGATCCTATTACATTTGGTTTTGGCTTGTTTGGACTTTAATTCGAAGAAATATAAATAATTCCAAAAGTAAATAATATTGTCAAATTTTATTATGACATGCAAACTAATGAATTTGAAGGGGATTTGTAATATTAGAATTTTACTAATTAATATCATCAATCTGGTTTAGAATTTTTAAACATTTAATTAATTTTTAATTAATATAGAGATAGAAGTTGTTATGCGAATTTAAAAATAAGAACAGTTTTTTTTCAGTAATAAATAGATTTTCTTTTAGAATTTTAGGACTATTTATATTAAGAACAAAAGACATAACTAAAAATAAATTCTTATGAAATAAAAAATTTTAATCTTAATTAATTCATAAACAATAGTGTAAGAATAAATATTAATGAATAAGAAGCAAAATTTGAGGTAAATCGATTTACATTTATTTTACTATTAGAAAAGAATCAACAGTGGTAATACATTGTTCAATTACTAATTGATGAAAGTTCATGCAAAATTTTAGATTTCATAGAATTATAATAATTGAATGGTTATTTAGATTATAGGAATAATAATTGGGAATAAAGTTGTTTATCAGGAAAATGTTACATAAAAAATATTTTTTTGGGTACTTTTGATCTAAAATTGAATTAGAAAAAGAGAGGGTTTTATTGTGATTTTCAATATCATAAAGATTTTAAGTTGAACAAATTTTTCAGATCATTTTTCAAGAAATAAATTGATCTCTATTGTTTTAGAAAAATAAATTTTGATAATCTAGAGATTGAGTTGGAATTGAATCATAATTGTACTCTATTTACCTTTTTTTATGAAGTGAAGGAATATAGTTTAACAAATTATTTAATGTTGGAAAATATTAACACTTATTTTTCTAATGAAGATGATAATGATTATCGAGAATTAATATTGAGATTTGATTTTAAGTTGTGTGATGATTTTAAGTAAAAAAATTTAAGTATAGATCTTTTAAAAGACACATAAAATTTTGTGTCATAATTTGAGCTAGAGTAATTAGATTTACTTAAATTTTTATAAAAGTTGAATTAGTATTTTGATTTTTAGATACCTCTATATGAATATTTTAAAAATCTAAAGTTGATGTAAATGAAATGTAATTTAACATTAACAAAGAATTGTAAATTTTAAAGTCTAATTATTGAGAATTAACATATATTATCATGGAAAAATTTAATAGTTTAATTCAAATAAGTTGATCTATAATTGTAATTAGATTCATAATAAAAATTAAAATTGAATTTCGAAGTAGAGATTTTTAACATTCCATTTTCTATTTAATATGACTAATCCAATACAGCATTTAAATTTATAATAAAAGAAACAAATCAACTAAGTGCAAAAGAAATATTTGCCTAAATTGAGTAAATAAAAAAAATTTAATTCTATGAAAAGTTACTTGACGAATTTTCAATAACAGATTAAATACTCTAATTAATTGATTTAAGTAGTAAAAATAACAATATATTCCTCAAATTATAATAATCATATTATAATATCAATCTTTATTATAACTTTTTATCTCAAACTTTAATTTTCTAATATGAATTTGATAATAAAAAGAAGTTTCAAGATATTATTTCACATTTATCATAATTAGATTATGTATTGAAATTAGAAAATGCCGACTGCTTGATCATATATACAAGTGAAAAAAACAAGACAGATATCACATAATTACAAGAAAATACCAGTTATAAAAATTATTTGAAATTTTTTGAATAGTAATAAATTTCTAAACCAGGAATTAGTTGTTTTGCAGATTGTTAAACTCAAATCTCATCACATCATTAATAAACATTAATATTTCTACAAAAAAAAATTGATTTATAAATCTCTTACTAAGAAGGTAAATTTATTCTTGCAGAAAGTCAAGATACATACTATAAAAATGTAAATTTTAATTGCCAATTTAATATTAAGTTATAACATAAAAATTATTTTTATATTTAATTAGAGATGAAATAATTTTATCGAGATTTTGGAAGCCTAATGTATAAAGGTCAGATAAAAGTTGATAATAATTCATTAGAAGGTTAGTTAGATCTATTATATAAAGAGCCTTTTGCAATAAATGGGATTGAGTTTAAAGGATAATTTTAATTAAAAGTTAAAGAATAGAAGATAATTTAATCTGTTGGAAGTTTAACAGGAAAAATACATGATAATGATGTCAATGTCATTCTTTTTAATTATGATAATTTTATTCCAAAAGCATGGGCTGTTGTTATTTCTAATACAAATTTTTACAACTCATTATAAATATTTGGTATGAATAGAATTTTCCCAAAAGATTTTGAAGAAATATTTGAAAGAACACAAAGAATATTGTTTATCCATGGGCAAATAGATATTGATCTTAAAAATCCTAATTTTCCTCCAGAATTAATGTAGAAATTATCGGATACTAAATTTTCAATACTTTTGGAAAAATTTGGTTCTCTTGATTTTTCAAAATTTAAAATTTAATTTAAAGATTTAGAAACAACACCTATATCTTGGAAAAGTTATAGTCCTGTTTTCATAATGATTAAAGACGAAGAAGAAAATTAAAATTTTGTTTCATAAACTTCTCTATTATTCAATAATGGAAATACATTTATTGGAAAAGGCTAACTGAAATTTTATTTTTCAAATTTATTAACAGATTGCGATCTAACTTACAAAATTGATGTATTAACAGGGAAGTTTGATTGTGATGCAGATTTCTCTATTGAAATATTTGGATTCAAACAAAAATTAATGTCAAAATACATATTAGGGTAAGGTTTTCCTCTAAGTTTTAATTTATAAAAGGAAATATATTTTTTAGAATTTAATATAAATTACTTTTTACATAAAATAAAAGGAAGTATTGAATTAAATTTGTTTAAAGATATTACTAAATGGATATATATAAATAAATTGGGTTTTGAATTTGGTTTTGATCTTACATATTTTACTCTTGGCATTTAATGTAATTTTATTGTATCTTTTAAATTTGAAAACAGCGAAAAGGAATATAATTACCGTAAGCCAGTTGATTGGAATTGGTAGGCAATTATGGGTATATTAAATAATTGTAATGGTTTAAAATATTATCTAATTAAATTATTTAAAAATATAGATTTAAGTTTTGACCTCTTTAGAATAAAATGGTTTTTAGGATTGAAAATAAAGCTTGATGATTATTATACAAAATAATAGATATATAATCGCAAAACAGAACTTTAGGCTTTGTTTAAAAGTAGTTTTGATGTCGATATTTCTGATGAACTAAATAAAATTGAAAAAGAAGTAGATTATTATGAGCAATAAATAAGAGAAGCAGAAGAAAAAGAACGTGAAAAAATACAACAAGAAAATAACAAAAAGGATTAATAAGATAATAGTAATGAATCTAAAAATTAAAATAATCAACCAAAAGATAATTAAAAAGAGTCGAACCAAAGTTAAAAGCAATAGCATCTAAACCAAAAAGATGATCAAAAAAATTAGATAATAAAATAAAATTAAACAGTTTAACAAAATCAAGAATAAACATAGAAACTATCATAAAGTAAAAACAATGAAAAAAAGGAAAAAGATAAAGAAAAAGTTTATATCGATGAATAAACAAATAATGATAAGATGGGATTAAAAAGATCATCATCACCCAATAATACTGACAGATAATCAACATCATAATCAAATTCTAATAAATAATAATCGACATAATCATCAAATGAAAATAATAAATAATAGTCATCATCATCAAATTATAATTGTGGATAAGAAACAGAAAAATCATCAAATTAAAATAATAAATAATCATCATAATAATCATAATCATCAAATTCTAATAATGAATAATCAAAATCATCACCAAACTAAAATAATAAATCTTCGACATCAAATTCTAATAATGGATAATCAAAAGTATCATAGAATTAAAATAATTTATAATAAAAATCCTCATCAAATTCTAACATTGAATAATCATCATAATATTCTAATAATTAATAATAATAAACAGTAAAATCATCAAATTCTAACAATATTTAATCAACATCATCATCAAATTCTAACAATAGATAACCAACATCATCATAAAATACTAATAATTAATAATAATAAACAGTAAAAACATCAAGTTCAATAAATATATAATCATCATCATCATCAAATTCTAACAATATTTAATCATCATCATCATAAAATACTAATAATTAATTAAAATAAACAGTAAAATCATCAAATTCTAATTATGGATAATCATTATCATCATCAAATTCTAATATTGGATAATCAATATCATCATCAAACTCTAATATTGGATAATCAATATCATCATCAAATTCTAATATTGGATAATCAATATCATCATCAAATTCTAATATTGGATAATCATCATCATCGAATTCTAATAATGGATAATCAATATTATCATCGAATTCTAATAATGGATAATCAATATCATCATCAAATTCTAATAATGGATAATCATCATCATCATCGAATTCTAACAATATTTAATCAACATCATCATCAAATTCTAATAATGGATAATCAACATCATCATCAAATTCTAATATTGGATAATCATCATCATCGAATTCTAATAATGGATAATCAATATCATCATCAAATTCTAATAATGGATAATCAATATCATCATCAAATTCTAATAATGGATAATCATCATCATCATCGAATTCTAACAATATTTAATCAACATCATCATCAAATTCTAATAATGGATAATCAACATCATCATCAAATTCTAATATTGGATAATCATCATCATCGAATTCTAATAATGGATAATCAATATCATCATCAAATTCTAATAATGGATAATCAATATCATCATCAAATTCTAATAATGGATAATCATCATCATCATCGAATTCTAACAATATTTAATCAACATCATCATCAAATTCTAATAATGGATAATCAACATCATCATCAAATTCTAATATTGGATAATCATCATCATCGAATTCTAATAATGGATAATCAATATCATCATCAAATTCTAATAATGGATAATCAATATCATCATCAAATTCTAATAATGGATAATCATCATCATCATCGAATTCTAACAATATTTAATCAACATCATCATCAAATTCTAATAATGGATAATCAACATCATCATCAAATTCTAATAATGGATAATCATCATCATCGAATTCTAATAATGGATAATCAATATCATCATCAAATTCTAATAATGGATAATCTATTTCATCATCAAATTCTTATAATGTATTATCAACATAATCCTCAAATTCTAATAATGGATAATTAATATTGTCAATAAAATCTAATAATGGATAACCAACATCATCATCAAATTAGAATGATGAATATTCAATATCATCATCAACTCCTAATAATGAATAATAAACAGTAAAATATATTACAAATTCTGAATCATAATAAACTACAATATACCAATTATAATTGACTTAAACCAATGAAAATACAAATACTAACATATCACATAACTAAACATAATCAAACTAAATTATTTTGTGTTCAAATAATTTAAAGAAATATATTTTTGAAGATTATTTTGATTCAAATATTTATTTAAAAACTAAACTAACAAAATCTTAATAAAAAAAAAAAAATACTAAAAGTTAGAAATCTAAACCATTAGAACAAGAATAAGAAATTAATAACAATACTGAAATAACTGATTATAATAAATTGCTTTTCAAAGCTGAATAACAACTATATTAATAATGGTAAGATTCAAAATAAACCAAGAATGATATAAAAAATTTATCCTTTAGAATAATAATTACAGAGTAATATTTAGAATAATCATATATTTAATATATTGGATTATTATTATTGCAATTTTCTTATCTTAATTTAACTTATGATATAATCTTATCAGGATAGAATCAAGCAATATTTTTAAAACAAAAAGAGGATAATTTAACTTTAATTCTTTTAGATTCAATATTGCATGCAATACATGGATAATGCAATAAGGAATTTATATTAGTCAATGAAGATATCTTATCTGAAAATGATTTTATATTATTATTAACTAAACAATTTTTGGAAATGTCAAATTAATGTAAAGAGGAATTATTGAATCAAGGGTTCACTACAATTATTTAAAGTTAAGATGAATTTGATTTTAATATTATAGAAGTATAAAATGGTCAAACAATCAGTAGTTTAAAAAATTTAATAGAATTGTTAAATTATATTGTAGAAAATTAGATAATAAAGATAAAATAAATTGACTAAAATCTTTTAGACTAACAAAAAGTAAAATAATATAAATAAGAATTTGAACCCTAACTTGAATCAAAGGAAGCCAATAGTATAAAAGCATTGTTAGAAGTAAGTAAATTTACAAAATATTCTCTATCTTCAAAAGGAACGACTATAGATATCAAAGGTATCATTAAATTTTTTTGCACAAATGGAACTGCTAGGGACATTATGAAGAGAAAAAATAGAGGAGGAAAGTCATTTTATTTTTTTTAGGTTGTTTTAGATTTAAGTTAACTAGAATAGGATACCTTATCATAAATCCTATTACCATTTTTACTCCAATTTATAGAAATATGTAAGTAATGTTAACTAGTATGCAATTTAATCATTTTAGATCATACAACAAAGATAATTAAATCAAATTTTTCAACATCATGGACTGAGTAGGAATAAACATTATTAATATAAAGCTTAATTAATTATTCTAATGAAACTTCAGTAAACCAGGATCATGATCAATTTTAATTCATACTTGATTAATTTTAAAGTTTCAGCAAATATAAAAAATATTTGTTATTCATTAATCACTCCTTCTATACTTATTCATGTCAAAACCTTTAATTATAACTTAATATGGCTTAGTAAATGCAAATAAAAATAATTTCTTTGGGATTAGATTTAAAAAAATATATCAATCATTCATTAGGTGGAGTTATCTAATTTCCACTCACATAATAAAATAGTGCATATTAAATTATAACAAATTTATTGTAGAAAGATTATGAGGCTCAGATAGTTGATGGTACCTTTTAGTTCTATTAAAATATGGAAAAATATCCAAATACACTAGAACTTTTATAAGTATCATCTGAAGATAGTTAATATAATTGTTATTTGAATAAATATTTCAATTATATACAAAGCGAAGAATCCAATAAAGAAAATGATTAAGCATCTAATGAAGTATAAAATGAAGGATAAAATGGAGATGAATCTTTGATTAGATTAACAAAATTAGATTTATTCTTAAATTTACTAGTTAAGCTGAATGAACTATAATAATTGATGTAAGGTATATAAAAGAAGGATTCTGATTAATAAAAAAATTAGAATACATGAAAAATAATATATAAAGAATTTAATATTTATTAATATCTTCAAAAAATCTAATATATACTATATTATTTAATTAAAAAGACTCCATAATCAATCGTCTAAATAATAATATACACCCTTTAAAGTTACAAATATTTATTTTATTTGAATAAATGTATTTCAAGCCCAAATTAAATCTCTAGCCTTTTAAGCCTTTAAAAAAACACTTATAGTTGCAAAATTATAAAAGTTTAAGTATTTTCTAACAACTATTTTTTATATTGAATAATATAATTCAATCAAAATATAATTAATAATTATGAAAATTACAATAATGTAATATTATTAATCATGCTAAAGTTGAATAATTAAGATTAATTAAAAGTAATATAACTTTTTATCTCTAAGATATTAAATTAATTTCTAGTTTATTTTATTTTAAATTATATATTTTGTTAAAAGATTATAATTTAAATACAACTTATTTATTTTATTCCACTCTCACAAAACTATAGTAATTATGAGAATAAAATTAGATAGGAATAATAATTCCAGTTATTTTTAAGTTTAGGTTTTTCAAATTTAATTGATGAATGAAATTAAGTATTAATAATTCGCAATTACAAAAGGAAACATAACAAATCTAAATATTATATATAATAAATTTCAAATAAAACAAGAAACCTTATATAAAAATAATGATACATTCTATCTAATATAAAATTGAAGAAAGTATCACAACTATCAATTGATCTCAGGATATTAATTATCAACATTAACAACAAGAAGGATTTCTTGATGAATAATTACCTAAATATATATTAACTGAGTGATATAACTTCAGTTAGATTTTTTCATGATTATTTTATTTCTCATTTATTAAGATGGCTAAGTGTGATCAAATAATGTTATATGCTTAACTAAAAGTATAAATAAATATAAATTTCATTTTTGTCATTGTATGGTAGTTATAAAATCTTTAGAATAAGATCTCCCAAATAAAACGAATAGAAGAAAATAACAATCGGTTAAGGCTGGTTATAAGTTCTAAATTGTATTCCATAACCTAGCAATGGTTGATTAATTGGTATAATTTTTCCATAATTTTTTTGAGTTGAATTAATAATTGTGAATGATTGTCAAAATTATTACATTAAAATAGGAGTAGTTTCTAATTAAAAAAGGAATTTTTTTTAATATAATTGAAATTTGAATGAAGACAATATTATCTTATAATCATTTGAAATCCTTAGAGGAGATTGATTAATTTATACAAAACTCTTTTTAGTCAGAATAATGGATTTCTCTGGATTGCTGATCAAATAAGAAGATCTAACCAGAAAGTAGGGGTTAATGAATCAATATAAAAATAAATAATTTTCATTTATGTGATAAATTCATAAGTATGACATCCTTAATTACACTAGTTATAGTATTATAGTTATTTTGTATTTATTTGGGTTTATAAAGTAGGTGTAGCCATTATAAAATTAAAAAAATGACTAATTAATAATAAGGATATCATAAAAATATATAACAATATTATTATCCATATTAATTTTATAATGAAATTAAGATTCAATTTTCATTATTTAAAATTATATCAATAAGAGATCAAATCTAAATAATAAGAAATAAAAAAAATAACTAAGTATTACTGTTCTTTAGTATTTTAAATGGAAAAAATATATTATAAAAATTTATTTTTTTCCTTTTAAATTATGAAAATTTCTTTGAATGTGCTTTCATTAATTGATAAAGTTAATAAAGTCTTTTTTATTTCAAATAAAGTGACTCTTTTGTTTATTATTTAAATAGTCTCGATTAATTTAATTCAAGTCCAATAAGTATTAAAATATATAATTAAATACATTTTTAAATTATAAATTAAAAAAATGATTAATGATTATTTAATATAATAAAAATTATTTAATCATATATTTTATTTAATGTATATATCATATAATAATGGTTACATCAAATTTATTTTATTCTAATACTCTAACCAATTTTGAATGTTCAATTTTTGTAAAGGCTGATGAGCATTAACTCAAATCAATATATATTATTTTAGATTCTCCATTTTTTAAATTCACTAAGCTTTAATATAATTCTGTTTTATTAAATTCACATCTTTTCAAATTCATTTTAAGAGTCTTGAGATTACTAAAGGGGAATTATTAAAATTCTAATCTAATATTTTCAAAAGTGATATCCAGAATATCCAATTTACTTTTTATATTATCTGAAAATTTAAAGTTCTGCATTATTGAATTATTATTAATGGATAATTGAAAAATCTTCATTTCTTTGAAATTTCCAAATAATTATGAACACTATTCTAAATTTAAATTACCTGCAATTTCAAAATAAAATTATTCAAAATCATACCTATCTAATTCTAAAAAATCTTTATTAATATCTAAACTTTTTTGTTAAACAACTTAAGAAGTATCCTTATATTATTAGATTATCTAGAAATAAGAATAAGAAAAGGCTTTAAGAGTAGTTTTTCTTTCAACACAAAATGGCATTTTAATTTCTTCTGTTGCTTCAACTTAAATTTATAGAAATTATAATTATGGTGGACAATACTTAATAAAAGCATTAATATGAGGAAGATCAAGAGGATTTACTTCATCTAAATTAAAATTGAGTTTCAATTAATAAATTGGACTGACTTTTAAACATCTTACAAAATCATTAATTTCAGGTCCCATACAAAATAATCTTTATGCTTTATCTATTTCTAATATATTTTATATTGAAGCAAGTACATACCTAAATTAAGCAAGCATTTTCTCTTTTTTTTTCTCTTTATAATTAGAAAAATCTATATGTTCCATATTAATTTTAAAAGTACATTTTTATTTTAAATATTTTTCATCTACTTTTGACATGATTTAAAAAGATTTAGGATATTCTAATAACATTTAATTTGATATTGAACTCAAATACAACATAGATTAAAAGAATTATTCTACTGAAACTGTACTTAAAATTAGAGCTGGTATAAAAAAATCTTTAATTACAACTTCTAATATATCTTTGACAGCCAAAATACCTTCTTTTATTTACTGAAAAAAAGACATAGCCCATACAGTGCTTAAATCACTAGAAGATAATGCTAAAATATAAATAAAAAATTAAGGAATCTTATTCAAAGCTTCTTCAACACTAGTTCTCCACATAACTGCTTAATAAAATGGTAATTATTTTATAGCTAAAATGCTTTTAGAATCCACTTTAACTGTTTCATATTAAAATACTGAAATAGGAAGACTGCCCTAGAATTTAGAAGCATAACTTTTAAATTTAATATATCCTTCAGCACTAAAATTTCTCTCTAAAGTAGTAAAAAATTTCTTTGAGAAATAATACATAGCAATCATAACAATATCCCAAACTTTTAAAAAGTTAAATATAGCAAATAGTAAAACATTCTAAATCTAATTTTAAATTGTTAGAGTCTTAAAAACTCTATGTTAAAATACCGTAAAAGACAACATTTAAATCACAGGATTGATTACAGTTAATACAATTAAAGCAGATTAAAACTTATCAGGATCATCTCCTATGTATACAAGAGAAACTATTTACAATCCTCCATTCAAAAATGATTATAAAGATTACATAGTCGCTTAGTATTGATTCAATTAACCCCAGGTTTCAAAATATTTATAATAAGCCAATAAACATTTAAAATACCCTAAACTTTCCTCCAAGATTTACTCTTTAGATATACTTTTAAATTGATTTTTTGCTTCTTCGGCAATATCAATTTAAGATTCTTATCTATCAGTTTGAACAATATTAATTTAACTTGATATAGTGCCTGTTCCGTATGATCTAGAACTTAATCTGACTGATTTCCTTAAATGATCTGGTATCAATTTTGTAAAATGATAACTCATTTCTATATATTCTCTTTTTAATTTTTAGTTTTATGCTACTGCTTACCAACCAGAATTAATTTTTGGATTTTCAATGAATTGAATCTCTTAAATTTTTTATTCCTCTGCTTCAGTATCAATTTTGTCATCAACCCATAATTAATCAATATTTTAGTCTTGCATTTATTCAAGTTTTAATTTTGGAAATTGTTTACTTAAAAAAGTATCTTACAGCATTTTTAATTTATTTACATCTTTATATAATAGACTTATGTTGTCTACTTAAATTAATTTAAAGCAATTTGCTAAATATTGTAATGTAATTTCATCATATTAATCTATGAATAGAAATTAAATATTTTAGAATTTTTTATACCTAGTCAAGAATGTAATAATTTAAACCATACATCTTTTCTTTTGATAATTACTAAATGTAGTTGGATCAATATGGAAATAAAAAGATTTAACAAATCCTAGATATTTTTTATCAGATTTTAATAATTATTTAGTTTCTTAAATGAACTTTAATTTTATCTTTTTCAATTTAAATTATAGTTCTGTTTGTATCTATCTATAAGTTGTTGTGAAAACAATAAATTGTAATTCCAAAAGATAATAAATTAAATTACTTACTAATAATAAATAACTAAACACATTAAATCCATCCCATTCATGTTCTGTATTATAGAAGCCTTAAATAAAGAGTTAAGGAAAAGTTTAAAGACACATTGTAATCATCATAGAAAGAAGTGCTATTCTATGAAAAATTAAATCTCTAAAAATATTAACTGGCTTAGTTCTTTATTTGAAAAGTATAGAGGGATTTCTAAATTTATCTTCTCCATCTAAAATCAAATATTTATTAATTTCACTAAAAGAAAACTATTTAATTGATTAATCTCTGTTGAAATAATAAATAAATGGAGCTATTTTAAAAAAACTTAATCCTCCCATAAACAAATAAAAGATATAATATGAAATTTCTATGAACATACTCTTTTTGGCAACTTATCTAAATTTATATGTATACATCCAAGTTGCACTGTGAAGTAAAGCACATGAAATGATAGAAATGTAGTAGCAACCCAAATAATATATTTCTTAATCAGAAATATTATTATAAGATTTGTAGCTTAAAGTGAATATCAATTCAAGCACATTTAAAATGTAAATAAATATTTGAAGTCCTATTTTAGCATAATATTTATATATGCTTGAACTTCTCTTAACTTCTAAATAGCGAGATTCTATAAACTCTTGAAATTCACTATACAATTGCTTTTCTTTATGGACTTCCCAATCTAAAATAGGATCAGGACGAGATTTAAGACAATTAAATTTTGGTGGAGCCTCTTGATGAACAATTTAAACTTCTTAATTTTGTTCTTATCGATTGGTCTCAGGTTAAATCAATGACTAAGTATAATACAATTTCATAATTACGTATATTCTGGTCTCATTTGGATTCTTCAATTTGGTAGTCTAATTTGTGATACCTTTTTATAACTATTGTTGTTGTTATTAGTTCTGTTTTTACTATTATACCTAAGCTACTTTTTGACTTTATTGAAGTTATTGCTAAGAATATGGTTGCTAGTCTAAATTTTTTGAATTTCTTTACGATTGCTTTATTTGTGACATCAGTTAATTTTTGTTTAATAACAAAGTAATAAAATCTATAAGACTTTAATTCTACTTTCAGAAATTGAACAGAAAATCAAAGGATCATATATTCATTGAATTACAGTAAAATATTATATAAGTAAGGAAAAATTAAAAAGATGTAATAAATATTGCTTTTACAATTTAGTGGAGGTGGATCATATGACTAAATAAATTAAATGAAGATTGGGAGATGGATTGAGTCAAGTGATGGGTTTTACAACTAATCATAAGTAACTTATCATGGTGCTTATGTTAATGATAAAAAATTTAGTAGATGGGATATATTCTTTAAAGGGGAATATGAAGAAGAATTTAAGAAGATGTAAAATTTAATTATAAATATTATTCAAAAATATTTTAGTGTTTGTGGCTAATATGCTGAAGAAGGTAATGAGATTAGGGTTGGAAGATGGACTGAGTTGAGCAATGGATTTAAGGATGATTCATAAGTGACTTAAAAAAGGCGAATATTTAAATTGTAAAAAAGTTGGTAAATTTGATTCTTATTTGAAAATTTATGAGGATTCCAAATATGAATGAATGTAAAATCACATTTTAATATTGTGTAGTGGTGATGGTTTATATGATGAAGAAGGTAATAAGCTCAAAATTGGATAATGGATTGAGTTAAGTGATGAGTTTGAGTTCAGATAAACTTTATTAAACTTGAAGGGCATTTGAATTTATTGACATATTTAAATANCAAATAATATATTTCTTAATCAGAAATATTATTATAAGATTTGTAGCTTAAAGTGAATATCAATTCAAGCACATTTAAAATGTAAATAAATATTTGAAGTCCTATTTTAGCATAATATTTATATATGCTTGAACTTCTCTTAACTTCTAAATAGCGAGATTCTATAAACTCTTGAAATTCACTATACAATTGCTTTTCTTTATGGACTTCCCAATCTAAAATAGGATCAGGACGAGATTTAAGACAATTAAATTTTGGTGGAGCCTCTTGATGAACAATTTAAACTTCTTAATTTTGTTCTTATCGATTGGTCTCAGGTTAAATCAATGACTAAGTATAATACAATTTCATAATTACGTATATTCTGGTCTCATTTGGATTCTTCAATTTGGTAGTCTAATTTGTGATACCTTTTTATAACTATTGTTGTTGTTATTAGTTCTGTTTTTACTATTATACCTAAGCTACTTTTTGACTTTATTGAAGTTATTGCTAAGAATATGGTTGCTAGTCTAAATTTTTTGAATTTCTTTACGATTGCTTTATTTGTGACATCAGTTAATTTTTGTTTAATAACAAAGTAATAAAATCTATAAGACTTTAATTCTACTTTCAGAAATTGAACAGAAAATCAAAGGATCATATATTCATTGAATTACAGTAAAATATTATATAAGTAAGGAAAAATTAAAAAGATGTAATAAATATTGCTTTTACAATTTAGTGGAGGTGGATCATATGACTAAATAAATTAAATGAAGATTGGGAGATGGATTGAGTCAAGTGATGGGTTTTACAACTAATCATAAGTAACTTATCATGGTGCTTATGTTAATGATAAAAAATTTAGTAGATGGGATATATTCTTTAAAGGGGAATATGAAGAAGAATTTAAGAAGATGTAAAATTTAATTATAAATATTATTCAAAAATATTTTAGTGTTTGTGGCTAATATGCTGAAGAAGGTAATGAGATTAGGGTTGGAAGATGGACTGAGTTGAGCAATGGATTTAAGGATGATTCATAAGTGACTTAAAAAAGGCGAATATTTAAATTGTAAAAAAGTTGGTAAATTTGATTCTTATTTGAAAATTTATGAGGATTCCAAATATGAATGAATGTAAAATCACATTTTAATATTGTGTAGTGGTGATGGTTTATATGATGAAGAAGGTAATAAGCTCAAAATTGGATAATGGATTGAGTTAAGTGATGAGTTTGAGTTCAGATAAACTTTATTAAACTTGAAGGGCATTTGAATTTATTGACATATTTAAATATCACGAAAATATTATTTTACTATTTAATCAAGAACCCAGATATCATTATTCACAATTATATTTAACATAATGTAATTAGAATAAATCTATATATAATTTATAGGTTATTTTTTACTTTGATTGTGAAGATATCGATTAAATAGATATTTGATCTTTTAAATTATTATCTTGAAATTTATTTTATTTATTATGCATCCATTTATAGAAATATTAAGCATAATGTTTTAATTTTATAATTTATTAATATTATTACTTTTTCAATTACTTTAATTCTATTTATCTTAATCTAACTTATAATTAATTATAAATATTGCATATAGTTTTTAAAATTATTCCCTATTCATATAACAATAACATAAAGCATTTACAATAGAAGTACAAAATTAATCAGAAACTTGACACAATTTATTTTTTATTTAAAATTTATTAATAATTCAATCTTGATAATAACAGAAATAGATATATTTCATTATTGTCTTTAATATAAATCTAAAACTAGATTTATCATTATAATCTATTCTTCCAACTAATCTACTATATTTTAAATAGGAAAAATAATAAAATAAACTTTCTTCATCAAATAATTTACATTTGTTATACAGAATTTTCCAGAAATCTATTTAATATTAATTTACTTTTAAATCCAAAAGAGAAAAGAATATTAAAAAATTGAAATAATATTAATCAGTCGATTTCTATAATTTTTTATAGAATAGTTATTGTACATTTAAATTATATTGAGGAAACCTTAATTTATGATAGTATTTTTATCATATCCTAAATGCCACTTAATTTTAGAAATTTTTAATTCACTCTCCTAAAACATAGATAAAATTAGAATCTAAATTTCTGTATTTTAGTGTATTATAAGGAGAGAATATAAACTTAGAATTAGTTAATAAAAATAATATATTTAAGAATAGGAATTCGAATATTTATCATAATATAAATGATTCTTCTAAATTATATTCCTTATTTTAGGTAATTAGTTGAAAAATTCTATTGATTCTCATGCTCTTAGTCATGTTGAAGTTTCCAAAAAACAACAAAGAAGATGGTAATACAAAATATCATGATCAGTAATCTAAATTGGCATTTTTTAAATAAATCAATTCTAGTAATGTCTTTCTCTATACTCTCTAACTTTCATATAGCTTTTTGATTTTCAATTAGGTCGTTTTAATTTAAATATTTAATTTACATACAATCTTTTTAAGTAGATCTGATGCAGTATTTAAAATAATTTGAAATTATTTTCATAATAGCAAAATGTAATGATTAGTACTAAGAAATTAGTAAATAGAGATATTTAGTATTTTAGGTTAATTTTTGAAACAGAGATTAATAAAAAGAAATCCTTTTTCAATATATTTAATTATAATAACAGATGACACAATTGAAATTTGAAAATTTAATAGCCCAAAATTTTATAATAAAAACAGAGGATTTATGAATTACAAATAAAAATAGTAATTAATTTATATAGAAATAGTGACTGATAATAATATAAAATAATTATGGTAGAAATCAAAAGATAAGCTATTAATATTTAAATTATTTAATTACAAATATCATTTTTGTCTTAAAGATCGATTATATTTATGATGAATAAAATAAACAATTTCTTATGTTTCATAAAATNGATTAAATAGATATTTGATCTTTTAAATTATTATCTTGAAATTTATTTTATTTATTATGCATCCATTTATAGAAATATTAAGCATAATGTTTTAATTTTATAATTTATTAATATTATTACTTTTTCAATTACTTTAATTCTATTTATCTTAATCTAACTTATAATTAATTATAAATATTGCATATAGTTTTTAAAATTATTCCCTATTCATATAACAATAACATAAAGCATTTACAATAGAAGTACAAAATTAATCAGAAACTTGACACAATTTATTTTTTATTTAAAATTTATTAATAATTCAATCTTGATAATAACAGAAATAGATATATTTCATTATTGTCTTTAATATAAATCTAAAACTAGATTTATCATTATAATCTATTCTTCCAACTAATCTACTATATTTTAAATAGGAAAAATAATAAAATAAACTTTCTTCATCAAATAATTTACATTTGTTATACAGAATTTTCCAGAAATCTATTTAATATTAATTTACTTTTAAATCCAAAAGAGAAAAGAATATTAAAAAATTGAAATAATATTAATCAGTCGATTTCTATAATTTTTTATAGAATAGTTATTGTACATTTAAATTATATTGAGGAAACCTTAATTTATGATAGTATTTTTATCATATCCTAAATGCCACTTAATTTTAGAAATTTTTAATTCACTCTCCTAAAACATAGATAAAATTAGAATCTAAATTTCTGTATTTTAGTGTATTATAAGGAGAGAATATAAACTTAGAATTAGTTAATAAAAATAATATATTTAAGAATAGGAATTCGAATATTTATCATAATATAAATGATTCTTCTAAATTATATTCCTTATTTTAGGTAATTAGTTGAAAAATTCTATTGATTCTCATGCTCTTAGTCATGTTGAAGTTTCCAAAAAACAACAAAGAAGATGGTAATACAAAATATCATGATCAGTAATCTAAATTGGCATTTTTTAAATAAATCAATTCTAGTAATGTCTTTCTCTATACTCTCTAACTTTCATATAGCTTTTTGATTTTCAATTAGGTCGTTTTAATTTAAATATTTAATTTACATACAATCTTTTTAAGTAGATCTGATGCAGTATTTAAAATAATTTGAAATTATTTTCATAATAGCAAAATGTAATGATTAGTACTAAGAAATTAGTAAATAGAGATATTTAGTATTTTAGGTTAATTTTTGAAACAGAGATTAATAAAAAGAAATCCTTTTTCAATATATTTAATTATAATAACAGATGACACAATTGAAATTTGAAAATTTAATAGCCCAAAATTTTATAATAAAAACAGAGGATTTATGAATTACAAATAAAAATAGTAATTAATTTATATAGAAATAGTGACTGATAATAATATAAAATAATTATGGTAGAAATCAAAAGATAAGCTATTAATATTTAAATTATTTAATTACAAATATCATTTTTGTCTTAAAGATCGATTATATTTATGATGAATAAAATAAACAATTTCTTATGTTTCATAAAATTAGTATGAAATAGTTTGATTAGAACCAAATATTCTAGATTTAATATAAATAAATCCAAATTAAATGTATCAGATTTGATTATCAAAAATTAATGAATAAAATTCAAGTAATAGGATTGAATATTAAATCATATAAGCTAAAAATTATATGATTTTCTGGTTTTTTCAAATTAATTAAAAAAATTATTATAAACAAAAAGAATAAGTTTTTGATTCTTTATGATAACCTTATTATATATTAATACATTAAATTAATTTTGGAATCAAAAAGAATCCAAAATATTCAAATAACAATAATTTTAATAAAAAATAATAATAAAATCATTATATTTTCAATTATAATAATTTTTCTTTCTTACTTCAATTATTGATCCAATATAATAATACATAAATTCCATACCATCTAACCAATAACGAGGAGGAGGATATTTTTAATTTAATTCATATCTCTATTACAAAATCTTTAATTTTTTTGATTCTATCAGGTTCAAATTCTTATATTCTTTACATAAATATATCTATATTTCTCACCAATTACCTCTACTATACCCATGAAAATAATTATGTTTGCTCAATTTATCAATTATATTCATCAATAAAATAAAATATTAACATTTAAGAAGGTGATGCAATTACTTTTATTTCAATTAAATGTTTCTTATTAAAAATACTTTTCCAATATTATCTTAATTTTTATTATCTTACTCTATTAGATTTATGTATTTAAGTATTTTTTAATTATCTTCTTATAAATTTATTAAACAAAACCTGATTTCATTCTTACTTATCAATTTCTGTATAACTTAATAATGGTCGCTATAAATAACTTGTTATATCTAAAAATTACCAAATCTATAATACTACTTCTGGTCTTACAGTCATAAAATAATTCTAACGATTATTATTCATTTTTATAAAACATCTAAAATTATATAAAATAATAGAAATTAAAATAATTATTTTTAATAGATGTGATTTTTAAAGAAAGAATTTGAGTAATTATTATAATTAACTTTTTAAAATTGGAGTAGGATATAATTATTCTTTATATAAGGAAAGAGAATTTACAAAACTTAAAAGAGGTCTATAAAGTAGAGTTGAATCAAATTTGACATAATTGTAGTATTTGAAAATAAGACTTCGATATTTAAGACACAAATCAGACTATTTCTCTTTTGAAAAATTTATTATGGAGAAGTTATATAATAATTGAATATAAACTAAATAGAGTTTATATAATTTATTTAAGATAGATGGCATTTGTAGAATTATAGTAAAAAAAATAATGGTTTTAAAATTATAAGTTTGAATTTTCATATCTAAATAATTAAATTTATGGATTGTTAATATCTACGTTATGAATTTGATAAGAATTTATTTATAATTTATGTTCTATGATAATTGAATAGAGAGGAAATTCTAATATAGGATATGATTGTACTTTTGACTGCAATTATCACTTAATTATATAATTTGAGATTGATTTAGATTTAATTAGTATTATAACATTGTAAATGTATCCATATAAAATCTACATATGTTATATAAATAAATGATTTTGAAAGTATAATAAGTCTAATTTTTATAATTATTATTATTAATGATATCTATCATATTTTTATCTGCTTTAGAAAAAAATAAATTGATGCATTACACGAAAAGAGATAATCATGAGTCTAATTGTATCAGAAATATAATACTATTATTATTGAGTTTAGAAATAATTATATTCTATTATATAACATGTTTATCTTCTTTATACATTAATACAATTTATCATAAGGGTTTACCTATCAAATAAATATAATAACTATATCTAAAGCTAACTAATTTTAAATATTTTTATTTTTATAAGTTAAAGCATTGAAAATACTCGAGAATCTAATACCATCAATTCATAAAGAATTCCTTAGATATAAAGAATTGAAAGTAAATATTCTAAATATATTGAAATCTATATTAATAATCATGCTTTACAGATCTTACAATCTGTTAATCTTTCTTTTAAAGCTTATTTTTACATTTAGTTTAAAATTTGGATAATTTGATAGTATATTGCAATTTATTTTATGACACTTACCTCCACTTTATGTTTTATAAACTATTTCTTCTTGTTATTTCTATTCATTTTGCAATTTCTATAAATTTTGCTCTCAAGATGAATAAGAATATTAATTAAGTTGTGATGATGGTATTGCAAACTACAATATATTTGAGATTATTTATTCTAAACTTTTTTGATAATTCAGAGTCTCCATAATTTTTTTCTCTGTTTTTCCGTAATTAAATTAGCCATCGATTAGGCTTCATTCCACTCAAAAATAAGATAGTTGAATTAGGATTCCAATTTTATGCAGATTTTAAAATTTTTTCTGTTCTATATTCAGTTAATCTTCAATATAAATTACTTTTTATTCTAAATTTGTGAGTTTATAAATGTATGAATTTTTATAGAAAAGGAATCATCTTATATGATCTTTTAATTCTAAGAATAATACTCCCATATAAGAAATATATTCATTCTTTAATATTTTTAAGTAAAATTACAAGTATTAAGCAAATTTTAAAGAATTTTGTTCATAAATTTTTATGGTTTCAAAATTATTATATAAATATTTCTATCTTTATTTTAATTATCTATTTTATAAGAATATATAAAATATTTCTTTTCTTAATTGAACTATTCTGGAAAATCTGAAAGAATTTTTTAAGTGAATTAATTCAATTTTATCTTAATTATAACATATAAGAGAATATATGAGAAAGTAATAATCAGAAATTAATACTAGAAAATTAAATTTAATCAATTGAATCAATTTATTTTTACTTTCAGAGTTGATAAAAATAAATCAATATATTTTAACAACTAAATATTTAATATTCTGAAATATAAAAATTAGTACATTAAGGAACAAAATCTGAAATATTATCAATTAAAGAATTTATAAAACTAAATTAAAAATTTTGTTTATTTTTAAATGTTGAAATTTCTTAAGATATTTATTTTATTTAATTCAAGTATTTAATTTGATTTAATCTAAAATATATTTTCTTTAATTTGATATCCTAAAAAAAAAACTATATTCATAAAGAAAGTTTAGTTTTAAAAATATTAATTAAAATTAAAAAGGTTTTATACTTTTATACTATNTTTTATGACACTTACCTCCACTTTATGTTTTATAAACTATTTCTTCTTGTTATTTCTATTCATTTTGCAATTTCTATAAATTTTGCTCTCAAGATGAATAAGAATATTAATTAAGTTGTGATGATGGTATTGCAAACTACAATATATTTGAGATTATTTATTCTAAACTTTTTTGATAATTCAGAGTCTCCATAATTTTTTTCTCTGTTTTTCCGTAATTAAATTAGCCATCGATTAGGCTTCATTCCACTCAAAAATAAGATAGTTGAATTAGGATTCCAATTTTATGCAGATTTTAAAATTTTTTCTGTTCTATATTCAGTTAATCTTCAATATAAATTACTTTTTATTCTAAATTTGTGAGTTTATAAATGTATGAATTTTTATAGAAAAGGAATCATCTTATATGATCTTTTAATTCTAAGAATAATACTCCCATATAAGAAATATATTCATTCTTTAATATTTTTAAGTAAAATTACAAGTATTAAGCAAATTTTAAAGAATTTTGTTCATAAATTTTTATGGTTTCAAAATTATTATATAAATATTTCTATCTTTATTTTAATTATCTATTTTATAAGAATATATAAAATATTTCTTTTCTTAATTGAACTATTCTGGAAAATCTGAAAGAATTTTTTAAGTGAATTAATTCAATTTTATCTTAATTATAACATATAAGAGAATATATGAGAAAGTAATAATCAGAAATTAATACTAGAAAATTAAATTTAATCAATTGAATCAATTTATTTTTACTTTCAGAGTTGATAAAAATAAATCAATATATTTTAACAACTAAATATTTAATATTCTGAAATATAAAAATTAGTACATTAAGGAACAAAATCTGAAATATTATCAATTAAAGAATTTATAAAACTAAATTAAAAATTTTGTTTATTTTTAAATGTTGAAATTTCTTAAGATATTTATTTTATTTAATTCAAGTATTTAATTTGATTTAATCTAAAATATATTTTCTTTAATTTGATATCCTAAAAAAAAAACTATATTCATAAAGAAAGTTTAGTTTTAAAAATATTAATTAAAATTAAAAAGGTTTTATACTTTTATACTATAGTTGCTATATATTTATCTATATTTAAGAGATGAATAAAGGGAAAAATGCTGTATTAAATTCAAAAGATGTAGTTATTGATGCAACTGATGTATAATATATGATGATTACATAATAGGGTTATACTTTTACTATTTCATTCTATAAATATATATATATTGTAATCTATTTTAATCTAAATTAATGAGTTTATAAGAATATTTAATAACAAAAAATACTCTTATATTTTTTATAAAGATTAGATATAACATTACCTTGAGTATATAATTCTAAAAGAATTTGAAACCTTCCTACATTATCTAATTATTTGAATAAGATGCATAGAAGAAAAAATAATTTTCCATATTCTTAAATTCAAAAGAAATTTTATTGTTATAATAGAGGCTAACAAATAAGTACAACAGAATTGAAAAAACCGAAGAAAAGATTAGAAGGGCAGGATAATATTTTATTTGAGAAAGAAAAGATGGATTTTAAATAATTAATTTTATTGAATTCTAATATAAGAAAATGAATTAAATATAAAATCATCAAATTTATAATATAGTATAATTTTGTAAAAAAACAAAAGGAATGATTATTTTAAGAAAATAGACCTTTGCAAATGGAAGTTAAAATTTTGATTTTACTATATTTGATTTATGATGATACATCTTAAAGATCCATCAATTGTTTAAAATCTATGAAGCGTTTTAATTTATGGAAGTATAGGTATAAGATATAAGAACTATTTATTAAATCATTGAAAAAAAAAGTCAAATCAATAACTATCTCTATATGATATAGGGATTTGGATTAAGATATAATAGTAGAATAAGTAAAAGCTTATACATGATATTAATTTTACATTAAATAAAAACATATTTTTTAGTTTTTTTTTGAGTTACATAATAAATATAGTTTTTTCAAAATTTAGTAATATTTAATGAAAATCATTGCTCAACATATTGATTGCTTAATATTCAATTTTGCTTATTCTCTTCATCTTTAATCAAATCCTTCAAAATGGTTTTCATTATTTTCTCATTATATTAATATTGTGTAGATTTTAAAAATGATGCTTCCCAACAAGTTTACATAAATTAGCAAACATGATAACCACATGAATAACCATCTTTTTGTTAACCAGAGATGCTACTTATAGAGATTTATGGATTTTTAAGCATTAATAACTCTGATAAGTATTTTATTAAGGATTTATCATCATGAAAACTTAGTAAAGAATTAAAAATCTCTACTTTATTTTCTTTTAAATCAAATAATAAAAAATACCAATGTTTATTTTAATTAATAGGGAAACCAATTTAAGAATAAATAGTTTAAATTTCAAATTTTATTTCCTGTAATTCAAGAAAGTGTTTTGTAAATAATTCTAAATTTTAATGGCTATGGTAAGATTTACCAAAATTTGTGATTAAGCTACTAGTAACAAAATATATTCTATTTATTTTTTGTCTTTAATCTAAACTTAATTTAAAATATTCTTCTTAACTTATTTTATTAAGATGTAAAACATAGCAATCAATTATGCTACTATTTAACCACATAGTAGTATTTAATATCATTAAATCATTTATTCCAAATTATTAATTATATTTACACCATATAGTTTTCTTATCATTTTTCTTATTTACATGTATTGGTTATCCATCAACTATCTCTAATATTTTAATTCTTTTTGGCTCAACACTATATGATTTATATGTGGATTTATTTTCAGAATATGGTATCCTCTAAACATATACTCCCTTTCTATATTCCCCTTAATTTTTAATCTGATTAGATTTTCCTTAATATTCAATTCCTTATCCATCCAATTAAAATTTGTTTTTATTTAAATCAACTAGGAACTCTCCCTCTAAAATTTAATATTTAGGATTGTTATTATCATCAAAAATTGTTTGATACAATTTTCCTTTGATTTTATATAAACAAACTCGTTATTATAATGGAATTTCAATATTTTATTGATCTTTATCATAATAAAATAGGATATTAGTAAATATTAGTAATTTCTCATATTCAGAATTATTGGAAATATTAATAATATCATATCCATGTTAATAAAAAATATCAATTAATGTATTTATTTTTGGTTGTTCTTGAATTTGAAAGTCACCCTTTAATTATCTCTATTTATTTATATATTTATATTTATTATTATCTAAATCTGGTTATTCAGAATTTCGAGACTATGACTTATTTATTTTAAAGCAATTCATTAATGGGGTTTTTGGTTTTGGATTATTGTTTCTTCTTTCTTATTCTATTTCTTTTTATAATTTAATTTTATGTTCATTAGTAATGTTGTTTTGATATATCTCTCCGCTTCTATTAATTTCCTGAATATTGATCTTTTTTTATTAATATTCAACTTTCCTTTTTTTTAATTGATATAATTAATAACTATCTGTTTAAAATTTATTTTTCTCTCTTGTTTATTCAATAATTTTAAACTTACAACTCATATTTTGTTTAGAAGGCTTTAATTTTAATTAAATATATATTATATAAATTAAATAAATTAGAATCTTCAACATATAAATTTTAATTCATTGGTTTATTATTCAACCATTCATTTTGATAGATAAATTATAATTATTTTAATAAAGACGTGAATATAATTGAATTCCACATTTGATATATAATATTAATTCTACATATATTTTTAAGAATCATATTTAAATTAATATAATATACAATAAATTCTGATAATTTTATTCAGAATTAATTCATAAATTTAAGTATTTATACTCCTTTTGAATTCTGAAAAAAATATAAATTATATTAGATAATGCAAACATAACAAGAATTACCACTCTATATTCAATAGACTCCTTAAGCATCAAGTTAGATATCAAATGTTTAATACCCAATATTGAGTAATGTAGTACCAGCTGCTTAATATATTTAATTGAATGATGTTTAATAAGCTGTTGCTGAGAAGTGTGTTTTGAATGATGTAAATTCAGATAGATAAGCATTTCTAATTGAATATTACAAAAAGATATTAATACAACATTCAATTATTTTTGGATTGTTCTTACTTGGATTAACTAAATGGTTTAGTTCAATTGTAGTTCATCATCATTATTGGTGGAGTTAATTTAGATGGACTTGGTATGTTGTTTTAAGTTTGTTGATTGCCATAGTATTAGGACTCCCAATATTGAGAAAATATAGATGGATTGTATTCTATATTGTCTAAAAAATTATTAGGTTTCTTAGTAGTCTAAATTATACCATATCCAAACAATATTAATAGCTTTTCTTTTGATTGGAATTGCTGGAAATCAAAGAGGAAACAGTTCACATAAATCTTTTAATATTTGGATTATCATAGTGTTAGTAATTTTAATTAGTCATGATTTACTTTAAATTGTTATTGTGAGATTCTAAAAAACTCATTATTATACTGTATTAATGAAATTTACAATAATGGGATCATTGGCTCTAAATTTTATAGTAGGTTTATCAAATAAACACCTTGATAGAGCATTTCCAATATCAGAGATCATCATTATATATGCTCTTTATTATTTTAATTAATTAAATGTTTAATTATTGAAATAGAGTCATGAATTACCAGAGGAATTATCAATATTTGAAAGAATTCAAAAACTTAAATTGATTAGAAACTTATTTAATTAAGAAGCTAGATAGAATCAAATAATTGAATAATTATAAGACACTCATTGTGTGATAAGCAAACATTTAGTTATAGTAATAGGATCATGTTTTGGATATATTGTAATATTTGTTTTAAGTATTGTTACTGGAAATGGATTTTTGATATTTACTTTGATTTTGGGATCAATTTCTATGTTAAGTGTGATATTAGAAACTTAAGTTGCTTCAAGAGTATAAATTAATTAAATATTTATATTAGAGTTTAAAATAAGAAGACTCCCATTATGCAGTATGTTTGACTTATCTTGACATGGCTAGTCCATTAAGATTATTATTGAGAAGTTTATTTAATAAATGAAAATGATATATTTATATCTATAACTTATTAATTATTGTGAATGACATAAATTTAAAAATATAAGAAAGTATTAATTGAATCCTTTATTTCTATATTGATGATATGAATATTGTATTTATTAAATTGAATGAAAATAAAATAGTATATTTAATCAAAATATAAATTTCATGTTCTCTCTTAATTAAATTAGAACTCCGAAGTTTTTAAATTGTTTGAGAAACTATAGAGTGAAGAATTAAATTTTAGTGATTTAACTTATGATATTTACTGTGATTATTGCTTTTTTGACTATAGCCTTGGTTATTAATAGAGTAATAATTGAATCTGTAATAGAGAAGGTTTCACTATAATTATTGTAAAACATTAATTAAAAGGCTCTATATAAATAATCAACTTATTTGGAATACTAAACATTCTTAACTTTTAATTTTGGGTTCAGTCTGCTTAATAAAATAAATTCTCAAAATTTGTATTTGCTTAAGTAATAAAATATTATGTTGGATAATATACCTTTCAGTTGTATTGATTATAATGTTAGATAAAAATAGCCATTATAATATTATCTACCTGAATTTTGTTATTATTATGCTAATCATATAGATTTTGCATTAATTCCAAAAACAGAAATTGATTAACATTTGATAATTTTGATTTAAATGTTAAACTAATAATTATTGTTAATTAGTTATAGTGAATTGGAACCTACAATCTATTTGACATAATAAGGAGATGGATAATTTTTTGCCATAATTCCTTAAAAAATGAGATATCCAAAATATAGACCTAAAGAAAGATAATGGTATAAGGATCATATTGCTGTTTTAAATACTACTAATCAACCAGAAGTAGTATCTGAAATATATAGAAATTATGAGACTTAAGAATTTGAATTTACTCTCACAGTTTCATTAACAAATACATAATTAGAATTTGATGGTGTTATAGCTTTAGATAGTAATTTTTAAGTAATAAAACCAAAGATCAATTATGATTAATTAAATATTTATCTGGTTGATTTAGCTGGAAGGATATTGATTTCAAATGTTTATCCTTAAGTTAATTTTGTTTAGGAAATGAAATTCTTTAATGACACTTCTATTACAGGATTTGACAATAAAGATTGGATTTAAGTTCTCAATTAGATTCTCTATCAAAATGGAGAATCTAATTGTCAATTTGTATATAAAAGTTTTTGTAGATATAATAAATTATTTGGATAAGATTTATTCATTAGAGGATTTGGTATTCACAATAGATTCTATCAAATAGTGTAATAATATTCAATTATATATTTAAGATTTGTGGATTATAAATTCATGGAAGAAAATGATAATGACACATAAGAATTAAAGTCTGAATTATTAAGTTAAGCAACACATTAATTAATTTATTATGTTATTTATAATATATCAGGTATTTTGCTTTGTTGGATAATAATGCATTTCTCTTTGAAACCTTATTATGAATTAACTAGGTTATTTTAATAGACAACTCAAACTAAATTTAATTAGAAATATGAAATTGCATTAAAAAAAGTTAAAATATTTAAGTAGAATAATCTTATTTAGACTGGATTGGATAATTTATGCAATAAGTTATCAGAAATAAGATCAAGAAAATCAAGGGAATGTCATTATATGGAAAATTACAAATATCCAAAGAATTTAGCAAAACATGCTTATAAATTTAGATTGTATATCAAATAATTTCCAAAAGTATTTAATATTCTTTATTTAGAAATCACAAATTCAATAATTATAAAGAACAATTAAATTAATTTATGATGAGATCTTATCAATTCTGGCAGTAAACTATAATGAATTCTACTATAAGTTGATATGATTAGATATTGTAGCTAATATTTTTTCAATTGAACTTACTTTTTACTTAATATTTGAATATTAAAAACAATTATAAACAATTCAAAAATATTGAGAAACAATAAATTATCTTATGGATTTATTGAACCTTGTTTAATTGGCTATTGATATATCCTTAACGAGGGATAATTATTGTGAAGAAATTAAAAAGTTGAGAATAAATCTAGAAGTCTTCTGTCATACATTAAAATAATTAGATGATTCTAATTGTCCTAATTAATTCTTGAAAGAAGCTGAATAAGAAATCTAAAAGACATATGAATGGTTAAAAAATCTACCTTAAGAAGTAAGCATGTAATTTATCATATTGTTAATATATTATTTAGATTAGATAGTGTTAAGTTTCAAATTCCTTACAATAATAAAGTTGAATAAATCAAAGAGAAATGTAATTCAATATAGCAATTAATTACCTTATCAACTGCTTTAAATGTTATTAAAAAATCCACTTCATAAATTCCATCTATTCCAAAACCACCTTAAACAATTCAACCAACAATTACTTAAGTTGATGATATTTAAATAAATGAGAAACCAGAAAAATATATTGTTATGTCTGTAATTTCAGATGAACACACTAAAACTATATTTAGAAAACATGGAGTAAATTTATAAAATAAACATGCTATCAATTTCAAAGAAAATGAATCTGAAATTGTTATATGTAAGATATCAAGATAAGATTATTCTTTGCTTAAAGAAGATATTTAATAAATTAATACAATTTCATAAGATCATGCATAAATATTATGTAGAAAAATAGATAAAAAATAAAGATATCCAGAAATTAAAATAGATGAAAATAATGAATAATAAGAGTATTAATATTTTAATTAATTTAGTGTATTTTATTCTTTGGATGATAATGTTAAGGAATTATCTAAAAATATTAATGATGAACTGAAGTATGAATTCTATCTAAAAATTACTGGACGTTTGGGAGTCTTTTTATATAGAAAAAAAGAAAATATAACAGATTTTGGAAAATAAATTATACCAGACACTTGGGCCAATCGAATATAAAATACAACAATTAAATTAGAAGAAAATGATAAATTTGCTATTCTAATGAAAAAACCAGATTATAAAGTACCTTTAATTGCTTATTCAATTACATATAATGTATGAATATGATTTCTTGTCAAAATGAATATTTTTATTAATTTTTGATCTTGTAAATTTATGTTGCTTTATTTAATTAAAATTGGATTTATAAATACACCTTAATTAGTATTATAATCATATCAAACTATCATTTATATGATTTTATTTCAAGAATGTTATATTGTATTCAAATTTAATATATATCAAATTATTTTTATTTGAAGTCTTAATTGAAATAGTTTAAACTATCATTTTGATCTTGGTTTTATTCAATAATATTATTTGATTCAAAGTTTAAAGTAATATTCTCCTTCATATTCTTCCCCAGATATAGAAACTTATAGAATTGATTTTTAATAATATAAAATATATCAATAGGGATATCTATTTATTTTAATTAACTCTAAAACAATTCAAACATAATAAACATTTTGATTAAATATTTGACTTATTTTTTTAGGAATATTATTCTAAATACTTATACCAATTACTATAATGATTTTTTTTTAATACTTAAAAATAAAGTAACAATTAAAACAACATATATATATATAATTGATTTATTCTTTTGCTATATAATAGAATAGAATATTAAATAAAGTTAATCAAATGATCTTTGAATTTCTTTAATTTATAATAGGATTAGAATTAACAACCAAAAATATCTTCCTTAAATTTGATAGTATATAAATCAATGAATGTTTTTTAAATATGAAATTAGTGGATATGATTATATATACTAAAAATATTAATAAGGTTTTAATTAAAATTAACACGTTTCAAGAATGATTAGAAAAGAATTACAATTATTGATAGCTGTTGGAGGAATTTACTTCTGCTATTTCAAAGTTGGTCTTATATAGGAGGATTTGTAAATTATGTAATTATTTGCAAGATTCAAGAGTAATTTTGGTACTATGGATTTTCCATCTCCGAAATTTGAGTTTTCATCTGTGTTAATATTTTTGTAAATGCTTATATACAATTTATTGTGTATGACAATGATTTTCAGAAATAAAATCAAATTTGTATGCACAATTAAAGAAGGAGCATATTTAGGATTATTAAACTTTTCATCAATGATTGGTGCATTAACTGCATTATAGTATGTAAGTTTTCCACTTTAAGCTTTGGTGAAAAGTTGCAAGTATTTATTTATGATAATTATAATTGAATTTTGTCTGTGTTAGTAGTAGGATTGGTGTTAGGAAATCAAAAATTCACAAAGTAGCAAATACTTTGTGGTTTGATAATTACAGTGGGAATATATGCATTTAATGTAAGTGAGGGAAGTAAATCCAATAAAACCTCATCTATCTTTGGAATTGTTTTATTATTGACTTCTTTATTCTCTGATGGTTGTTTAGCCACATTGTAGAGCAAATTTAAAGTAAAGAAATTAGAATAATGGGAAATGGGATTCCATATTAGTCTATGGAGTTTTATTGGCTCTATTTTCTATACAATAATATAAGGTAAGTTCATACAATTCTTGAGTTACATTCAATAATATAGATAAGTTATTCCAGAAATAATGTTTTTAACAATATATTCAGTATTGGGATAAGTGTTCATCTTTTATTGTATAAGGTAAATGTGATATTATTATAATTTAAGTTGTTTCTCTCCAAGAGTTTTAAGTGTTGTAACAACAACAAGAAAGTTCTTTACTGTTCTCTTGTCTATAATTATTCATAATCATGAAGTTGATTAAGTATAATGGGTTGGTATAAGTTTAGTTGCTTTTGGTGTAGCATGGGAATTATTTATGGTAATAATGTATATTCAATTTATATTAGGGAATGAGTTCTAGAATACCAGCTGAAAAGAAGAAGGATTCATACATTAAAGTACCATATGAAGATGAAAAGAAAGAAGAAGAAACTATTGGAAATAATAATTAATAGGATCATAAACATAATCATCATAATCATCATAATCATCATTGATATATATATATATATAATTTTTTTATTGTGTATTTTTATCAATATTTTTGATTATTTTATAATTAATCAAGAAGTCTTTACATTTTAGGAGCCCATTATTTATTCAAATTACCTATATCTTTTAATTCAGTAATTGTATTTTATTATTATGTATTTATTATTGATATTTTCTTTGCTAGCTTTTCCTCATCTTCTTTAACTCTTCGAAAATGAAGAATTGAATCCTTTAAATGACATTAAATTTAATATAAACCAATTGAAGCTTCATTAATTATTGTTAACATCCATTACTTAAATGATTATATAACTAAATATAAATAAATGTATACATAAATCAAAACGAGACATTGCAGTGTCTCCTTGAGTTTAATTATTCATAATATATTAAATATAATATTATACAAAATACTCATTAATTCAATTTAACTAATATATCACAAGAAACACCATAATGATCAGATAATTAAGTAAATTTTAAACCTTCTACAAAGAATTTCTCAACATTCACTTATTTTATTTAGATTGTATTTGGATTACTTTGATTTTCAGGAATCAATTAAAATATATAATCTAAACATTGTCCAGTCAATAAATCAGCTTTATCTGTTAATTAAATCTCCAAAGGTTTCTTTTAACCATTCTCATCTTCTTCATAATCAGCATAAGTATTAAGAAATTTGCCTTCTTATTATAACAATAAATTGATAAATTTATCTTTACCATTATTTGTCATAATTGTCATCAGAGAATCATATTCTTGATATCTTTAAGGATTGCCTAATTGTTATTGTAAAATTGGAAACTATTTCAATACTTCATTAGGAAATCCTTATTCATACCTGCTATCTATATTGAAATCCCCTAATAATAATATTAAATCATTCTCTTATGCCTATTATTATTATAGAGTTGAATGTACAAATTTCTTAAAACAATATAATTAATCAATTCTAGTAGAGACTGTTGCTCTCTATCTAATAAGTTGTGATTTATTACCACATTTGAATCATTACCCACATAACTAGCCTACAAATGAGTGTTGAAAATATGTAATATTTATCCATTAACTTATATTTTTGTATACAATATTCCTTTATTAGATAGATTATCAGATAAAATGCCATATGGAAATTCTTTAAAATCATGATATAGAATTGGATATCTAAAATTGATAATTAAATTTATAACCTACTCAAAGTGACTAATCCACCATCTACCATTTGACTAGAAAAAAAACTAGGACTAGGACTAACTGCTTAATAAGTAAATCCTAATTTGAATGCTTTATGTTTTAGAATAGATTTTCTAGAATTTAAAAATCCAAATACTTCTTATAAACATACTATATCAAAACTAATTATATATATATATATATATAATATAATTACTTCATTAATTCTTTAATGATTAATTCACATCTTTCATTTTTATAATCATCTCCATTATTATTAACAAAGGGTGGTCTAAGAAATGTATTATAAGTTAATATTCTAATGATATCTTTTTCAGGAATTTGTTCAAAACTAAGTGGTATTTATTCTGAATTAGAAGACATTTATTAATTAATTAATTAATTATTACTAAAATACAAATAATTTTCAAAATTTTGTACAAAATAATGAACAACCTTATTTATCATGTTTTTTATTGATTTCTTTCTTAATTTAAGATGGTAGATTACTTTAATATATTTTTTATTCTCCAATTTAATCAATAATAATTAAATTATCAAATTTTAATGATAATTCAAACACTTTCTTTATTGGAAGTATGTTTTAATTATGTAATAATTACTTTATAGATTTATATACATCTGAATCTTAAGTTTCAGCTGCAATTCCAATATCATTGTGATTTGCTCCCTCTACTTTTATGAATGCAAATAAATTCTAACAACATTTAGATAATTATTCTGAATGATTAATTTTTATTATTGTATCCTTGGTTCCATGAAAGATCAAGATAGGAGCAGTGATTTTATTGATGATAGATTAATTTGAAAATTTATCATGTTCTGAATAAAAAGAATTTCTATTGTCTATAATTCTTCCCAATGATGCTAATGGAGCTTATAGAATGATTCCAGAAAGTTAGAATTATGTTGCAACATCAACAGTTGGATAAGAACCAATTGAAAATCCCCATAAGAATATGTAATTATATTAATTTTAAGCCAGAGCCACAACATTTGAGAGATCTCTCGAAATACCCAATCTATTAGATAATAAGATAATACTCTGATGGTTTCATAGTTTTTTTTGTAATTCCATATCCTGAATAATCATAACACATTACATCAACTTAATATAATTCACATATTTTAGCACCCCATTTAGATGCTAAGAATAAATCTATAGCATTGCTATGAGATAAAATAATTACTCTATCTGAATTACATGAATAATGAATTATAGGAACATATGATACAGTTACATTATTTTAAACTTCCTTTAAGATGGAAACTCTATATTGGAGATTGCATAATTTATTTAAATCATTCCAATTACCATTAATTTCCACACTGAATTGTAAACCATTAAAATCTTAGCTATTTTTAATATGATAATTAGGTTTGGGAGGTTAAAAAATGAGATTATGTTCAATGACTTAAGTCAAACCAAATTTATTGATTAATGACATTTTCCAAGATTCTCTAATTTGTTTATTATTGTTCTACATGTAAATTATAATAAATATATTATGTTTTATCACTTTTTTTAAGTAAAAATGTCCTTTATGACTTTAAACAATAAATCAATATTATTATTTTATTATGCTGACACTTCAATATATTGATAGGATCTTTGCTTAGCCCAATTATAACCTTCATTTTCTGACATACTTCTCTTCTCCTTCTTATTACCTACAACCAATATTGGAATATTGGCTGCTCCATAATCATTGGCTTCTCTAACCCACATATCTAGAGTCTCTAAAGTTTTACGAGTAGATAAATCAAAAACTAACATTATCATATTAGCATCCTTATAAAATTCATTTCTAACTTCTACAAATTCTTATTGTCCACTAAAATCCCAAAAGTTTAACTTTATATTTAAATATTAAATATACAGATATATTTGAAGATGGTTGTACATGTTTAAAATCAACTGCTATTGTTGAATTGTATTTCTCATTAAAATCACCATTGATGTATCTGTCTAAAATTGATGTCTTACCAACAAATGGATCCCCTAGTACAAGTATTTTATATTGCTCATAATTATCTTTATTTTTGTTTATCTTGATTGTACCTGGTCTAATGTGAAAATTCAATTTACTTCGTTATTGTACGCATAATTATAAATAATCTATTGTTATATATAAATTATTATCATATATATATAGAATTTACAAAAATCAACAAATACATAAAGTAAATTATTTATATAACTAAAGATGTTGTTGATGTACTCTATTTAATCATATAATATATATTTAATACAATTATCTAAATAGCTAGATAAGTTAATTAATTTTTAATTGTAAGATAAACTTATAGCATTATTTAGAACTTATAATCCTCTTAGTATGTAACACTAAATAAAAACATTATTTAATTTAAATTTAACAGATTATTTAAATATTATAAGAAAATTATATCATTGTTAATTTAATAAAAATTGTTTATTCTCTTGACATACTAATTAAAGTATTAATGAATAAATTTTGGTTAATATTATTATTATGCTATTCTAATCATATTTAATTTAAAGTATAAATTTAATAATTTTTAATTATGTTATTTTATGATATAATGGTTTCAATTAAATTAATGTAACTAATACTGTTAATTAATTATAAAAAATTAAACTACTATAATTTAAATGAAATCAAATATAATGTACTTAATAGATTTAATTCTTAACTCAATTAAACAAGTGATCTAAGAATTTATATAATAAATTTAATATATAAATAAGTCAATAAATATATCACTATTCAAAAATTAATATATTATATAATTCATCTTTTAATATATTTTAGATTTGCTAAAGTCAATATTAATCTATAATAAATATATTGTTGTATAGGTGATTTCATTTTTTGATGATTACTTATAAAAGTTACATTTATTTATTCGATCTTTGATATCCTACAATCAAGCATTATGAATGTTTATATAAATCTATTTTATTTTGTCTATATAATTCAAAAATGTTAATGAATCTAAATTATCTAATATTATTTATTAAAATTTGTTTATAGCATTAGTATTACATAAGTAATATAGAAAATGAGAGTAAAATACATTTCAATTACAATCCCTCTTATATGTATAATCGAATCATAATAATAAAATATTTCAGTGTTTTTGTTAAAAAATGCTTTATATAATATTAATATAAATTTTACATACAATTAATACCTAATAAAGACAATTAAAGTAAAATTTATATAAGGAATTAAATATAAAAAAAATGAAGAAAATATTATCAATTAATTGTTATGTATGAATCTCTCCATGATTATAATAAAAAAGGAATCGTTTTAAGATTAATAATATTATAACTGATAAGTAATTCAAAAAATAATATTTATTTTTTCTTTTTAATGATTTCAGTTGTAACATTCTGATTCAGTTTTATCATTCAATTTATCGAAAGTTTTGAAGAGTTTCTATACAATTTAGTACTTGGCAGTAAAATGCTTTTAGTATTTACGTAATCAAAAATTCCTCAATAATTATTAAGATTTATCAAAATCGTTTTTTTAGCATTTTTAAATCATTTTGGTTCGACGAATATTGATTTATTAAAATAAACCTAATCTCCACTCTCAACCTCTTCAAATTAATGTAATCTACCGATATTCTTGCAGTCTAATCAAGTACTTGTTAATTATAACCTAGACTTTCTATAAACTCATTGTATGTTTGCTTAACAATAAGTAACTGAATATACTTTTGAAGATGTTCAAGAGGAAATTCAAATAAGTAAGTTATTGTAAATATGATTTAGTTGAGAGTGTTGAAACCTTCAATTTTGAGGAAGATGATGTACATAATGATTATTACAATCCGATTTAAAAATTGCCGCTGAGGAAACCTAGAAAGAGAAGAAGAAGATAAGTAATTCATGATAAGAGAAGAAGAAAAGCAACTACAAAGAGAATTGTAATAAATTTTGTTTAATCTTTCTTTTAGAATAGAAAGCATCAGCCAATTCCATTCAATTATTTAGAAGATAGATAAATCCTTCTATAAGTACTAGAGTTGGGTCCAAAGTTTTATAAAATTGCCAAAAATTTTCCAGGAAGGACATTGAGTATGGTGAAGAATAGATATTATAAGACTTTGCGCTTCTAGTGGGATGTTATTTTGGGACAGTAAGAAATTATTTAAGATTTCTAGAGCTTATGGACATCTGAATGCATAGACTGGGGAAATTGATAATTAATAAAGTGTAGATTATATGGAGGAACTTAATGATGAAAATATCTATTCATAATTTTTATTTTGAATATAACTATAATTCTTTAGTCATTTGATAATATTCTCAATTAGGACTGGTTTTAATAAACTATTAAAAAAATGAATAAAAAAAATATAAAAACACTAAAATTTCAAAAGACCTCAGATATTAGTTCATTTTATTTTTGACCACCAACATATTCATATTTTTTAAATATCATAGAGAAAAATGCTTCTCCTTAAGAAATTGAACGAATGGCAGTAGAATAACCAATAGTTTCTTATGATGGTATGGTGGCAGTAATAATGACTCGATTACTATTTTTTGAGCCTGCTCTATTTTAATCTTATTTAATTTCTATGATTTTGCCTCTTCTATGTGAAATCAAATCATTAATAATTTTCTACTATAAAGAATTAGGACAAGAGATCTCTAAATCCATAATAGGTTCAAGAATTATTGGCTAAATTATATAAATATATATATATACTTTAAGTAATGGATGTATTTCTGACATTAATTTTTAGACTGCTCTACCAATAGCTAAATCTGTAGTTCTTTTAACAGAGAAAGCACCATCTAATAAAGTAGCTTTAATGCCTTGCATTTGATAAGATTTCAAGAAACCTCTATTAAGTGAGGCTAAGATAGACTTCTCTAAATGATAAAACATAGGAAATTGTAATGAAGATATATGATAAGCTTTTTCTTCTCCATGATCATCAATAATTGTTTCTACTTCTATATTTTTACAAGGATTCTTAATATATTTAACTGAAGTTTCATTTTTCTAAGTAGCCACTTATCTAAGTTAGGTTTCTTTAAATTGTTTATATAGGATATCAAAATCATTTTCTCTATCAAAATCAAAAATAACTTCATTTTCTTATTATTCACTTGGTTATAATTTTAATTTCAATTTAAACCATAAAGGTCTTCCTTTAAGTAGATCTTAATATTTAATTTCTAGAACACCTTCTTCACTAATACTCTCTTTGTATTCTACTTGCAATTTCTTAAGTTTTGTGTTTAAACCAAAATCTTCTTTCAATCTTTATACAACAATTTCAAGATGCAATTCTCCTTGTCCACCTATAGTAATAAGTGTTTCATCAGCTACTGTAATCTTCAAACTCTCATCTTCCAATTATAATTATTATAGAGCCTAATCTAATTTGAGTTTGTCTTTGGCAGATTCATATTCTAAATTAGCAAAGAAAACACATTAAGGTAATTGCAATTATTGTAATACAAATCTAAATAAATAAATTAAAATAGATTATACTTATCATCATTTGATCCAATAATAGTAGAACCAGCAACAGCATATTTTGATTGAATTGCAATAATATCCCCTGCTTAAACACTATTAATTGGAACATATCTATTAGCTCTAACTCTATAGAGATTACCAATCTTTATTAATTCATCCTTTGTACTATTGAAATAATTTTATTTTTATATCATTTCACCAGAATAAATTCTAGTAAATCCAAGCAAACCCAAATCTTAATCTTATAAAACCTTATACACATATGCAGTTAATTTTTCACTCTTATCTAACTTCCTTTTATTATTTGGATTATTTATATCAAAAATCAATGGTCTCTCACTTGGTCCAGGTAATAATTAATGGACAGCATCTAATATTGGTTATACACCTCTATTTTTAAGTGCTGATCCAAAATAAATTGGACAACATTGATTATAATTTGTATTAATAATTTATTTAATAGATTAAAGTAGTAATTGTTAATTTAACAATTCTTTAGAGTCTTCTAAATAGAGTTCTGCAATTGTTTCATCATATTCAGACACAATAGATAATAGATCATCTCTAGCTTTAATAGCTTTATTATAATAAGGATGAGATTTATCAATATCTCTGAATTAGACTTCTGATCCATATTTGTCTAACCAAATAATTTCTTAGAAAGATAATAGATCAATAACAGAATTGAAATAATCAATTTCTCCAACAGGAATCTACATTCTAATATAATATATAAATAAATACATAAATGGTTTGATATTTAATCTGTCTTTCATTGATTAAATTGTATATTCTAATGATGCTCCTTATCTATCCATTTTGTTAACAAATGCAATTTTTGGAATATTAAATTTATTAGCTTATAACCATACTGTTTCTGATTATGTTTGAACACCAGAGACTCCATCAAAAATTGCAATGGCTCCATCTGTAAATAATTAGATATTAATAATTTGTTACCTAAAACTCTAAGAGATCTTTCTACTTCAGCAGTAAAATCAATATGTCCAGGAGTGTCTATGAGATTATATTAATGATTTGCCCAATTAAAGGATATAGCTGCAGATCTTATAGTGATTCCTCTTTGTCTTTCTTATGGCATGAAATCCATTGTAGTAGTACCATCATGAACTTCACCAGGGAAAGGAATGGCTCCTGCATAAAATAGCATTCTTTCTGTGGTTGTTGTTTTGCCTGCATCAATATGTGCTATAATTCCAAAATTTCTTATTTTCTCTTAAGTGGTAGTTGGTAAATTCTTCAATCTTTCAGCTCTCTCTTGATTGATTCTGTCTCGAATAGAAGAATATGTATAGATTCGCTTTTTTAGACAAATTCGAAGCATATAATTATTTAGATAATAAATATTTTAAAGTTTAATGAAATAAATTCAAAAAGTTAAATAAATTATGAGACTTACCATTAATAAAATATTCTCATAACACTTTTAACATTACTTATGATTCCAATAATATGTATGTAGAGTATTCTTAAAACAATTTTTTTCAGTTAATTCTGATGTTAGGGTATTTTCACATTAAGATGTAGTATAATTGTATTAACACACTGAAATTTGATATCCTTTTTGTGAAAATCCATTAATATAGTAATTACAAAAATATTCAGGTAAATATTGACATTGTACATTTACACAAGCATTGTTATTAAGTATACATAAAAATGGATAAAAAGTACATTGATTATTATCTAATAAATTACATTTAACTTAAGTGCATTATTGTTATTAATCATTCCAATCACAATAATCAACATTATAAATGCAATCTTATTTATTATATATAGATTGACAACCGGTAGCATATTTTAGAGTACATGTATTATTTTGTGAATTAATACACCATATATTCTAATCTTAACATGAACGGAATTTTGATGATAATTAAGAACAGAAATCATTATTTTCATGTGTAAAATCCGCACATTTTGAACTTGATTAATTAGTATATTAATTAAAACAATTCCTAGATGCTTAGCATAAATAAGGATTCAAATCTTCACATTTTATACTTTCACATTTATTCTTAGACCAATTACAATATAAATCTCTTTAACAATCACTCTCATTTGATAATTCATGACAATCACAAATCTTTTCAAATGTAATTTCTATATTCTATTAAGTTAATCCTAAAGTAATGCATAAAAAGAATATCATCTTTCTTATCTATTTGTAAATATAGAATTATTTAATTTTTCGATTAATATATATTATATTAGTAATGTATTATTGTTTTTATGATTATAAAATAAATGATAATAATAATATATTATTATTCATTTAGAATCTGTTGGAAGCAATACTACTTTTGTTGATCCCTACTATCCCAATGTAGTAATAGTATCTAAATATCTAATTTACATCGCTGCCTTTGAATCCAATAGTTCTGCTGCTTATCGCATAAGTTTAGCAGATTACACATCTCCTTAAGCAGAAATTACTTTTGCTTAAGCTGCTCTTTATTCTTTAGCTGCCATCGATAAGGTATTTTATAAATCAGCATTCAATTATATATCCTTAATCAACATGTTTTCAATATCAATACCCCATTCCCATACATGTTCATCAACAAATTCTTCAATTTACTATTAAACTTCAGCTCTCTTCTCTAATAAATCTTATAAAGTATGAGATCCAGCAATGCTCTTAATAGTGGCTAATGTCAATTATGTAACGGCTTGATGTAAATCATTGATATAAAATATGGATCGTCTTGGTATAACTATTCTATAATAAACAGTTGCATCTATGCTAACTAAAATATTGTCTTTAGTCATCACTTATTATCTAGGACAATCAATCATTTAAACTTTGCAATCAATTTTCTAAATTGTATCAGTGCAAGGATTAATGTAAATTAATCCAGGTTGAACTTGTTTTAAACATTATTTTTTTACCTGTCTTTATATATTTTCCAAATCGTAAATACACTCCAACAAAACTTTACTCTACTTAAATATATGGATATTCAACAAAAGGATTACAAGGACAAACAGCCTTACAATTTCCACAACATTCTCCACAATTGTATAAATAAGATTAATAGGAACCACCCAAATCTAAATTCTGTTCTTAATTTTCAGGTAACTCTTCCCTTGGATGACGAGGAGGTTTGTAACCTAAGATACAAAATTAAATTACTCACTTACCAGGTGGTGGAACATTATAATCACGATGTTATTAAGGTGGAGGTTGCTATTATTGATACATAACTTAGTTTTGTTGATACATAATTTAGTTATTTTAATATATATATATTATAATAAGAAATAAATCATCTTAAACTAATTATCACTGGTCCTGAATAAAATGGAGCATATCCTAAAGGTAATTCAGAACCCTCAATAATCATATTTCTAAAAAACTATTCATGTGTTTAAATGGAATATCTATAAATAATTAATTATACCATAAATACCTTTCTTCATCATCATTAGTAGCAAATAATAATTCCATTTATAAATTTGCTTCAATCCCTCTAATAACTTCACTATCAAATCTAAATACTTAACATTATATCTCAGTATATGTATGTCGATAAACTGTCAATTTATTCTTACCAGAATCATAACCCAAAGACCGTAATTCTTAATTACTTATCATAGCTTATTGCCATCCCTATTCATTACCCATACCAACATAACAATCATTACTTTCATTCAATAATTATAATAATTCAGAATCTTAAATATTCAAATTTCCCTCAATAGAATAAAAATCTAAACTTATTTTTAATGCAGTTCTAATTGCTAATGTAGCAATCTCAGATAGAATACTATCAATTCCTTTCATTTATCTTTATTCAAATAAAGTATTTGAATTTTTGTATAAATTAAATAAAACTTTTTAATTTATTCTACTCTAAAAATTGAAATCTAAATCTCCCAATGATACTTAATAAATATACAAAATGGCTCTCTAAATATGATTATAAAATCCACCACTTTATACAACATTATTTTATTGATGTAATTTCTTATTTTATTAAGGAACATCCTACATGAAATCATCCAACATACCAAATAGATCATCATTTTCATGTTTTATTTATACTTTTGATTATTATTATTTTTATATTACTTCTTATTATTCTAAATTATTAATCTTATATGATATAAATTTAGTTTATAATTTTATTAAATCTGCAAATGAATTAGGAAATGGATATTCAGAAGCATCATATCTTTTTGATAATTCAATTATTGATTTCATATTATTCTCATTTAATTCTTAACCAAAATAATAACATAACATTTTTAAATATATCTTCTTAAATTCACTTGAAAATTCAACTGCTTCTATAATACCTGTTAATATTATCTAATTTTCCTCATAACTAGTAACTAAGAATTAATTTTATAATGTTAAAGCACTTCCAAGAAATGATCCACAATCCTTAGCATCAACCAATCTATCTACTTCTCTTGCTTCTATTCCATGACAACTTGTAGTTTCCTATGATTCTAATCCCTTAAATTAAATTACAGCATATCCTCCCTAATTTTCCAATACTTACACTATTCCCAAATACTTTCCTATTCTTATTAAATAATGACTCCACAAAGGTTGAGAACCCAATATTTTATTATATGCTTTACTTAAATAAGAATTGTAAATTGATCCCTCTGATGAATCATGAATATGTTTCGATATTTCAATATTATTTCTAAAAGGTCTCAATGATGCAAAATAGAAAATAGGCAATCCTAATATTGGCATATATGGACTATCTAAGATACTAGATATAAGCATTATTAAAAATGTTAATGGACACATTAATAATTACAAACATGTAATAAAAGCTGCTCCCTATACTTTCTATTTCTTCACTGTCAACATCTTTTGACTAATCAACTTAAATTCATTTTTACTTTGCTATAAACCATATAAATAATCGAGATTTCATTCTTATTACAAATCTCAAACCTATTTATACTAAAAATCCAATCAATTAACAATATGCCATAGAATAATTTGTTTTAAATGAAATGATAAAACATGTTAATTATTCAAAAAATAAATAAGTAGGATTAGAATGTATTAGACTATACAATCTAATTATAGTTGTACATTCAAATAATCTTTAAGCAAAAATACCTTCAAAATTATAATCCATCATAGATATACATGCACATTCAATAACAGTATAAAATATTTTATAATATTTCACATATTATTGATATTTGAATTAGATAAACATGTAACCTACATATAATGGAATAATAGCATAATAGAGTTCTTTATAATAGGAAGATGCTAATATTCCACATAAAATGATTGAAATTACATTCAATAATGTACTTAATAGATTATAGAATAGATATAATCTATCTAAGTTATTCTGTTTGAATATTTATTTTTAATCATGAGGTACAGAACCAAAAATATTATACATTTTAATATTTACCAAACAACCACTTACAATTATTGCAATTCTATTCTCATCTATGAATGACAATCCTAAACAGATGGCAATCAATACAATATTTAATAGTACTGTCAAATATGTACGTTTCTAACTTGATTAATATGATGATCCCATTAAAAAATTGAATTACTCTCCCACATATTCTGAACTAATTCAATTCTTAAATTTACATACAATTAAGAAAATTATCCAAATAATCCCATCCAAATCAGTATTGGTGTAAAATAGTAAATGTATCTGATTATATTTGCTATGATCATTCTATTAACATGTGTCAAAATCAATATCAATTTTAAAAACAAACAAGCATATCTAGATCTAGAATATGCTTCTATTTATGTAAATCCTAGTTCAACATTTTATTCTCGAGGAAACAAGAAAAAAAATACTATTGCATCTAAAATGGTCCCATCATATTTGATAGCTGAAGCAGTTCCTAAGGTTTGGGGAATAAGTATTCCAATTTACAATGCAATCTATGATATCGTCTTTTGATACTCCTCGCTTATTAAGTAATTCATGCCTATTTATAATATTGTATTGATCAAAGCCGGCACTATTAAAACAATAACATAATTATCAATTAATTTTCCAATGATGTAGGTTTGAATTACAGATACAAGTTATATAATTACCTACTCCTTAGTATAAATTCTACCTATATAATATATAACTTGGATGGTAGGTTTAATTAATGTCCTCCAAAAAGAGAGGCTAAACAAGCATGTAATAAGTAACTCCTTTTTTATTTAGTGAGAACTGAAGCAGTTTGATTCATATTTAATTAATAAAATATATTATTTGTAAGAGAAATATAATACAAATGTATATTTTTTTAGATTTTATTCTTCAAATTGTATTCAATATAGTATTCCATACTATAAATATTGAAGAATAATTAACTAAATTTGTTACTCTAATATATACAAAATGATTATATTTCAATATTATTTGTAATTATATTATATGATGATTTTGATTGAATATGGATTCCTAAAGACATCCTATATAATAAAACTTAAAAAATTAAAGTGTATAATACATTATTTATTTTAATATAAATTCATAAATAAACTGATAAATAAATTTTGTTTATCTGAAAAGATGAATTTAACATAGGAATATAATTAAGAAAAATGTTAAAAACTTATTATATCACAATATATGATATAATTATATGATGTTTATGATTCAAGTTCTACATTTTATATATAAAAAAGAAATCAATTTAATATTATATTTTTTTACTATATATTATTATTAGATTAAGTTAGTTAGTTAATTATAATATTCTTTGTATTAAAATCAATTATTGATTGAATACTCTTGTACTTATTTGTAAAAGTAAAAAAATATGATAATAAAAAATACATAATCATACCGAATAATAGAAAGTTACTTAATATTAATTAAATGAAAAATATCTTTACCAACTGAACAATATTCAATTAATTTAGAATTAATACTAAAGACTGTATTAATATATATAAATAAAAAAAGATTTTATTATTATTCAATAATATAAATGCCGATGCAGTAAATTGCTAATTTCATATTAAATTTAATGTAAGATTGTGCAAACGAATAAAATTACATCAACTTCCTCTAATTAGAAAAGGATGTAGGCTCATATGATGATAACTCTTCTTTGTTACTTCACATGAATCATGAAAATCCTTCTCTAACATAACTTATGGAATTGGATGTCACTCCCTTAAATAAATAAGGGAAGAAGATAAAGAAGAAGAAGAAGAGAGTTGACTTCCATTACAAAAAGAAGAGAAGAAACAATAAAATAACAGATATGAATAATAATAATCCATTCAATATTGAAGAAGACAAAAAAATCCTATCTCTTGTATTAGAGCATGGTCCAAAGTTTAGTGATATAGCTAAATACTTTACTGATAGAAACCAAAACGCTATAAAGAATAGATATTATAAATACCTTAGATTCAGATGGGATAAGACATTGGGAAGGTATGTTTATATATTTATTGTTTAATAGTGAGTACAGAAGACTAAATTGTAAGAGAGATACCGACAAAGTGGAGTGCAGCGATCTAACTTAAATTATAGATGAGATGAACTTTTTTCCAGAAATAACAGATTTGTTATCACAATTTGTATACAGAGTCCATTCCTATTTCAATTGATTATTAATTCTCATCTATATTTGTTTTGCAATTAGTAAACTTATGATTTTTGAATTTCTGATCCATCGAATATTGAGACCTTTGAAAAGTTAAAAAATTTGAATTTAAGTTATAAGAAAAGTTTGGAGAGTATCCAATTAGTCTTATTATATGAGTTAGAAGAGTAGGAAGAAGTTAAAGTGAAATGGAGATCTGATTAGACTTAAAGTTGAGACTAGAAGAGATTAGGATAAGGTAAATTAGTTTTAGGGAGTAGTGGAGTTAGATTAAGAATTAGAAAGGTACGTGTATTGAATAAATATAAACGATTTAGGTTTTAATAAATATATACAGGATATATTATGTTATTATCAAGAAATGCTTTGGTATTTATTAATATATATATATATATATAATATATATATTTAATTATAATTATTTATTAAATGCAAGAGAAATTAATAGCTGGACTAACATCGAGTTATGGCAGTTTATTAGGTCAATAATATTTGAAGTGGTTGAAGATGCCTCCTTCTTATTTAAGAGTGATGCAATCCATTGATTATAGAAAAGGGATGTATGCAGCTTAACAAATCAAGGCAAATCAATAGATAATGCTCATTTCTACAGAAAAATGTTTTACAAGTGTTGAATTCTCTGGTTGTGATACTAGGAAATCTCAAGAACTTCAGGTATGTAGTTGCAAATCAATTAGACCATAGCATCATAAATCGCTCACAAAATATGTGGTGGAAAAGTGGAATAGTAGTATTTGGTCACAGGATTGCTCAAAATTATTATGCAAGTATTTGTACATCAAAAAGACCAATCACTAACTAATTCTCCATTTGCTAATATGATTTAATCTCCTAATACTCCTTTATTGTGGCCATAAACTGTGATTGATTTGATATCTTCAAGGAATTTGGCTTCCTTGATTGAAGGTACTCTCCTTCAATGTTAATCCATGTATAATGAATTACAATTGAGCAAAGTTTATGGTTTAACAGCACTTGAATTTTTGAAATTGTTCCAAGCTGTCAGAGCTTCCTTAATTTGCTTCAATCCACAGTATAACCAATATAAATACATTCTAGAAAACCAAAATACTTTGATATGCAATCAGTCTAAATAGTATGTCCATTAGTTTATCAATTTGATCATTCCTTTGATCCTAATTGTTATTTAGATGGTTGTTATTTGAGTCATGAAAACATGAGTTTTGTTGATTTTAGTGCTAAAAAGTAAATTGAACCAGGAGATGTAATAAATATAATCAAAATTTTAATAGAAATTAACAATTAATTATGGTAATTTGAGTAATCATGATCTATTAATGAGACATGGAATAATGGTAGATGATAATCCTTATAATGAAATGCCTATTGATTTGGATTTTACTACAGCTATTAATTATACTGAATAACTCTTTGACTAAAAATAAAAGTGGTTAAGATAAAGTGAAATCACCAACATTGAAAGATAATCCTTATACAATAACAAAATCAATGTACAATTATTATAGTAATATTTTTATCTTATATATTTAGATATCTTAGAATTTACTTTTTAACTGAATAAGAATTCTCTAAAAATCCTCTATTAGAATTCAATTCATTCCAAGAAAAAATTAGCGAAGAAAATGAATTGTTGGTTAAATAGTTTATGATTCAAAACATTAAGAATGTCTTATCCACTTATAAGCAAATATCTAAACCTATTGGTAAAGAATTGTAGGACTTATATAAAATTCAAAAGGATGAGATGACCATACTATAAAATAATCTCACTTTTTTTAATAAATGAGTGCAAATGATAAAAATGTTAAAATTATTTATAATTAACAAATTATGAGGTAATCTAACAATGATAAGAACCTTCCTCCTCAAGGAAACTCTATTGATAAGTAATTTTATTATAATCTTCTTTCTCTTGAGAAGGCTATTATCAAAGAACCATAACTTGATGCTGTACAATAGGCCCTTGCTATGTATAGGTAATTGTTGCATATCTATCAATAGAAAGTGTGTGGAATATTTCGATAATATTCAGGATCCAATCAAATATTATTTTTTGGATAAGATTCAATAAGCTTTGAGTGAAACTAAAACTCTTATGCTCATTATCAATTCCAAATCAGAAATTGAGTCTTCCAAGACTATTAGTCCTGTCAAGAGGTCTTCTATCTCAGACTTACCTCCACCTCTATTATCTGATTAATAGATCATGGATAAGAAACTCAGATCAAAATAAGTCACATTATAAATTAAGTTGCATGAAGCAGCTGATTAACAATGTAAAATCAATTCATATTTATTCTAGCTGAAATGCTCAATACAATGGTCACTGATTTTACAACTAATACTACAAGTACAGATTAAAAGGTCAGGCAAGATTTAAATTAATAAGCAGACATTATATAAGCTAGAATACTCAAGAGATAGCAAAGTACGAAAATGAAAGGTTGTTCATCAATGCAAATATTGTTATGATTATTATATATAAATAATAAATAGTATTGTAATGTAATGTATATTCTTTTTATAAATTTTTAAAAGGAAATGAAAGAGAATTAGATATATAAAATTCTATATTTGTAGCATGAAAATTTAAAATATTTTAATTATATAATAATCATATAATATGAATTTGTATCTATTTCTAAGCGTTGTTGTAATCTACTGTTTTCCAACAGAAGATTTAGTGAAAGATTATGCTAAATTCAATATTCCTTATACTGGATAATGGTACAAAATTATGATTATGAAAATTACAGGTTTTCAGGATATTTAAGAATTAATGATGATGGAAGTAAATAGTTTCACTACTTCATGTTTCCACAACAAAATCAAAATATGAGTGATGATAGTCCAGTAATATTATGGTTGAATGGAGGGCCTGGATGTTCTTCTTTATATGGTGCTTTGAATGAGAATGGTCCATTTGTATTCAATTTAGGTACAAATGATTTGAGAGTCAATCCCTACTCATGGACAAATACTGTAATGAATTTGTATTAATTGTTTAGGCACATATGTTTTATTTGGAATCTCCAGCTACAGTTGGATTTTCATATGGTGATGAGCACACTAGTGACGCAAGTTCAGCCAAAGACAATTTGTAAGCAGTGATCCAATTCTTTAAAAAGTTTCCTGAACTTAGCACTCATCAATTTTATATTAGTGGAGAGAGTTATGCTGGAACATACATTCCATTATTAGCGAATGAGATCATAGAATATAATAAAAATGCTACAAAAAGAATAAATCTAATTGGATTGATGATTGGAAATGGTTGTACAGATTATACAGAATGTACAATTGAAGCTAAGAGATTTCCTATTCATAAATTTGAGTTTATGCATAGTCATCATTTAATAAGCGAGAAATTGTGGGAAGAAATAGATTCTCAAAGAGATAATTGTTTCAATTCAACCACTTAATATTGTAAGGATCTCTATGCCAAAACCTAAGAGGAAATCAATCTCAGTTAGTAAGTCAAATATTAGTAATAATAATAGTGAATTTTATTACAATCCCTATAACATCTATGGAAAATGTTATCAATTGCCTATCACTAAATTCAATGGTGAAACTATTCCAAGATCCAAAATGACACTTGATCCATTTGATAGACAACCAGGAACAGTTCCATCTTGTTCTGAAGCCTAAGGATTATTTTATTACTTTACTAATCCTGAATTCGTAAAAGCCATTAATGTTGATACATCCAAACTAAAAAAAGAGTGGGAGGATTGTAGTAGTACCATTAAATACACAAAGGATCCAAGAGCCACATATTACTTATATCCAAAATTAATCAAGAGTGGAATTAGAATACTTAAATTTAGTGGAGATGTAGATGGTGTTGTACCAATTACTGGAACATTCTTTTGGTTGAATAATTTATAAAATGAAATGGGTTTAGATACATATAAATATTTTAGGTTTGCATACAATTGAACCATGGAGATCTTGGACTATTCCAGGAAATAAAAGTGGAGAAGATTAGAATGCAGGAAATGTATGGATTTTGGATGGATTGTGGTTTGTGACAATTAGAAATGCTGGACATATGGTTCCTATGGATTAACCAATGGCTGCATTAATTATGATAAATAATTTCATATACGGGATCCCATTGCCTTATTGATTTATTATTATTATCATTATTAAGTTTAAATTCAAATTTAAAAAATATAATATAATTTCAACATAATAACATCAATTACTATCCTCAGATTTATCAACCCTAAGAGTCCATAATAAATAGCTGTGAATACTAGTAATTGAAATCCTTAAATCAGATATTGCAGCTTGAATCCAAACAAATAAAGGATTATGAATTTAGGCTTAATTGAATTCGATATAATTTATATGCCAGATTGATTAATTATAAGAAATGGCACAAATATTCTAACTGAAATTGATATAGTATTTGAGATAATTATTCTTGAAGATCCAAATTGAACTATTAATTATTAAGTATTATCTGAAAAATTAAATGATATATAAATACCTATACATGATTGTTTAAGCAATAAGCAAATTTTATACCATCATCTATCTTTTGTGGCAATTGTAGAATTCACAAAGCTTTCTGTAATTCTATTGATGCCAATGAAATTACAATAAAGATACATTACAAAATACAAGAATCGAAAGTCCATTAGGAACCATAAATTTGTAAGAATGCAAAGGCACTAAGAATACCTGCACATACAATTGTAATTCCTCTCAAATTCAAAAATTTCAGGTATTTTTATAAGAATTTCATAAAGGCCATTAATGTAAATTGATAATCTATTTCTTACATTTCATTTATAACATTTATTGCTTCTTATAAAGTTATAAAAATTTAGTTTGTGTGGATAGTAAAAATATATCAGCAAAAATGATTATTGAATAAATAATTTAAGTAATACAGAATCTAATTAGAGTATCAATCTATAAATATTCTCTTTTATACTTTCCCAATAGTAAGTAAGTAAAGTAGAATGGTTTTCATAAATACTGCTAAATTATCTGCTTTAGTTATAACATTGAATTTTAATGGAATAAATAATTAAACAGCATAAGGTTAAGATGCTACATCAATTACTACAATTTTATTAAGTATTATTACATGCAAAAATTTCATAAATAAATGCAGTCTTAGCAAATACAATACTTTAATTATAACTCATAATAAACACTGTGATTGGTGCAATGCAGATTGTAATGAAAAATCCAATATAAATCAAATTTGAAAGTTGATTATGTTTGTTCTTAATTATGGTCTTTTAATCTTGAATATATTTGTTTCAAAAGTATCTGTAAATAGTACAGAGTAATGTATGTTGAGAGATACAAATTAATTGTGAGTCCTCTAGATATTAATTAATGAAAATACCAGAAGATTCCTAGTTCTAAGTTTCATTAGTCAAGTATATTTAAAGTCAAATCAAATAATCTAGTTAATATTTTTATAACAAATAACCAGGTTAATTGTTTGGCTGCTTTATTAATCATTTAATTATTTAAATGGAGTACATCTAAAAAATGATAAGACCATTTACAGATCGTTCTAATTACTATATGTAGCAACCTAACTCATTTAAGAGGAAAGAATCAAAACACACTCATGATCCATAATAAGTTTTGTTGTATATCAAACAGATCTATTTCACTCTATAAACACAACAGGTTAAATTAAGTGTTCTAATCATTTTAGAATGTTAACATGTCTTTTCTTAATCCAAATTATTTTTCAGATATCCAATCTGATCTCAATCCAGAAATGAGAGCTTAGATGGTATACCTCTCATTATAACCTTAATAGATAGATGAAGTTCATAAGTTATGTACATCACATAAGGCTTAGAGAAGAACATTCCATTAAACCATTTATTTACTAGATGTTTATTTAAGTACAAATAGAATATTTACCGCTCAAATCGATTCTATATATAAGACATGTTATTTTATAGCTTCTAAATATGAAGAAGTATTTGATTAACTTATAATAGATATATCCAAGTCCATTATGGAGATATACAAATGATAGAGATGAAATGTAAGAGATATTTTAAATTGAAAAAGAATTACTATCTCTAGTAGATTTTAAATTGGTTACAGCATCCTCTTATGTTTGGTTAAATTATTATTGGACAATCATTAATATAGCAGAGAAAACATAAAATTGGTTAACTTATTCCTTACTCTTGTTGGATGTTGCTGTTTATAATATCAATATTATTAAATATGAACCATCCAAAATTGCATGTGCTTCTCTCTATACAAGTGCTATAATGTTGAATATATAAATGAATTGGAATAGTTTTGCATCTCAATTTGGACTTCATTTCTAACATGAGATTAAAGTAATCATAAGATTTACAAAACTTAGGAAATATCTAATTTAATTATGATAACATTAAAAGATAGTGTAAATTTAAAAAGAGAAATTGTAAAACATATGTAATTATAGAAAGAAAGAGAATTCTTTTGAATTAGTTAGTTATTTTGTTGATAATATTTTATATTACTATTATTAATTATATACATATATATATATTGATTAATTATAATAAATAAAATGTAAAAATTTCATAATTCTATTTTAAGATTAGGATCAATTTATTATAGATTTAGTGGATGTGGAAATTGTCATTGTTGTTAAAATAAGGATTGTAATAATAATAAAAGTAATGAGTAGATACCAATTACTAAAAAGTATTCTCATTTAATCAATTACAAAGAGACTGATTAAGTTACAGAAATCTTAACAGAAGTAACTTAAAATACTGATAATAAAGAATTTGAAAAATCCAATCAACCCTTTTAAGAATTTAATAAGAAAAATATTAATAAAAGAATGTGACATTAATATATATTAAATTATTATACATATGTATATATTTAAATTAAAATTATTTATAATGAAAAATATTTACATATATTAATTGAGAATGTCTATTTAATTAAAATATTCCTTGATTTATGTATAATATCTCATATTTTTTTTATGTGTCTTATTATATTTTAGATTGGACATAACATATCTAAATAAGTCATCATAACAGCGATACTTGTATCTTCTATTTCCAAGGTCTTTAGAAATATTAAATTAAAATACTTATTATGCAACTTAAGTAGGAACAACAAAACTAATTATAGTAAGTACAGATAAAATTGTAATTATGATAAATACAAAAGTACTTATCAAGTAACCAAACAATTCAAGAAGAACTAATCCAAATCCAATAGAGACTATTAATAATATTTTCTTATTTATCAGTATAAAGTTTTAATTGGGCTTAAATTAATTTGAATTTAATTCAGTTTAAATATTACTCAATAAATCAAATATGTTTATTGTAGATGGGAGTTCTGAGGGTTAAATTAATAGTGATTTATTTAGATGATCAAAATAAAAAAAACTATAAAGTACAACAAATTCAAGTATTGGTAAACCTTCAACCCTATAATATTCTCTAAATGCAATTAAAAAGTTCAATCCAAAAAAGAAATAAGTAAATATTTTTGATAATTTTCCATAAATTTAAATTTTATTAATTTTTATTAATACTAAATTGAAAATAGCATTAACAATTAATCCTATCAATGAAAAGAGAATATAAAAAACTGTACCTTAGTGTTACCAATTTTATCTATAACCACTAGATATCCCTCCTACTACAAATCCTATTAAGACTGTTTAAATTAATAAGCATATACTTTATTTCTGAGCCTATTATTAGAATAAAACATTTACCAAACATCTATAATTTCTAGCAAAAGCAACAAATAGAGTGAAAAATACAGTAAGAGCCAATATAAAATAATAAACCCAATTGAATTCATAGTCCATAAATTCTCTTCTTCTCTCTTCCATCCAATTTAGATATTCTTATCGTGAAGCATCATGTTTATCATATTATAAGAATTTCTCATATGTATAAGAAGATCCCCACCATTCTCTATCTACTTCAGATAAATATATTGAAGAGAATGACCCTATTTAATTGATTCCATAGATTAAAGTGATCCCAATAAGTTATATAATTTGTTTTACATAATATTGGAAGAGGAATGATTTTCTAGTTGATATTTGAGAATCAGGATCACTTCCATTTGGAGAATTAATCTGAGTAGGCAAATTAGCTTATGGAACAATAGGATTCATCATAGGATCTGTCTAATGTACATTATTGGGATAATTAGACATTTCAAAATAATGTGGATCTGCTGATTATTACATTAATTTAATTAATTATACATTTTATATCTTACCATTGTTTATAAACATAAATTAAGTTATTAAATTTATCCTACTTTCTCAGAACTAAAGTGTATTTAAAAATTTATGATGTAATTTTATCTAAACTTATTAGAATATAAAGTCATTTTTTTAAAGAATCTAAAATAATAAATAAAATATACTCTCTTGATTCTGTATATTATAAAGAATCTAAAATAGTTATCATCAAGATTGGATAGAACAACAATAATTTGAATTTAGTTTATAGGAATAATGAAAATTACATAAAGTATTTAAAGACTAGTTAAAATCTATCTATAGTAGTATAAAACTGTAATTAGTATGTTTAGTTTCTTATTTACTTTTGTATATTTTAAACATATCATAGATAGGTTAGCAGTTTTATAGTCTTTTAACCCTTAGACTATTTTTTTATTTTTATTTTTGAAATTATAAACAATATAGAATTTACATTATCTATTGATTCATCTAAACAATATAAGAATTTGATAGCAACCTTTAATATAATTAAATAGTAAATACTTGAGTTTATCTTAATGAGATTGAATTAGGGGGAATTTCAATATCTAAAATTCATTTTAAGAGGGTTAATAATTTAAATATTTTAATTTTATGAAATGATTGAATTTAATAAGAATTGTTTGAAATGTAATGATAATATGTATTTATGATATAATTAACTCATCATTTGGATAGGATTCCTCTCAAAATATTCTTGAGTGGACTGGCTAGATCCAAATAAGTCAAACAAACTGCAAAAACTACATCCTCTTATTGGAGAGTCTAAAAATGATAAATATTAGTATATAATACTCTTGAAGCTACTTAAGTATTGAGTACAACACTTAAGAGTGATACTGATACAACAACTACAATAACTATGAATAATGCATTTCCAGTGACAATGCTTAGAATCAATATTATTATGTATGCAACACTACTTGATATGACTATAGCAATATATCTGTTGATAACACAATGAGTATCTTTAATTTATTCAATTACTTAATTTGATTAAGCCTCTTAATTGAAAAGTGCTTAAATTTTATTAATTATTTATATTCTCTGTACAATTGAAACATCTTCTGGTAATTCATTAGGATTTTTGAGTAAATGCTCATTCAATTGATTGAAATAATAGATGGAATAGATAATTATAGCTTCTGCAATAGGAAATGAACTATCTAAAGATGATGCACATAATCCAACAATAAAATTAAGTGTGATTGAACCCATAATAGCAAATTTCATAAACATTGTATAATAATGTGTGATGTTGTGTTTAACAAGCATAAATTGAGCAATACTATGACAAATGAGGATTAGTAATGTTATTATGATCCACCAAATTGTTGCTGTTGAATGTCTACCTGAACATTAATTTGCAATTCCTATAAGCACAAATCCTATTAAGATTGTTTATAGATGGAATATAGCATTCTAATGTTATACCTAATAAATATTTGATTGATTATCTTACTACTGCTCTTATTGATCTTGTTATTGGCAATCCCAAAGCAATTATGATTAATGTTGTAACAAAGAAATAGAAGGTCCATCTGAAACTATTATCATAGTATCCAAAATCCACTACAATGTTTGCAAACCACTCCATCAAACCAAATAAGAACAATCCTAAGATAGTTAAGTGTTATCTTAAGATTTTCTTATAGTATTCTACAAGAAAGTTCTCTCTTGATGTCTCTGGTTCTTATTTAACAATTGTGATAGCTTCTTTAACATCATTCATTTGCACATATTATGCTGGAGGAATCACAGGATTCAAAATTGGGTATTTGACTAATTCTACTCTATTTGTAGATAACCCATTATCTGTAATATCAGTCATATCCTATTATAAAGACATTAATTTTGTTTAATTTAATATAACTAAATTCCATAATTCGATAGATGCATTTATAGATATTTTTTAATTCAAAATTGAAAGTATTTATCAGAACATCATATTTCATCAGAATGTATATAATTTTAAATACTCCTTTTAGAAATATTTTTCAAACATTATTAACAATGAATATTTATTGATGATAACCATCAATTGAGTATATCAATTATAAATATTCATGATCATCATTAATAATAATATATGATAAATTAATATCAAGATTACTTAATATATAGAGATACTTGAGTATTAGATGTCATTCTTATACTTAAATGATCATATTTAAGCATTTCTTTTTGAAAATTACATTATCAACAGAATCAATCAATATGATTGTTAATTTAAAACTGAATGATAATTATAAAACATATTAAATTAAGATATTCATAAGATAATATTTAAATTTCTACTATGTTTCATTTTAGAATGGCTAAATAAATAATATTTATTAAAATAATTATGGGAAATTTTTGTTCATAGTAAGAAAATGATGACTTATGTATTACAACACAACAATAGAAGTCTAAATAAGATTCATTCCATTATAGTTAAAAGCCATTGAAAAGACTTGAAAAAAGCGAATCTGTTTATTCTGATTTGCAAGTAAGTATGTCACCATACAGTTAATTAGTGATTCAAAACATCGAATTGAACGATGCTTCAGATATGATAAATATGTGGTCATTAAGAACATTAATAAGAGTATCTTCTTTTCTTAAGAAATGTTGGAAATGCAGAAATAAATTTTACTTAATGTTCGTTTCCCTTTTATTTGTAAATTGATATAATATAAGAACACTCCATAAATGTGTACATTTGAATTGGAGAATTGTTTATATGATCTTGAATAATACATCAATTAAAAATAATTAAGTGACATTTAGCTATAATTTATCATTGCACAAATCATATTAGCAATTAATGAAATCCATAAATCTGGTTATATTTATAGAGCTTTGAATCTATCACATATTTTAATTGCAGAAGATGGATATATCAGATTAATAGGTTTTGGATTCTCCAGTAATAAGACAGTATTCATTAAAATCAATACATATGAAGAAATACGTATCTTTCCTCCAGAAGCTATGGAAATGGTATTTGATTAAAGTGGTGATTGGTGGCTACTAGGATCCTTGATATATAAATTGTTATTTGATAGTTATCCATTTGAAAATGATCAAAGAGATGTAGAAAAATTAATAAAAGATAAGAAACAAAATGTATCTAAATTTCCAAGAGAAATAGATCCTAATTTATAGAATCTAATTGAAAACCTTTTGAAATTTGATCCTCTATAGAGATTAACTAAAATCGAATTAATTATGTAACATTAATACTTTTATTAATTTGATTGGAAATTATTGAAAGATAAATCAATTTAATCACCCTTAAAAGAATGATATTATTCTTTTATTTTTATTTAAAAAATCATGAAACTCTAATTCTCTAAATCAAATACATATTTCTTAATCTCATTTAATATATCTAATTTTATTACTCTTTCATCTTTTTTTTTAATATAATTCCATTTACAAAATTATTATTCTTTAAATCTAATTCTTACAAATAATCTCTCTAAGTTACATTCTTCTTGAAATCCTTTTAATATACTTGACAAACTATTTAATTTGAATTTAGTAAACATATCTCATTATTTTTTAAATCTCATACTTAAAATAATCTACAACTATTAATTGCAATAATATTCTTTGCTTTTAATTGTTAATTATACATATATATGAAGGATTTTTAGTTATTATTTTATCCAATAGTAATTTTATTGGCAAGAGTATTATAATTAGATTATATTAGAGAATGAATTATTATTGATAAACCAAATATTTTAATGGATATCTATTGAGTTCAAGTAAAATAGTATTAAGTGTTGATTCAAATTATTTAGATTAATTTACCCTTTTCTAGCAAAATGTTAATTAAGTATATTAAGATTTCTTATAAAATTTGATTTTTGAGTATTTTTGCTATTAATGTAAAAGTTTTTAATATTTGATAATAATAATCAATTGTATTAATTGATTATTATTATATTAATATAAATGATAAGAAACATCTTAATAAGAGGAAAAAATATTCCATTTATAAAAGGGGAGAATGTTTTAATTGATCATTTTAATAAAGTAGAATAGGCTAAGAAATTTACAAATTATATACACTCTTGGGAATAGTCTAATGTTGAGATCAAATAGATAGAGGTATCTTATGTATATATGTTTGGATAAAATGTTGGTTTTGTAAATTTAATAGTTGATGCATATCTTAATGGTATAAAATTACCTGGATTTGTATTTTTGAGAGGAGATGCAGTGGCAATTCTTTTGTTAGTCAATAAGAAGATGGTGTTGACATAACAATTTAGAGTGCCTGTTGGTAAATATACAATAGAAGCACCGGCTGGTATGATGGATGAATAGGGAGATTTTGGAGGTGTGGCTGCTAAGGAGATTAAGGAGGAAACTGGAATTAGCATATAACATAATGAGATGCGTTATTTATAAGATATGTTAGTATCTCCAGGTGGAAGTGATGAAGTGATTCATTTATTTGTTGTAGAGAAGAATATGGAATAAAAATAATTAGATGAATTATGTAAGAAAACACATGGAGCAGAAGGAGAAGGAGAATAAATAAAGTTAGTGATTTAAGATTTTACATGGGAGAATGTATTAAAGACTTATGATTCTAAATTGATAGCAGCCACAGCAGCATATTATAATCCAAAATTATGAAGGTTTTATATCAAATTTAATTATAATGTATTATACTGTCAAAACAATCACAATATAGATCTGTTTATTGAGGATTTAATGCAATAGAATTGATACAACAATTCACATAAATTACTTAATAACACATCCAATATCCTTTGATACTACTTGACCATAAACATAGTGTTGAATCATCACTTCCAGATATCAAGATATCTTATCCAAAAGATACACAATTTACAATATCATTATGATGATGTAATCTTTAATAGATTTTGAAATCATCTATATAATAATGATACAATAGAATATCATTTTTATGTGTAGCAGCAAGGAATTTCTATTTAAATGAAAAAGCAATTGATCTAATCTTCTTATTTGTATTAAGTGATTAAGTTAATTCAGCTGAACTTGTATAATTATCATTTTTGATTTCCCAAATGGCTATTCCATTCTTACTTCCTGCTGCAATATATTAATTATCAACACTAAATGATATAGAGTAGACAGATCCTAAAACATTAATCCAACTTCCCAATTTAATTAAATTATGAGTATTGTATAAAGTAATTTTACCATCGAAACTACTTATTCCAATATATTATTAATTTTAAGATATCACTATTGAACTAATAGCTCTTGTAAAACCCTTCAATTAAGTAATTTCTTTATATTGATTATTAAATTATTAATAAACTTTGACAATCTTCTCTTCTCCTCCTATAAGTACTTTACCATCTGGCAATATAAGTCCTGTATATATTGGAAGTGTAGAATTATAGATAACATAAGATTTATTATGTTGATGTAAATATACTTCTTAACCACAAGATAATATTTGATCTTATGAAGCTGAAAGATGATTGATATCAGAGGAATGTTTATGGTATTTAGTATTCTATTATAATTTAAAATGGATCTCTTTAGTTATATAATCCTATTTAACAAATTAGATGCAATCATAATATTGATCCATGAATCTAATTGCATTATCAATTGGTTTAAGTGATTATTAATCATCAGCTACTTTGCAAAGTGATTCAAATGATTATGTAATATTTTCAAGCATATTAACAATCAATTACTTGATCTAATAGAAGTAATCTCTTTTCCTTTAAAGAATTGGCATCATTTTTTTAATGTATATAAATATTTGTTTGATCAAGTAAATATATCAATTTTCGATTATCCATGCAATTAATGGTCTTTCATATTGATTTCTAACATTTGTATGTAATATTCCACAAATTATTGGCAACTATACAATCCATTATTGATCATCATTTCTCTTCTATAATATAATCTATGGTTCTATTGTATATTGATCACTCAAAGCAAATTCAACAAACAAGAAATTTGAATTCTTGTTTATTTATGATATTTTTGAAAATTATTATATCAACAATGATTTACAACTTTAATTGTATTTATTTGGAAATGATTAAGATATCATAGTAGTTATATTAAGATAATCTTATTTAATTTGATTCACCATTTATTAATTGGGTATTTCAATAAAATAAAAATAAGAATGTGAATCTGTAGTAGGTACAAAAAAGACTCTTAAATTTTTTTAATACAAATCAGCCTAATATATCTATTACATTCCTTCAATATTAGGGATTTCAATATATTTTTTATGTTCAATCATAACTTATCTATGTCTTTTCAATCTTAATTATGTATTCATTTAAAGTACATTAATCTATTTATTATTATAATAATATAATACCATTAATTAATCTAAGTTTGGTAATTTCACATCAAATTATATATGAGATTTCAATTCATTTTGATTAGATAATACTTTAAAATCACTATTAGCTAAAGAACCTTAATATTATTCAAATTTATTTCTTAAAAAAGGATTCTCATCTTAAAAATCACTATCTAAATGAAATTAAAAACAATCTTCAAATAATTAATAATGATCTTTGATTCTCAAATATTCTAATTTATTTTATGTCTCAATTTTCTATTCACTCTATTATAATGCATAATAACTCTAAAATTATATGGAAATTTAATTCTCTTATTTTGGTAGACTATTATTAATTAATATTTTATTATACAAATCTTAAATTGATCTCTTTTAATAATATATAGTTTTCCTTTATTGACTTTTAGCATCATTATCTACTAATCTCCACTTGAACTTAGCTTTCTTAATTGAATCCATTACTTATTTATTGGCTACCAATTCTCCTTAATCAGAATAATGATTCTAATAATTAATTAAATTAATACTTAACTAATTTGTATTTCACTAGCATATACATCAGCATTAAATATATATTCACTCAATTTCTACAATATTCCTTATAAATTATCAAGATTATTAGTCATTATTGATTCAATAATCCATTTCTTTTCATGAAGATGATTCTCATCAACATAAATAAGAGCATAACCATTATTTAAATTTATTAAAGCTGCTTCTAATCCATACTTCAATTTATAAGATAATGTATAAGGATCAGAATTAAATGATTTCTATATTTCCAACACTGTTATTTTTAATAATTCATTTATCTTTGTATCTATATCTCTTGGTTATAAAATTAAAGGTAATAATTGTTAACCAATATTCCCTTAAACAATCTTCTCTAAATTTCTAATTATACAATCCTTCTCAACCAACATAGAAAATAATGGTTTATTAATTTATTCAATATCATTCTAAACTATTCCTATTAGAAAAGGAGGTTAAATCACTTTATCTAAATCATGCACATTATTAATAGAATGAAATCCAGGTATTCTATGATAATGGAAGGAGATTTCAGTATTATTTTAAAAATATCCATTTATTGTTGAATTAAGTAATGTATGTTATTTACCTGTAGCTTTAAAGAAAGGCAACCAAATATTTTATAATCCTTCTTATTTTTTATCAAATTTTTCAAAGATTTAATTGATATGTTATTAGATATTAGATTTTGTTATTTCATTCTATTATACTTCATATATGTATCTAATTTAATAAGATATAGATTACATCTTTATATTTGGATTAATTGTAGAAACTAAGTAAATTTTACGTTATTTAATATCATTAGATGTTAATTCCAAGATAGATGCTTCTTGTTCATTGAAGGGAGGATGCTAAATAACTAAATATATTTATAATACCGAAATCAAACGAATATAGGGTGTATTAGTATTACGATGTATTTCACTTGAGAAGTATTGAAAATTGAGTTTGATTGAAAAGTTTTAGAAATATACTGGTCCATCAATAGGAGAATTAAATTGTATCTAAAATCTGTTCTTAATATCTTATAGTTTATGAACTAACACGTATTCTTGACCATACAATTTTTATTTCTTTGATAAATCAATATAAATATAATAAATACAGACAAAATAGGTTGTAAAGCAGTAATATTGTTTTCAAAGTTTATAATATTGTTCTTTCCTAAATTTGCACTAAATTGTGCAATCAACAATTCTTCATCAGTTATCAATTATGATTGAGTCTGTGTTGCAAAAACACGTACCATCCTCAAAGTTAATGGAGTAAAGTATTTTCTTTATCCAGAATTAATTTAATTTTAAATTATCTTCTATTCATAAAAAGAATAATTTAATTGATGATAAGAAATACTCTTAAGAAAACAAAACTTTAGATTTTACAATTAAGATTTAATTGGTTTATCATTACTACATGATATTACTAAAGAACAAAAATTATCTCCCTTTTATTATAACATTTTAATAAAATGTTACACAATATGATTTAATTTCTATTACCAAGACTCTTTATCTTGAATTATATATATTGAATGTATAATCCATCTTCTTGAATTGCATTCTTAATCTATAGAACACACAATCAAAGCTGATTAATTTACATTAATTATTGTGGCTTCCTACCAAAATAATATTACATCCTTAAGATGTGTAATAGGAGATTTGAAACTTTCATTTAACTCTATTACATTTTTACTTTGCCAATAAGTGATCACTTTTTCAATATCTTTCTCTGGATAATGTTATACTGTAAATTGAAGATCCTCATAAACATAGAGCATTGTGCTAGGATAATCATCTAATTATGTGACAGCTGGAATATCAACCTTATTTCTTGAAGAATGAAATTATTTGGATGTATTAGGTCTAAATGATATAGTTTCCATAATTTAAGTGGGTTCAAGTAAATGAGATTCGACAGTTAAATCCTAAAAATATCTCCATAAATCCTTCATTCTTTGTACTTATGATTGCTTTATTTGATGTTGTGCCAAAAAATCATAATAATCTACATTCTCCATATAGGCTTATTCAATAACACTAAGATAAAAGATGTCTTAATCTTTAAGATTAAAGTAACTTAACATTTTAGGATGAGTAATCTATATGACATTTGAATCATCACGAATTTTAAGTAAATAATCTTTGCGATTGATGATCCATATATAATTATATTGAAACTTAGAACTAAGACCATTTCTCCATTTACGATGAAAATCAATCAAATTGTATGTTAATTTTCTAAGATCATAAATTAACTTAGATATCAATCTAACATTGTCCATTATACTAATATTTCTTGTCTTTTATATTTCTTTCAGACAATGTTCTCTACTTTAAGTTAATTGATGTAATGTTTTAACAATGTTATTATTATTTTAAAAACTCTCAATTTCTTAATGCATTAGAGTCACAGCTTATGTTTCATGAGTTTTGAGTATATTATAAAAGTATTTTTGGTGACAATCTGGAATCTAATTGTCTTTCCAAATTTATAGTAGTTGATTAAACAATTCATTATTGAAAGAGAGCATTTAAACTATGTAAACATTTATACATAATACTTTCAAGAGACTCTAGTTTATCTAACTGACGATTACTATTTGAGATGTTGTGCATAATAAATAATTTAAATTTTAATGGTAAAACATTAAAAATAAGTCAACTCTTTTAATAACATTCACTTTTTATAATATTAATCTAATTCTTATAATTGTAAGTACACATCTCATATTGTTAATAAGATAACAATAATTATCACAAATAGTCATTATTTATCTGAATTATAATTGAGTTTATATATTTATGACAGAACTAAGTGACTCCACTGAAATAAGTAATTGGTGAAGTAGGAAATAGATATAAATCAATATATATTCAGAATTGAACCATCTAATTAAATGTAAGATAAAAATATTGCATAAGAAATATATAATAGATGTAAATTATATATCTAGTCTTCTTATACCATAAAATATTAAGAGTTATAGTTACTCTTATATATGAACATATTCTTTTACTTATAAAATTTTATATGTTAACAAAATTTTTAAATCTTTACTTGTGATTAAGAGAAAGAAAATTCTAAAGGCGATTAGGAATCCCTTATTAGGAGATATTCAAAAAATGTTACTAATAATTTAAATTCTTTCATCATATTTTCAAAGATTTGATTGACGTAGTTTTTTAATGATTTTTATTATAAAAATATTCAGAATAAAGTTGGACAGAAATTTAAACAGATGAAGACATGATAAAGAAAATATCTATATTTTTTATAAGTTCCTTTCATTCCAATCACAAATACAATAATATCAAGGAGGATACTAAGATAGGATTTTTCTTATAAAGGATAAATTTTTTTTCTTGTTTAATCTATTTATTTTGTTAAATTCATTATATCTAGTATTTTCACATACTGAAATTACTGCTATAATTAATTTGTTTAATAAATGTGCTTATTTTATTATATAAACAATACAGTTGTTTTAAATATCTAGTAGTATATATTTAATAATAATGATTTATGCTTTCAATTCTGAATTAGTTTGTTAATCACACACTACTAGTATTAGTAAAATAGTTATATCAATAAAATAATTATATAATATCAGTTATATAATTTTACTGGCTCTCGTCATTAATTATAATATAATTTTGCTGTTAAATTTGATGTGGCAAACTGCAAATTAGGTTTTATCGATTATTACGAATACTTATGAAAATACTCATGGAGTTGAATATTTGGAGAAGAAACCTAAGATTTAAAATTTAATTGAGGAAGAAACTCGGAATAATTATAGTGAAGATGAAGATTTTAATGAGGTTGATAAAGGTATAAATAATATTAAAATTAGAATTCGATCCTAATTAATGGAGTTTGAGAAATTTTGAAATGGGTAGGTATTTAGGAAATGGTAAATTTGGACATGTTTACTTAGCAAGGTAATAATAGTTTTATATCCAATTAGAGAGCGTGAAAGTAAATTCATTCTAGCATTAAAAGTAATAAGTAAAAGATAACTTAATCTTTGTTAATTGACAGGATCTCTAACCAGAGAAGTAGAAATACTCACACATCTCAAACATCCTAATATTATTAGTTTTTATGGCTTTTTTTAAACAGAAAAACGTGTATACTTAATGCTTGAATGGGCTCCTTTGGGTGATTTGTATGGTTTAATGAAGAAGTAATAAAATAAGAGATTTAATGAAAAAATGGCATCAAATATTATTAAGTAAATAACTATGGCAATTGGATATATGCATTCAATGAATGTAATACATAGAGATTTGAAACCTGAAAATATTTTGTGTTTTAATGATGATGTGTTTAAGATTTCAGATTTTGGTTGGAGTGTTCACACCCCATCAAATAGAAGAAAGACTCTATGTGGTACTTTAGACTATTTATGTCCAGAAATGATTAATTATCAATCTCATGATAATAGAGTAGATGTTTGGACAATAGGAGTATTGGCATATGAATTAGTAGTTGGTAATTTAAAAGATTATGAATAGGGAGACCACCTTTTGAATCACATAATGAGAATGATACAAAAAGGAAGATATAACATTTGTAATATTAGTTTCCTTAGTGGTGTAGTTCAGATTTTTAAAATTTTGTAAAGGGAATCCTTTAACATGATTGTAATAAGAGACCAACAATCTAATAGATTTTAAATCATCCATGGATAGTTTAATGAATTTACTAATATATATATTATTATTATTATTATTATTATAATTAAATAAATAAATAAATTTGAAAAATCATATGGTACTAATATAGATAATTAATAATTTTAGATTAGGTTCATCTTGTTGTAGAATAGATAGGGAAAGACAAGACTTTCAAAATGGTATGTTTATTATGATGATGCTGAAAAAGTTAAATTGCAAAATGAAGTTCATAGATTGATAGTTTGCAGAGACACTAAACACACTAACTTTTTAGAAGTATAGAGTTTCATCATTATTAGTTTAGGAATTATAAAATCATTTATAAAAGATATGCAGGATTGTTCTTTGCTTTATGTGTTGATGTGAGTGATAATGAATTAACAATGCTAGAATTAATACATTTATATGTAGAAGTATTAGATAAATACTTTGGTAATGTGTGTGAATTAGACATTGTATTCAATTTCAATAAAGTAAATCAATGATGCTACTATTGTAAGGCGTATTCTATTTTGGATGAAATGATTGTAGGTGGTGAAATTGTTGAAACTTCAAAATAAGTCATAATTAATGCAGTCAAGAATATTGAATTATTAGATTGATACATTATATATATCATTTATTTTTCTTCTTTTCTGCAGCCTTTGCATCAGCAATCCATTTTAATTATTCATCAACTTCTTTTCTATATCTCATTTCATTCTTCATTCTCTTTATTTATTAAACACTCTCCTCCACAAATTCATGATTTAAATTAAGTACTTCTGCCTCTTTTAACAATCCTTCCAATCCTATAATCATAATATTAAATATTAATACCCTTAATATTCTCATCCAAAGATTTTACATCATTAGCCCATTCTGGTATTACAAACTTAGGTTCCTTCTTCTTTTTTTTCTTTTGATTCTGTAATGCCAATTTTAAAGGATCTATAGGTTTCCCTGTTATAGGATCTATAGGTTTCTTTGTCTTAGGATCCCATTTTATAGGATCTGGAATCTCTCTAGCAGGATACTCATTAAACATCTTCAATATTTTCTTAGCTTAAATAGCTTTTGCCATCTTATCCCTTAATTCCGAAGCTTAATCTATATATTATTTATCAACTCCTTTTTCTGTTGCTATAACTACTTTATCATTTAATACAACCACTTATTCAGGTGTTGATAATCCAATATCTAAATTATCTAATTCGAATTACAAATTTCTCTATAAATATTATTTAAATGTACTTCTGCTTTAAGTCTTTCCATCTCCTTCTCAGCTTCCTCTTTAACATGAGCATCAATCTTAACACCTCTATTTACAGCATCATCCAACATAGCCTATATCTAATTGACAGATTTCAAGATAGTTTTATAATTTGCAACATGCTTCAAAGTACTCAAATACTCCAATATCACATTCTAAGTCCTTAATTTCTCCTATTCAATCAATGCAAATTTATAATTCTTAGGATCAATCTCTATTCTTTAAAATTCCTCCTTTCCATTCTCATTCTTTATTACTATTCCCTTCTCAATTTCATTCAATTTCTCTGTCAATAACTTATGATCTTATTTATCAATTATGCTCAATAATTCTTCAGTATGTTTCTTTATTGTATTCCAACAATTCAAACATCTCCCTTCTGGCTTTTCAGTATCATTCGATTCAGCATTCTCATATACCCAATCCATTCTATACTCCTCCTACTTCCAAAACTTTCTACAAGTCATACAAAAGTATTTGGCTGTTTAACCACTTATCTCTAACAACTTAATCAATTATAATATATAGGCATTAGTTGCCAAATCTTTAGCAGTATGTCCCCTTGTATTTGGTCTGTCTACAGCTACTCCATAAAACAACAATGTCTAAAATACTACTTAGTTCCCTCCTGATGCTGCCAAATGAACACTGTTATTACCAAATTGATCCACATCCTATATTAAAATCTCTAATTTTCTTTTACCTCCCAACTCAATCCTGCCTTCAATAATAACCAAACAACCTACACATGTCCTTTGAAACAAGCCCACATCAATGGAGTCGATCGAACTTATTAATTTATTATTCCCTAAACAACTTTCTTTGATAATTATTATTATTAGAAATTAAACACTGCAGATTAAGCTCCACCTCCTGGACTACCTCCAAAATAGGTGGACTTAGTTGGTGATGATGCATTCTATGGACTTGAATAAATAGGCATTGTCTATGCAAAGTTCTACAATATCAACGCCATTTCTGGAACATATGGTGCTGCTGCTTAACGAGACAATAAAACACGCACTATTTCTGTGTACCCTCTACATGATGCCCACATTAAAGGATTCCATTTTTTCTTATCCTCATATAAAACATTAGCTCTCTTATCTAAACAACGCTAGACTGCTGTTAAATCTCCTTTTTAACATGCACTCAATCTAACCAATTAAATACACCTTAATACAATTGTTAATGCCAATCTCCTTTCAATTTCTTTTCATCTTCATCCATATCAGACTCTTCTTCTATTGGTTAATCCATCAGTTATTTTTCTGGGTCCATTTTTTGTTATTTAAATTTTATATTATAAAATAATATTTTTAAGTATAATATTATATTAAGTATTACTCTAAAAAACATAAGATTATTATTACTGATAAACATATATATTTATACACAATCAATTAAATTTTAAGATATGTAGAATTACTATTAATTTTATTATTTATCTTATATTAAATAATTGTTATTATTCAAAATAAAATAGTTAAGGAATAGTTCATATTTAAATCTCTATTTACAAAAGTATATTGTTTAACAATCCTTATTACTTTCAACATTATGATTTCTAAAATAATATATCAACATATGGTAATCTAATTTAATAAAATTATAGGTTTTTATAATTATTAATTTAAACATAAATCTTTATCTAAAGTCAATTTATTACATTCGAATTTCTTTAAAACTGTGCTGTATTAGCTTCAATATTTTATAAAATATAATATACTTTAAGACAGTTATGTTAATTTATTAATTCCATTTAATATCCTATTTCATTTTTATAAAAATATAAGAATATAGTATAATAGTATTTAAATGAATAAACATTTTTATCAATTTATAGTTTATATTTTATATAATTATATCTAATAATATTCAAATTCTTGTATTTCTGTCATGATGAATTTTCTATTTTTTGTTAATAATAATTAGAATTAGTAGAAAATTCATAATCACTAAGAATTAAGTTATGTGTGATTTATCTTTAAGATTATCTTATACCAAAATAGTAGAATGAAGGATAGATACATCATTTTGTAAAACTAAGTCACAATTATTTTCTAGATATAATCTATAATTATTAATTTCAAGAAGTTATATATTAGTTTATTCTCCATCATTTTATATTTAAATTAAATGAGTTTCATTATAAATTTAGATCTCTTAATTTTATTCATATTTATAAAAGTAATCTATTAATTCAATAGGTGAACTTAAATTGATTTTATATAAATAATATGATGAAATTAAATTATGAGAATTTCCTTTTAGCATATAAATAGTATCACTAACCCTCTAGAATTGTTAATAATAAATATTAGGATATCTTAAATATTTATTATTTGATTATTTAACAATCCTCAATGAATTAGGATGAATAGTAAATTCAAAAATGTACGCCAAATCTTTAGGACAAAACATAATAACAGTAACTTAAATTTCCTAATTTAAAAATTTGAAATTCAATATATAAAAGGATACTATTTTGAAATTTGGTTTGAATTCATTGTTTATATAAATTGCATTAAAACTTTTCATACATGATGAAATACTAAACTAAGAATTTGCATCTAATATTAGAAAAATGTAATAATTATCATGTTCGTGTATAAATTAAATTTGTATGATATTTTAAATTTGTGTTTTACATTCTATAATACTTTCATATGGATTATATATTAAAATAGATCGCTAAGTTGATACTATAAGAAAATCATTTATCAAATTTATTGATATAAGTTTTTAACCTAATTGATTTTAATCCAACACCTCAGATAGAACATTAAATAAATCATTTTCTATTTATGAGTTTTATATTAAATCAAGAAAAATGAAAACCTTCTCATCTGAATTATAAATGACAAGTAAGGTATTATTAGATATAAAAATATTATTAAGGAATGTTGTGTTATCAGGTAATTTGATTGTTCTATTTTAACCAAAGTAATCATAAATTAATATAGATTAAGATATTAAACAAAATTATGAATTAATATCCTAACATTTATGTAATTAAACATTAGATACTACTTAAATTGGTTCTTTTAAAAATCCTTAACAAAGATTGCTAATACGTAAATTGTTGATACTACCAAAAATCATATCTAAATTTTATATTTCATTCTAAGTATTAAGCAACAATTATTGTTATTGAATATCAAGCTTATATCTGAGATTGTTATCATCATTAAATCCATTAAATATAACAATAAGGCTAGATGGAATCGATTAAATAAAGGATTAAACTTTAAATTTAATTTAAGATTTTATTAGAGCATAATCAGAAGTAGTTATACATTTGATGTTGATGCTAAGAGTTGGATAATATATGATAATTTTATCTATCAAAAATTAGATTAATATTCCAGTTTCATCAATCAGTTCAAAACTTTTTAAATTAGGTAATATTTTATTAATATACCTTAAACAAGATCTTCCTTATTAAGTAATATCATATATAAAAAGATATTATTACTCATTCTTTATTGTAATGATACCAAATAGTTTGCCATAAAATTTAATGTTAATTGGTTAAAAGATTTAAAATTCATATATAGGCATTTAATAAAGTAAGAACAATTCATCTATATCAAAATAATAGAGTAGTAATTATAATTAATTCTCTTTATTTACTATAAGTAAAATTCTGAGATGTGATACAAATATATGTGATAGGATAATCTATCCATCCATTTTTATTAAAATATCATTATGATAAGGTATTATTGATTTCACTTAAATTGTACAATCTTAATGATTAATATATAAATATGGGACTCTAAAATCATTATATTATATTTCTTGATTTTATTTCCAAAAATCTCTAAATTCTTTCTTCTTTATTTAATAATATTCATATATATGATCACCTTAATATGCATAAATTGTATTATCAGTTAGAAGAAGGATTAATTTGATTAAATCAAATTTATATTCTTTTATTTTATTTATAGGTTTAATTTAATGAATAAATTTTAAATCCTTTTTATCAACAATCATATATTTCATAATAGATTCACTACTAATTAATAATATTATATAATTAGATGCTATTATTCTATATTCAACTGATAATTCTTATGTTTTAGTAATTAAATAAATATTCTATTCATTATTATCATTTTTTATATTAACAAATATTTTATGATTTTTATTTTCATAAATTATAACTACAAAGTTCATTTCTAAAGAAATTACTTTTAAAATCTATTTAATTTATAAATTTAGGTAATGAGTAATTATTGTTTCATTTTTATATTAAACATAAAAACTATCTTAATTAATTTCTAAATCTAAATAGTAAGGGATATATTTAAAAAACATATTTGTATCAATTTTAATGTTATTGTTGATAATATTATTATGGTAGATAGAAATATTGTTTATAGTGGGAATCTCTAAAGGATAATTAATAGAATATTATGAGGTTTGATGGTAAAAGAGTATTAAAAAATTATTGATTTATATATATGAATTTTTCGGAAATAATGCTAAAATTGGAAGATGCTGATATTGGATAAATCTGTTAAAGCATATTATTTTATAAAAAGTAATTTGATTGTTCTTATGAACAGTGACTAAATAAGGTAATGTATTTAATTATTAAATTTGTTTTATATTTTAAATAGATTATTCAAAAAAATAATCCTGCATCAAAATTGCTGAATCTTTGTATACAAAAAGACAGATTTGATCAATGGTTTAAATACTTTAAATCTAAGATTCTTTATACATCATCATATCAAAAATAGGTTTAATATTGTCTATATTCATCTATATTTAAAATATTCCTCGAATCACAAAAGGAAAACAAGATCCTTATAAATATGGTAGCCATTAATAATATGAATGAAGATCACATGTTAATAATTAATCCTCAAAATTAAAAATACACATTTAATTAATAAAAGTTAATAGTATTATATTGGATTCACATATTTTTAGATCAATTAAATTAGTTTAATTAATAAAATTGTTTATTTCATGTAATTTTGTATAATTCTTATTAAATTAAGGTGATTAATCACTATATATTATTATATCAACAATTAAAATGATTAATATTTCACAATCAATAGAATTAATGAATATTTTATTATATTGAAACTTAGAATCATATCTACAATTGTGATTTAAATCTATAATTAATTCATCTAAAATTTCACTTTAATCATTTAAAATAAAATATTAAAATTAGTTGATAGAGTTTTGACATTTAATAAAGTATGAATTATCTTAAATAAGAAAAGCATTATAACATGATTTTAATGGAATATAAATTTAGTTTGATTTTATTTCACTTATAATAATACCTTCATTGTATAAAGTGTTATTTATTCTAAGAATACAATCTATTATTTAATTTTATAAATAACAAATATCAATATAATTTCCATATTGATGTATAAATTAAAGTAGAATTGCATTATCATCTAAAATTACATTAAACTCAGTTTATTTTTCTAATAATTACAAAGAAGATGAATTTTTAAGTTTTTCTAATAAATCTTCATCATCCTTATATGGGATTGCAAATTTATTTGCTTCAAGATAATACCTTTCATTTTCCATAAAATATAGTTATAGAAATCTTAAATTGTTATTCATAAATTTCAAATTGTTTATTTACATTAAAATTATAACTCTTCCTATATTACAATTCCTAAGATTAAATTATTGTTATGTTATCCCTACAATAACTGCAAATGAGATATGATAAAAGACTTACAAAATAATGTATAAAATTCATTTTGATTGTTTGTTATTAAATAATCTTAAATTGATATATATATAAATATATTAATAGTTCATCAAAATTTGATAAATATTTGATTATAAATGTATATATATACATGATATAAGTTTTATGATAACTAATTATATATTTACATTAATATAATTAGTTAACATGTTATAAATAAAATTTGATAAGTGGGTTAAAATAAGGATTGGTGAACCTATAACTGCTTTTGATGTTGATAATAACATGATAATCTTTGGAGCTATAAGTGGATATATAGGATAGTACCTTTATAATTAAAATGAATTGAGATACATACCTGATGTATTTGAGGAGATCATAAGAGGAGTGAGTAAATAATTATATAAACAAAAGCAATTGATTAAGATAAAGTATACATAGTTGTAGGAGATGTATATGGTTACATTTTTGATTATCAAATGAGAGAGAGTCATCAATGGAAATTTGAAAGACCCCATTCTCCTCCACTTTGTAGTTCAACCTTATCTTTATGTTATAAAACTAAAACATTACTCTTATCTGTTGCACCAACACAGAATAAAGATATTGGAGTGGACATTTCTACAAAAAAGAATAGTTTATATTTGTTTGATCTGCAAAATTAGGATAGTAATACTTATTATGCAGATATGCCATTATTATAAGTTCCATTTGATTTTAAGGGAGATCAATTATTAATGTTGGAGTATCTGAAAGAAGCAAAAAAGAAATTGTCAATATTATATTTGAATGATCAACCTTAAATAATCATTTTGTTGGATATTGATCCAAAAATTGAATATATATCACATGGAAGATTTATAAAGAATGGTATCTTGTTTGTTGAGAATCACAAGATTGTTAAAATCTACAATCCTATTGAGAAATCATAAAAAGTCATCAAAATAACTAAACAATAAATTGTGGCTCTTGATTATCATGAAAATGATTTAACTCTATTAGAATATGATGGTACAGTCACATTAATGGTTAATGAAGAATAAATAATTTAATTTAACATTTTGAAGTACATTTTTATATTATTATTTAAAAAGGGTTGTGTAAATACCTTAAGAGTTAGTAAAACATAAGTATTTATTTGACATGGGCTATCCATATTATATTAAAAAAAGAGAAAAGAGAATTGTAATTTCCCATGACTTAGGACTGCTCTCCTTTACTTTATAAATGTGAATCATCAAAATAATATAAATAAATCAATTTTATTTAATTATTGATCTCTATATCTATGTCCAAAATCATGCTAATTGTTGAAGAAATAATTTAGCAATTGCAATTTCTTATCCTATTCATTGTTAATTCTACTTTTTTAATAATGTTAATTAAAAACCTGTTTGGTTTATTCAATATCTAAAATTCTATAGATCATACTTAGATTAAATGNGGATAGTACCTTTATAATTAAAATGAATTGAGATACATACCTGATGTATTTGAGGAGATCATAAGAGGAGTGAGTAAATAATTATATAAACAAAAGCAATTGATTAAGATAAAGTATACATAGTTGTAGGAGATGTATATGGTTACATTTTTGATTATCAAATGAGAGAGAGTCATCAATGGAAATTTGAAAGACCCCATTCTCCTCCACTTTGTAGTTCAACCTTATCTTTATGTTATAAAACTAAAACATTACTCTTATCTGTTGCACCAACACAGAATAAAGATATTGGAGTGGACATTTCTACAAAAAAGAATAGTTTATATTTGTTTGATCTGCAAAATTAGGATAGTAATACTTATTATGCAGATATGCCATTATTATAAGTTCCATTTGATTTTAAGGGAGATCAATTATTAATGTTGGAGTATCTGAAAGAAGCAAAAAAGAAATTGTCAATATTATATTTGAATGATCAACCTTAAATAATCATTTTGTTGGATATTGATCCAAAAATTGAATATATATCACATGGAAGATTTATAAAGAATGGTATCTTGTTTGTTGAGAATCACAAGATTGTTAAAATCTACAATCCTATTGAGAAATCATAAAAAGTCATCAAAATAACTAAACAATAAATTGTGGCTCTTGATTATCATGAAAATGATTTAACTCTATTAGAATATGATGGTACAGTCACATTAATGGTTAATGAAGAATAAATAATTTAATTTAACATTTTGAAGTACATTTTTATATTATTATTTAAAAAGGGTTGTGTAAATACCTTAAGAGTTAGTAAAACATAAGTATTTATTTGACATGGGCTATCCATATTATATTAAAAAAAGAGAAAAGAGAATTGTAATTTCCCATGACTTAGGACTGCTCTCCTTTACTTTATAAATGTGAATCATCAAAATAATATAAATAAATCAATTTTATTTAATTATTGATCTCTATATCTATGTCCAAAATCATGCTAATTGTTGAAGAAATAATTTAGCAATTGCAATTTCTTATCCTATTCATTGTTAATTCTACTTTTTTAATAATGTTAATTAAAAACCTGTTTGGTTTATTCAATATCTAAAATTCTATAGATCATACTTAGATTAAATGTATAGATATATTATTAATTTATTATTTATTTTTTATATATAATAATATAATAATAATTGTAATTTTATTTAAAATTAAAACCCAATTATTTAACTCCTCTACTCTTCCCCTTAGGTGAATCCCGATTAGGATCCTTAATAGGGGTAGCCTTTCAACCATTATATCAGAATCTATTTGACTTGGTCCTAATGAGAGTACTTTTTCTGTCCTCTCTTGGCTACTTATTTACTTCAGACTTAGTAAAAGTTTTAGTTTAAGGAGCAGTAAAAGATGATATCAAACTGATAATTTATCTGAAATGAATTGTTATATTACATGATTACCCTTTTAAGTGTATTAATCAAAAAATGATAGAACAACTGGAAAGATGGATAATGCTAGGAGTGTAATTCATTAAGAGATTTAGTAATACTGATAAAATATTTAATATATTAAATATTGAATTATAAATTTCTGATCATTAATTATAAGTATCAAATCATAAATATGACTAATGCGGTGATTAAAGCAAATACAATTTAAGAATAGCAAGGTTTACATTCTCCTCCAGTAGAAGTAGAAACCCATCTAGAAGTACCCAAAGTCATTGTATAACAGTTTCCTTATCCTAATCCTCCATAATTTTAAGCAGCTGAACATTTCCCTGCAGTAGAATCCCAACTACATAATTGGTAATAACCTTTATAGATAACATCCAAAACATAAGTGCAACTCTACTAGGTTGTGTAATCACTACATAATAATTAGGAACAAGTATTGCTAGTATATTTACATCCTTATGGGGCTGTTGCACATTCTTATTAATTTAATGATGTGCAACTTTATGCTGCTGTACAATTTGTGTCATCTCTCCACATACATATTCCATCTTATGAGATATATCCCTCACAATACTATTTAGCAATGAAGTGTGAACAAGAATATAATTGATTTGAAGAACCACACTTTGTACCATCACTGAATGGACAATTATTAGAAATTTACAAACATTACCTTTAAGTTGATCCTTAAAATTGACTACAGAAGGTAAAAGGCTTACAAGAAGTTCCACTTGATGTTGTTGTCCACATACATTTCAAATTAGCAGCACATGCTATAGAATCAGTTATCTTATCACAATCTAAAGTAGAACATGAACTTCCATTCCATGTACATTAGGGTCCCATAGTTGTACAATCACTCTAATAAGACAATTATTCACAAGTGCATTTATTTGATAGATAGAATTATCCACTACTTCCCAAACATCCAATAAAGAATAGAGATATGACGATTTTGATCATAAAATTTAAATAAAATAATTTATATTCTGCATTTAATCAAAATTTCCATTTCAATTCAAATAATTAAGCAATATTCCTTTATAAATGAATCTCTAAATCATCTCATCTTTAATATCTTATTAAATACGCTATATTACTATATATATATCTAGTATATGTATAATGTCAATATAAATTTATTCCTAATAAAATCATATATATAAAAATATATAATTCATATTTATATTATATTTAATCTGAAATTAAAGATTTCTAATAGTTAATAGTATTCTTAATTCAATAATCCATTATTAATTTTACATTCTATTGAAAAGTCATCTTTATTATTCAAATTTTGTTATAATTTACATTCATATTATTCTATAAATTCCTATTTTTATTTCCATACCAATCTACTATTTTATATCTATTAGATAATCTACTATTTTATATCTATTAAATTCCTCTTATAATAAATACTTCCTAATCTAAATTTCAAATATTTTCATAATTTTATCCTTTATTTTATTGTCTTAGATAAATGCTGAAGATTGTCAAATTACAGAATTTTCTGAAAACAAGTAGTAGTAAGGAATTAGGTCAATAGACTTAAAATCTAAAAGTATTAAAGTTCTTATTGATTTTCAATATAATAATCAGATTAGAATATTTTATATGACTAATTTAATTATTATGAATAGATTTCATAAATTGGGTACTGATTGAACTTTACTACTAATATTATGGTTTAGTTAGTAATTGTGGGAATATACACATAAAAAACAATTGAATGATATGGTAAAATGAATTTCTCTATTTTCAAGATGCGATACATTAATCACTCTTTATTTTGTAATTACTTTGATTATTATTCCAATGTAATGTATTAATGTATTTTTATTATTTCTTTTATAATTTAATAAATTTAATTGAAGAAAAAATGAAATTAGAACTTAATTTTAGTTCGCTTTTTATGAAGTATTCAAGATTGATCTAATACATAAGCTTGATGAAATTTGGCATTGAATTCATTATTAAAAATGGTACTCTCAAATGATGGGACATTTGAACTAACTTTTGTAGATCCTTTTAGACAATGCAAAGGAAAGCCTTTAGAGTACAAGCATATAATGACACCTGAAGGAATTTGTGTCATTGGAGAAGTAGATTAGCACTTCATTCTCAATGTAGAATGCAAGGACAAAGGAGTATATGGCATCAGAGTTATTGTGGATGGGTATACTTTACCTGGAAAGAAGACTTTTAAAAGTAAGTGTAAAATACAAGGTTTCACCAATCCTGAAGGCAATATTAATTGCTTCAAATTCTAAAGACCAAAGTCAGACCCAGAATCTACTAATGTTTTCAAAAGAAATGTATATAGACCACCATGGGATTTGAATCAGAATGACTATCGTGACTATCCAGGAGGTGCTGGTGAAATTATAGTCAAAATCTATGAAACAAAATAAGAGGAAAATACACAAGGAGGAGGTGGTGGAGGTGGAAGAGGAGGAGGAGGACCAAAAAAATCCTAGGATCCTATGTTTGTAGAAGTGACTAAGAATGAAAGCAAATAAGCTCAAGATTAATGTTTAGGTATTTCATAAGGAAATGTAATTGAATTGCCACCAAGATAAAATTTTGATGATTCCAGACCACCAAAACCATTTAAGGATGTAATTGTTTATGAACACATTGTTTAATCCTTCAGAGTCATATATTTTGATACTGCAAGTCTAGTTGAGAAGGGATATGTTAAATTGAATTGTCATAATCACATTGCTTATTTGACTGAAGAATTCTTTCAAGGAAATGAAGCTGCTTTGATATAAGTCTTATAAACTCTTATTGAGAGTGGACAGAAGGATAAGGAAGAGTAGGATATTCAATAGACAGCAAATGTTCTAGTTGAAAGATTGGATTATTTCTTCACAGGAGAACTATTGAATGTCTTTTTGAACAAGGAAAATCAAGAATAAATGTAATTAGATCCTGGTTAAAGGGCTTAGTATTTGGAAAGTGAACTGATTAAATTTATGGAAGGTTGGCCTGATTTCTTTTTGAATTTAGGAATGGGAGCATTTGGAATAAAAACAAAATATGAATAGAAAATATATATTGATAGGATTTAAGAGAAAGTAATCAATAACCAAATAAAAAATGGAAATGAAATATAATAATAATGATATAATTTATTATTATTAATCTAATAACATTAACTATCTAAGCTTTAGATTTCATACAATTATCTACAATTTAATGTTCATGTGCATAAATGATAACTAAAGATGATTGTTTAAGATTTAATTGTAAAATCTCACCATACTAATAATCATAATAAAAAATCAATCTTGATAAAACTGCATTAAAGAATAAGACTGCCTTATCTTTAGGTGTACCAGATTTCAAATGTACTGCATTATTTTGTTCTGATATCAAGACTCAAGAACTTTGTGATAATACAGGTGAATGTGTCTGGAATAATAATGGTGTATGTGAAATCTTTTCTGGATGTGGATCATATTAAGTTGATAAAAAAGAAGATTGTTTCTTAAAAAGTACATAAACCAAGTTTTGTACATATGATGAAGAATAATAAAGTAATGGAAAATATAATTGTATTAATGATCTATCTAAATCAGGAGGAAGTTTTATGACATGTTTCACTTTAAATAATGAGAATCTATGTAATCAATACGAATATGCTGTATGTACTTGGAGAACATTTTAATAATGTGAAGATGAATCTGATGAAGTTAATTTGTGTTAGTAATATCAATATTGTATTGGTGAAGAAAGTAAGGATTGTGCAGATCTTTCAGGATTTTAAGATAAGTGTGATAAAAGAGAAAATTATTGTAAATGGGTAAATGATAATAGTACATGTATGGAAAGAGAATGTTCTGATTATACATCTGAAACTGATTGCAAAAGCATTTTAACAGATGATTTAAAAAGGGCTAAACCTTGTACATGGGAAGAAGGATTATGTATATAAGGGTTTAATTTAACTAAATTAAATAAATACAATTGTTTGATTGATTCATTGAATACTTCAATGTGGAATGAAGTTGAATAGAGATGTCAAAGTTGTAAATTTGAAAAAATATTGAATTTTATTATTATTGTATTGATATTATTATAATGAATTAATCATCTGATTTATTATTATTAGCAAAATAAAGAGTCAATGAAAAAAAAGGATAGAAAACTTAGGATATATTTTGTACTCAAATAAAATAGAAGAAACAAATAATAACAGATGAAGAAGTTTAGATTGATCCAATTTCATATGAAGAATTTGATGATCTCAAATAATTACGTAGAATGATAAGATAAACAGATCATTCAATTAATTAATATGGAAAAGAAGTGAAATAGCTATAAAATGACATTAAAAGATTAACTAAATGATATTATGTTTCAATATTTTTATTTGAATTCTACATTTAATTACTATCAATCTCATTAAATTCTAATGATTTTCAATTATTCTATTACAATAGTATTTAGTTATGATAAATCATTCAATTACAACAATATTTTCACCAATAAATACATTATAATTATTTATGATTATCTTAAATTGCTACTATTTTAATATATTTAAATTGAGTAATATTATTTAATTTATTTGTAAAATTTCTAGTGAAATATGCATTTTATATTGAAATTAATAATAAGAGTCAAGTCTATTGAATACTATAAGGGAAGCTATAATATGATATATAGATTCATATTCTTCAAGTCTTCCTAGACAAAGATTCAGTTATTTCTAAATATACTGAATAGTGTAGAATAGACATCCGAAGATAATTTTTCTGTAATCTGTTTATAAAATGAATTGAAAGATCTGAAAATAACAATTGATATGTCATTAATTATATAAGATGGAAAAGTTAATAAATATATTTGGTTTCAACAAGATTTAAAATATTAATACAATGGGATCCATTTGTTTAGCGAAACAACAGAATTTCGCTTCTATTTCTTAAAGTGACATAGAAGTCGCTGAAGAATAAGCTATTAGTGATCAAATGAGCACTATGTCATGCAATTTCATTTCAACTTTAGAACTTCAGTTTAAAAGTTCATAGTAATAAACTCAAATTGAACAAAAACAGACCAAAAAACTAACATCAGAGTTATCATAATTGAGTCAATAAACTGTGAAGAAAGGAATTTTAAAGAATAAAAACACCTATTATGAAGAAGAGTTAAAATTGCTTTCAAAGACAATAAAATTTAATCAAGAAGACATTCATTGCGAAAAACTAGTGAATTATTTAAGGGCTCGTAAATATTAAGGGTTATAAGAAATACATTTATGATTTTTTCATATATTCTTACTTAAATTTATTTAACATTGATAAAATCATTATATGTGTATAAGCTATACTCCCTACTTAATTATTCATGTTTGTTTTTGTCCTATTTTAAGACACATGAAATCTTAATCATAAAATCTTCATCAGGATTTTGATCAGTTAAAAAAGGAAGATAGACTAAGCAACACATATAATTCTATAATTATTTAAATACATGGTGATAATAGAGAATCATAGTTCTTTTAATATATTTAGACATATCTAATTAATCTAACTAATAATTGTAGTATAAAATTCAAGAGCAGAGTTTCATTTACTAGGTTTAACTGTATAATCTGTAATAAAGCAATTATATGAGAAAAAGAATTTTCCTTGAAAGCTAGATACACATCATTGTTGCTTACTAATAAAAGTTCTCTTTATCATTAACAGAATCAGTATAGAAATAGACTCGATAAATATTGATTAAGTTGACTAATTGATTTTCAATTACTTTAAAAGTCATTATTATTATATATTTTATATATATATATATATCACATCAATCTATGTCTAATAAGAATGTTTTCTATATTCTCAGTGCTACACATCAAATTTACACTTTGTTTGTAATACTAGCATACAATAGCTTCACTTATTTCTGGAGTTTCCTTGTAGAAAAGGACAAAACATCCCTGAATCAATTGTTCAAATTATTGTTTTAATTCTTCATGAGCAAAATCACCCATTCTTATATTTCGTTTTTGTAAGATTTCCATAAATTAATCTTTATTGCATTCAACAACACGTTTAGTTAAATATTTAAAAATGTATGGTAAGCCTTCTTAAGTAATTTTAAATGGTGTAACTTATCCACCAAAACTTTCTTTGCCTCTTTCAAAAAGTTTCTATCCAATATTAATAAGTTTAAGGTTTTCTAATTAAATATAAAATATTATTTACAATTTTTGGAATCAAATAATATATTTTTTACATCTTCACTAACATATCTAAATTTCTTATTGACTTACATTATAATGTCAAGAGATTATCCAGTACCTAGAACTTATGCTTATGGGAATCCACTAATACCATAATAATCACATATGACTTTCCAATCATAGTCATTAATAGGAGTATAAGGTTCAAGTAATGCTGCTTGATTTTTATCATTTTACTATTTATCATCCTATTCATTGCTTTATTTTAAGATATCTTTAAGATGATCCTAATTGATATCAATATCTTAAATAAATTATTCTTATTAATTATCTTCTTATTATATTATTTCTTTATGTTATTATTCTTATTAAGTTTATTATAAGACTTATTCAGGTTATAATTATAAATTTTCTGATAAAGGTTTATCTATAATTTATTCAATTTCAATTTATTATTATTATTATTATTATTATTATTATTATTATTATTATTATTATTATTCACTTAATATTGGTTATTATTAAGCTATAATTGATTCTTAATATATAGGTTTTTTCCATATAACTGCTTACTTTTTCTTAAATAATGCCAAATAGAAACCACCTGTATCTTAATCATGTGGAAGTACTCTCATAGTCTTCTCTATAGCAATTTTATTCATAAATTCTTCAGTGTCTGGCCATAAAGAAGGTTTTAATGTTTTTAATGCATTAATCATTTATCCTTCTTATTTTCTTGAGAACTTAGAAAATAACTTTTTAATATCCAATTTCTGATTAACATTATTAACTTCATAAACTAAATCATCCTCATTGACAGTTTCAAGAAAAGACTTTTCATCTTCATCTGGATTAGATTCTCTTTGAAGATACTTTTAAGTCAGAAAGTCATCAGTTATAATTACTTTCCAATCTTTAACTCCTTTTCTAGTTTTAAAACCTTATAATGTATTTAAATCAACTAATTCAAAAGCATCAAAACCTGCTCTTCTAAATACCTCAGCCACAACGGCTTCATCTTCAATTGGATTAAGTGAACATGTACTATACATAACATATCCTCCAATTTTACATAATTAAAGTGCTCTCATTAAAATACTCAATTACAAAGGATGAATGACATTACCATCTCTTGCTGACCATTTAACCCATCTAGTTGGTAATTTACGAGCAGCTCCATCTCCAGTACATGGAACATCACATAATACTTTATCAAATTATAATCTTTATCCATTAATATATAATGTTGGATAAAATTATGCTGCATAATTAGTAATCATGACTTATGCTGTTGGCATACGAGATAGTTGATGTGATAACATATAAGCTCTTTTTGGGTCAACATCATTTGCAACAATTAATCCTTTATTTACAATTTCTAACAATTAACAAGTTTTTGATCCTGGTGCTGCACACATATCTAAAACAAAATCAGTTGGTTGAGGATCTAATAATAAAGGAGGAAGCATTGAAACAAGTTCTTATCTTGTCAAAAGTCCAGTTGAATTACATTTTTATATGAATTAATGCAATTTAGTAAGTGCAGCTGATTTTCTTAAACTTTTCTTAGGCACTTTAGATTCCCATACTAAATGATTTGGATACCATTTTATTTCTCTAATTGGCTCTACTATTTCTTCTTCATTGACCATGTCTTTTATCAATGAGCCATCTTACAATCTTTCAATCAAACTCTCATATTTATATTAAGATGGATTTATTCTAAATGTGACAGGTAAAGGAAGAGATAAAGATTACCAAAAGATCTTAAATTCTTCTGGATTTATTTCTGGTAATTGAATCTAAAAATTGTATAATAATAATATAATACCTCATAGAAACGACGAAAGATTGGATTTTCAAATTAAACAACGCAAATTTATTGATTGTCTTGATCCCAATGATTTGTCTTTACTTTTTTCTAAGGAGCATTTTCATACTTGCTTTAATTTTTATTTCGATGTTTCCCCATATATTAAAAGATAAATTAAATTTTAGGTGAAATTTGAAAAGTATGAATATTTTCTGTTTTTATTTATGTTATATAAGAAATTAAAACACTAAATGAATTATAAATAAGTAAGTTATTCAAATTTCTAGCTCATTTTTACAAATTGGACAATGTCTACTCTTCTTGAGCCACCTATCAATGCAATCATCATGAAAATAATGTACTATATAATAATATATATTAAAATACAGCATGGAATAGTCTTTACTTAATCCTCCTCTTCATATTCACATAGACATATCAAACATTTCATATGATCCTCATCCAATTATTTAATTTATTCTAAATTTATTTTCCTTACTGGCAATTATTATATTTCATGTTCTTCACATCCTAGATTGCCTTCAATAGTGCCATTTTCATTTAATTGTATGAATGTATTCAATAATCTATGTAAAGATTCAATCTAATCTTATCTATCATTATTTTAATTATTAATTGATCTGCTTATGATATTGTAGTTTTAAGTTGATTAGAATTGTTATAAATTCATTCTTTAATCTATTTAATCTGTTATTTGAATATGTGTCTAATTAGGAATTACAAATCCATAATCTTCTTATAAACATACTTCGAAAATGAAATCACCAATCCTTAAAATCTACCCCTTTTCTAAATATCTAGTTAATCCTGCAAAATATGGATGAATAACATAATTTAATACTTACTACATTGCATAATTTCTATTATTATGAGAGAATTCTATAGGTTGCTTCAAAATAATGAATTAAACCTAAGACAATCTAGGTACATTTGAAATACACTCCATTTTAGTATATAAATGCAATCTTCCTGATTATTCAGTACATTGCAATACAAAATATTCCTGATTGTTAATTTTGATATATGAATCTAACATAATACTAATATCATATTACCCTAAATGAGTTAGTTCTCTTTTGGATGAGAAAAAAAATAATGAAAAAGTTCATCTTAAAAGTTTTTTCTTTGAGTATATATTTTCAATTTGTAAAGGATTCTATCTGTATATGATTCATAACAATATATCTTTGTGCCAGTACCCACAATGCCTTATAGTTATGAACCACATCCAACCACTCGAAACTCAAACTAGTCAATATTGAAACAAGCTCCTGATGTAATTATTCTTTCTCTCTTCTCAAAGAATGGCAATATAATTTGGCTCATCAACTGTCCATAAGAAATGTGATTAATACAGTTCCTAAAAATTTGTCATGACAAATAATACTGATTCACTCGTAACACAATAGAATCTAAATGCTATAATGGGAAACCATATGGACAACATTGAATATCTTGGCTATGATTCAAGAGAGTAATCACTCCATCTTTTATTACATACGGAATTTAACATTCTTCACATTTGTTAGTTCTTCCCAATCCATCATCAAATAATATATGATCGCATCTTAGACAATTTACCTTTTATGCCTTGAACTCAGGGTTTTTTGTTATCTATGATGGAAATGTTGAACAACCTAAATGTCTATTTAAACATACTCTAAGCTAAATATTTGATCAATTCGCTTTCTGATTTATTGATTTACTTTGTTTATTATGAGGATTGAATTCCTTATTGATTTTAATGTCTTGAACTATTTCCCATCAAGAATTAATAAATATATATGAAAAATAAAATTAGATCTTCCTAGAATATTTTTAAATTCCAATATTTATAAGATTTATATAACAAATCAATCCTCAAAGATTAAATAACTTAAGATATAAAATCATCCATAAATTTTTATTATACAAATACTAATTAATATTTTTTATTATCTTGTACTAATCTATTAGGATAATTGAAAATTGTGAGAATTATTTAAATAAATCTGAAGTGGAATCATAGCTTTGATTATTTAGTATATAATCATAAATGGTTAACTTAAAGAATTAAAAAATGTAAACACTTAGACTTCTTATAATTATTTATAATTCACATAAACAAAAAGTATGAGACTATTTTCTGTAACTGTATCAGTGATTATGATTAAATTACTTCAAATTTGGACAGATTACAATAAATTTTATATAAATTATTTAATTCTCTTTAAAAATATATTATATTTGGTTTTACTTCAATTAAATGTTAAAGAAATAAAAATTTTTAGGATTTTACTTTGAATTCAGGTCTAACTTCCATATAAATAAATTCTTATAAACATAATTTGAATGTCTGTCTTGACTCTGGTTCTACTATAAATACTAATTTCTTTTTTTATCATTTCTTTCTTGTTACATTTTTTTCAAATGATCATTAGGAATAATAGATTTTATTGATACATTAATGATAAATGGATATTTCAATTGAATTTTGCAGATATGTATATCAAGAAGTTTAATCTCCAATTGTTAAAAATATGGAAAATGATATAAATTCTGTAAAATTGCAATTAAAATTATTTTATTTTAATAATGATGAAGTTTGTATACGACTTTGAAATGAAATATCCACTTGCTTCACCTTCCATCTATACTACTCTTTCAAGCATATTTTTTGCTCTGAATTCTTTTAGTATTAAATATTTTGATGGAATACCTGCTACTCAAATTATTTATTGGAGATCGATCTTAACTTTGATTATCATCGAAATCTTGGCACTATTCATTCCAAATAATACATATCCTTCCTCAAGTAAGACACTTAAGAAACTGATTACTCGAGGTTGCATTGGAGGCGTTGGATTTCTTTCCTGCTTTTTATCATTAAAATTAGTCACTGTTTCAGAGGCAGTTGTTTTGATGAAAACTAATCCTTTATGGACAACCTTTATCTTAGCATACATTCTAAAAAAAGAAGTAATTACAAAAAGAACAATTCTCGAAATCTTATTCTGTCTCTTAGGTGTAATTTTGATCTCCAAACCACCAATTTTGTTTAATTAGAATAATGATGAATTCACTTACCTTAATTTCTTTGGATTGTGTTTAGCTCTCTTAACTGCAGTAACCACTTCATTTGCTTAAGTACTAATTAATTCTCTCTCATAAGAAGTTAGCTCCTTAGCTATTTTGCAATACTTTTCCTTTTTTGGAATTATATCCTCCATTTTATATTAATTATACTACTCGGTTGAACAATTTAGAGCTGTCTCTCTTTATGAGGCTAATTTATTATTATTGAGTGGATTCCTTGGCTGTTTGGGATAATTATGTATGAATAGATCTGTAATGATTGGAAATGTTACATAATAATCGTTAATTGGAGAATCTTAAATAATATTTAATATATTACTGGATATTTTAATATTGAAACAAGATATTGAAATCTTTAGTTGGGTTGGAATTACAATAATTATATTAAGTTTAACTTCAAATTTATTAAGAAAATAATGATTAAGCAATTTATTGAATAATATTATATTATTTTATGATAATTATTCTAATAAATTAAAATATATCCGGAGATAATTTCTTTAATTAATGTTCCTTAACCTGAAAAGTAGAATAATTATATATTGTCTTAATAACATTAAATTATTCAAAGTAAAATCATTAGAAATCCTGATTATCAAAAGAAACACAGCTATTTCGATGTGGATTTAACATTAATGATTATTCCATTTCCTAAATCAGATTCTCTACTGTTAACAATTTTTTTTTTAGCTCTTCTATTTCTCTTAATATTTCATTAAATTCCATCAAATTGAATTCCTTATTTCATCATATAAAAATCAATACTTTTGTCTTAACAATCTCATCCATCTTATGTTTAATCTCTTTGATAAGTAAATCTCTCTTTTTTTTCATTTCCTATAAATTAATTTCTATTTCCTCATTAATTTATTTAGGTTCTTGAAATTGAAATGAATTTATTTCTTTCAGATTTTTAGATGTAACAGTATGAAATATTTCCTTCATAATTTAAACACTCTTTCTAAGTTAGTTCTCTGGTATCTTATTTAAAAAATATTCTTCATTATTTGTTAAATATTGTTATACAATTTGTCTTAATTCTTGATCATTTAACAAATCTTAATTATATTAAAAATTCTCGGATTATTTATTTGTAGAAATTGTTTAAGGTTAATAATCAAATTCTAAGATTATTGTCTTTAACTCACTATTTTCCTAGAGTAATTAATCATTCTATAGAGTTAAATCCCTGTATGTTTAAGTGAATTCCTAAACCAATCTTTCGTTTTCTTAAGCCCCAAGATTCTTTTCTTACAATAGCTTTATTTTAAATTCATTGATCTCTTTCTCTTTCAATTTCATAATCTTTTAGAACTTTTCTTAAATTGTTTTTTACTCCAAAATTTCATTATTTCTGACATTCAACTTTTCTTTACATTCTTAAAGTTCTTTTTAGACTTATTTGTACATATTTTCAATGGACTTTGCTACAGATTAATGTTTCAACAATTCCCTTTCTTAACTACTCTCAAAAATCAATATTTACTCCTAATATCTTTAAAATAATTATTAATAACATCTATCTGTGTCACATTTCTTATACCTTTCCTTCTCTAAATCATCCTTTAATTGGTCATATTTCTTATTAATCGCTTTTAAATTATCTTCCAGATTCAAAATTCTTTGCATTAATTGTTCTTTGGTTTCTTGACAAAAGGGGGAGGCATTTTCATAATAAGGAAATTAGTGTTGTATATTTTAGTTTATTGTTTGTTAAATATGAGGGTATCCAATAAACTATTTGTTTGGTGTCATTGATTATTTGTCACTAAACTAAAGATAATAAATTAATCGTTTATACACTACATCCTCTAAATGGTGATGTATTAATTGCTTTTTCAGGAGTTTTGGTAATACAATTTGAAGATGGAGTTAATATGTAATTTAGATGTTGTTTTTGCATTAACGAATAATAGCAATTAATTATAATATAAAATTTTTATATTTTTATTGAAATTGAAACTTATTTTTCATAAAATCTAGGTAAAATACAAATAAATTGTTAAAATAATATAATAATATTAATAGATCAAATATTTCGATCTATTTAATAAAATTAACAACCACTATTAAAAATAGAAAATATAAAATATTACTATATTTTATTTCTTATTATTCCTATTTCGATAATGTAATTATAAAAATTATAGTAATGATATGGGATTATATAAGAAAATTACAAAATAATAGCCATTATTCAACATTACTAAAAACAATCATTTGATACAGTTGACCAAAATGAGATGATTCAAATAAACTTTATGGAAATAGTAACTTGAGAGCTATAATTAATATCACGAATAAAACTCATCTCTTCCAAAAACAATAAAAGGCTTAAAAGATAAAAAATACTATAAAAAATATTCAAACACATAAAAAATTATCTTATTTCAAATGAAAAAATAATCGATATTAAAATTTTTTACATAAAATTAAATTTATATTCAACCTAAAGTATTAATGAAAGGAATTTAATCAATAGATCGTATGTTAGTTTATATACATATATTTTGGAATCTAAAAAATAAGATTGATGGTTTAATTTTATACTAGAATCTGAAAATTTGAATAATTTTAAATATAAAATAATGTCATAACATTAGTATGACTATTAAATTCAATAACAGAAATAAATTAAATGAACTTCTCTCTGGATCAATCAAATCACGCTACAAGCTATAGGTTCTTCTTTCTTTTGGATAAAGCATTCCTCCATCTACTGGTCGAGCTTATAAATATAAACGGTTTTATCTTTGATAAACCATATCACTTTCATAATCAGGAGAATCGCTTGTCATTCCTAAAGCTGGGAATTCCTTTCCTGTTAGATTTGCCTTTTAACCATTTTTAAATGGTTCTATTCCTTCAGGCAATCCTTGATTTAAGTTGGTAGCCATTTCATCATTCATAGGTGTAATGTATAATTAACTCATACTGAATTTGGCAAAGTATGCACCTGCCACAACTTGAGAAGCATCTTCTTCCCAAACAAATGGGCCAATTACTTCCATTTCTAAGAAGGGGGATGTCTAACCAGGGCCAGGAAAGCTGGTTAATACCAAAGAATAATTCGATTCTGATAGAAATGTTAATTTTCTTGTCTAAAAAGTTGTGATCAATTTTCCTTGATTGTTCTTGCTTGGTCTTACTTCTTTTGTAAGACTCTACCAAACACCTCCTAGAATTGCTTCTTTCAATTCATCAAGGGTTAGGGGAGTTTCATCATCTGAGAATGGGATTAGAGGAGCACATAATCCTTTTGGTGGGTTATCTAAAGTTGCTTCATTTCCAAATACATCCACTTCTCCCATATATAAATAATCATCTCTGATGTATATAAGATCATATGCCAAGAAAAACTGATTGGATTATTTACCCAGAGCTGGAACAGCCAATTTGGTTACGTCTTAAGGTTTATCTTTAACCCATGTGATACCATCCTATCCTTATTATGCTCCATTGAAAGCAGTTACAAATTCATCCGTGTGAAGTGTGATAATGGCACTCTTACTGAAATTAAATTAGCACAAGTAAGCCCCTGAGATTACATCACTTGCTCCTTAGAATGCTATTTCTCCTTATCCTTAGATAGATATTTTTCTATTTGACCCAGATTTGTCTTCGAAATTTTCGATTAAAGTTGAGAATCCAGAATCTGAAGTAAAATTCCATTATCTTCTTTAATATTCTGGATATGCTGTTTCACCTTGATAGTTTGGAACTAATTCCAGAGCTATACTTTTCCAATCGTTAATGATTTAAGCTTTAATTTCATCCAGAGTTTATGAAGTAACCAATTTAATCACTAGTGTCATAATGATTAGTGTTTTGGTAAGATAAGTTATTGTAAACATTAAGTTAATATATGATTTATTTTTTGAGATGATGGATTGTTTTATAATGACAATTGGAATTTCTATTTTCCTAACTTTATATTAATAAAGATAAATTTGTATTATAACGCTGATAATTTATATAAATTTTTATTATTTATATATATAATTAATTTGAGAAACAATTAAATATTTTTAAATATGACATTTGTATCTTTCAATTAAATAAATATCTAAATATTTTCAACCTTCAATGAAAGACATTTTAATATTAAATTCTTTATATCTTTTTTAAAAAATTTTTCTTAAACCTTAAAGATCTTTTAATACAATATTGTATAAAAGAAAAATTTATTTAAGAATCTTTACTTAAACAATAGAATTCTTATTTTATAAAGATTTGGTATTAATAAAAATAATCAAATAGAAATATTTGAAATTGATTGAATAAAAATATGATTCAAATAATTATCTTTAAATTATTTTATATATAGAGAAATAAAATCACTTTGTTGAACAATTTAAACAAGATGTTTTCATCAATTAGACAAAAATTGATTTTTAGTTTTTTAGTAGTAATTCAATTTATTTTTAAAGCTATGGAGTATTGTAATTAATTTTACTATAATATTATATTCTCTTCTATTAATATTGATCTTTATAACAGCTTGATTGAATTAACAATTATGGATGGAAGATGGAAGCGTTTTTGAATTAATTAATGGAGTTTTTAATTACTAATTAATTATTGATGCTTTAATTTATAGACTTTTTTCATTTATTCTTGTAAGTTTAAGATTTATTCAATATTTTTATAATTCCTTTTGGATTAATTCAATTTATTTTTTATCAAAGAACTCATTTTAATTTGCTTATTATCCATTATTTATAATCTTTCTCCATTAATTAGACTGATAAAAAATTAATTTAGTAATTAAGTACTGTAACATGATTGCTTTGAATCCTATTAAAACTTAAATTATCTTAGAAAATCTACTCTAAGCATTAACGAAATATTGATAATTAAATATAAATTAAAGTTTAAATAATTTTTTAAGTACTTCTTAATAAATATTCATATAATTTTGAATTCATTATGACCATTATGATCACTAAAGTTTATTTTATCTATCAATTTTTTAGACCTTTCTTATTACTGGAGAATTGTTTTTTGTAATTTTTATAAAAGTTATATTAATATATATATAAGAATTCTAGATTTTACTAAGATAATTTGAAATAAGAATTAATGAATTTTAATCAATGAGTCTTTAATTATAATATCTTAATTTTAAACAAAATATCTGCTAATAATATATCATAATCATAGATAAATGTTCCATAAGCATACAGTTCCATCATAACTAGTTGTGATTACTTATTTTTAATCACTTGTCCATGCTACCTTAGAAACTCCAGATGAATGTCCTAAATATTTACCCAAAATGGATTGAGTTAATATTGAAATCAAAATTAACTATAAAAATTTGATTATTATTTACCTCTCCAGAATCTGATCCAGTAGCCAATATTTTTCCATCTGGACTGATTGCGATTGAATTTAATTTCATAACATCTATGGATTGGACTGGCTCTACAATGTCAATATCCCAAAATTAGATCGGCATATTAATACCACAAGTGACTAACATTTAATAAGGAAACACAATTACTTAGTTCTAACTCATTATCCTTTCTTTAAGTCATATCAAGGAGAACTCCATTTCTAGATTAGTGCTAAATAACCTTTTTATCTGTTTTGAGATCATAAGTGTAAATAGTTTTATCAGCTGAGCATGAATGAATAAAATTAGGTTTCATGAGATCTGGAAACACTTTAGTTATTTCCTTAGAGTGGATAGATATTTAAGTAATTAATTATCTTGCTGTTTTTGACCAAACTCTAATAATACTATCCTCACCACCTGAGAGATAATAATTCTGATCACTATATAAACTAGTTACAGCTCCTTTATGAGCATTAACTATCTCCCATTTGATTGGCGATACTGGTTTATTAGTTATCATATATGCTCTTATAAAACCATCTCTCCAACCAGAAATGATTGTCCTATCAGGATCCAAATAAACTGATGATCCTTTGACTCTGTTCATGTTAATTGGAATACATCTTGTAATAACAAGCATTTCATTCATATCCCATACCATAACTACACCTTCATAATCAATGGAGACAAAGAGATCACATGCATTTAATGGTACTGATAAACCAACAATACTTGATTAATGTCCTTCAGTATGTACAGATGAATCTAAATGTGCAGTGTTTATTCTGTAGATTCTACCATTTGATGTTCCTGCTAATAATTCATTACCATTAGGATCAATTGTTATTGAATTCATTCTACCTTCTAAACATAATTCTCTTTCTAAATTCCATCTAGTATCACTTCCAGTCAATTTCTTCACCTTTCCATCTCCAGAACCAACAAAAAGATTCTTTCCAAAAATATTAATACTCAAAACTCCATTATTACTAATAGGTATTGTTGCTTTGAATATTCCTCCTTATTATGAGGATATACTAAAAATACAAATTTCACCAGCATGAGTTCCAACATACAAATAATCTCCATTTGCATCAATTACTGCTTTTGTGTAATTTCTGACTAAACCACTACTAGGTAATTGACATGGTGCTTATTTGAGTTAATATTGCATAGAAGCAACATCAAAATCCATTGTATTTAAGAAGATATTGGAACCTTAAGAAGTGACGATTAAATATTAAGAATGTTTAGTAGATGATCTTCTTGGAGGACACCAAGTTATCAGATTTATTGGAACTTCTAATAATTTATTATGAACAATAGTATAATCTTAACAATTCCATATTATAAGATTATTGTTTGATGCAGTAGCTGCTAAGAATTTATCATCACTTGAAAAAGAAAGATTTGTAATTTCATCTCTCAAACCTCTGAATATTTGCATTGGTTTTCTGGCATTAAAATCCCATAGTATGACTGGTGCTTCTGGTGTCTTTGCATTTCTAGATCCCATCTATCCAGATGCAATATATCTGCCAGTCTTTGATAATGTCAATGCACTAATATCCATGTCATGTCCTCTCAAAAACAATTGTTAATGTTTATCATTCAAGTTTTCTATTACAATTAATCCAGCTAATGCATATACTATTGTGGACTCCTTTTGAGGATGCAAGTGTATTACATCTCTATATCTCCCAGAAAATCCATTCATGTGATCTAATTCTATTGCATCACTCTATAAAGGTAGTTTCTATCCTGCTTCAGGCATAGGTTGCTATACAACTTATGGAAGAGTTTAATTATAATAAGGATTCTGATACTGTTACGGATTTTGAGTGTATTATATGGGAGGCTATGGATAAGGTTGCTTGTAATAAGGTTGTTGATTCCCTCTTTATGCATAATCTATAGGAGTATTTGTTATTGGATTTATTCCATTCTTATTCTAATGGCCTGGTTAAGGTCGTAAATTCATAATTTAAATTATTATTTCTTTTTTCAATTATATATATGTAATAGTATATATATAAGTAACTACTAATTAATGAAATTTTAATTTCTTTTATGCCATATCTCCTTCCAAAAATTCGATATGCCTTCTGTGTCTAAAGGGTACCAAATGGGACTCATTTAATTGTTGGATTGGGTAATCCTGGCAAAATTTATGAAAATACTAGACATAATGTAGGACAATAGTTCGTTAAACATCTTGCTAATGAGTTTGCCATAAAAATGAATGATGGATCAAATGGGTCAATTGGATCATTTCAACACATAATTCTTTTTAATCCTCTCTCATTTATGAATTCTAGTGGCCACCAAATAAAAAAGCTCGCAGATAAAGCTAAAATAGCAACAAGCAATATAATTGTTGTTCATGATGACTTAGACAATTTACCAGGAAGATGTAAGATTAAATAAGGAGGAAGCGCAGAAGGACATAATGGTTTGAAATCCATTATTTAATATATGGATGATAAATTCATTAGATTAAAAATTGGAATAGGAAGACCTAATTCAAAAGATCCTGCAATTGTTAGTGATTATGTGATGAGCAAATTAGATTATGAACCATCATAACAAGCATTCAAATAAGGAATCATGCTTGCCCGATAACTCTTTAAATTTTGATGATCATCTATCATTATAAGGTCATGCATCATTCAATATAATTGGTTTCATCTAATAAAGTGTTGAATTCTGAATCTGTCAATATATCAGAAAATTAACATTTTTCTTATCTCTATCTTGCATTCTTTCCCATTCTTCCAAACTCTCCTTTACTACGATTCCAAAACAAACCAACAATCAAAAATATCATGCTTACTATCAATATAGTGATTCCTTCAATCAAAAAATCGTTTTTTAACATTTTTTATTTTTATAATACTCATTATTAATTTCAATTAAAACAATTAATAATTATTTTTCTCAAAATTATTTCTATTTTTTCAAGTTCCTACTTTTCTAGTTTGCAACAATTTAACGAACACATGTTAAAATTATAGACTAAACTACTGTTTTTAGTTTTCATTCTTATTACTCATTTCCAAAGAATCATTTACTAATTTAGCCATCAAAAGTGGATTCCTCAAGAAATTAAATTACCCATTACATTCACTACGTGAAAATACTTGGTTGAAATTATCGAACATTGTTTCAGTTATATGAAATGATTAACACATAGATTAACAAGTTACAATCCCATAAGGATCTAAATAAGCTAAACTTTAACATTTTAAGTGTTTGCAAGGATTCTTATTTTAATTCTAAGAATTCCCTTATTATTGAAATACTTTATTAAAGATCAAGATACGATCTTTATTAATCTAATTCATGCGAGTCTCATAAATTTAATATTATTATTATTATAATAATTATTATTATTTTTATTATTATTATTATTATTATTATTATTATTATTATTCTTCTTATTATTATAGTTTTAGTTATTGGGCTTATTGCTACAGTTATATTAACATCAACCCTATTTATTAAGATGAGGAAATCAAATCATCTAATTGCCTATTAGGATTTAAGTTTAATTTATCCAAACTCAACTAAACTTCTTTTTGTAAAGACTCCAATTTACTTAATTCTTTTATAATACATTCTAAATCAGGTTATTTGTTTTCTTTTTATTAATATCATTATACATATAGGAATATCTTAATGATTCTAGTTCTGTTGTCTAGAAGACTGATTTTATTTATCGATTGATTTTTATGAATCGCATATTTCTATTTGGAGGTCATCATCTAAATCGATTTCCATAGAATCGTTATCTGATAATATTTAATAAATTGATTGATTATCTTCTGAATCAAAATCAATATCGGAATCAGATAATTGTTCATTAACATTTTATTTATTTAAATTTTTTCCATAATAAACAATCTAAAATTTTGGATGTTATTATGACTATTTTAGCTATCTTTATGTTTTTATATGTACTTATGATTAAGGATTCGAATACATAATTAGAAGAATTAAAAATTATTAGATTTAAAATGGATTATGTATTTAAAAAATTATAATAATGAAATAGAATATTATTTATTATTAATTAAAAAATAATCTACTACTATATTCATATTATATTTATTTTAATTGTCTTTATAATGCTCATTATTTTTTCTTGAGATTTATGAATTATAAACATAAAACGGAAGAAAAATTTTTGCAAAATTCATTTTTATCAGTCTCATTCATTTAGGATCTAGCCATAGAATCTTTTAATATCTAAGCCATTTCTATGCTCGTTTGAATGGATACACAATTAACAATATTAATGTTTTCGATTTTATTAAATACCTTATTGTAAGTAATATCAAATAGAGCATCTTTTATAGTAAATGAAGGACAACCCTTTTTACAATTAACTTCTCCTTTAGAATTCATAGTAGCTACAGTTTAACATTTAGCATGTTTGCATGGATAATCTATTGATTGTGAATACTTTTTTTAATAAAATAATGAGATATTTAATTCTATTTGATCACTATTATTATTTTATTTTTAACTCTTCTCAAGGTCTTCCAAAAAGTTATTCAATTTTACATAATCACAATGAGCTTAAACTAGCTATTCTATCATTTTAAATTATTTCCAAAGTAGTTCTTCTTACTTTCTTCTTTATACTTCTTATTGATGTAATTATATGAACTCATCTATTAGTTTGAATTGTATTATCAAATTATTAAAAGATGTATCATTTTCTTAAGATTCTTCTTCATCTTCATCTTCATTATCCTAATTATCTTAATAAAACTAAATATCCTCATCAGACTAATTATTCTAATTATATTAATTATCAAAATTATCCTGAATAATTTAATTACCATAATTTTATTAATGTATTCCAAAAATTTGGCGTTAAACTTCTTAGTGAGTAATTATAACTCTATTAGATTAACTTACAGATCCCATTAGTATTTAATGATTATTATTATTAATAAATTATCATAATAGAATATAATTTAAATTCAATTAATTTATATTAATTATAAATTTAATATCATTCTTTTAATGTACGTTTGTATTCTTATCTTTTCAAATAGATGTCAACCCATGTTTAACGAAGACTTATGATTTTTTTAATGAAATAAATCAAAATTAACAATATGTGTTCTATTAATATTACAACTAAAGTGGCTTAGGATGATTTATTTGGAAGTGGTCTTGCAGTTAATAAACCACAGGATGATACCATGATTTTAATTTCATTGTCTTCTATTTCATCATATTAAGATTAGGTTATTGAGGGTTAGGTGTTAGTTTCTTCAAATAAACTAGGAAAGAATTTGACAATTTAATCACTTGCTACAGAAAATAACATTAAATTTGTAAAGACACTTATAACACATATTATATCCATAGCTTTAGTCCATGGACCAATTGAATTAGATTTGATTGCAAAAGGCTTTTAATAAAGGTGATAGATCTTATAATAATCTGAAAAGAATTCAATAAATAAAAATGTTGTTACTACAATACCAGCCATTCTTACAGCAGATGTAAAAAAGCAAACATATCCAAAATTTAGAATAATTTCCAAATAATCATCAAATGATTCATACTTTGGTAGAAAACATGAGATCAATTAACTTTATAAAACTTATTACATTTCATGATTATTCATTTAAAATTCTTAACAAATAGTATTTTATTGTAATTCAGATAATCCTTTCACTATAGAGTTTTAATATTTAATTAATCTTAATTTAGAAATGGAAGGTAATATAGTTTCAGTCATTATTCTTCTAAATTCATCAACCATAAACATTTGAATCATCTCTTGTTTTAATTAATTGATATCATCATTAACAAATCCTATATAAAAGAAATCAAAAAAAGCAGAGAATATTTCAAATGTAAATCTTTTTATGATAAGTGATCTCTCAAATGTTTATAAACACTTATGATCTTCAGATAATGAAGTTGTAATTGACACTTATTTATATTTACTATTTAAATAATTTACAACAACCACATGAATAATGGCCAATAAATAAGATATATAAATATTCTTGCAATTAGGGATCTAAATGAATTCAATATACAATTATTATTTTGAATCCACATATCCTCTCATATTTAAAGATGCAATAAGGAATATTACTAATGCAATCACATATCCAATAATTCTAATTATAGAATTTAAATAAATTGAGAAGATATTCTATTTTATTTAGATCTTTTATCCTGTAACAGGATCCAATTCATTTGAATATACTATTTTCTTAGTTGATTCTTAAATTGAAAAATGATTTTTATGTTTTAAACATTTTAATAATGACAATTCCATTTTAGATTACATATAATCATAGTTTTTACCATGACTTCTCCATCTCACTTAATATTCCTTTTATTTCTAGTTCCATTAACTTACAAAATATGCAGCCCATAATACAGTCAAAGCAGCATACAAAGGTTCAAATGGAGATTTTGTAACATCATAATCAAAATATTCATCCAAAGAATAAGTTATCATTCCAAAAACAACTAATATCAACATATTCTTAATTAAATAAAGAAGAAAACCAAAATAAAATGCTATTTACTCACCCATTTAAGATCTGATTCTCACAACTAAATAATCCAAAACATTAACATTCATTTATAAACATTACTTTAATTCTTTGTATGTGCTATGTCTAAATGTTCTCATTGGACAAATATCTAATAAAATTCCTTATTATTTTAATGCAACAAATAAAAATTGTTCTCCACTATTTTCTGGATTAATTTAATTATTATTCTGTAGAGTAGCTAAAATTTAATATATAGCAATTTCTCTAAGATAAGAATCAATCTCTACTACGTTATTGGTATTTTCAAATTTTTATTTCTAATCATACTTGAATTTTGAATACTATTCCATTTCTTTTATATTCTTATCTAAAAATTCTCGGATTCTAATAAACAAGCGATACTTTTCAAATTTCTTTCTATTTTAAACTAATATTGATTTCTAATGTGATTTCTTAGAATATTTAGGTAATTCAATATGCAAATCTGAAAGTGTCTATAAAAGTAGATCATTCTAATTAATTATCTTGTTTTTTTTACATTTCTTAAATAAAGCATCATGATTATTGATGTGTTTTGAATTATCACAGTTAATCCAAATCCTAAATCATTGAGTAATTTGCTTATGGATTTAATTTAATCTGGTGATATTTTTTCATTGAAAAGAAGTGCAACCTCATACATAATAGAATTTTGGAATATTTTAATTTATTATATGATTAGAAAATTTGAATTACTTGGATCACTATAAATGAATTATCATTGACTATGTTCAATTAATTAAATAGTATTCCATAATCCATTCATAGCAACATGTGGGTTTAATGTTTATAGAATTATATCTATTATATTAGTAAGATATTAATTAAATAAGACAAAGAAGATTTGTTGGATATATAGGACCATCGTTAAGAACATTCAATAATTATGATATCAAGGAATTTAAATCTACAAAGAAATTTAAATATTTTATAAAAAATTTTGGTGTTGTTGAATCCGTAATTGATTCTATTAATGATGAAATATTCTATGAATTTATTGATCAAATAAAAAAGGAAATGAAAAATAAATTAAATTATAATACTTTGATTTGATGATAATCAAAATGTATTTCATTTTACATAATTGTTAATATACAATGCACAATTCCTTCCTGGAGCCCCCATTACACCTCCACCGGGATGAGTTCCAGAACCGCATAAAAATAATCCATTAATTGGTGTTCCATAACTATTATATCCATTACTTGGTCGATTTCCATACAATTTATCCAAAGTTAAAGCACCATGAAAAATATTACCTTCTGTCATATTCAAGAGTTACTCAATTTCTTATGGTGTTACCATATCAGTATAGAGTATAGAATTTCTATTAAAATGGCAATAATAATTACTTGAAATTTGGAGCATATTGAGAAATGTAATCAATAACTTATTCCTTCAACTATTATTTGATTTACTCATTCCAATTAGCCTTATAAGGAGTATATTAAACCAAACATTATACAATATGTTACCCTTATGGAGCTATTGTCTTATCATGAACAGTAGGAACAACTAAATCCACAAATAAATTATCACTAAATGATCTATAAGATGAATTATTAATTAATAATACTTTCCATTTATACAATCTTAGTATGCATATCTTAATGTATCCAATCTTTCACATCCTAAATGTGTTGTACCAATTAATACAGATTCAGGGTTTTCATATTTGGTTCCTTCAAAACATTTAAATTTAGGCATTTCAGATACAGCAAAATTAAATTTAGTACAAGCTCCATTATATTCCATATGTTTAACATCATTGAAATATTTAGGATTCTTTGTTTATTAATCATTTGATAGTAATTTCTCAAAGGTGATTCTTGGAGTTACACTGCTTATTATAGTATCACTATAATATATATTATTGTCTGAACATTTAACTCCAGTAACCTAATTATTAGATGTTAGTATTTATTCCACTCCTATATTGGTCTTGATCTCTACTCCCTTCTATTCATTCAATTTAGTAAGTATTTTAGATATAGATCCCATTCCACCTTCAACAAACGCCCATTCTCCCTTAGAATTTGGGAATATTTCACCCATTACATGATGCAATAAGATATATGCACTAGCTGGAGTATCAATAGATATCATTTCCCCTATGATGCCATCAGTTATAAGCGTTCCTTTTAAAATGTCAGATTCAAACCATTTATTTAAAAATTAACTTGACGATTATGACATAAATTAAATGTAATCGTATATCTAATTAAATTTAAAATATATACTTTATCTTTATTTTTCCATCAATCTTATCCAATTTTCAATAATAATCCAAGATCATCAAAACTTTTCTTTATATTATATCCATTACCTTTAGCAGATGTGTCATAAGGATATTTATCTTAATAATAACTCCATAAATCTATAATTTCTGATAAGAATTAGTTGTATTCATCATAGACTTCACTATCTCTTTTAGAGAACTTAGCTATTTCCTATTTACAAAAAGTTGAATCTGAGTTCATTAACAGATATTCTCCTTTGTTTTTGGTGACTGTAATACTAGAGATAGGTCTTCTAAATAGTTTCAATCCATGTTAATATAAATTCAATTCATTGATTACTGATGGACGCATCAATGAGAGTAAGTATGAGAATCGACTGAATTTAAAACCAGGATAGATTTCTTCTGTTTAAGCTGCTCCACCAGTTATATGTCTTCTTTCTAGAAGCAAGATATTTTTATATTTGAAATAGCAGGCTGCCACAAGTGCATTGTGACCACCACCTATAATAATAGCATCATATTTTTTCATATTTAATAAATTCATTTTATTGAGAATGTCTTGTTTAAGAAAATAAAGTGTTTCTTTTAGTGATTAGTTTAGGAATTGAGCTTTTCTTATAAAAACTCAATTAGGAATTCGATTATTATGTTTTAATTGCTCCAATGACAGAACTTGTTCTAACAGATTTACGATTATTAAGATAAATAGAGTGTTAAGGACATATATTGTATGAACGTTCAACACTACTATCAGTTCTAGTAGTTTATTAGGTTCTGAATCGTATCGGTTTTATTTGTCTTTTCTTTTGATTTAACCTATTCTGAGCTTAAATAATATAATTTTAGATTGTCTCTCCTATCTTTGTATTTCTGTGGACAGCATAACTAAATACTGTTTTGTTTTTTTCATTCGACAACTTAGCTATGTTGATTTGATACTTATTATCAATATCAGGTATCATGGTCTAATTTCTGGAGGACTATCATTACATTCCTCATCAAATGTTGTTATGCACAAATCACTCTTTGAATTTTCTATTAATTCAACCACTTGCGAATCAATTCTTAATCCATATACAAGAACAATAATATTTGTGTTTTAATAAAATTAATCACAATAAATATATATAGTAACCATCTATATTTATAAATTTTATTATTAGTATTTACTAATTATAATATTTTAATAAGAAATAGAAAATTTTTCATACTGGATGATTCAAAATAATAATATTAAAGTGTAGATCAATTCTTTATTTATTTTAATAATGAATATATTAATTATATCATAAAGATTATATATAAATTATAATATATATTATATATAGCAATTATAGAAATCATTATGCTTATAAAAATAAGATAGAATCTAATTATATATTTAAAATAATTTATAAGGAAATATTGAATACAAATTTAATTAATTAATAGCAAAATCTTTTAGTAAATATAAGTATTTTTATATTCACTAGATTTCAATATTGTAATTTTGTATATCTCTTTTTAAATGTTATTTATTAATTAAATAATATATTCAATGTTTTTTAATGTTTCAAAGAGAATCATTAAAATTTTGTACTTAATTAAGTTTGATTATAAATTTATTTGAATTAAAATTGAATACTTAATATAGACAAAGTAAAAATGTAGCAAGAATTTAGGATTTAAAAACACTTAATACTCTAAAAATAAATTTAAAGAGATGAAATATTAATTATATATATTAAACATAATTGGATATTAAATTTGCAATCAAAAGAATTCATATTTAAATATAAAAATTTGATGAATGTAAGAATCTTGTATAAATAACACTTTAATGGAAATATTAGTTTCGATCGCATATATCTAATGATTAATATAAATTTCAATATGATTTCATTTTCCACAGTGGAGAATAAACTTTTTATTATTTTTTTAATACAAATAAATGGGTTCGTGTAGTTCGAATGTTCGTTAGAAGGTCTAAAAGAATTCTGAAATTAGGTAATTCAGTTAGCTAGACATTCGTCATTTTTACAAATTGGGATAAGTTATTGGTCGTGGGAATTTTGCTACAGTTTAAATTGGTTATAAGATAGATTAGGATAAGAATGGATTCAAAGGAAAGTGTTATGCTATAAAATGTATAGATAAATAGAGGATAAGTGTTGAGTAGATTTAAAGAGAGTTAGAGATTTTATCAAGATTAGATCATCCTAATATAATTAGAGTGTATGAGGAGTATGAAGATTTAAATCATTTCTACTTTGTGATGGAGTACTGCAAAGGTGGAGAACTCTTATAATAAATCTTAAATCATGGACCATTAAGTGAAAGAATGACGTAAATAATTATGAGATAATTATTTTCTGCTGTGGGGTATTTACATGAAAGAGGAATAATTCATAGAGATTTAAAACCTGAGAATTTGATGTTAGCAAATGCTGATGGAGAATTTGATATCAGAATTATTGACTTTGGATTGAGTAAGCGCGAACAAATTATAAAAAAGCCATAACAATAGAGATCCAAATGCAGACATTAAACCAAAGTTGGAACTCCTATTTATGTGGCTCCAGAAGTGTTAAAAGGAGTGTATTCTGAGACATGTGATGAATGGTCTTTAGGTTGCATTATGTATGTTCTATTATTTGGAGAGCCTCCATTTAGTGGATAGAATATTCATTAATTGGAATAATAAATAAACAAACCTAATCTCAAGTTCAAATTAAATATATCAAATGAATGTTAGGATTTAATTACTAAATTATTAGAACCTAATCCAAATAAGAGAATAACATGTTTATAAGCACTTAAACATACATGGATGATACGTGATTCTAATTAATATAGGATGTTGACAACAATGTAAAGTGAAGAAAATAGTTTAGAAATTGAGAGAATAATTGAATTACTTAGATAATATAGTGAGAGTACTTAATTTAAGAAAGAAGCATTGAAAATTCTATTATCATAATTAACAGATTTATAATAGAAACATTTAAAATTGAAATTTGAAGAATTGGATAGGGATAATAGTGGAACTATTAAAGAAATTGAATTTCAAGAATTCTTAGAATAATAAGGCAAGACTATATTATTAAAGTAATTACCAATAGAAAAATTTAGTAAAAATGATTAAGGGTTTTATATTTCATATACAGATTTTATGGCTGCCTTACTGAATCAACCATTTTATTTAAGTCAAGATAGATTAGATAATCTATTCATTTGGTATGATGTTAAACATAGACAATATATTTCAAAGAATGATTATGGAAATGCAATGAGTAGAAAAGGAGTAGTAATTAGTAAGGAGAAGATTGAGGGGATATTTTAAGAATTGAATTTAGGATTGATTAGATATGATCAATTTAAATAAGTCATGACTTACAATTCAATTAAGTAGAAGAATAGAATTATAAGTGAAAATAAATAAAAGAATGGATTAAAGTTTATAAAGATGATTCCATGTGTTGGTGATGATTGTAAATTTTTATGATTTTTTATTAATTATATAAAAAACGGGTATGAATAGAATTGGATTTGGATTGTTATGTATAATGTTAGTGACAGCTAGCAGTAATGTGATGTTACAGACAGCAGATCATAGTGCATTTATTGAAGTGTTTAAAACTTATGTAATGAGTGTTGGTTTACAAGGAAATAGTCAAAATAAAGTGAATTCGGTGGTAGATTATATGGAGAGTTATTGATGATGGTTCAGAAAGGTGAAACATTATAGAGTCTAAATGATCACGTTGAAGAGTTGAGAAAGCATTTGGCAGATGATGAATCAGAGGATGAGAAATATTTCAATGAAAAATAATAAGAAATGGAAGCTACATTTTCAGGATTAGCAAATGAAGTAGAAGAANGTGTTAGGATTTAATTACTAAATTATTGGAACCTAATCCAAATAAGAGAATAACATGTTTATAAGCACTTAAACATACATGGATGATACGTGATTCCAATTAATATAGGATGTTGACAACAATGTAAAGTGAAGAAAATAATTTAGAAATTGAAAGAATCATTGAATTACTTAAATAATATAGTGAGAGTACTTAATTTAAGAAGGAAGCATTGAAAATTCTATTATCACAATTAACAGATTTGTAATAGAAATATTTAAAATTGAAATTTGAAGAATTGGATAGAGATAATAGTGGAACTATTAATGAAATTGAATTTCAAGAATTTTTAGAATATTAAGGAAAAATTAAATTGTTAAAACAATTACCAATAGAGAAATTTAGTAAAAATGATTAAGGATTTTATATTTCATATACAGATTTTATGGCCTCTTTATTGAATCAACCATTTTATTTAACTTAGGATAGATTGGATAATCTATTCATTTGGCATGATGTTAAACATAGATAATATATATCAAAGAATGATTATGGAATTGCAATGAGTAGAAAAGGAATAGTACTTAGTTAGGATAAGATAGATGGAATATTTTAAGAATTAAATTTGGGATTGATTAGATATGATCAATTTAAATAAATAATGACTTTAAATTAAGTTAAGTAAAAGAGTAGAAGTATTGTTTAGAATAAATAAAGAAATGGATTAAAGTTTGAGAAAATGATTCCATGTATTGGAGATGATTGAAATTTTTTATGATTTTTTATTAATTATATAAAAAACGGGTATGAATAGAATTGGATTTGGATTGTTATGTATAATGTTGGTGACAGCTAGCAGCAATGTGATGTTACAGACAGCAGATCATAGTGCATTTATAGAAGTGTTTAAAACTTATGTAATGAGTGTTGGTTTACAAGGAAATAGTCAAAACAAAGTGAATTCGGTGGAAGATTATTTGGAGAATTATTGATGATGGTTCAGAAGGGTGAAACATTATAGAGTCTAAATGATCATGTTGAAGAGTTGAGAAAGCATTTGGCAAATGATGAATCAGAGGATGAGAAATATTTCAATGATAAATAATAAGAAATGGAAGCTACATTTTCAGGATTAGCAAATGAAGTAGAAGAATTAAGAGTATCAGTTGAACAAGCAGCAAGTAGAATTTAAGTTTTGAATAACTAATAAACTATTATTGATGGATTATTTGCAAATGATTAATAAGCATATTAAAAGAGAGTTGGTGATTAAAATGCTATTTTGGATGTAATTGGATAATTGTTATTACGTGTGAGTGAATTACAATAAGGAGGTGGACATAGTTTAATTGAAAAAGATAATTTATTAGATGAAATCAAAGCATTAGGAAGAGGAAAACATATTGAAGTCTTAGCTTAAGTAATTAATTATTATTTACATTTAGATTACTGCTCATTTATAAACTGAATAAGTTGAACATATTTAAGAATTGTTGAATAGATTGAGAGATGCAGTCTTAAATAGTTTAGCAATTGATGAAGAGAAGGAATAAGAAAATATTAGATTATACAATAAGTTGAGTGGTGAAATCAGAAGGTAATATTAATATATTATATATATTTTATTAGTTCATTGGCTTAAAGTGATAGATCATATTAAGAATTGGATGCTCACTTTTAATAAAAGGAATTGGAATTGAATACTAAGAAATTGGCAGTNTGTTAAACATAGATAATATATATCAAAGAATGATTATGGAATTGCAATGAGTAGAAAAGGAATAGTACTTAGTTAGGATAAGATAGATGGAATATTTTAAGAATTAAATTTGGGATTGATTAGATATGATCAATTTAAATAAATAATGACTTTAAATTAAGTTAAGTAAAAGAGTAGAAGTATTGTTTAGAATAAATAAAGAAATGGATTAAAGTTTGAGAAAATGATTCCATGTATTGGAGATGATTGAAATTTTTTATGATTTTTTATTAATTATATAAAAAACGGGTATGAATAGAATTGGATTTGGATTGTTATGTATAATGTTGGTGACAGCTAGCAGCAATGTGATGTTACAGACAGCAGATCATAGTGCATTTATAGAAGTGTTTAAAACTTATGTAATGAGTGTTGGTTTACAAGGAAATAGTCAAAACAAAGTGAATTCGGTGGAAGATTATTTGGAGAATTATTGATGATGGTTCAGAAGGGTGAAACATTATAGAGTCTAAATGATCATGTTGAAGAGTTGAGAAAGCATTTGGCAAATGATGAATCAGAGGATGAGAAATATTTCAATGATAAATAATAAGAAATGGAAGCTACATTTTCAGGATTAGCAAATGAAGTAGAAGAATTAAGAGTATCAGTTGAACAAGCAGCAAGTAGAATTTAAGTTTTGAATAACTAATAAACTATTATTGATGGATTATTTGCAAATGATTAATAAGCATATTAAAAGAGAGTTGGTGATTAAAATGCTATTTTGGATGTAATTGGATAATTGTTATTACGTGTGAGTGAATTACAATAAGGAGGTGGACATAGTTTAATTGAAAAAGATAATTTATTAGATGAAATCAAAGCATTAGGAAGAGGAAAACATATTGAAGTCTTAGCTTAAGTAATTAATTATTATTTACATTTAGATTACTGCTCATTTATAAACTGAATAAGTTGAACATATTTAAGAATTGTTGAATAGATTGAGAGATGCAGTCTTAAATAGTTTAGCAATTGATGAAGAGAAGGAATAAGAAAATATTAGATTATACAATAAGTTGAGTGGTGAAATCAGAAGGTAATATTAATATATTATATATATTTTATTAGTTCATTGGCTTAAAGTGATAGATCATATTAAGAATTGGATGCTCACTTTTAATAAAAGGAATTGGAATTGAATACTAAGAAATTGGCAGTACGTGAAGTAGGATAGACATTGTAAGACAGAAATGATTAGAGGTGAATAATTCTATAATATTAATAGATAATTTATATTGGATAGAGTCTAAGAGGCATAAAAATTATTGAATGATAATTTAGATAGAATTGCAAGATGGTCAGTTGAAAGCGAATGAACATGAATTTGGAAATTTTAATAATTTTTAATTTAATAAAATAATGAACGCAGTGTTATCAAAACTTGATCCATTAATTACAAAATTTGGACTTGATAATACAGATCAAATGGAAATACTCAAAGGACCATGTAGCAAAATCGGAGTTCGACCTGCTCATGTAGTTTTTATCTGTGGTTCTGTTGCACTTTTCAGCATTATATTTGGAATTGCAGCACGTTTTCTTTCCACATTCATTTCTATCATCTATCCAGCATACAGAAGCATTTAAGCAATAGAGTCTTAAGGTATATTATATGTCTATATTTTAGGTGAAAATGATGACAAATAATGGTTAACCTATTGGATTCTATTTTCAATCATCACTTTAGCAGATTCTACAATTGGATTTGCATTAGAATTCATTCCCTTTTACCATATCTTAAAATTAGCACTCTTTGTTGCTTTATTCCATCCATAAGTTAAAGGAGCTGAGAAATTGTATGATTAGGTATTTTTTCATTTAAATCATTATAGTTTGTTCATCCTCTTTATTTGAAACATCATGAAAAAATTGATAAAGGTTTCTAAAAGGTTTAAGAGAGAGTTAAATAACAAGTCTAATGAAAATGATATTGTATGACCACGTATATATATATATATATAAATTTTAAATCATTTGAATGTTCCAGTGGCTCTCATTTTACATTCATTTAATGATTGAGTAAGATACTTAATTTCTTTTCGTTATTGATTGTATTTAAACACTATTGTTTATCTTAGGAATGATTCCTCAACTTAATGAAAATCAAAGTGGATCATATGTATACTTCTGAATTCTGTTGTTTAATTGATTTCCAATCTAGCTGAACCATCCAACATCACTTAAAAGATAGCTCCATAACTTGATATAGAGATCTTAAATACCCATTAAAATTTTATTCAACCTTATTTAAAGTTGCTATAGTAATCTGAGCATAATCTTTAAATGGCATTTGTAAATTTTACAATGCTTTTATTTAAGTAAAACTATTAATAGTGGCTTCATGATGAAACAGAAAGAACAAATCCTTCTCTGAACTTATTTCAATTTTAATTGATTATGGATTACTATCAATACCCCTTAATATATATAATATCCTTACTAATTATAAAACTCTTAAACGTATAGGTTCTGGTTAACTTAGTTCCTAGACTTCTGAGAACCGATCTTAGAATCGAATATTAATGTTTAAAATGCGATCGTATAGGACCTTATGTCCATCCTTTAAAGCAGGATCCAAGTAATCGATTTCAGCAAAGTCAAGTGGATTCATTTATACAGCATTCAACCATGAACTACCTGATTTCATTTGTTATTTTGAAATTATTTAAATCAGTTAATAATAATAAGATTAATAAATATATGAATAGTATTATGTGTGATAGACAATTAAAATTAATAGAAGATTATATTAATTTGAGAGTATAATACATTTATATAAATAATACTTATTTGTAAAAGTTCAATAAAAAATATAATATATGTCTTAAGAGGAATTATAATAAATAGTAGTAATTATATTTAAAATTCATGTATGAAATTCAATAAATATAGGATAAGTTGTAATATGAATAAGATATTACTAATAAATATAAGTAGAATTTAATTTGTATAATAATTCACAAAATATATTAATAAAAATAAAAAAATGATTGACATGGTTAAAAATAGATTAGAAATAGAATTTAATGCTGTTCTAAATGCCATAGAGGAAGAGATTTTAGAAAATATGACAGTAGAAGTTGATAAATAAAACAATTCAATAAATTATAAAAAGTGGTTTGTTACCATATATGGGAAAGAAGGTACGATTTGGGAAGGAGGAGAGTTTTCAGGAGTTTTAAATTTCCCTAAAGGATACCCAAGTGATCCACCTACATATTAGTGGACTTTGTATGGAGGATAATTTTAACATATGAATATTTTTGAAAATGGAGTAACATGCATAGATATTCTAAACAATAAAATAGGTTACACTCCTGCAACAACATGTATAGAAATATTGAAGGGAATGGAAGGATTTTTGTATAATCCAAATCCAAAATCTCCTACAATGGGATCTTTGGCAAAAATATATGTGGAGAATAAATAACAATATGAGAAATTAATAAAAGCATTTGTGAAAAATTACATGATAGAAAAATAAAAAAAATAATAGTGATATATATATAATATAAAAAAATCAAGCATTGGGCAGTTCATTGTTTGGGTAATTAGAATAATCTAAAAGCTTTTTGATTAAAACAGTTAGTATTCCTACTGTTGGAATAGATACAAAAACGGCAACAATTGGTAAGACGTATTATGGATCTTCATCTACATCTTCTTCACATTTCTTTGATTCCTAATTAAAAGTATAATTTTCATAACATAAATCACAGGAGTTTTTGAATGAACATTTTAAACAATTTTCAATACATTTCTCACATATTCCTTATTCATTTTTGTACATTTGAATTTCATTACATACACTTGATAGGGTGCATTACCCATTTTCTAATTTTAAAAAGTTTGTGACATTGCTATCACATTCTTAACAAATTGATTTACCAATTGTTGGATCATTAGAGATTATACATTTAAGACATCCATTGGAACATTTGTGACATTGATTATCTTATAAAAAGTACCCATTATTGCATGAATTACATTAATCTTTATTTAAACAACTTTTACAATTAAGTACATTACATTTAGTACATTTATTGATAGGAGTATTTTCCAAATAATACCCTTCTAAACATAGTGTACAATCTAATTCAGTAGTGCATTGTTTACATCCTTCTTAGCAATTTAAGCATTTTTCAGAATTATGTAAATAATATGCTTAAATGCAAGTTGTGCATTTATCAAATGCACTACAAGTTAGACAATTCTCTTAACATTTATTACATAATTTACTATTTTAATAATACCCATCTTTACAAGTAAAACAAATATCTTGAATACAAGATAGACAATTCTCTTAACATTTATTACATTCTTAACCTTGAGAATAATACCCTTCAGCACATTCTTTACAGGCTGTTTAATCACAACTTACACAATTAGGTTTACAAGGGACACAATTAGATTAAGAAATGTAATATTTGTTATTATTGCATTATGTACATTAATTTTCTATACAAGTAATACAATTAGGTTAACATGGAAAACATTATCCATCTTTTAGAAAATAATTATCTTAACATTATGAACAATTCTCATTATTACAAATTTTACATGGACTCTTACAACTTACACATATGTTGTTTTCAGGCACATAAGGTTAAATACATTTAAAACATTTATTCTCATCGCATTTTAAACAATTTTCAGAACATTTTATACAAGTATAATCTTTAAGATAATATCCTGCATTGCATTTTGTACATCCAAATTTATCACATTCTAAACATGTTGTATCACATTTTTAACATTAATTATCTTATAAAAAATAGTGAGTTTGAATACAAGAATAACAGATATCAAGAGATTAGCAAGTAATACAAGGACTTTTACAAGGTTAACATTGAGAAGAATCTAAAAAGTATCCATCTTAGCATTTTTAACAGACATTATTATTACAATATGTACAAGGAGATTAGCATTATATGCATTATCCATTTAATAAATAATAACCTGTAATACAACTTGTACATGTAGTAAGATTTGTACATGATTGACATGTTTATTAACAATCTAAACACTAATTATTAATCAGATACTTTGATTATATACATGTTGTACATTATGTACTACTATATTTACATTAATCACAAGGAGGATCACATTTAATACATTTAAGTTGATCCTTATCATAATAATAACCAGGTTGACATGGAACACATTAATTAGATTTTTATTCATATTCAGGTAAACATATTTTACATGTTTTCACATTATTTTAGATAATACATTCTTTACAATTTGTCATTTCACATATTTATTAACAATTTTAATTTGTTGTTACTTGATAATCATTTTAACATGAAATACATTTATTTTCATTATCTTCACATGTTTTACATGGTGCTTTACAAGGTTGACAATCATCATTTATTAAAAAATAACCATCAGCACATTATTCACATTTTACATTAGAATTATTAAATGAACAATTTGATTTACATTTTATTGGACATTATATACAGGTTGTTGAATTATATTTATATGCAGTATATGAACATTCAGAACAATTTGTTGGAGATGTACATGCTTAACATTCTGGTGGACATTTATAACAAGATTTATCAGTAGTATTATAATAATATCCAATTACACAACTTGTACATGATGTAGAATTGGTACAACTATGACATCCATCCTTTACATTTGAACATGATATACATTCTGCATTTTGAAGATATTTATCTTATTTACAACTTTTACAATTATTAGGTTAAGATTCACATTCTTAACAATCATCACTACATTTAATACAATCATTATTAGATGGAAAATAATTTATATTACATTCTAAACAATTATTACTTGATTATTAACAAGTTAAACATTTTTATGAACATTACATACATGTATTAGTTTATACATCTAAATACATTTTATTCTTGCAAGAAGTACAATATTTAGCATTCTTATCACAAGATTTGCAATTATCATCACATACTAAACATTTATTATTTGAAGAATAATAAGATATTACACATCTTTGACATGTATCTTCTGTATAACATAATGAACATTCAGAATTAGAACAAATTTTCAATTAACATTTCTTATCAATAGTAGTAACATATTCATTTTTACATTTTATACATTCTGTAAATGATATACATTCAATACAATTCTAATCACATTATTAACATGTATTATTTTATAAAAAATAACCAGTTTTACATGTTGTACAATTAGTATTATTATTATTACATGTAAAACAATTTGTTGAACATATTTAACATATATTATTTTAATCCATATATTAACCATCAATACATATTCCTTATATTGGATCCTAATTAATACATCTCATATTAATTGTATCTAATTAGTATCCATTTTCACAAGTTAAACAATGTTATTAAGATGTACATGTTTTACATGGTAATTCACATTTAATACATTTATTTAAATTAGTTAAATAATATGTCTCATCTATACAATTTGTACAAGTCTCTTCTGTTATATCACATGTCTAACAAGGTGATTTACATTATTGACATGTTTTATTAATAAGTACTTTACCTTAATCGCAAGAATAACATTCATTTGATTAATCAAAACATGTTTTACAATTTAAATCACATTTAAGACATTTTAAATCATATTCATAATAACCAGCTATACATTTTGTACATTAAGATGAATTCTTACATTTTGAACAATTTTATTCACACAGTTTACAATTTGCTTATTCACCAATTTCTTCTAAAAAATTACCATCCATACATTTTGTACAATAAGATATTGATCTACATAATTGACAATTATCTGCACATAATTAACATTATTTTGTAGAATCTAAATAATATCCATCTTCACATTATGAACATTATGTTTAATTATCACAATTTTTACAATTCTATATTGATTATGAACATAATTCACATTTATCACTTGATATATAATACCCATTTACACATGATTTACATTATGTTTCTGATAAACAATCTAAACATGGAGATTAACATTATACACAATCTCCATTTTATTAATGATAATTATTATTACAAGATGTACAAACATTAGCCCAAGAACAAGTCTTACATTTACTTTCACATTATTTACAGAATTCACCATCTTAATAATAACCATAATCACATTCTATACAAGTATTTTATGTTATATCTGAACATTTAATACATAAATTATCAACACAACTTAAACAATTTGAATTTAAACACTTTTTATAACATTATCCGTTATTATCTAAATCATATTCACAAACACATTGATTTTTTATTTAATCATATTTGAAATAATTATTACATTTTTTACAATATCCTTTACCATCATTCTAAAATTCACATACTTCACAATTTTCACAATTTTCTAATAAACCCATAAAATTATTAATTATATTATTCAAATCAGGATTCCCAAGTATAGAATCTGATTTATAACTAATTAATGTGAAGTATTGCATATAAACTCCAGATTCTTGTAAAAATCTATTTTCTAATAAGATTCTTCCTTTCACTAATGAAAGACCATCTGTAGTTATCATTTATATAGTTAAAATTCCATCTTTATAATATTACAATATCTTAAAATTATAAATTCCTCTTTTAAAAGATTGATCTGATTAGATTTATTCTTTTAGTCCTATTTCCCATCCCAAACCTTAAGGTTATGAAATCTATTTCAAAGCTATTGTGAATATGTTATTATGAGAATATGGAAAATATTCACCATTTAAATTATTACTATTTTCAACTTTTTATAAATTTTTCATATTCAATTATGAAATTGTAATTTTTACCTGCCTACCTTATATTGGATCATAGAAATATTAGTTATTTATGATTTATTGTAAATTAGAATTAGATTATGTATCACATTCTTTTATTTTACATATTTAATCTTAAAAGTTATTAATATCTTATGAGATTTTGACTGAAAATTTAACTATTCTCTCATCATATTCTTTGATGCAATTATATTAAGATTATATTTCATAATAACCAGTTTTACAAATGCACATTCCTTTAAATAATATTCTATTTGATATTTAATCATTGCAGCTTAAACATTTATTTGGATTATCAACGCTACATGTTATGCATTTCTAATAGCATTGAAAACAATTCTCACTCTTAAGAATACCTGATAATTCTTGGTGATGTTCTGCACAAAAACATTCACCATTAACTAATACTCTAGTAGGTGCACAACTTAAGCACTTGTCTTAATCATCACAATTAGCACATTTGTAATTACAAGCATTACTAATACTTATAAGTAATGCATAAATTAGGATCATTAAAAAAAAAAATTAATTAACTCTCAAAATAACTTATTCTATCAATCCTCAAACCATTCTTGTTTTTTTTTTTCATATAATAATATGTTATATTTGACTTCATATATATTTATTATTCATCTATTCATTCTATTCAATCCTAAATTTTTGCAAATATTAATTCTATTATTCATGATAATTTATCATATGTTAAAATTCTACAATTTATATCACTTAAAGCACATTAGAATCTTATTTTTACTAAAGAGTTCCATGAAGAAAATTCTTTCCAAACCATTAACAAAAAAAATATAGAATAATCCAATGTAAAATTTTAGTATTTATTAATATCAATATTCCATTTTCTCAAAAGATTTAGTCCTCCTTATTTAAGCCACTAATAAAGAATTTCATCAACAAGTGTTCTTTTTATAACAGTTCATATTAATAATCATAAGGAATTTCTGGTTTTATACTAAATAATCATTTACTCTATTACTATGTTTTAAACTTTCCAACCTTTACAGACAAACTTTCATTATTCATTTTACATAATGATCACATTCATACATTAATTCAATTATCCAAATTTCGGATCAGTTTACTCAAACATATTAGTAAATAGAGTATTAAATTTATCAAAAAAAGAGTCTTATTTTAATGTAAGAAAGTATTTTTTATATATAAACTTTATATAGAAACCTAAGCAAAAATCTATATAAATAAGTTAAAATAGATTTAATTGGTTTTTATAATTATTTGATTATATTTCTCTCAATACATTATTCTAAATACCTTAATTATTATATTTTTATGATTGGAATTGAATCCTTAGCTAAGGAAATTAAGTATTCCTTAAAAAGCAAAAATGTACTTAGATTCTAATTAATAAAGGCTGATGAAATGATCATGGACTCTTATCTTTTAGGATTTCTATAAGGAAAGAATCATAATAAAAATAATTTTGCATAAAATTTAGAACTAATCAAAAATTTAAGAGAATTTATTGAGATACAAGTGTATACAAATGAATAGATTTTAAATCTATATAATAGAACTTTAAATGGAAATGAAGATGTTTATTTTATTTTTTAATATGTTAGCTTCTACAGCTTTGTAATAATATTGAAGAAAATACATTTAAGTAAATCACCTTTTTTATTTAGAATTGAATAATTCAATGAAAATCAATTTTAACCAATAAAGTGTTAAGTTATTTAAAACAATTAATAATAATAGAATTCAAATTAATAGAATTTTTAAATATTTGAAGATGAAGAAGAAAAGAATTTACAATTTGCTTAAAGAATATAACTTGAGTATATTTTAAATATTAATATATTTTAGACTCGATACATAATATTTGAAGGAGGTAAATACTTAGATATAGATGGAGGATATGATAAGAAAGAAGAAGAAATAATAAGAAGATGAATAAAAAAATTAAATTGAATGTAAGATATGTTTGGAAGTTATTCCTTTTGTTGAAATGGCAACTTTACAATGTTCTCATATTTATCATTAAAAATGTTTGAATCAATATTGTGTTACTTAAATATAAGTACGTCAATTCCCTCTCTGTTGTCCCACCATTGAATGCAAAAAACCTATGATCTATTCTGATTTAACTGAAGTATTAGATGATCAAAATCTTTATGAATTTTAATAGTTTACTTTCAAATAATATGTTGAAAGTCATGGTGATGAAGTATATTAAATATTTCATTATTAAGTATTCATGGTGTCCAACTCCTGATTGCTAATATGTATTTATAGCTGATGATGCCTAATTTAATTGTCCTTCTTGTACGAAATCCTATTGTCTTCATTGTAAAATAGAATATCATCATGGATAAACATGTTAAGCTTATAAAGAGAAAATCTAAAATGAATTAAGACAAAAAAACGAAAAAATTTTAGATGATTAATTCTTTTAATTTGTTTAAGGTGCTAAATATAAACAATGTCCTTAATGTAAATTTTGGGTAGAAAAGAATTAAGGATGTAATCATATGACTTGTAGATGTAAATTTCAATTTTGTTATGTTTTTGGAGGTGTTTATGGTAGATGTCATTGTAGATGAAGAAGATGAATAATTTTAAGTGGTTATTTTGATATATAAAGAGTTTGTTTTTATAATATTATTCATATGATTTTTGTATCCTTATCATTTTAGTAGAGGTATATTGATTAAACAGTTGAGAATTATATTAAAAATAATTTATGTTGATTAACATAAATACTTATATAAAAATTTCAAATGAACTTCTCTGAATCAAATGATTTTCAGAATGAGGACTACAGATTTGAAGAAGTAGAAGATTTTATTGATTTCGAAGGATTGGCTTAGAATGATGTGATGAGATATGAGGTTGATTTGGAAAAGTATGAATTATTTTATAGCCTTTGATAGTATAGATTAAGTGAACAATAGAAATTTAATTGAGGAAAATTAGAGTGAGTTGTAGAAAATATCTTCAACTCTTTGTATGAGGGAGGAGGCAGAATCTGATTATTCAGAAAATGAATCACAATTTCAAGGGACGTAAGGGAATTTAGTATTATGATTTAAAGTCAATCGAGAACATGTAATTCTAAGACATTGTAGAAATCAATTAGAAAGATGAATAAAAGTAAAGAAGAACCTGTAAATTTTGAATGATTAATAGTATTTTTTAGAAAAGAAAGATTAAGAAATGGAGTGAGGAGGAGAATAAACGTTTGGAAGATTTGTTTCAAATATATAAAGGAGATTGGGAGATTATTGTTAAATTTTTAGAAGGAAGGACAGTTTCATAATGTAAATAACACTGGTAGCGTTTGAGTGGTGGACAGGAGAAGAAGAAGAAGTGGACAGAAGAAGAGAACCAGATAATTTTATCATTTACAAAGGACAATCCATAATTTAATAATTGGGCTTTGATTGCTGCAAGTATGAAATATTGATTAAAGAGAGGAATGCAGGGTAGAAATGGGAAACAAATAAGAGAGCATTATATGAATTAATTACGTCCTGGAATTAAAAATAAGTAGGGTTGGAATGAGGAAGATGACAAGTTGTTACTAAGTTTATATTAGAGATATGGGAGTAAATGGTGTTAAATAAATAAACATTTTGAAGGGAGAACAGTATGATATATGTAGTTAATGAAGGAAATAATGTTAAAGAATAGATTCAATAAATTGTAAAAGGGTAACAATTACATTGACCATTTTCTTAATATAGATGATGAACCACAATAATAATAATAATCTCATACATTCTCTTTTAATTGATTATATATATATATTTAATAATTATTTATATAAATGGGATCAATTTGTTAATCACATTCTTGTACATATGAATATACAACTCAATTAAGTACAAGTGTATACTTTCTAAAACCAATAATTGATTAACAAATGGAAGATGAAATACTCGAAGAATCCTTGTCTCCTACAGATTTTGATAAGGAGTTTACTACAACTAAATCTATGATACCCAAATCTCCAGATATAATGTAAAAGTCACCTTTAAATTCACCTACTCCTAATGATTCAGTTGTGATATCAAAATTTCATATAACATCTGATGATTTTGTGAAGTTTCGATATCAGAACTATGCTGATTCTTATTAGATAGAAAGATCTTTGGGTTCTGGTAGTTATGGAGAAGTGTTTATAGTAAGAAATAAATAAACAAGTATATTGATAAATATTTAATTTATAGATTAATTAAGAGCCATGAAATAGATAAAAAAACAATAAAGTTCATTAAGTAAGAAATGTTTAAAAGAGATGGAAATCTTATCAAAATTAGATCATCCATTTATTGTTAAGGCAATTGAAGTATTCTAAGATGAACATAGTTATAATATGATTATTGAGTAAATATATTTTAAATAAAAATAGATTACTTTAAGGAACTGATCTATAGGAAGATATTTAGAATAATAATAAATTTACAGAAGAGAAGGCAGCTAATATTAGTTATCAATTGTTGTTGGCATTAAGTTACATACATAATTAGGATGTAGTACATAGAGATATTAAACCAGAGAATATTTTATATCAATACAACAATGGTAATACACTAATCAAACTTATTGATTTTGGTATATCCACTGAAATAAAGAGGAATAGAAAACTGAGTTCTTAATTAGGATCAGTAAGATTATTCAAAACTAATTTAAGATGTACTTTATGGCTCCTGAGATTTTTAGTAAAGACTATGGCAAATAAATTGATATTTGGGCTTGTGGAGTTACTTTATTTTATTTAGTTCATAAAAGATATCCATTTATGGGTAAGACCAATTAAGAGATGAAAAATGCTATTAAAAGTGGAAAGGTCTAATTTGATAAATCAATTACACCAGAATTATAGTGTTTATTGATTAAGATGTTATAAGTTAATCCAAATAAAAGAATTACTGCTTAATAAGCATTATAAGAGGATTGGTTTATTAAACATAAATTTGTAAATTAAATTAATCAATAACTTATATCTAAATTATTAAATTATCATTCGACTACTCTATTCGAAGAACTAATATTCTCACTTATAACTTATTATTGTTAAAATTGTGATGATCATGGTTAAGCCATTTAAACTTTTTTATATTTAGATACAGATTAAGATGGTTAAATTTCGAAATAAGAATTCAAAAAATAATTATATTAATTTAATATCAATAATTCATCTTAATAAATTGATGATCTTTACACAACACTTAATAAATAGTCAGATGATACACTCACTTATAAAGGTATATATTATTAAAATTGTAGAATTTCTAGCAGCATCAGTAACCAGAGATAAATTATAAACAAAAAAATGTTAGAAATTTTGTTTTTAATTAATAGATTATGATCAAGATGGCAGAATATCTGAATCAGATTTCTGTCATTTGATGGGTAAGAACCAATCTAATATTTGGCATCTTATAAACATTTCAGATAGTTTATATATAACAGAAGAAGAATTTTATAGTATGTTTAAATCTTGTTGAAATACTCTTATATATATATATAACTTTGAAGATGTTATTAATCTACTATTTGCCATTAATAATTTTTAATTTTTATTTTATGTTTAAACCTAATTTTTCAGGTCAATCCAAATCTCTTCCCTAAGATGACTTTGAAAAATATATCAAAACAACCTTATAAGAAAATTATTACATGACTTGTTTAGATACATGTTTTAATGATTATTCTACACCAATTTGTATCAAAATATATATTTATTTTTAATTAGCAGGATAAGAGAAAGTTTGTTTGGCAAAATGTCTTGATAGAGCATATGATTCCTTGAGACTTGTACAAAAAATCATTGATCCTTTTGATAATCTAAAATAAAAGAAGTTTTACTATAAATTAGATGGATAGAATGTATTAGGTTTGAAGAAAGATTAAATGTTATGATTATTAATTAATTATGAAAATATTGTTGTGCTTTGTATTTTTTATATATGCTCAAGCTGAATGCTGTAAGTATAATCTCATAACACTTTAGACTATTATCAATATGGAATCTAACATTATTGTGATGAATGTTGCTATTGGTATGATGGAGATTGGTTTTGTGAAACATATTAATATTGCTACACTTTTATTGCCATTACTATTTCAATTTGGATTGCCATATGTTTAATCTATCTTAGTCTCTATTTTTATGTTCGAAATAAAACTATGCAAAGAATAGCATTGATCCATAATAGAGCAGCTAATGCCTAAAGAGAAAAAAGTGTTAATAATAATTAAAAAAAGAGTGAAATACTTAATGAAACAATTGAAGTAGCTATGATGGATGTTCAAATATCAAATGATTAATTATGAACTATATTTTTTTTTAATTTAATGTTGTTGCTATTTATTTTCATTGTGCCTCTCTTGAGTTAAACATGTTTCAGTAACAAGGCAGCTGTAGATTGTAAATATTTGAAATGTTGTACTCAAGAAGGCTTTTGTGCTGTATATGAAAGTGAATGTTACTATAGTGCTGAGAAATGTACACATTATTTTAACATTTCCATTAGACTCATGTGATTATGCTGAATGTGATTATTGTTGTATTTATAATGGAGATACTGTTGAATGTGGATCTCAAGATTAATGCTTAGCTTGGATTTTCATTTTGTTAGGTTCTTGGCTATTATTGACATTAATTGTAATTTTTGCAGCTATCAATCGTAAAAGAAATATTGCCACTCGTATGATTGTGATTGCTGAAAAGGCTAGGCTAGTTGCTTAAGATAACTCAAGAAAATCTATAGTCTCATAAATTATTGGACCAGAAGAACAATATGGGAAAGAATTTTAAATTGATAAAGATAACTATAATTTGTAATTATGATTTTTTTGTTTTTTTTCTTTATTTTTAAACCTTAGAATTCTACTTTTGAACCCTTGTCTCTTACTTATTAATATAACTATTGTTTATCATATTCATTCAAATCTTTTTAGAGGTTATATCCATAAAACTAATAAGGATTACTAATTAAGCAACTCATTATAATAAATATACAAAAAGATCTTATTAAGAGTTATTCTTCTGAAATACTTGAAATTATGTATTATTATAAATTTCTATGAGATAAAAAAAAAAACTTTTGTACTTTGATTTAAAATAAATATCAAAACATTTCATTAAAGATCATAAGATTGTTATTAATTTATTAATTTGATTATTTTCAATAAGAAAGAAAGAGAATGTTTATATTTTAAAGAATCTTGATAATAAAATATCTTACTTTTTCAAACTTTCCAAATAATTTTATATTTTAATATCATTCTAATATATGAGTGATCACTAAAATTAAATGAAATCCAGATAATTTTATTGGTAAAAATAGAGATATAATAAATTACAAATAATTGAATTAAAATAAATAAGAGAAAACTATTCCATTTTTGTTTACCTTTAAAATCTCTAAATTTAATATTTGTTTAATTTAATATTTGTTTAATTTCTCATCTCAAATTAATATTTTTAATAAATTTAACATGGTACTAAAATTGAAGTAATTATTATAAATTTTTGAGCAATATGATATATAATTGCTTTTTTATTAATAATCATTTTAGGTTAATAATTTTATTTGTTTTTTTATATAATAAGTATCTACATCTTATATATTTTCTTTTTGATTAATAGTTTCAATAAATCTAATATTATTTATCTCATTATTTTATAATTGAAATAAGAAAGAATAATGCACAAAGATAATATCAACATTTTCAATTTTCAAAGATAGATTAAAATAATAAAATAGTTATATTGTTATGAAAACATTTAATATCTCATTTATAATATTACATATAGGGTCTAATTTATAATTTCAGTATAATTCAATTAATGTTTATTGCATCTATGTTAATCTCAATAACTTGACTCACATCTAATATTTTTGATTGTAGTTTATTAATAAAACTCTTTATTTTTTATGTTTTGCAATAATTTAAAGAAAATCAAATTTATAATTTTAGATATGATTATATAAGGAAAACACTAAACATTTATAATAATAATGATATAATATATAAAATCTTTAAGGATCTCATATATTTAAATATTTTTTATATTAATTGCATAACTTGAATCTCAAAAATATGAATATAAGTTATGAAATCATCTAAATTAAATAATAGAATTTAAGACATATAAAAAATTATATATAATTATTAGATGAGAAAATAAAGATAAAGATAAATTAATTACTTTTGTATTACTATTAGATTTATTCTTTTTTTAGATGGATAATTATTATTATAACCTTGATTATAAGGAATATAAAAGAAAGTATAAATTATTATATTTTTAGTACATTGATCATTTAATGTAGTAAATAATGAATAAGGACTATTAGTTGATTATAAGTTTATATTGGAAATAGATTATAATATATAAAAATTTAGTGAATTACTTGTTAATAAGTTTATGATTAGAATTTTTAATTATAACAGTTAATTTAAAAATCAATGAAGTCGAACAACGAAAACAATTATGTACGAGTATCATACAATAACTTTGTAACAACACGTAATCGATAATTTGGTAATGAAATCACAAACATACAACGATTACCAACTCGATCTACATCATAATTCATCTGTTCTAAACCTATGTTGAAGATCGAAGAAGAAACACCTCTTCCTGTTCCTGAATTCGTAAATCCATATGTTGCTGATATTTTTGAATATCTACGTGTCAATCAACATAAATTTATGTGTTAGACTCCATTTTATATGAACTTACAATTAGACATTACTAATTAGATGCGTTCAATTCTAATAGATTGGTTAGTTGATGTGCATCTTAAATTTAAACTATAATCAGAAACACTCTATATGACTATTAATTTAATTGATCGATACCTTGCCAAAAATACTATTATGCGTAATAAACTGTAATTAGTTGGAATTGCTTCACTCTTCATAGCATCAAAATATGAAGAAATATATGCTCCTGAACTTAAAGATTTTGTCTGTGTTTGTGACAATGCATACACAAAAGAAGAAATACTTGGTATTTATCACCCTTTATTATACCAGAAATGGAAAGTAAAATTTTACTAACAATCTAATTTCAATTGACCTTTACTTCTCCACTCAAATTCCTTGAGAGATAGATCTCAGGAGCCAATCTGTGTGACAAAATCAATTATGCTTCCAGAATGATTCTAGAATTATCTCTACTTGACATTAAATGTCTTAAGTATTTATATACAATCTATTTTCAGATTTTCATCATCCCTACTTGCTACCACTGCCATCCTATTGGCAATTAACTTACTTCGATCTCCATAAGTATTGCCCTCTTCCCTTCATTATGTTGATAATCAAGAAGATCTTAGACAATGTTTACAAGAGTTCTTACCAGCCATTAAATTACTGGAAAGTAGTAATATGACAGCAATTAAAAGAAAGTATTCTCTTGATAAGTTCAATAAAATTGCAGAACAACTTCTAGCAATCTTACATAATTAAAAATGAACTATATATAATCAATTAAATATTTACTACTATTTCGAAGTCAAAATTATATTTAATTTTATAATAAATTATATAATAAACACATTGTTATTTATAAATTCAAATATAAAACTCTATTTTTCTCAATAAATTACACATAATATAGTAATTATACTAAATAGATAATATATATTAATAACTTTTAATCTATTTATGTATCATACTTATTTATATTTTTATATGTTATTAATTTATATAATTATATCAACTAAATGTATATTTTCTATAAGATTATTTAATTTCCTAATTGTTATTACAATTATAGAATTAAAATCATAATAATTAAACATAAATATTTTACATATTTCAGGATTCAATAATCTATCAAGTATTAATTCATTTAATTAATTAAAGCTCTTAATGTTATGATAAATTATAAAAACCATTTATAATCTATAATTATCTTGTTAGTACTTATAATTTAATTTATTTATATAGTTATATTTAAATCAGAAATATAATTAATTAGATATTATATTCACTCAAATATTTGATTCTTCTATGAATTCTTCTCATTCTATTAAAAATCGCTTTGAAAATAATGAAATATATATATATATTATCAACTTTTTAATTAATAATATAATAAAAAAATAATTTATATATATTTCATAAATCAATCTAATAAAGATATTCAATACTATTATAGATGGTCTATTTTGTCTGAATTTTTGTTTTTAGTTTAGAATATTTACAATCTATTAAGTCTATAAATTAAAATTTAGTATAGTTAAAGAGAAGATTTAATTCTAGTAGTTAAATAAATTGATTATAAAGTGTGAGTTTTATTTAAATATTAATTTCTATGGCTAATAAGGAATACTGACAATTTCATCTAAGATTCTTCTATACTATAATATTTTAAACAATAAATAAATATTCTAATTAGATTCTAGAATATTGTAATTTAAATTAATTCTAAACTACTCTTTTTCAAATCTGTTTATCTTTTCTAACTTAATCATTCTAGAAGTATTTTAATTCAGAGGAGTGTCAGCATATTCATAATGATGACTTATTTATATGTATTTTTCTCAGTAATTTCTAAGTTTAATTGTTGAAATCTTAGTAAGATGGAGATTTTTGAAGAATTCATTTAGATTTTGGATTCTTATATAAAATATAGACATTAAAAATTATTAAATATAGAGAAAGAGAGTGAATATTAAGGAAGCTACTACATTTTTAATTAAATAAATTATTATAAAAAGAGGAATTTAAAGGAACTTTTATAAAGGCTTTTTTATAAATAAATTGCATTATAATCAGATTCTCTATTTTTAAATTGCACATTATTTTTAACATTTCATATCTTCCGATATTTTATATAATTAAGCTTAGGATTGAATTATTTTAAAAAGACAAAGCAATATAAAAATCATATAATCAGTATTCATAACTATTTAGGTTCAAATTTTTTCACTAAGTATCCATTCCACATGTACAATTACTCAGTAAAGTCTTGAGAGCGAAATTTTCTTCTTCTTGCTGTAGTTTCCCCATCAGAATTCTTTCTTCCTGATTAGATGAATGTGTTATTTTATGAAGATTAGCTTGATAATTCGAAATCATCGATATAATTGATAGGACTGTTATCCCCATCTATAATTAGATGCTTCAAAGCACTCTATGTTAAGTTTTGCATGTTTAATTTTTATTAATAAAATGTATATGTACTCCAATCTCATTTTTGAATATCAAAATTGATCATCAGAAATTCACATAATTGAAACTCTAAAGAAAATTTTTAATTCCTTTTCAATTGAAAATGATAATATTGATGAGATTGGATGATAATAATATATAAAATGATTGTTAAGAATACTTAATTTGTTCTAAAATATAATTAATCTGATTATAAGATCATTATAGAATTCTAATCTCTGTATATTTCAAACATTTGATTGAAAAAATGAGATTCAAATTAATGATGTTATAGTTAATAAATCATAAATAATTAAAATCAATAATAAAGTATTAATCTGTTAATTATCTAGACAAGAAATATCAGAAATGTATTTATATATATATTATTATATATATATAATCAAATAAAAAAATAATAGAAATAAATGCATAATCAGAAAATACTAAAAAATACTAATAAATTTATATTATATGATAATAAAAAATATTTAATCTTAAATTTGAGAGTATCAATATATAAATTTAATTATTATTATAATTGAAAGATAATTATATAGAAAGAATAAATAAATTAAATATTTGAATATAGATAAAAATTTGATATTCCTTAAATTATATTTTAAAGATAATATAAAATTAATAAGTCTATTGTTTTATGCATTCAGTAAATAGACTTATTAAATTTTACAATACTTTAGCATTAGTTTATAATGCATTTCTATATTATTTTTTAAATAATTAAAATTTAATATTTAATTAACCACTTTTGAAATGACAGAAGAATCAAATTCAATCTTAACAACAATAAAGTATTACAAAAGTATTTTAAAATTTCCATCTTTTCCAAAATAATATTCAGAATTAGATGAGACTTAAGAATAGAATGAACTTTTTTTTTGTAATTCTAAATAGAGAAAAGAGGAAAGTTTAAGACTATTAAAAGAATGGGCTTAAAATAGAATGGAGTTATTTGAAAAGAATAGAGAAATTGTTGAAGAATTAGCTAATTCTTGTGACTATAGAATACGATTATCAGTTGATTTTCTTTAAATTGTTTACAAATTTTTCAATGAGAAATATTTTCATGAATAATAATATGCTCAATTCCTTATTACAAAACCTCAACCAGCATTAAAATAAAATCCACTTAATTAATAATTATATTCTACAATAGGAATTTCTATATCAACATTTGAAGAATACAATTTAAAAAGATTAGAAAAAATTGCAAATTTTGCACATTCAATTCAAACTGAAATACTAAAAGCATAATCATTTCATGATTTAAGTGATATGGATAAATAATTAGATTTACTCTTGAGTTCAATAATAACATAAAAAAAATTACTATAAAATTATATTACATCAGCAGGTTAGAAATTAAATTAAATTATCTAATAATTTCCATAACATCAACCACCTTAAAGATAGAGAAAACCAATATTTGATGATTAATAATAATAACCTTAATAAAGTAGAACTGATAAAATTTTATAAAATATTTCAGCCTTAGGAACTTTATTAGTTGGAGCATCATCTTTATAAGATCCAGTTGAAATGGAACTAAATTAATAAATGAAAGAATAAGAAAGATAAATTAGAGAATAATAATTAAAAGAAGAATAAAGTTTAAGTAATGGAAGTGAATTATAATAAGAACTAGGGGGTTAATAATAGAAATAGGAAATAAATAAAGAAGAAGAATAAATAGATAAATAAATTTAAAATGATTAAATATTAAAAGTAGAGAATTAAATAGAATTATAACATAAATAAATAGAAACATAAGATAAATAAATAGAATTAAAAGAAAATCAATAAGATTAATAATAATAATAATAAAAATTGCCAGAATCATTAAGTAGTGCTGAATACTACAAATAATAATAATAATTAAAAGAATAATAATAATTTGAATAAAATAAACTTAGATCTAAAAATTACTAACCTCAAGGTTAATAAAATTAATAAATCATATATGAAGATGATGGTAGAAAATAAAATAATTAACCAGTTGATTTATATAAACTTATTATTAGTTTTGTAGCAACTCAATAATATGCTAATAAATTATTAAATTAGTTGGCTGAAAAAGTATTATAATATTGGAAATAAGTATATTTCATTAAAATATTATTAGGTTATTGCAATAGAATCGAAACGAGCTTAATGGGCTAAAGATTCATGTTTGATATATAAAAAGGGAATTGCAGAAGTACATAATTTATAAGTAGAATTACCTGAATTGTCAATTGATGTTGATTAACATTACAATCTTAAAAAAATATTACCAAAAGAAATTGCATAATTTGAAGATGGTCATTAGGAAGAATTCATATAAACTTTAGTTATAAAAGAAATTGGATGTTAAGCAGCAAGACTTTTATTAGTGAAAGAATTTAGAGTACATGTTATTGATAAAAATAATGAATTATCAGCTATTTTAGTATTAACTATTGATAAATATGTTGGCTGTTGGTTAAAGCATGAAGATACAATAGAAGGTATTTTATTATATTGAATTTAAGCTGTTGATAATCCAGTTCTTCATTATCCAATAAAAGGTATGGCAATTCAGAAAGTTAATGAACTAATATTAGATATAATGCCATCAAGACATTTATTATTTTTGAATGTAATCTTAATAATCTATTTTAGATTGCAAATGATAGATAGAAAAGCAAAATAAAATTTCAAACAGCAGATGATATGGAAGAATTTTGTACAATTTCATAAGCAAAGGCTTGATTATATTGAGTGTAAAATAATGATATTTAATTGTTTCATATTATTCTTAAAAAACATCATTTAATTATATTTAAAGATATTTTATTATTGACAAAAATATGTTATAATATTGAAAATGGTAATTTTTATTCAGTAATATTTTAAAGAAAGCAAAATGAAAATCTAGGAAATATAAATAGTTATTTATTTATAGAAAATAGTTTTTATAATAGTTTAATTTATATTCAATAATTATTAATTAAATAATGTAATAACCATAATATTTATTTAAAATAATTAATATTTTTTATAAAATTTGATAAAGGAAATTTTATAAAAATGAATGCAATGATTATAATTAGTTAATGATAAATAATATGATCTTAGCTTGCCAGGTCTGAGCATTAAGTATTTTTGTAATTGCAAAAGTATAGATTAATAATCATTTTGGTGATTGTTTATTCATGTTTCTCCCTCTGCTGTTTAATCATTTTCACCTTCTACTTTGATTCTTCTTCCATTTTCCCATATACCAGCTTTTCTTTCTCCTGTTTCTGTTATAATAACTCCTTTTCCATTTTATTTTCCAAGAGCCCATTCTCCTTCATATCTTTTTCCATTATTCCAAGAAAACACACCTTAACCATGTTTTTTATCATCCAAATACTGTCCTTTATAACTTTTTCCATCTGGCCATATAGTCTCACCATATCCATTCATTTTATTATTTAACCAACCTCCAATATAGGTCTTACCATCATTCCAAACATATTTCCCATTTCCACTAATCTCATTATCCAAAAACTCTCCTTCATAAAGACTGTTATCAGCAAATTACAACTTTCCTCTTCCATTCTTTTTACCAAAAGTATACATTCCCTAATATGGAATAATTTGAATACTTCATATTTAGAACCATCTGGCCAAACTTCAGTTCCAAAACCATGCTATTAGTCATTAAGCCAATCACCTTCATAACGAGCACCTCCTGCATGAGTGTAAGTTCCTTTTCCATTAGCCATATCATTAGCCCATTGTCCATCATAGATATCTCCATCACAATGTACTGAATAAATGTAATGGTTACTTAATTTGCCATAACCTTCTGCTTTATCATTCTTCCATTATCCTTCATAATGGCCTCCATCAGCCCAATACTATTAAATTACTGAGGTGAAAATATATACATGTATTCCTTCACCATGTCGCATAAAATTGAACCATTCCCCTTCATAATAGCCTCCATTGATCATATTGATTCTTGGTAATTTTTTATGAATGCCTTTGGTACTCTGTACTAATTATTGGGCTTCATCATTAAGCGGTTTATTATCCTCTGCATAAGATAATGATTTCAACCATGACAAAATGATTTTTCTTCTGTCTACTTTTCCTTGTCTGCTATATGGTGATCACTTGAACCTCTTTGAGTATGGAGTTCCTATTCAGGTTGCTTCTTTGGAATACAGTTGCAGCTCCCCATTATTTTAAATTAAAATATATATTTTTGCCTTGATTTTAAGGAGAAACAAGAAAGAGATAAGGTATTTGAGATATAAATATTGATTGAATGTTGTATGTATCAAAATGGATAAAATAAAAGTTATTTATTATAATATATGGACAAACAATTAATATTTGCAGAATGTATTCGTATCCTCTAAATAACACCATTGCGTAGAAGTCCTGAAGAATTGAATCTGCTATTAAATTTTGCAAGGACTATCACATTTTTCAGAGAATTAGGAGAACAATCAGTTGAGATGCTGCAACGATGCATTTTTGTTCTCTCTTATAGGACAATAAAGGGCGGAGAGGTATGATTGTGGGTTCTCCACTCCCTCTAGGTACTCTTCAGAGTGGGCGATTCAGGAAGTTTGTTTTACGTGATCCTACGAGGTTCGGTAAGTGTCAACATCAGATTGCCAAATCCTGAAGATCCTCAATAATTTGAATTGAAAGAAGTAAACACACTACGAGCAGGGATAGGTTTTGGAGAGTTGGCATTGATAAATGACTCTAAAAGAACAGCTACCATAATTGCTAAGGAAGATTGTGTATTTGCAGTAATGGAAAAACATCATTACAAATCAATATTAGGTGCTTAGGAGATGGCAAAGATATAGAATAAGATCTCCTTCTTATGTTCATTTCCTTTCTTCAATTCTTGGTCTTTCAGAGAGATCAAAACAATAAGCTACCATTTTGAACCTGTCTCTGTAACTTTGAATCAAGCAATAATTAAGTAGAATGAATATTGCAATCATTTCTATGTTGTTAGGGAAGGAGAGTTTTAAGTACAATTCATCCATAAAAATAAGTTATTTTGTATGTATTAATTCACTAGTGTTATTTTTATAGTTGCACTCTAGGTCCTGGTGAATCTTTTGGAGAGGAAGCATTTCTTAATAAAGATGGTCAATTCTTAATAAAGTCTTCTATTTTTATCTAATGGGCCAAGACTAAGTACAACATAGTATGTAAAAGTGAAACAGGAATAGCATATAAAATAACTAGAGAAGATATATAAAAGTAAATCTATATATTTAGATAGAGACGATTCTGGGATAGCAAAACCTAGATTGTTTTTTTGTAATTATTGTCTTCAATTCATCATTTCAGAACTCTAAAGGCAGAATAATTAATTAAGGAATATGAGGAGAAGAGACAAAAAGAAGAAGAAGAAATGAAATTCATTCATCCAGGAGTAAAGAGGAGTTTTGTTTAGAAATATAATTTATTATCTTAAAGAAATACAAGCAGTGAGATAGAGAAGGATGAATAATATGATCAATTCAAATTATAAGAGAAATAAGCTATTGTATAATTCACTAAATTGATGAAAGATAGAAATTGTTCTTATGCTCAAGTAAGAACTTTTTTTGATCAACGCAAATTCAAATCTTAAAATTACTTTAATAAAAGATTCTATCATAGATAATTCTTTAGATTTTCTAATAAAATTGATGAAAAAATAACACATGATCATGATCATAATAAAGTTAAGACTGATCATGAAATAGATGGATTACTTACTTATTGTACAAATCAGTAGAATTTAGGATGTAATAATAACAATTCTAATCACTATCCTCTTACCTAAGTATTAAGCAGTCCAACTACTGTAGATAAATTCATCAAGAGAATCAAAAATAAAGTATAGATACAAATGAAAAATGAGGAAAATAATACGTTTTTTAACATTCGTACTCATAGTCCAACTTCACATAGAAGTATAAATAGTAGAAGATTGAAAACTTATGTTGATTGAATCATATAATTAATATATTATTGTTTACTTGATTCAAATTAATTATCATTTATAAAACAATTTCTAATTATATTAGTTTTATTAATGATAAAATAATAAAATATATAGCAATTATTCCCTAACTTATAAGAATAATCTTACTAGACTCTACAATAAGTGTATGAAAACATTGCTCTATAAGAATTCCATGTCTTAGTCTAACAAATTAAAACCAAGTTTCCAATTCCAAATTAAATCAATCCTGTTCAATTTCCTACTCAAGAGAATGTAATTGAATTCTTTTAGAATTACAACCCAATCATTTTAGACTTAACTAACATTTAAGATGTTAAAATTAAACTCTATAAAAATGCTGCATTCTATGGAACCTTAGTTGATGGCTTGAGATAAGGACAAGGAATTTTAATTAAATCAACATTATAACTTTATGAAGGTTCTTTTCTTAGAGACAAGAAAGATGGTATCGGATTTGAATTACTTAAACAAAACTAATTTTATTATGGTACTTATTTGAATGGGTTACCAAATGGAGAAGGAGTCTTCTGGTCAAAAAACTAAAAATATATTGGTTAATGGCATTAAGGAAAAAAAGTATTATATAATCTTTATTTTCTAAGCATGGAATTGGATGGTATTAAGGAAGTCATTCAGATTATTATCTAGGATAATGGGAAAATGGAAGATGTTTTGGACTTTGCATATATATCAATGGAGACATGTATAACTGACTAATAATATTAGATATGTTGGTCATGTTACTAATGATCTAAAACATGGTAATGGTTAAGAATATTTTGAAAATGGTGATTATTTTATTGGAGAATATAGAAATGGAAAACCTAATGGTTAAGGTGAATTTTATTGGAATAATGGGAACTTCTATAAAGGAGAATTCGTTAATGGACAAAGGAATGGCTATGGAATTTGGGAAAGCAAAACATAAGAGGGAATAAATAAATTCAAAGGTCAATATGCCAACGATAAAAAATGTGGATAGGGAGTATTTGAATATGCCAATGGCACTATATATGAAGGTTCCTTTGTTGATGATAAAAGATGTGGATATGGAGAAATTACATGGTAGGATAAAGCAACTTATAAGGGTTATTGGGTAGATGGATTAATGGAAGGAGAAGGAATCTATGAATATGATACACTTGTATTAAAGGGTAATTGGAGAAGCAATTAATTATAAACTATTGATAAAGTTAGAGTCTCATTAAATTAATTTCCATAATAACATAACTTAAAAGAAATTTATGAAAATGAAGAAATTAGATCAGAGTTAGCTGATGAACCAGACTTAGATGAAATTGGAAATTAATTTTAAGCTGAAATTCTAGCTTCTAAAACTGATACTAATCATATTCCTGTTCAAACTACTTCTCATCAAACTAGTCATAATGATATGTAATTTCATTAAAAAGTACCCATTTTATAAAGACAATTTGATTTACTCAGTCTTCTTGATTAAGGACTTCAACTCTAAACTTTAGATGTTTCATAAAAATAGAATAACTCAAGTGTAGCCATTCAAACTGAAAGTAAAAAACAGTTTCTTCCTAAATTGACTCTCAGTAAGAAAACCCCTACAAATAGTGTTGATCATTCTCATAATGCAAATAATAAATTTAAATTTGATTCAATATCCAATTCCCCAAATACTAGAGGAACTGATCAATCAAATAAATCACATAGAGGTTAGAATTAAAAAAAAGCAAATAAATCTGTTTAATGTAGAAGTAGAAAAAATAAAAAAGTTCTTCTATCTAGGATTGAACAGAACATATGGGCTATCAAAATGAATAAATTAAAATTAAGTCCTTAAAAGTATACTAAATTTTGGAATCATGGAGTATAAAATAAATTTCTATTTAGATTGTAAATGAAATTAAATAGATTCTCTATCCTCCTATTTGGAAACCTCCATCCCATTTAACATGAATTATTATTCTAATGCTTGACACTTTATTTATTATTTTATTGTTATTTTATTATTTCTATTACAATAATTCTATTAAGAATATAAAAAAAACCTCATCAAAACTTTCAAAAGCAATAATAATGAATAATAGTCATTTAAGAAATAGCAGATAAAACTAAAACATTTAAAATACTACATTCCTCTAATAATAAAATCCACAATATGGTTATAAGTCTCCAACAGGTTTTGCAGTTAAACCTACCTAGACATTTTTAGGAAAAGAGTAAAATACCTATAAAAACTTGGGACAAACATAACTATAAGCAGCTGTATTGTAAAGGACCCCTTTAGAGTTAAAAATTAATTAAAGTAATAACTAAAGAAATCTTAGTCATTAATCGCCTAATCAAAGATAAAATTCAATTAAATAATAATAATAATTTTTATTAGTAAAAGAGAAATCTTGTAACAAAGTACCATATATGGTTTCTCGAGGGGAAAAACTTCAATAAAATGTAAGTAAAAAATCCTATCTCCCAAATGATTAATATTAGAATAATTAAAATAAGGGATTTTACTAATAGATAGATTTATTCAATAATTAATAGTAAAAACTATCAATTTTTTTATAACATTAACCTTAAAATAATAATTAAAATCATTAATTATTTTAATAACCAATAGAATAAACTTATCTAGACAAAAATAAAAAAACATAAAATTTCAATTCAGTTAATTAAGTAGGAAATAGGCAATAATAATACATTAGTGACATAGATAATAATTAATAAGGTTCAAAATAATCATACTCAAATAAATAAGACCAGAATACAAAACAAGATTAGATGAATACAAGAAATTCGAGCACAAATTAGAAGATAATAAAAGCAGAATTCCAAATAAAACCAATACAAAAAAATGATGCTTAGGATCTAAAAAGCCTAAATTAATAGATTCCATAACCCAAAAACTTAGGAAAACCTTAAATTAAATTCATCTAAACAAATCACCACCAAACCAAACTAGAATATTAACATACTGATAATAAAGATCTAAAAAATCATTATAATGAGATACCATAATCCAATAAAATAGAAAAACCTTAAAACTTAAAAGAGGAATCAAAACAAAATTATATTTAATAAGAATAGTAACAAACTAATAATAAAGATCTAAAAAATGATTATAATTAGATAACATAAACCAATAAAATAGAAAAACCTTAAAACTTAAACTTAAATGAAGAACCAAAACAACATAAAATTTAATAAGGATAGTAACAAACTGATAATAAAGATCTAAAAAATCATTATAATGAGATACCATAATCCAATAAAAAAGAAACAACTTAAAACTTAAACTTAAATGAAGAACCAAAGCAAAATAAAATTTAATAAGGATAGTAACAAACTGATAATAAAGATCTAAAAAATCATTATAATGAGATACCATAATCCAATAAAAAAGAAACAACTTAAAACTTAAACTTAAATGAAGAACCAAAGCAAAATAAAATTTAATAAGGATAGTAACAAACTGATAATAAAGATCTAAAAAATCATTATAATGAGATACCATAATCCAATAAAAAAGAAACAACTTAAAACTTAAACTTAAATGAAGAACCAAAGCAAAATAAAATTTAATAAGGATAGTAACAAACTGATAATAAAGATCTAAAAAATCATTATAATGAGATACCATAATCCAATAAAAAAGAAACAACTTAAAACTTAAACTTAAATGAAGAACCAAAGCAAAATAAAATTTAATAAGGATAGTAACAAACTGATAATAAAGATCTAAAAAATCATTATAATGAGATACCATAATCCAATAAAAAAGAAACAACTTAAAACTTAAACTTAAATGAAGAACCAAAGCAAAATAAAATTTAATAAGGATAGTAACAAACTGATAATAAAGATCTAAAAAATCATTATAATGAGATACCATAATCCAATAAAAAAGAAACAACTTAAAACTTAAACTTAAATGAAGAACCAAAGCAAAATAAAATTTAATAAGGATAGTAACAAACTGATAATAAAGATCTAAAAAATCATTATAATGAGATACCATAATCCAATAAAAAAGAAACAACTTAAAACTTAAACTTAAATGAAGAACCAAAGCAAAATAAAATTTAATAAGGATAGTAACAAACTGATAATAAAGATCTAAAAAATCATTATAATGAGATACCATAATCCAATAAAAAAGAAACAACTTAAAACTTAAACTTAAATGAAGAACCAAAGCAAAATAAAATTTAATAAGGATAGTAACAAACTGATAATAAAGATCTAAAAAATCATTATAATGAGATACCATAATCCAATAAAAAAGAAACAACTTAAAACTTAAACTTAAATGAAGAACCAAAGCAAAATAAAATTTAATAAGAATAGTAACAAAATGATAATAAAGATCTAAAAAATCATTATAATGAGATACCATAATCCAATAAAAAAGAAAAACCTTAAAACTTAAACTTAAATGAAGAACCAAAGCAAAATAAAATTTAATAAGGATAGTAACAAACTGATAATAAAGATCTAAAAAATCATTATAATGAGATACCATAATCCAATAAAAAAGAAACAACTTAAAACTTAAACTTAAATGAAGAACCAAAGCAAAATAAAATTTAATAAGAATAGTAACAAAATGATAATAAAGATCTAAAAAATCATTATAATGAGATACCATAAACCAATAAAATAGAAAAACCTTAAAACTTAAAAGAGGAATCAAAACAAAATTATATTTAATAAGAATAGTAACAAACTAATAATAAAGATCTAAAAAATGATTATAATGAGATACCATAATCCAATAAAAAAGAAAGTACTAATAAACACATTGAAAAATTCAATAAATAACCAAACCAGGTTACATCCAAAAACACAAAATCTCCAATAGCATTACTACTAGGCACTCCTGGAGTCGGTAAGACCTTTTTAATGAAAACTCTATTTAATAGGAATATTATTAATGAATATCAATTATACAAATTACAACTAGACGATACTCTGAGTTATAATTTTGTTGATACTTAAGGATTTAATTTTGAAGAAGATATTGATGTCAGAGAAGCACAAATTAACTAGTATTAAAAACTATTTAATGATAATAAAGATTAAGTATGTTCTATTTTTATTGTTGTCAATTTTGAAAGAACTGATCTGATGAAAAAAAATATTATATCAATATATAAGTTCTTCAGAAAATTTTCATCATTAATTAGTATCATTGTGACTGAATTCTAACTAAGTGATGATAAAGATCAAGATGAAGCTGATTTGACAGCAAAATTAAAAATTTTTAAGCCTAGAGATATAATTTTTGTAGAAAGAGGAATTAGAAAAGCAGATTTAATTAAAAAAATGAAAGAGAAGTCTTTAAATTAGATTGAATCTGATTTTAAATTTGATATAACGGATACTATTTTTGAGTAAGCAGATTAAGAGGAGGTTAAATAAATATTTGATTAACTTAAACAAAGATTAAAATGATGAATTTTTTTTTGTTTATATAATAAATTATGTAATTATGCTAATTAGAAAAAACTCATAAAATCTCTAACAGCAAGTCTTTTTGTTATCACAAATAGACTAAGGATACCTACATTTTAACTATACAGCCTCCCAGCGAATTTAACCGTTTACTTTATCATTTGAATCATCCAAACTTATTACTAGTGGAAGAGTTTTGGGAAGAGAGAGGACAAATTTGTTCTGTATAAAAATGTGAAACAATCAATGATTTGTAAGAAGTAAGTAACTTTGTTAAATTAGATTATGTAAAACAATAAGTTCTCTGAAAATACAATATTGACAATATTGTACTAGATAATATCTGCTATGTTTTATTTGGAATAACAATAAATACCTATAACAGTATCATTGAATAATGTATTTCTGGATGAATAATTATAGGTGAAAGTATAATAATAATGTTTATTGTTAGATAGATGTATTAAATATCACGAATGCATAACTTTCATTTGCATCCCCTGAAGTATTAAGGAAAGAGGTTGAGTCATCTGGAATTTGGAGTGCAGGATGCGTAGCATATTACTTAATGAAATCTGAATTACCTTTTTCAGGAGTGAATGAGAGATCTATAGCTTATAATATTATATATAGAGAACCACCACCAAGTGATTTTTAAGAGTTCCCATTGGTTAGTGCCTTGTTGAAAGTCATTTTTATAAAGAATTGGAAGAGACGTGCAACTATAAAATAGGTTTTATAATTTTTAGCTTCCAAATCTGCAACAGTTTAGGAACCTATTAAATTATTAAGATCTCCTTAATCATCAGTTGGCAAGAATAAATCTAGTATGATGTTAAGTAAAATTGACAAAGTTGAATACTCAGAAAAATAAACTGATAGCATAAAAATGGATGATAAATAATCTCCATTAGCTAAGGTTCTTACATTATAAGAATTTGAAGAACAATTGTCTCGCATGAAGGAAAGACCTCAATCTTCAATGATTGATGAATCTAATGAGATTATTAACAAAATAAAAAGAATGAGACCTAATTCTGCAATAACTTTAACTGGAAAAGAGTTTGTAAGAAAAAATATCAAAGAAGAAATAAATTAAAGAAGATAGGTTCAAAGTTCAAAGCCTTTTCTTGTAAAAAAGAATACGTAATAACACTTTGAAAAACATCATAAAGAGATTTCTATAGATTTAGATAATGTAGATAAATTAAAACATAGTGATACTATAAGGGTTTATAATTTGGAATATCAGGACAATATCATACATCCAACAAAGAATAATAAAGTATATATGAAAATTTTGAAACCTAAAATGGTTGCTGCTGCAGATTACCCTGAAGGATAGATTTAGGGAATGTAAAAGTGGAGAAATAAAATGAACTCAATGCTAATTTGATTTTAATAATTTAATAAAATTTTATAATTTTGTAAAGATATTAATTTTCTCATTCAAAGTATTGAAAAAAAATAAAAATTTAAAGAAAAATTCTGGTAGTATATTCTATTGGAACCTTTGTTAGTAAATGAAATAAGATTATACTAATTAATGTATAATAATAATCTCTATTTATTGTCTATTAGCTGCAATAAAAGTTTAATATTAATAACAATAATTTAAGAATTTATACATAAAATCTGTTTTCAAAAGAAATTCATTGATAGATTGAGTCTTAAAATTGGTTGAAATTAATAAATATTTAATATAAATGTTCTAATTATTCATAATTTCTAGAAAGAATCAGATAAATTTTGTAATTTGGAATAAACTTAATAATGAAAATTTATTAAATCAAATAAAGTTTTCTAGACTTTCAGGGATATCATTTAATCTTATTCCTTATTCTTTTAAAAGTCCACTCATTTCTATTTCAACTTTATTTAGAAGATTATGTATTTCTTAATCTCCTTACATATTCTTGAGACTAGCAATTTGATCTTCTTCTTCTACACCAAATTTAGCATAAATTAAATCTTATACTATAATGTTGATGATTGTTGGAACCAGCATAACATTTTCAGATGGCTAATGGAAATAAGTAAATTTAATAATACAATTCTATGCAAAATAACATGAAATTCTTAAGGAAAGTTTTTGAGAATATGAACATTAAATTGTATAATGTCCTTCATTTATTTTAAATTCAATTTCTTGGTTGATTCAATTTTCTCTTTTATCTTTTGTTTTACACTTGCCTATAACATATACAATTATTGAAAATATCCCTGATCCATTCTCACCAGTACACTTTCTTCAAATATTTCTTTAGGGACATCTAATTAATATAGAAGTCTTTTTAATGCTTAATCTAAGACATCTTCAACATCTATTATGAATTAGACAATGCTATCAACATAGATTTACTGATTTGACTTTCTTAACCTTCTTCTCTAAACACGATTCTGCTTGCTTAATTTAACAAAATCTTCTCCTGCAATTTCTAATTATTTTGCATATATATCAACAATGCAACTAGCTTCTAGACAATGATCATCACCATATTTAATTTCAATATCATTGCTCATATCTAATTTTTAATCTATGGATCTATCATTGGTGTCCAAATATTAATCTAAATCATGCTTAGATAATAGTTTCTCTAAACTAAGTTTCTATTTAGAGTCTTTTTATATATAGTATGCTCTTCAATATATTGAATAAACACTTACCCAAAACCAACTATTCCAATAGAAGCTAAAACAACTGCTTTATTTTTAGATATCGTCGATCCCATAATTAATTCTTATTATTATTATTATATATATATATAGTTTTATTGAATTGTGATGAACTATCTTATTAATTAAATTCATTCAAATTAATATGATCTAAATAGTATAAAAATTAGTTCTGCTTTACAAAGTAGTATTTAAATTAATAATATTTGGAAATTATCATATATATATATATTCATTTTTCTGATTTTCTTGATATTCCAGCAAATGGGTTAGTTTAATTGTATCCATCTTTATAACCTTATTCATATGCTCCTTTATTGCCACTTAGGTCACACACTAAAGCATCAAATCCTTAACCTACAGCTTCCGCAGTTGATGGATCATAATCTCAGGATGCTTCATCATATCCTTATCCATAAAAATATCCTTAATCATTTCCTGAATTACTGTCTTTCTACATTAGGTAAAATAATAATATTAAATTTTCAATTGTGTAATTGACTTAAAAATGAAAATATATTCTATTTAAAAGAATATTTTGTCAGAAATTATAAATTTAAATATATATATGGATTTTATTAGCAACCTTTAAGTATATTAATTGTAAAAAATATATAGAATATTAAAATTTAAATAAATACAATGTTAATAAATGAATATTAAATATTACTTAATTTTTTTATTATAAAATGAAGGTATGATAATTTATGAAAAAAATATTTTATTTTCAATGTTCTGTTCTTGCTCTGATATAATAATCACCTTAAAAACGGACCTTCATTTTTTCTTTGTTTGCTTAGAAGATTATAATGAATAAATACAATTTTTACGAAAACTACTCACTAATTTTTTTTATTAGTCTTATTCCAATGATTCTTTAATTTATAATTAATAAATACTATTTAATTAATCTTGTTTTTGAAGCTCATTCTGAACGTATTTCATCTTAGTATCAAATTCTTCATTGACTTACTGCTTCTTGAGTTGGTATTCTCGTAATAGGTCGGCACTCAATACCCTGAAAAAGCTAATCTAATTTTTTCTTTTTTTCATTCTCCAATTAATGAAGTTGATCTTGGAGTTGTAACTTATCTTTTTCAATTTATTTTGATTTGTATATATTCCAATCCTAATGCAATTGTGTGTCTTTTCTCATTGAAATTTTATTTGAAAAAAGTGCAGATTTGTAGCCTTCTTCTTGATTCATTTATGGAGTAGTTTCAAAGCTACGATTTCCATAGATTTTGCTAATAATGTTCTATTTCTATTTAGTGAGATCTAATTGTAATTATTGAATCTAATTTCTTAGTGACTCAATGTTATTAAGAGGCTTTTTATAAGTATTCATAATTTTAATGATTAATACATAAGTTCAATTGAAGAGGGAATAGTTTGTTATTCAGATTCGAAAGTAAGCTAGAGAAGAAATCTTTTCAAGAAAGAGACTCACAGTTTTGAATGGCAATATAGATGTAGATTTGAAGTGCTCTCCTGATGAAATGATTCTCTAAATTTATAATAGTTTTATGCTCAAAGATTTTAAGACACTAAAGGATTTATTATTTAGATATAATGAGTAATTCCTAATAATCATCCTAAGAAAGTAATAGGGTGATGATGTGTTTATGAATTAATATGTTAATCATTTTGGTTTAAATTAAGAAACCCTCCAATTATTCATTCAAATATTGTGTATGTCTGATGTTTCTTAGGAAAGTAATATAGATGAGATTAGAATGCATAATATAAATCAAGTTCTAATAATATTGGTGAACATTACATATCTGACTGCTCCATAAATCATTAATAATTTATTGAATCATGATATATTAGATATACTTTTGAATGATATATTGGGTCGTATGAATACAAAACAAAAGTTAGAAAAGAATTTTGAAGTTTGGTAATCGATAATTGATAGTGTAATATTATTACTTACTTGCAGCTCTGTTAACTATTTATAAATATGTTACTGGATTTATAAGATTAAAGAGGAGTGTAAATGAAAATGGAAATAATGAAATCACCATTCTTTAAAATATGGCAATATATTTATAAAGAGTATCCACCATAACATCTTTGGAATTCAATGTTATATTTATAATAAATTCTTTTTATGAATCCAAAAATTTAAGATATAGAAATAGTGTCATCAAATGTATATCCTATTATATTATATCAATATAGATGTAGAGAATACTTAAATAGTGTAGTTATGTAATAATTGAATTTTCAGATTAAGATTAATTGTATGAGAGAGCATTAATATTAATTTATTAATGTACTTAATATTAGTTATAGACTACAATTGTGTTAACAAAATAACTTTGGGTGAAAATGATACTAATCAATAAATTTCCCTTATTGATGTATGATCTATTCATCAAATTCACTTCTGTGAATTATAATTAGGATTCTCCAGCTTCTGAGTTGAATACTGAAAAACATTTGATCGATATTAATGTATTAAATAACATGTTGTTTTGGTTATCAAAATCATAAGATGAAGATTTAATTATTAAGATATATCAATGTTTGAATAATATTCTGACATTCGAATATCCACATCTTGCTAGTGTAGTCATTTATCATTTTCTGCCCATTTGCTAACAATATTAAGAAGTTTAATCTTATTGTAAAGCAGAATTTGCTGATGAATATTTGATATTAATTAAAAACCTCATTAAATGTTAGAAATTAACTGAAATTAATCTAAATTAAATATTGAAAGAATACAATGTAATGAAGTAAATTAAAAAAATGTAAATCATTATAAATTTATTGTTAGATTATTATAGTGTTGCTTTGAATCTTGCAATCTTTTGGATTTATTTGATGCATTTGATCTCTTATCTATTGAATTTAAATATGAAGTCTTAAAAAGGATTGTCAATTATTAAATAATTGAGATTCTCAATAATTTACATTCTAAAAAATATATTAATGAAAATTTTATTGATATTTTATTGGAACAAATAGCTAAATGGGAATAAGAAACTCATGAGTTAAATTATTCTTGAATATATATAATTTATTAATTTAATGCTTAACTAATCATTCAAAATTGTATATCTTCATACTATGATGAGTAATTTAAAAGTCTATATTACAATAAACATTCATTTTATATAAATATTCATCTATAATTTAATTAAAAAAAGGATAGAACTCAATATCTAAAAGAATATAAAATTAATAACAAAAAGTCGCAATCCATTATAATGTTAATCTTATATATTTATTTAGAAATAGTTATAACAATTATTAATTACATTAATTAATTAATTATAGATAATTAATATAAAATAAATAAGTAACTTATCATTACAAATTAATAAAAAATAATACATTTAAAAATTTGAATCAATTTCAAATTAAATTGATATTTCAGTCTCATAGAATCTCATTCATTATTCAAATACTTTTAGGAATGAAGATTTCTATAAATATAAAAATATAAAATGAATGTAAAATATAAAATTATAAAAGAAATGAAATTTCAATAATGATATTAAATAAATAATTTATTTATTAAAAAAAGAATCATAATATAAAAAGATAAATAATAATAAAGAAATATTTTATTAATATTATATATATATATATGAGTATAAAGAATCATAACATTTTTATTGAAGATTATTTGGTAAATCTTCTCTTTGCCACTTATGGATCTGCTACATTGATGTTATTATTGTTTATAATATTTGCTATCATTTAATAAAATCTTTAAACTCGATTTTTTACAAATAATTGCAAAGGTCGTAATTTTCTTTGTTTAGCTATATTTTATAATTTCTTCTATTGATCATAATCTATTAAGGGTGAGAATAATTAAGATAATTAATTATTCAAAGATTTTAATGATTCAATTTCACTCTAATCCCAATCTTTATTAAATGTATTTTATTATCTCATATGTAAATCAATAACTGTATTATATATATGAATTAATTTAGTTACTGTAGAGAATAGAGAATATTAATTGTATTAATCTTAAAAATAATTCTTAATTAGTTTATGTAATTCTTCTAATTCAATAATTACTGAATGTAATCCAAATTATAGACAACATTTTTATACTAAATGATGTGGTAATTATTTATAATGTTAATAGAAATCTAGAAATGGTAAATTACTTTCTTTGTATGAAATTTCATTTAATTCAACAATGGGTGTCTTAATTAAACTTTTAAGTAACATTTATTTAACAAAAAAGCAAGATTCTGAAGCAGCAGTAAAAAATGATTCAGCTGTCACAACTCCATCTCCACACATAAATGATTCTCTAAAGAGTGAACATATCTCTTAGTCTGGTACATCTGGAAAATTGCTTTAAAATATTTTCTTGAAATTCTTATAAGTAACACCACTCTTACCTGAACTTTAAACAGAAATACAAGCACTAAATACTTCTTTAAGCATAGCTAATCTATTTCTCCGTTCTGTTCTATATAACTCAAGAAGAATTCTCAAAACATAATGTCCATCTACAATTGTCCCTTTACCTTTAGTAACACTACTCTCAATAATTATTTAATTGATTTAATTGTACATAGATTAATCATATTTCCATAAAAGCATTTCTAATATTTATTGAACCCAATTCAATTAAACAAAAATAACTGCTTCAAAACTATATCTTTATTAATTTGATAGACTTCCTTTAAATATTAAGAAACGGGAATATAAATAATAATAAAGTTCATCTGGAGAACTCAATTCAAATAATAATTCACTAATAATTAATATATAAATTACTTAAAAATAATTACTTCATGTAATTTAGCTAATTTAGGACTTAAACAATCCAAAATAAAATCATTTCTTATTGGTTCGAGATGTTCAAAACTTCTATCTTTAATTATTTCTATTTATCGAGTCTTAGGATTTATAATAAAATTGCTTATCCATCCATAAACAAAATCTGCAAACTTTACAGGAGTATATTAATTATCTCTATATAAAAATTCATTGTATTATGAATCTAAAATAGACCTAATTGTAGCAAAATATAATATGCTAATTTAATGAAATTCAATATTCCTATAATCTTATTCTAAATTCTTCATATTTGATTCATAAAATAAGAGAAAACTAGGACGAGGATATTAAAACTTACTTAGAGAATCATAATAAATATAATCATAACGAACATGTTTAAGAAACATAATTGTTGTTTATTCTTGATCACTTAATTTTGTGATATTAAGTTAAGTAAGTTCTTTCATTATTTTAAAGTATTATTTATCCTAAGAAAAATTATAAGCAAGTCTCATTAACTTCTATTCCTACTCAGGATCTACTTTTTGAACTTCAGGTCTTTTACTCTTTTCAATTTTCATTTTGTCAATTTCATCTTAAAGCATAAGTAATTTTTTTCTAGAATTGGCTTCCTCTCTTAAATAATGTCTATATCTAATATAATGAGCTGTCAGATCTTCTTCTTGCATTTTGCATAATTCATTCAAATGTCTATTCTCATTCACCATTTTGTCATATGTGTTTTCAATATGGCTGTATTTCTTTTTATCACTTTCTAAATAATTCTCTAGTATTTGAATTTAACTATCCTACTTCTATATTACAGATTTCAATTAAATTATTAATTGACTGTTTTTTGACACTTACTTCTCTTTAGTGTCATTCAATATTATTAATCGATTAATCTATTCATCCTTAACCTAAGTAATCCTTTATATCTCATCTCTTAATTTTACAACATCCTGACTCTCTTCTAGTTCCTTTAATCTTAAAATAAATTGAAAATATTGTACTTATTTGATAACTATTTAATTTCTATTGCTAATTTGTTATTCTATACAAGTAATGAATTTACTTTTAATTTATCTATCTCTTTAACTTCTCTCAAAGTCTTAGACTCTCTATTATCATCTCGATAATCATTTTTCAATAATTGTAACATCAATCGTTATAAGGCTTAATAGCTCTTTATTTATATTTTATCATTTTATCATACTTGAACTAATAAAGGAGCTGCATCCATTTATTTAAGTGCACTTAAAATTGTTGATGCTACTTATTTAAATTATTCTTTAAAATGAGATGGCATTTCATTTTACAATTAAGAATTCAAAGATATCACATCCAAACTTAAGCGTTCTTATGCTTACTTATCCATACTAATTGATTTCTAATGAAAATTAGACTTTGATAAAATGAACTTATTTAATTTATCCGTAGACTCTATTCTTATTTATCTCATTAAGATTATATTAATTATTTGATAACTTTTACTAAATAAATAAATTGTACAGAACTTCTTTTATGATTCAACTAAAATGAATCATTCCATAATTTATTATAAAAAAATCTCTTGAAAAATTATAAATCCTTCACAAATCAAATCATTTTTATATAATTCTAAATGTCCTCAAGTGATATTGAATTTTTAGAGAAATATCATCTTCAATCCAAAGATTAAGCTCTTGCTACTTTAGTAAAAGGATCACAAGAGTATATCTATTATACTCTCCTCAAAGCCCTAAATGAATAACACTCAAAACTAAATGAAGATTAGTAAACACTATTAATGAATCTGAAAAAAAATTCTGATAATTTTAAGAATATTGAGTTAAGATCTCTCATGTTAGAATTTGAAAGTCTATGTCAAGAAGAAGACACTAAGGAAAATTAAATCAAAAAACAAAGAATAATGTAAATTATCAATGATTAATTCCTTCATATCCAATTCAATAATTAAGGTGATAAGAGACATGAATTTCAACATGATGATAATACTAAGTAAGATAACTCATTGGGGATTCGTTAATACAAAACTAAATTAGATCCACAAAATGTCACTTTAAAAACATATTTACAAAAGGCTTATTAAAATGAAAACCTTAATAAATTTTCTGTCTATGCACTACGTTAATTAGATTTCGAAAGAATGTTAAAATGTAATGATAAATGGATTTATGAATACTTAAACATTCTAGCTAATTCTAAAGCATTAGAAGGGTATTTAAGTATGTTATTATAGTTTGGATTTTGTTATACCATTATTTTAGAGACTAATCAAAGGAGAATTTCAATTAGGATCAATTTTTACTGCCATGAGTTTGTAATAAATGGAAGAACTTTAAAAAGTTTATGAGGATTTGAATAATAATTTAGATTACATAAAAAAATATTATTCTAAGAGATTCGATTCCATGAATCTCAATGATAATGATACTTTGAAATAGAAAGAACATTTATTATAAGTTTAAGATTGGTAGAAGACATTACCTAAATAGTTATAATTTGAATCCTTAATTACCATCAATTTATTAAATCTAAGTATAATTTATAATTTACTTTAGATATTAAATAGAGTAATTATGATATAAATCTTTTTATTTCATATCTTTAAGTGCCATTATAATAATATCCTGGAATCAATCCAAATATAAGAGATAGCATGAGTAAAATTAAATTTTAATTTAATCCTATCTCTATACCAGTATAACATGATCAAATTATTTATTAACATCTTGAATATATGATTAAAAATGATATGGATTTAGAATAAATTTAGAGATATTTTGAAGAACATTATTTGAATAAAACAAAAGCTTTATTGTATTTGTAATTAGGCAGAGAAGTATCAAATATCAATTAAATTCTAACTGAATCTGAAGTCATTAAATTATAGAATGAAAAATATATTGAATTTCATGAATAGACTAAACTAAAACGATTCTAACATGGAGAATCAGTTAAATTAAGTATTTTCTTAAAGAACATACCTTAAGTATCAATTAAAGTATTCTAAATTAACACACTTAATTATTATTTACAAGATAGTTCATAGAATTTCCTAAATCTTAATCTAAAAGGTTTGATTCCTAAAAATGAGATGATTTTTGATTACTCCAAAGATTTTAAACCTACATTAAAAATAGAAAAAGAAATAGAATTTCCAGAAATAACTCAATAAGAAAGAGGTATATTCATTATTGATATCTATGGAAATGGAATTGTCTCAAGAGCATTAATTTAAAAAGGAAATATTTAATTAAGATAAAAAAAAAAGGTGTCATCAGGTCATTGCTTTGAAATTTTGAATGAAAAATTAGAAATTTGTTGTTCAGATACTACAGGTCTTTGGTTAGATAAATAATTTTATAAGATTGATTAAGAGAGAAAAGAAATTTTAATTCCATTTGGGAGTACTACTTAAGAACATAAGGTAATAATTACTCATGAAGGATTTGCAAATTTATAAAGAATATAAATTGAATAAGAATCATATAAGTTAAAATGTAGAGGAATAATTTCTGAAGAATCCATGATTATAGGAAATTAAGCTAAAGTATTACTATTCCCAAAATTGTTTGGTAATTAAAATCCAATTAATTTAAAATTATTAAAAAATACTTCAATTTTAGTAACAATTTATAATGAAGAAATGAATCCAACTGTTTATACATTTGATAATATAAAATTTGAGGATAAGAAACCATATGAAATGGATATTCCTATTAGTAAATTTAAATAAATCAGCATTTCTATTACTGCTAAAATCTAAAGTATGTTAAGTAAAAAATTAATTGATTTAATGGATTGTTTTTCTATAGTACTTGAAGAATAATTTGACACAGAATATTTTAATAATCAATTTCTATAACATACTGAAAATGAAGGATATTCAATATATGTGTTAGGGAAAGGTGGAGAACCTAAAAAAAATGTAAAACTAGAATTAAAATTTTAAATTCAGCATTATTAATCTATTACAGAAATTTTATAGACAGATGATAATGGAAGGATACATTTAGGATAACTAAAAAATGTTATAGCAATTGATTCTAAACCACTTGAATCTTAATCAATTAATAAAAATTCAAGGAATTGGATCATATCGAATTTAGACATATAAGATTTACCAAATCAAATTAATAAACTAGCAGGATAAACTATCACTATACCTATTTGTATTGAAAAGGACAATATTCTGTTATATAAAATTCATAAGAATTAAGTTATTGATTATTTCTCTTAAGCTTGTGTTTTAGAAAAGAATTAATTAAGCTTTACATTAAATGAACCTGGTAATTATGAATTATAATTGATGGTTGATAACAAACTTAAAATAATATACATAGAAATTTTTAAAGGAATACAAAAAAATGATAGTGATGCATTCATAAGCAATGAGAAACTATTATTAGACCAATAATTGAACTATTTAATTTCAATTCAAGATGTTAAATAAATTAAAGAAGAGTAAAGTACCAAGATAATTGGATCAATTCATTCAAATCGTCCAGTAATTCTATTTGCATTAGTTGAAACATTCTATAAAGATTCTGATGTAATAATTTAACAAATGAAAAGTATACTTTAATCTAAAAAGAAAGAGGAATTTTAAATCTATAAAAAATAAATTGAAATCTTAACAAACACATAAATTTCAGATGAAGAACGATATGTAGAAATTAGAAAATCATAGGAAACATTTATTGGTAATACTTTAGATAAACCTCAACTATTACTTAATAGATAATGTATAAGAGAGTGTGTAAATGAAAAAGAATAGCTTAAAGATGAAAAAGGTTCCTCAGCCTAAACTGGATCAATTCCACCCAATGAGCTAAAAAAAGGATTACTTCATAATGCTGGAGATGTTTCTAATATGATTTCTATTTTCTGTAAATTGGATTTTTTAAAATATCCTGGAAAATTAATTACTCTAGAATTAAATGAAAGCAAAGAAGATGAAGAATATAAAGAATTCTCTTTTGAAATTCCCAATTGCTATTCTTAAATTACACTTTTTGCTATTAATGATTATAATTATGCTCTTTAATAAGTTTCCTTATCTTTTGGTGGAATCAGCACAAGAAGTCTTGAACATTAAACTAATCTAAAAAAAGATAAATGTTATAATATTTCAAGGAATTCTTAAGCATTGAAAAAGGGGGAAAGTATTTACATTAATGATGTAACAGCTACATAAATAAAGATTATTGATTCTTTAGAAAAAGTTTATAGAGAACTAATATCATTAAACAACAATGGAAAAAATTTAAGGGAAAAAGATTTATAAAATTGGGAGTTTATTATAAAATGGAATTTAAAGACACTAGAACAAAAACATCAACTTTATGATGAATATTAAAGTGATGAGTTAAATTTATTTTTATTCTTTAAAGATCCACCTTATTTTGAAGTTTATGTTCAAAATTATATTAGAAATAAAATTGAAAAAAATCTGATTGATCATTTTTTATGCTAAAATGATACTGAATTAGAAAGATATCTTTAAATATCCACTTTTAACACTTTAAATACAATTGAATAAATTTTATTACTACTTTATTTTTAAGAAATTAAACTCAATAAAACTCACTCCTAAAATATTTATTCTTATTTGCAACAAAAATATTAAATTCTACATTTCGATTAAAATTTAGCTTAACGTTTATTTGACACAATTTTAACTTCTCAGGAAGCTAAGGAAATGAAAAAAAATAATACAAATAACTCAAACAATTAATTTCAACCTTCAAGTAGAGGAGGGATCTTTGGAGCTTCACAACTACATCCACCGCCTCCTCCACCTCCCCCAGGCTTTTGCGGATTGATGGCACCACCTCCACCTGGAGGTTGTCCCCCTCCTCCTTCACTAGGAGGATGTCCTCCTCCTCCTCCGCCTTAAAGTGTTTTCTCTACTTCTACTACAACTACAAATTAGGTTTCAGGCTCTTTATTTGGTGCTGCAATAAATACTACACAAAATGGAAATGACTAACTAAAATAATAATTGTGCAAGAGAAAAAAGATGATGTGTTTTGTACAAAAAAATAAATCCAGTGATGATTCTAGTGATGATGAACACTATAATATATAGAGAAATTAATACATTTAAAATTATAAAAATGTTGAAAAAACCAAAGAGTATGGGGAAAGGCATTCCTTTTATTATGAAGATTAAAATATTCCAGTAAAGCTCAATAAATTCTTTATAGAATTAGCCAAGTATTCAATGAATTAAGGAATTTTAAGTGCATCTTCCTTCATTACATCTGAAATTATTCATTACACTACATTTTCAGAATTCGTTTTTATACTTTCTATTTTAGATCTGCCTTTCTAAAATATTAAATAAAACTATTATTAATTTTAAGAGAAGGGTATGTAAATTGTTACAGAATCTAATGTAATTTATTATAGTTAAGAAATTAAAGAAGTAGATGTTTAATTAAGAAATGATATTCTTATAACATAATTATTCTTTGATGAATAAAATAAAAAATAAGAATTTTTATAATCTTAAGAATATTTAACTAATCACATTTATGGATCATTAATTATAGTTTCTAATTTCTCTAATGAGAATATAAATGGTTAAATATTTGTTGAAATACCAAATGGAGCAATTCCTATCAAATCTCCATTTTACTCTAAATCAATTAATATCTCTTGTAATCCATTGTCCACTACAAGATATTCATATTATTGGTATTTCCCCAAAGAAGGTATGTTTACTATTCATCCTGCTTGCTTGACTATTTTTGATAAAGTAGTTGCTGTATCTAAATCTCAAGAATTTAATGTTGTTAATGTTAAGGCTAATCCTAATTTAGAAGTAATAGAAGATATATTAGGGACTGGAAATAAGGCCAATATATTAAAATTCTTGGAAACAAAAAATATATTTGATGAAAAAGTGTTTAAATCATCTTAAATAGTTCATCTATATGAAGATAAAGATTTTTATTAGTAAGTTCTTAAAATTTATTAAGCTAAGAAATTTTAGGACTCATAAATTCTTAATTATGCAGTTTATCATGCAGATTTTGAAGGCTTGAAAGAATTCTTTCAATAGCAAAATATTTTAGATAAGTTTAATTCCATTAAATATTTCAAATGCTCTCTTTTTGAAATTAATAATATTAAAATGTTAGAGTATTACCCATTAATTACAAAGCGAATTCATAAACTCAAATAAGATGAATAAGGAATTCTTAATGTAGAACTTAGGAAACAATATAAAAATTATCTATAATATCTAATTGAGAAGCCACTTCATACCATTGAAGATAAGATAGGATTCTCATATTATCTCTTATTATAAGAAAGAATAACAGAAGCAATAAAAGTATTTAGCTCTATTTAAGAACCTATTGATGCTGGAAATTGTGAATTACAATATGATTATTTCTAAGCCTATTTTGATTTTTATGTTGGTTACCCTAATTTTCATGAGGCTAGGAGAATATGTGAAAAATATTTGAATTATCCAGTTATTTATTGGAGAAATCTGTTTTATGATATTGCCAATTTATTAGCAGAATTCGATGGTGATGATGATTAAAAAGAGGTTGGATAAAATAAAAATTAATATTAATCATAAAAGTAATTAGCCTTAAAGGAGGAGACTTTATCATGCGAAATTGATGGAACTAAAATATTACTCACTTATTCAAATCTTAAATAAGCTACGATCATGTTTTATAATTTCAATTAAGAAGTAGTATTTTCTATTGATCCATTCTAATTAAATAAAAGCAAAGATTTTTCAATTATAGAATCTAATCATGTAATTAATGTGATATTAGAAAATGAAGAACCAGGAATGTAATTAATATTTTATATTTTAGAATATATAAGAAAGCTATTGAAATCCCATTGAACCTCTAAAAAGATAATCTATTTATATAAATAAATGGTATTCATAAGAAATGCTTCTAAAGTTATACTTCAAATGGATTAATTGTTAATATTATGGAAAATAGTGGATAAATTAGAGTATGTGATTTAAATGGAAAATAATTGTCCAAAGTTTATGTGAAAGTATATGTTAAATAGAAAACAGGAGAAAGCTATTTCTATAAGGATGGTTACACTGATCTAAGGGGTAGATTTGATTATGCATCATTAAACTCAGAAGAAATTTCACAAGCATAGACCTTTGCCCTTTTCATTTCAGATAAATAACACGGATCTGTTGTTAAGGAGGTGAAAACCCCATCCCTTTTAGGAAAATTTGAGGGGGATGTTAAGCTTGTTTCAACTTTATGGTAAAAAAAGGCTGAAAATCAAAGGTCAAATCAAAATTGTAAAACCATGCAATGAAATTGATATTTCATATAATAAAAAAATTAAAAATTTTTTGATCATATCTTTTATTACTAAAAGTGATGTTTTGTAGTATTAATCTCTAAGGTTAAGTCCTAGCTCAAAACTTCTTTATAAATACTTTTTAGTTATTAATAATAATTCCATCAATACTGAACACATCATATTGACTAATACTATATAGCAGATGAAATATAGTGATTAAATGCACTTCACTTACTTAATGTCCTTACTGTGGATGGTTTTTATTTTTGTAAAATGATATAAAACCAGATTATAAGAAGTCAATATTGGATTTCAAAATTTTATTCTTTATCTGCTTCTTTATGGATAATAGTAAATAAAATTATTTAAAATTGTATAGCTTGTCTCTCTTGTTATTAATTTAGTAGAACTTTATTGAATTAAGAGAATCCAAGTTTTATTAATAAAAAGTTATTAAGTTTCTTATAAGAAATCAATATAAAGACACTTAATAGTTTTGATGTATCTTAAAAAATGAGTGGTTGATTATTATGTGTAATGTCAAAATTTATTCAGTCATGCAAAAATTTTAGTAATTTTAATTTTTATAAGATTAATAATTTTAATTATAATGTGTTCTTCTATTCATCTTCATATAGGAGGAGCTGGAGTAATGATAGGAGATATACTATGGAAACTTTATTAAAAGGAATAAATAGATACAAATATCAATAATTATATCTATGATGAAAACGATAGTAATAATTATCCATTAACTCTGTTTATTGATTTAGATGATCGAATGGTAAATGAAGTAAAAAAAAACAAACAAATAGTTTATAAATCTACTTCCTTTGTTACAGGGAAGGAAGATGGAGCAAACAACTTTTTTAGGGCTCATTATACAATTGGAAAAGAAATAATAGATAAAAGTTTAAATAATGTGAGAAAACAAGTGGAAAGCATTGACAGAATAGATTAATTCATTATTACTTCTGCTTTAAGCGGCGGAACAGGATCAGGTTTTTCTTCTTTGCTTTTAGAAAGGTTATCTGTTGATTATGGAGTAAAGGTTGAAAAAAATGCATTCTTAATATATCCTTCATAAGAAATGTCTAATAATACTATGGATGTATATAATGCTGTTTTAGCTAATCGTATGACTTCTGAATATTGTAACACTGTTGTAATGTTGGATAATCAATCAATGTATAAATCCATAGATTCTCAGATTGGCTTGGATTATGTTGATTATACTCACTTAAATAATTTAGTATCCTAATTAATTAGTTCTTACACTGGCTTAAGAAGATTTAGTAAGGTTGATAATAACAAATTATTTTCTGGGCTCTGTCCCTATCCAAGAGTTCATTATTTAATTCCTTCATATGGACCTTTAGCATCTATCAATGATTCAATCAATTAAGAATTAAATGAAAAATAACTTATATCATATATAGCAAAACCAGCTTAAAGGTTATTTCAATCAGAAATTAATCCTGAACACTTTTGTGCATCCATAATACATCGATCTAAATAGAATAATTAATTTTTTGGTTAATCTGATTTAACTCTTTAAAAGATGAGGATTAAATATTAAGAAAGTCCTAATGTGTTTCAATGTTTATCTTAAAATTATACAGTTATTTAAGAACTTGCAGAATTAAAGTAAACTGGTATACTGCTTTCAAATGATGCAAATTTGTTTAATTACTTTGAAATTCTTGGAAAGAAATATGATCAAATATTTTCTAAAAGAGCCTTTGTTCATTGGCTTGTTGGAGAAGGTTGTGAGTCTGGAGAAATGTCAGAACGCAGAGAGGATTTAGCTGATCTTATCAAAGATTATTAAGAGTTAAAAGATGGAGCACATCATAATTGTGAAAGGTTAGAAGAAGACGATATTGAATGATGTTTGTAGATAATTTATTTAAATTATTTTCATCAAATTAATTTCATTTAAAAAGTGTAGTTTTTTACTTAGATGAGGATATATCATTTGATAATATTAATTGTCTCTTATTTAAATTTTCATTAGAGAAATAATTTAATTCCTAATTGCATTTAAAATGGAAAAAGAATTTTTTATTAAATTTATTCTATTATATTTAAAGATGTAGTTTAATAAATTTGTATATATTATTGAAAATAAAAACATATTGAATTATTGTTATTGATAACTTAAATTTTCTAGTCTTGTAATTAAAATACTAAAGATTTGATAAGAATATAGTATTTATATTTATCTGAAGATATAAAAAATTATTATAAGGTTCTAATTTTGATAATTCTTTATAATTAATATGTTATTATAAGAGATTTATAATTTATTTCCATATTTTTTAAATAAGCTTTTTTCAAATTATAAAATTGTTTGTTAAGGTTCTCTGGTTTAAAAAAATAACTTACTTGCTAAAGAACCTTTCAAAAATATTTAGATGATTAAATAAATTAAAATTTATGATTCTTTTATTATTATCATTCATTCTCTAATTCAAGTACAGTATCAGGCAATTCAGTTAAATGAGGATGTCTTCTAATTTTCGATTATGCTTGACCTTTCAAATGTCTCAAAACTACTACTCTATAAAGGTGCGCTATTTCCCATTAATCTAATGGCATTTTCCTTAAAATTATATAAAGAAATACCAATCATCACTTGGAGGTTTCACCATAATTTTGAGTAAATTAGAGTGTTTTTATTTATATTTTTCAAAGAAGTCAATAAAATTCAAATTTTCAATGATTTCCAGATTATATTCTTTAGCCTTCTATTCAAATGCTTATAATTCGATTAAATATTCTGGTACATATTTAATTTAATTATCTTCTTTAAATCCAACTGAATCTTCCAAATAAAAATAGTATTATTAACCAAATGGTTTATTTTTAGGGAATTAAAGATTCTTAAATTTTAATGAGAAATATTGGTTTTTTGAATATACATAATTACCTTCATAGTCTTTTACTGTAAATTCTCTCATTTTTTTAACTAAAACATTTGCATCAGTTATTGTCATTAATACAATTCCTTAATTTGTCAATCTACATGTAATATTCTAAAAATTATAAAAGTTTAAAATACTTCAAACATATTTTCAACAGCTTATTCAGAAGAAAATAACAAGTTTGCCATAAATTACATACTAACAAAGTCGAAATATAAATCCTATGGTAGTCTGGATCTAAACAAAGTAGAATCTAAATCTGCTTTTGTTTCCATCAAATATATTTTTTAAATTTATTTTTTCTTATCTTCTTTTTAAGTTTTATGTCTCCTTTCTGCTTCCTTCAAACTTTCACCTGATATATCGATTCCAAACCAAAGTCCAGTCCCTGCCTTGCTCCATTTTTACATATCGCCACCCTTACCACAACCCATCTCGAAAACATTTAATAACTTGTATTATGCTTATTTTGATTACATTTCTTTTATCAGCAAAGTTTTGCTTAAGTGCTGAACTATATTCATTTATTAAAACAGCTTTAACCCAATTTTAAAAGTTTCTTAGATAATATAAGCTACTTATTCTTCGATGGGTTTCTGTATTCTTTGGTTATTAATTATAATATTCTCTAGCTGTAAGAGTATCTTGAACTTTTGGATTTGCTTCCTGTACTTTTGGATTTGCCTCCTGAACTTTAGGTGAAACACTATTTTATTATCTTATTTAAATTACATATTTATTTGCCCAGACTCTTTTTCTTTTCCACTATTCACCTTTTTTATAGGAGATCTCTCGTAATCTGAATCACTAAATACTATAGACTAAGAACTTGACATAAAGGATTCTTTAAATTAATTATGAATAAATATTTTTTATATTAGAAATTTAATTTACATTATGATGAATAATAAAAAGAAAGCTTAGGATAAGTAATTATCAAATGATTAAGTTAGTTTTAATTTATTAATATCTCTCTTAAATGAAGAATGATTTTTCATTGATATTGATGATTGAGTCATATATATATATATCAATTGAGTAAATTTATAATATAAATCTTAAAAATATTTCATATCTAAGATTTAAATAATTTTTTATTCAATAGCTTTTTTAATTATAAGCTCGAAGTTGGATAGAAAATGAGTAGGAGTAGAGAATGTTTAAAAACAAAAAGACAAGAGTGACATAGGCTTACTTGATTAAATACGATGATAGGTCAAATAAAATTCAAGAATTGAAAAAAATCTGTATCTAATATGATTTTATTAAAAGCAAAAACAAAAGGAAAAAAAATTAAACATCTATTAGAAATCTATAATTCAAGAGATCTCATCCTAAATTTAAACTGAAAGAAATTAAAAATCAACACCTGATATCTTTGATTTAGATTCTGTAAGTTAATAACAAATTTTTTCTTTTTATTTTTCTTAGTTTAGATTTTTCTTGATTTTACTCATGATTTCTACTTAGATTTAAGTTTAAAGCAATCATATTTATCCATTTGATAAATGGATATCAATCTAAAATTTTTGACCCACATGAAAGTCTTGCATTTTGATTTGGAACTAAGATTAATAATGGAATATTGAAATTCTTGATTTTATTAAAATTAATTAAGAATATTAGTTTGGAAAATTGTTCTATTATTTCTAATTAATATTTATAACATACATTTTTCAACAATAATATAAATTAAAAAATTCAATTTTCTGACTTATATTAAACAGTAATTCAAACTTATTATTCTTTTGATAAATTATTAGTCAATCTGATATTTAATCTAATATGAGATAAAACTTTACTTTTAATTTTCATAATATTTCTTTTTTAAAAAAGCTTTTCTTAATTTTGAAAAATTAATTTTAACATTCTCTTCTTTCTATCGAATAAGTTTTAGATTTGTTGATAAATATTTTGTATATTTAGAATTAGTTTAAGCTTTAAGGAATATGGAAAGCAAGGATGATAAAATCTGTGGTTTAAACTTTTTGTAATAAACCTTTAGGATATTTTTAACAAATGGGTAGCTCAATATTAAGCTGATCAATATTATAATGGTTTAAATGAAAGCTGATATGACATAATTTTCTTCATATTCGCATTTATATTTCACAGCCGCTAGGAATATTCCACCAGAGCAAAGCTAACCAGCCTATATGTCCAAAATATTAAATCTTTGCAGGATATATGGTTTAAAGTGTTAGGATAAGAATTAATAAATCAATAAACACAATCCTAACAAAGAAGCTTTTAAAAACATATCAGTTTCAAAATAAATCAGTATTATTATTATAATTGTTTTCTTCCATAGTTTAATCCATTCCCAAAAGTAAGTTTTTCCAGTATATTCATTAAATAAATACCCAATTTATCTTCTATACTTAATTTTATTAAGTTTGTCCTTCTTAAAGTAAAGGAAGATGAACATAGAAAAAGGTAATATAAATGCTAATATTATAGATCCAGGCACTACAAATCCAAATATCCATTTAATGTGAGTATTCGATCCATATAGTAATGATACATCTCCTTAGATATAGTCTATTTATGAAATCCTTCTCACAGCTAAAATAGAAAAGAATCTAAAAATATTAAGAAATAAATGTTACTAATTTATTAGTGATGCGTAATTTTAAATATATAAATAAAGCATAGTTATTGATATAATTCTGCTTTGATATTTATGGTCTGTTAATAATGAAAATATTTTAAGTATTAATATTTAAGATAATATTAATCCTATAGTTACAATAATTCTGCTGTAAATTAATTCAGTGCCTTCTATTTTAGACAAAAAGCACTCAAAATAATTAGCCATAAAGTAAGAAGTATCATTAGATTATTTAATAAAGCTTAAAGAGAATGAAAATTTAATGTTAAATGTAAAGATAAGTGAAAATATCCATAAGTAATTTAAAAATAATTTAAGTAAAATGCTTTCATGATCTAAATTAATAGATTATATTTACCTTAATCAAGATTGAATAGAATATCTGCAAATTTTTATTTTAATTTAAGCGATGTAAATAATTAATTTGACTTTTCAATGCTTCGGATGGTAAGTAGAGTTGATAAAATCGCCCTAATAGTATTATTTATTTAGTTTACCAAAATGATATCAATAAGAAAGCTATTAATCTTTTTGAAAGCTCTTAGCATTATTAACATTCCAATTATTATTAGTTCTTAAAGTATTATCCATCTCCTCTTAAATCAAATTTATCACACTCCTCACACAAACCTCCAATATATCCCTAATTGCATGTATTGTCACCTATAGACCAACCGCCTAAACATTAATCAGTATTTTTATAGCAACGTTCAATATAATCAGATACATAATTTGGCCTCCAATAACCTTTTTTGAGTTAAATTCCATTCGAAGTTATAGCCTCAAATTTAGTTTTATCAAAAATAGAGCATTTTGTAGTATTGTAAGTCACTGAATAAAATCCTTAAACTGATTGGCATATTTAGCAACTACCAGATATGTAAAATTCACCTAATTAACAGAAAAAGCTTTTGACTCTCATTCTATAGAATAAGGCATTATCCTAATATTCAGTTTTACATTCAATAAATATTTCATATATTTTATCATCCTATGAATATGGGTCAAAATTGAATTTTGATAATCCCATTTTAAACTTATTTGAATTTGAATCATAGGCAATACTTTATAAACGATTAGTATCTTAAATTGAATGGGATTTGATATCAAGAATTTTTTAGATCAAATTGCATGAAGAGTTTATTAAGTGAAGTGATTATTATTCATTCATGCTGTTTTTCAAAATTATAGAAATTTCATTAAAGTAAGAAATATATTGTTAAAGTTTAGGATTATAAAGTTGATAATTAGATAGAGTTTAACCACTAGGCACAGTTAAATAATTTGTTCTTACAACATGATTTTGTGATATGATTTTATAAGGATTTAGTGATAATACTTAGACTAACTGATTATCAATCTATTATTACTAAGAATGCATTTCCTGGTAATTCAACTACAAAGCTAAATGTGAGGGCAATTCATTAATATTATTTGAAGAAAAATTAGCAGAATTAAATAAGATAATTGATTATTAAAAATTATCCACATTCAAACTGCTGTTCCCCTCTAGATAAACACCTCCTCCTACTTATGCTTAATTCTAGTAAATTAGTGTTTAAAATAAAAGGAATCTATTTGAATTTAAATTAAGATAAATTCCTCCACCTTTTTCATCAGCAAAATTATTAATAATTCTTGAATGTTTTAAAATCACTCATAAATTTTAAACTTATACTCCTGTTCCTTTAGTTCCATGGTTTGAAATAAAGTTTGAATGATCAATTATTATTGATCTATCTAGGATATTCTCTAAAATTGCTAAAATGCATCCATGTTTTTTGATGAAATTCAAAATGCATTCAAATTAAGAAAGTTTGATGACTTTAATTTATGTCAATTCAAAATTTAATAAACCATTCCAACAATGTTAACAGTTATTATTTATAAATTAAATTTTTCTAAGTAACAATTAAGTTTGATTTGTGATGCTATTCAAATGTATTAAGGAGCCTTTTTTATTAGAATTAGCTAAGATTTCTTCAAAAAATTAATTAATTGATACTAATTCTTATATAGGCTCTAATACTTCATTAATGATTAATTTACATTAATTAAGTTATAAATGAATATTTAAATCGAAGTAATTTAGTTTAGATTTATTGTATTAAAATGAATTTACATTTAATATAGAAATGTTATTTAGAAGCAAATCTGAATGAAAAAGATTGTTTTAAGTAAAATCTAATATGTTTACTGGATAAAAAGTAGATATATTCTAGAATAAAGAATTAGTAAAGAAAATCGAACTATAATCCATTATTTTTATAATTCCAGATGATACAATTCCTTCTATAAATAATCCTTTCATCTGTACCTTACATCCGATTATATTTATTATAGCATTATCTTAAGTTATTTTTTAGATTTCAATAGGGTTGACAGTTTCAATTGATTATAAGTAGAGCATAAATGCAGTATCAGTTTAAATGAAATGTAAATTTTAAATTAATACTTCATTCTAAGCAACATTCTTATAATCAAACTCTAAATATAGAAATTGATTAAAAAGGGAAAAGCAATTGTATGCATGAATTTTGTTTAAGAATATTCTATTGTTAGTAGATGATGGATAAATTGAAAATATTGATGAGGATAATGTATTTTAAACTTCTTTTAACACTAAATTTTCTATATCAATTGTTAATAAGCTCTTTTTAGCATTAATTGTAATTGCCCCATCTACCTTAGATGTTGAGATTGATTAACTCTAAGCATGAAGGATGTCACAATTTTTGATAATCACAATTCCCTAACCTTATAAATTGATGTTAAAAATTAGGCTACTTGATGCAATTATATAACTAAATAAACCATTAGTAAAATTCACATTTGATGCTGTAATAGAAAGAGCTCCACTTTTAGTTTCAATTTTAAATGCATTCTTGATAATTAAAGTAATTTAGTTTAAATTATATTGACTTTAAATATATACTTAATAATATTTATTCCATAATTCAGCTTCAAAGTAATTATGATGAAAAGCTTAAAAGTCTTTAATAACAAGGCTATTAGAATTTATGGAAATAAATGAATTGGAAGAATTGGTTAAAGCATTGTAAGAGCAGATAATATTCGTCATCATAATTTTACTTTATCCTGATTAGATAAGAATAAGACTGGCCGAATTTTCTGAAGGATCAGCTTAATATTAATGAAATATATTTTCTTTGTAAATAACATTAAATATAGCTATATTTAGAGTTTTCTCAGAGTAAATTTAAATTAAGGAAAATAACATTCCTAAATTTTATTTTACTAAAATATTTCCAATAAAAGAGATATGACTTATTAGTATTGATTCAACTGTATTAAAATTAATCAAAGGATTAGATTAGATAGTAATAATTGATTAATCTATGCTGAATTAATTTGTAATTTAAATTTAAAGCAATATTATGTTAGAGAATCCTGAGACTAATAATAACGATGAGTGTACTGCACTATTTTTGTAGCAATCGAATGTAATTTCCACTTTCTCTTATTATTACTAATTTTCATAAATGATATTTTCTAATTTTATTGTAGGAATAGCAATTAAAGAGAAAAATCTAAAATTATACGTGCCTTTTAATTCAATATCATTGATTAACAAGGTTTAGCAATTGATTTTAAATAGATATGAATAATAATCTTGAGTATCTTGAATATTATACTCAAATTTAAAATTATCTAACTTTAAATTAACTTTATTTCTCTCGTATTTTTACTCGGTAACAAAAGCAGAGAAATTAGAGACCTGATTTTTGAAAATAGTAAAATTATTTATCTAAATCTATGAATTCATAAAACTTGATGATAATTAGATTAGAAATTATGCTTCTTTGAAAAAATTCTCTTATAATATAATTTCATTAAAATAAAAATCTTTGCTGAAAGATATAATCCTTGAACTAAAAATTGAACTTTTGGCTAGAGTAAATTTATTAATAGTTATAGTTGAATTACCATAGCTGTAAAGGAAACTAGACTCTTAAAAAAAAGAGTCTTAAATATAAACATTATTTATTATGATATCAGCAAATTAATTTAAGTTTAAATTTAAAGTGATAATTGATGAATTATAAAAATGACAAGACTTTATCGAAAGATTATCAACAATAATTTGTCGACGCATATTTAGAAAATCTAGCAAAGTTGTGTTGTTAAAAATACAATTTGACAATTTCAATTCCTTTATCTTAATAATCTCTCCTACATCAGAACACATAATTTAAAAAATGATAGCATTATAAACTATCACATCAAAAAATTAAACATTTTATAAATTAAAATTTCGATAATTATCACCATAAATTTATATTTGAATAGGATCTGATTGATCAGAATAAAAACTTGTATCTACAATATTAAAATCTATAGATTATCCTCTGTTATTCAATATCAATTTTAATTAAGTTCTTATAAGAAACATTACTTAATTAATTTTAATAGAATCAAAATATTATATCTTAAACTAAATTAATAAAAGGAAAGGTTTTAGTTATCCCTCTATTCTCAATTTGATCTATTAAATGGAAAATACTTTTTCTCTGATATAATTCAAGAAACTATAATTTTTTACTTAAAAGTTTTCACAAATAGTGTTAAATAAAAGTATTAATGTGATTCTCTTGAGTCCGATTTCATTAAAATACTTATAATTCAACTTTTATTCTAAATAGCCTGAATAGCTATCTTAATCCAAAAGTTCTAAAGTTCTACAAAAAAAATGAACCTAAATTATAAAAATTAAGTACATTGTACTCAAACATATCATCACAATTTTCATTAAAACAATAATGAGCAATTTGTAAATTTGGATCAATCGTAACTTTTTGTAAAGGAACTTTTTAAATACATTTTAATGTGTAAATGGAATTCTCTTCATTTATTTAAAAAAATGGGTTTATTTTCTATTAGAATATATAAAATAATACTTCTATTTGATCATTAGATCTCTATACACACGTTTAACATAATGAAGGGCAATTTATACATTTTCCTTAAAAATGTCCTCGATTATTTTTCTTAAAATAGTTCAAATCACATTTTTAACAATAAAATTATTGTTAATTATCAATTTTCATATTCCTGCATACTTAACAATTATCATCACAATATTAATAGCACTAATTCAGAATAATTTGGTACCCATCTAAACATTGGATAACATAAGACATTGGTATTATTGATACTAATTCATGATAAAAATTTGTAATTTTTAAGAATTAAATTCTAAAACCTTAAATTAACCATTTCCAAGGTTCTAGATTCTTTTAATTCCATTCAACACATATTTTGGAATTAATCTGATAAGAGCACTCAGTACAAATTCCAGAATATGCAGAGGCCATATATCCATCTTCACAAATTATGCATTTAATTATCAATTCTGGAGTTTATATACATTATTTGCATTTTAAAATGCGTTTTTAACAATTTATAATTTCTGGAGCAATATTGAAATCATCTATTGAAGAGACAGTACAAATTTCTTAACCTTCTGCTGTAAGATATGATCTCAAACAATTTGAGATTGCAGGATTCTTATAAATACATTATTCTTTTTCAAAACTATATATGAAACCATCAATACACTATATACACCCTGTTTTTATTTCTTCACCAATAATAGAATACTAAAATTTTTGATTTAGAGTTGTTTTTGTTTAATCATTGCCAAAATAACTAAAACAATATAAACAAAATTCTATATTGCATAGAGTACATATTTTTTCAAAGTTAAGAAAATAAGGAGGTAGACAATAAGTAATTTAGGCAATGATAAACATTGATTTATCAGATGATAGTTATTTTTATTAGATAATGGAATTAAATTCTTCAAAAAATTAGCAATCTAAACATTCATCCTCACATAAATAATAAGTTAAGTCGTTTCCAACAAATTTATAGCACAAATCTGTCTCATAGATATATTGGGATATATTTCCATCATCATCTGAATATAATGAGGTCTCACAATAAAGCATATTCATCCATTCCTTAGGATTTTATAAACATTCAAGACATGTGACAACATTATCCATAATTGTAGATGGACTAATTTTATAAAAATACTAAAATACCATCGAAAACAAGCATTGTCAAATTCGAAATATCCATACTTACAACTTTACATAGTGACTTCATCTGGAGTTACAATAGTTAAATTTAATCTTTCATAAGTTATACATTAGTTATCCATATCAACAGTTCCATATTCACAAATGCACTCCTTAAAATCTGGGAGGTATTTTCTATTTAAGGATTCAAAACAGGACAAACAATCAGTTTTTGTAGGACCATCGCATTCCTGGCAAGTTGAATGACATTCTAGTTACTCCACCGACTTCTATGGGCAGTTAAATAATTAAAAGCCAACAATCTAAATTTTTAAATAATCTGAATGAGATTATAAAATATTTCCATAAAGCAATTTAAATTAAACTAAATTAAATTGTTTAACTTCTTCATAAATTTCGAATTTTTCTTATTTATATAATTCAAAAAAAGTTATTGAAATATAAATATTTGTTTCTTATTTTTTAACAAATAAATAATGCCACAGTTTAATATCGCCAATTAAATGAAAAGCCTGTTTGATTAGATAGGGATTATTTGAAAAATCAATATTAATAGAAGGAAAAGTGTAACTATATGTAGTTATGATCATCTAATTTCCTTTGGAAGATATTTTATAAGTTAAAGTAAAAGGGGATAAATTATCATCTGTCATTTAGGTAACCTAAAAATTTCCTGACAATTTTATGAATTAATAATCGAATTCATCTACAAAAGTGTGTATATCATCAATTTTTATCCAACCTGATAATAAAAATTATTAGCAATTTGTTTTTGAAGAAATAAAAAGAAATTCTTCTTTTTTTTAAATCACTTAATCATTTATTTTAGTATTTTAACTCGGTACACATCTACACTCATCTATTTAACTGCTCAAGATGAAAGAAATCACAGTATTACAATATTGCTATTAAGATATTTAATAATAGTTAAGAATGAGAACTTATCCAGGAAAGTATGATAATTTTTCATTTTCGGAATTGTGAAGTTATTGATCATGTTTGACACTTAAGTCTCCTCCAAAAATTAAATTTAATTTTTCATCATAAAATGGAAATTCAATCTAAATCTAATGTGTTTAAACCAATTTCTCATGATTAGAAAAATATATAGTAAATCGATTTTCAATTGGGACCATCTCAAATCCAATAAAATACCAGACAAACTCATATGCTCCCTCCTAAATTGGCATCTCATAAATATGATCAACTCCATTATTATCTATAAATTATAGATATTTCTTTATAGTATTCGTTCCATAATTAAGACATTCGTATTATATTAAGTTAATCTTCTATGTATTCTAATCTTAGGCATTATGTTAATGAAAGCAATTGCTATCTAGAATTCCAATTCATCCAATTTTAACGGTGTTACTTAATGGAATGTATCTACTCCACAAACCATATCCCGAACAGCTAGCATCATCCATTTTCATTTAGTTTCTGTCAAATGAGATTATTTAAAATGGATATTGCTAGAGCAATTCAGATAGGTAATAGCAATTAGATATCTTTAAAGCAATGATTATCAATAATTCAAGATAAAACTATTTGAACATATATTAATGTATTCAAAAATAACAATACGATAAATAGATAATAATTTAAATTAATTATTTCATCTATTGATAAGATCTTGACATCTCTAGCCTTTTGCATATCACATTCTTTCACTACTGACTTTAAATATATTTCTTTATGATAATTGTCATAAGTACTTAATGAAACACCATAATTTATTTTTACTTAAAGAGTGTTGCTGTTGTATACCTTTTCTCTTTATTTTACTAGAATAAGCTGTGATATAATCTCAAGTTTATCATACTTAAGCATATTAATTCAAGATTTTTTGCATTAAATTATTTAATAAAGAAGTTAAATTATTTATTTTCAGCAATAAAATTTGTTTTAATAAAGAGATTTACTAAAATTAGTCTCATTCAATCTTTAGCCTCATAACAAAAGCTTGATGATTTTCAATATAAATATACAAGATAATGTAAAAGCTCAATAGATTTTAGTTTCCCAATATCTAAAATCTTACTTATTTATATTATTATCTATTTATATTCAACAATTTAATACTTATTATTAAGATCTCAAAAATATATACTTTTAATCTCTAATAACTGCATATATTGGCTCTCATTACTTCATCAAAAGTTTTTTCATACCTTTACTAACAAATAGAACTGGATATTTATTTATGAATAAAATTATTTGGATTAATTATTGTACTTCAAGTAAAAGTTAAATGTCATAAATCTGAGAATTTATTTTTTGCTTTGATTATCGGATTTTATTTCTTATTGAATAAACTTTGCATGGTATACAAAAATAAGTAGAAACTAATACTTTATGATATTTTTTCTTAATGTAGTTAAATATTCTCAAAATCATAATAGAATATGAGAAAAATTATTCATTTTCTTCATAATTATAGGAATTTCTTCCAAGTTATTTATTATTTTAAGGAATATTGATTGTAGTAATAACAGCTGACTTAATAATTGTGTAAAGTTAATCTATTTTCATTGATTGGATAACAATCTCTATAACTAATACTCAACTTGCTTTTGATCAACTATTTACAATTTTCAATAAGATCTTATTAAGTTAGTTTTGGTAAGATATTATTCAAATATAAATGGTGAATTGTTCAATAATTTTACATAATATTTTTAATATTTATGAATAGTTCTAATATAAATTGAATTTCAAACCATTTTTAGTGTTCATCCAACAGCACTAACAACATAAATGAAATGTAAAAATATATTTTTAACTTATTATATTAAAAATGATGGTTTAAGGTTAAATTTTAATAACTAATTTAAATAATTTTAAAATTGACAAAAAATGAAACAAATATGTTTAATTTTATTAAATCTATTTTTATATATATCATAATCATAAAATTATTATTTATATAAAAAGAGTCCTTAAGAATAAGAATTTTTGAGATTTATTTAGATTCAAATTTATTAATTATCATAATTCTCATTATAATTATAATGATAATTCGTTAAAATTAGGCCATTATTTGTTCCTAAAAACTACGATGCCTTGAATTATATAAAAACTCATCCTTGCAAAATATACAAATATTCCTTTTTTCAAATTATGTAATTTTTTTAATTCTTTTATAATTAAATTCTGAAAAAATATGAATGGATTTACATTTAAATATTATTCTTCAGCATGTGATATTTTCATTATTATTAACAATATAAAAACTTAATGTTTAATCCTTAATTAGACTTTCTGTAAAATAATTTTTAAACCAGAGATGTATAAAGGTCAGCACCTCTGATAATGATTTGTTATAATAGTAAAACGGGATTACCTGTTTAATTAAAATAGGTTTAATATACTGTTAATATATAACCTGGTTTAGCAGTTGTGGAAATAAATCAAATGTATTCAACAGAATAACAAATGGATCAATATGAATTAGAATACTTATTTACAATAGACCATAATTCTGCTGTAACTAAGATGATAGTTGAACTTGGCGATAAAAAGCTCTATGGAATAGTAAAAGAATTAGAGGAAGCAAAATAAGATTATAAAAAGGGAATATAAGCAGGAAAGACTATGATATTTTGTGAAGAAGATTAAAAAATACCGAATATAAAAAAAGTAAAAATTGGTTGTTTGAATCCTGGTAAATCATTAAAAATTTAGTTTGAATACATCTAACCATTAAAAGTGTTTCTTAATTAATTTTGGAAATTAGAATTGTAACCAATGATAGATACAAATTATTTAGCAATTAATGAATTATAAAATACTGATGATGGGTATGCTGAACTATTCTCTTTTATTTAAGAGAACGTTTACATTTCGACAATGAAATTAAATTACAAATAAAATATTTCCATAGTAATTAATATGGGAAAACCTATTACATATGTTAAGTCTCCAACACACTCGATATTGTTTCATTCTAAAATTAATATGAAAGAGAAATAAGTTAGTTTATAATATCCATAAGACCAGTTAAATATTTCCTTAGATATAGATGATCCAGAAAATTTCAAACCGAATAAAAGGTTTGAATTATTATTTTCATCATAACATATTAATGACCCTTGTGCAATACTTAGCCATACTAATAATGATGCTTTATAACATATTAAATATTGCGCTACTTTAACCCTCATTCCAAAATTCAATGAATTCCCAATAGATGATGCTTATCAATCTTATATAAATGGTTTAAATTTACCTTAACAGACATAAATATAAAGAGGTATTTTTCTATTTTTTATTGATCGAAGTCGTTCAATGAGACGCAAAAGAATTAAAAGAGCAAAACAAGCGTTGATATTATTTTTAAAGAGCCTTCCTGAAGATTGTTTGTTTAACATAATTTCATTTGGTAGTCAAGTAAAAAAAATGTTCGATTAAGCACAAACATATAATTAAACAACTTTAGATTATGCAATAAATTAAGTTAAAGAAATGGATGCGGATTTGCGTGGAACTGATATATATAATGCATTGGAATAAGGCATTTATGATGAAAATTATTTAAAGAATAAACACAGTCCAGAAATTCTGAATGCTTTTTTACTTACTGATGGAAAGGATTCTCCTGAAGAGATCATTCAATTAGTATCTTAAAATAAAAGACCTGAAACTCGAATTTATACATTAGGTATTGGGAAAGGTAGCTGTGATTATTTAGTCTAAAGAATAGCAGAAGTTGGAAATGGGAAATGCTAATTAGTAAGACATAAGGATGATATGAATTTGAAAGTTATTGATTTATTAGAAGATTCCCTAAATAGTTATTTGATGGGATTTTCATTAATACATAATATTGACTAGGTATCTTAAATTATTCCTGATCCAAAATCAATAACTTATTTGAAGAAAAATCAAGAATTAACTTTACAAATTTTATTTTCAAATAAACATAAAAAGGATAACTTAGAATTCAAGATTAATTGTTATGACCCATAAATGAATAAATAAATCACTTTCGATGTTAAGATGAATCTAAAAAGTTCGAAAGAAAATGAATATTTCCATAAAATAGCTGCTCAAAGGCTCATAATATATTATGAAAACTCAATTTCTTAAAATGCTAAACAAATGGATATGATTTTGATAAATTAAAAAACCCTTACAGAGATGGATATAATCAATTTGTCAATATAAAATCAGATTTTGTGTTCGAGCACAGCATTTATTTGTGAGGTCTGCTAAAATGAAAAAAAGCTTAAAGCACTAATAAAGAAAAAGCTCATCATTAGAAAAAGAGTCGAAAATATTTCAGAAACGAAATTTCAGCTTTAAGGTAATAATGAATATCAATATGTCTAGATTACTGTGTAGATATGATAAATTAACCTTTAGACATGGTTATTCCAATTATGAATTAGGAAAATAATGAAAATGGTAGAAACTCTGAAGAACTAATGTTAGATCCAATACGTTTAATAAAAGTAAAAGAAGAAGATTAAAATAACCTCATCATCTCATCCTAATTCTTAGATTAATACAACAAATAACAGAAAAAATTTCTTCCTAAACAAAGTATTTAATGTGTTTTATAGCCAAAAATACTTTATGAGGATTAAAATATATTATCATATTAAGACTTAATTGAATGTGTATAAGCAAATGGTAGTTTCCTTATAGAAATTCATATTGAAGAATAACTAAAGTTATACAAAATAAATAATAAATATAAATTAGAAGATTCATGTTGGGCAACAGTTATTTCTCTTTTTTATTTGGAAATCTTTTGTTAAGATTTAAAGAGATGTTGGTAATTAATTTATAATAAAGCCATATATTATTTATAAAAGAAAGGACTTAATTATTAAAATATCAAAATAGAGTGCATTTAAAATTATCAAAATCTATTTTTGAATGATAAAATTTGAAATAAAAAAATAAAAATTATATTTTAAATTAATATAATTAATTAATATCATTCATTTTATTTAAATTCTCATTATTTCTTTGCTATTTACAAAGATTTACTTCTTCTTTAAAAATCACCAATCCTATGGCCATTCAGATAAATTTTGGTGATGAGAATTGAAAAAATAAAAAATTTGATAATCCATCTTAAACAGACTTTTTAATTAAATTGATTGCTTATTTGATGGATTAAAACTTAAAAGATGTTCTCCACCACAGATGAGAATAAAACAAAACTCATTAATAAATAATGAAACTATCTTTAAAACTTTCAATCATTTTTGATTTGTGCCTTAATTATTCAAACAAAAATATTGCCATTTATTTCATTTTTGCATTAGTTATCTAGTAGAATTTATAGTTTATGGATCAATAAAAATGATATTTCAATTTTAATGATTAGGATTTGTACAAATTTGTAGATAAAGGTTGCTTATTTTGAAAATAAGAAATACTTTAAGTTCAATAATTTATGAATCTAAATTTTATGAATTTATAAGAGAGAAACAAATATTAATTTTGGCTTTTCAAATCTTCTTATTGTCATTTGACATTAGAAGTTAGAATTAAATTATTTAAAATTTAGAATTAATTTTAACTCAAAATTTAAGTAATCTTCATTACAAAGTGATATAGACAAGATGATTAATGTTTTAATCTACTGAAAATTATACTACCAATCTGATAATTTTTTAAGGAAAATTTTCAGTAACTAAACTTTACAATTTATTCTGAAAAAGTATGATTATTGTTACCATTTAGCGTTTGAAAAAGTTCAAGAAAATTGTTTATAATTGGCTGCTTTAAAAACTTAAAAGAACTCATTCTAATAAAAAAGCTATATCAAAGAGAGGAAATTAAAATAATTAATTATTTAATCTGAGGTTTTAAAGGGTCTACAGCTTATTTTTGAGTTAGCTTCTTCGATTACAAAACCTGGTACCTCTCCATCAATGGAATGTATTAAATAATCAAAACCATAAAAATGAGACTTTGTTGAATATCTTCATATAAAACTTATTTATTAGAATTCTCGAAAGAAAGTAGAACATATAAATGCTTGTGCTTCTATAAATTGTTGTTTTATCCAAAAAATATCTGCTATTTTGCTTATATCGAGTTTATTTTTTTGGCTTTTGCATACTATATTATTAGTCAGTTTATTAATATCAACAATGCCTAAACAATTCTAAACACCTTAACCAGATTTTTTTCCTCAAAAATTATTAAGATCCACAATTTTTGTTACATTAATAGTTTGTTATATCATTCAAAATATACAGAAGAATTTAAAAATAGACATATAGATTAGCCATAAATCGTATTTTCAAAAGGCCATTATAAATTTTGAGCATGTATATTCATTCAAATATATGAAACATCTTTCAGGAAATTCTACACATTTACTATCGAATAATGTTGTTAAAGGAGGTCATATCAAAAAAAATCATTTTTATATTAATAAGTACTAAATGGAGATTGTGAATAACAATGAGCATTATAAAAATAAGTTTTTGGGACTTAATTAAAAAAATTCATTATTAAGATTATTTTAATAATAATTAGGGCAATAATTCTTACATAATCCATAAGTTAAATATGTTTCAAGGGTACATCTAGTAAACACTAAAGAATTGCATTTCTGAATCAAGAAATTTTAGATTAAAAAATTAATAGCCGGCATATACTAACGCAATTATTAATGTTGGTAGGTACTGCAAAACTTTTATTTTATCCTTAATATAAATATTATTAGTAATCATAAGGACACAATTTTTTTTGATTTCATCAAATACAATAGGATGTGTTTATGTATAAACTTAATTATCCAAATAATATCCATCTTAGCAAGTGATAAAATCATTACCTGAAGGCTCAATACAAATTATACATCATGAATCACAAATTTAACAAACTGATGCCAAAGTATAACGAGCAAAATCCAGGATTATAAAATTAACAATATTTACCATCTAGATGATAATATCTTCCAGAATCTCAATTATTTTTTAAATTAAATTCTTGTATCATAAATGAACAAAATATGCATCTTTATTTACATATTAGGTTAAATTATAAAACATAGGATAATATCTAAACAAGTATATATATTCAAAAGTAAGAGAGTTTAAATTAAATTAATTGCCATTATTAGATCTAAACATTCTTTACATAAAGAATTGCATCCATAGCATTAATAATCCTATAAGTAAGATTTTTATAGCAGTAATCTACTTTTTTACCATCTAATTTATAAGAGTATAAAAGTGAAGGTCAATAAAGCAATAATTTTAACTCAAGTATAAGTAGTCTTGAAAATTAGCCGCAATTGTTTTAAAAGATAAATTTGGATAAGGCTTAAAATCAGGGCAAACTGAATATTCATATTGTTGAATTTCTACAATAACCAAGATCAATTTCATTAAACTCATTAACTTGAACCCCAAAACATTCTGAACATGGATCGGGATAACTACTGTAAATTAATTAATCTGGGTAGGTCTAACAAATATTTGAATAATAATATCATCAGTCAAAGTGATCCACTATAGAATTTCATTTATAAGTTACCTAAGGGCTCTATCGAATGAACATAACGAAGTAAGGTTTGTTAGTACAAAAATTGATACAGGTTTTCCATCTATTTAAAAAGTAGCCGAATGAACAAGTAATACATCTATATTAATTTCCATTAACGCATGATGCACACCAGATGTAAAAGCTATCAATTTTTTAGATATTATTCATTATAGATTCCCAAAGGGCATCCCATTTTTTATTGCATAATCTTTGTGTAGCATGATTCTATGATTAAAAAAAAATTTTCGACAAAATTAATTCATCTCTTAACAAATTATTTTGTATTCCGATTCTTGTAATAAAACATTTAGTTCCGTATAGAAATCTTGTACAGGATGTTGAGTAATCAGTTTCACATTCTGAAGCACAATAATCGTAATACTATTAGGTTAAGCAATCTAAAAAATTGCTTCATTAAGTTTACATTATTTCTTCAGAAGTAATATTAATTAAACAAGCAAGTTATTGAAGAAAATGCTACTTTTTCAAAAATATAATTAAGAATATTTAATCCAGAAGTTGTTATATTTTCATCAGACAAATATCAACACGTTTCCAGTTTACACTATCATTAAATTATGGATTGCATTAATTCACATACTGATTTTTTGTATTTATAATAAAAATTATGTCTGTTAATCTTTAANTCCATAGCATTAATAATCCTATAAGTAAGATTTTTATAGCAGTAATCTACTTTTTTACCATCTAATTTATAAGAGTATAAAAGTGAAGGTCAATAAAGCAATAATTTTAACTCAAGTATAAGTAGTCTTGAAAATTAGCCGCAATTGTTTTAAAAGATAAATTTGGATAAGGCTTAAAATCAGGGCAAACTGAATATTCATATTGTTGAATTTCTACAATAACCAAGATCAATTTCATTAAACTCATTAACTTGAACCCCAAAACATTCTGAACATGGATCGGGATAACTACTGTAAATTAATTAATCTGGGTAGGTCTAACAAATATTTGAATAATAATATCATCAGTCAAAGTGATCCACTATAGAATTTCATTTATAAGTTACCTAAGGGCTCTATCGAATGAACATAACGAAGTAAGGTTTGTTAGTACAAAAATTGATACAGGTTTTCCATCTATTTAAAAAGTAGCCGAATGAACAAGTAATACATCTATATTAATTTCCATTAACGCATGATGCACACCAGATGTAAAAGCTATCAATTTTTTAGATATTATTCATTATAGATTCCCAAAGGGCATCCCATTTTTTATTGCATAATCTTTGTGTAGCATGATTCTATGATTAAAAAAAAATTTTCGACAAAATTAATTCATCTCTTAACAAATTATTTTGTATTCCGATTCTTGTAATAAAACATTTAGTTCCGTATAGAAATCTTGTACAGGATGTTGAGTAATCAGTTTCACATTCTGAAGCACAATAATCGTAATACTATTAGGTTAAGCAATCTAAAAAATTGCTTCATTAAGTTTACATTATTTCTTCAGAAGTAATATTAATTAAACAAGCAAGTTATTGAAGAAAATGCTACTTTTTCAAAAATATAATTAAGAATATTTAATCCAGAAGTTGTTATATTTTCATCAGACAAATATCAACACGTTTCCAGTTTACACTATCATTAAATTATGGATTGCATTAATTCACATACTGATTTTTTGTATTTATAATAAAAATTATGTCTGTTAATCTTTAATGAACAGCAATATAATAAATAGTTCTTAATAGCTTAATATGCTTATAAAGGTTCAACATTTAATCTAAAATATTCCCATGTAATTGTCACTGAATTATCATTATGCCCTAGTCTCTCCTGAATTCCCTGATATTTTTTTTATCTGTATAGTAGCATAACGATGGCTTAATTATTTCCAAACTAAAGTAATAGATTAAACTGAGAGTATTTGAATTAGCTATTCAAAGAAGAAATAAATTAAATCATTGCTTCTCTATTGAAATGTTTTTTATTATAAAAAATTGAAATTGTTTTTCTGTCATATACTTAAAAATTATGGACTTCAAATTTAGATTTATTGATTAAATTCTTATAATCATAAAGTCCACTAATTTGTGATGAAATAATTTAAAGTCAGATGAAACAAGATGGAAAATTAATACAAAATATATGAAATTCCATAAGAATATTTTTTTTCTTTTTATTATTCTAAACAGATTTAAGCGATTTTCTAGACAAAATTCATTTGTAGAATATAAAAAATATTACAATGTCATAATTATTGTCATTCATCATTCTAATTATTACCCTCTTAAGTTACTTTTGCTTAAAAATTTCAACAGAATAATCACTGAAGATAAAGAATACTGAATAGCATTTTTGCACTACTTATTAATGTAATATAAGGATCTAAACAAAATTTTTTGATTTGTCTTAGTTCAATACTTACCAGTTTTTAATCTTCTACTTTATTTCTCAAATCACTAAATCTGTTTATTTAAGTGAAAGTTAAAATTGTAATAAAAATAAAATTTTCATCTAATTCTGGAAAGAGCAGTATCGATGCTATATTCATAAATAATTATCCATATGCAAAAAAAAGAATTTTCTTTATCTTTAAACCATTTACTAATGTAATAACTTTCTGTGACAAATCTCCTAGATTCAAATATTCCTTTAATAAATCTAACAATGATCATTACTTAAAAATACAGAAATTAAGCACAAAACTAAATGAGGTTATAAATATTAGCATACATTTACAAAGAATAACTACTATACCAAAAAGCACATTTGATTTTTTAACACTAAAAGCATCAATTATTAAATCTCCTACTAATAGTAAATAATTAACATCTTTTTAACTCACATAGGAATTATTTTAATGAATAAACACCAACTAGTTACATACCAAGGAAGTTTTTGACCATTATTTAAGTGTATTTAAAAATTGCACAATCTGGTTAAAAAATTTATTCAAAAATCAATTTAAAATCATTACTTAGTAATTTCTAAATTAGACGAAATGAATTTTAAGTTTAAAAAAAAGAAAAATTAAACTGCTTCATTAATTTAATAATTAATTACTTTAAATATGATTTTCTTATTAAATTAACTTCTACAATATATTATGTAAATAAATAGTTTAAAAATAAGATAAATTAATAAATCTATCCTTTATTTAAAATTTAGATTATTACATATTATGATACCTAAACTTTCTTTTTATTTATATTCATTTAATTTATATTGTGATATATTTGAAATATATACCTTTACAACTATTTATAATTTATTCTTAAAAATATGCTTAATAATCGATTTATAATGAATCAAAAATCATAAAGATCGTTAACATATGATTATGAATAGATAAATAGCTACAGATGGGATATAATTATAATTTGAAACATAGTAAATCAGAGATTTTAGGAATTTTTTATAAGTTTTTTTTAGATTTTGAAAAAATAATTATTATTCTTTCTAAACTAATCTCTATATATTTATTATGTACATAAATCGATAAATAAAAAATGTTGATTTGAGTTTGTTTATGATCTAATAATCTTTAATGCATTATAATCAATACCTAACCTTGCTAGTCTTAATGTAGATTATGAATTAAATTAATTCACGAGAGATCTTGATAATAATAATATTAGTGATTTTATGATTCTAATTAAAATTTTGATATTTAAAATAAATATTCAATTAAATTTGTTTTTAATTTTTATTCTAGTTACTTCATTTAATTTAATTTTTTATTTACATAAAGAGTTAGACTTAAATGGCAATTTATTATTTTCAATGCTTCGTATAAATTATTTAGGAGCAAGGTTTTGTATTTTTTATAATAGACTCTTAATAAATCAATAACTAAAGGATAACTTAGTTTCAAAAAAAGAAAAACTATAATCATTTCAATAACAAAAGAACACTTATTAATTTAAATTAGTTGAAGTTTCATTAAATTTGAATAAATTAATAAATTAAAAGTTTTTTTATTTAATATTTTAAAATAGTCTCAGTACATTGAAATCATAATATATCACACATCATTTAGTATACAAAAATTATAATACTTTAAGGTTTCATCTTATCTCATTACATCAAAAAAAGTGGATATAATTTTTCAAAAATACATCCTCACTTTTTTACTATACCCCCTCTTTGGATTTTATAAAAAAGTTTAAAAATATTTGCTCACAATTTTCCTGGAGAGGAGTCAACGTATACCTGAGGAGTCACACTAAGTTTTGAACATTTAAAAATCTGAAAAAAATCCACCAAACAGAAACATAAATATGAATAATAATCCCTATATAAAATTGATTTATGTATGCTCATTTCCTATTATATTATTTACCAAAATCTAAAATCGAATATTAAAGAAGAATAACACAACTATAAATCAAATCTGATTACAATAATAAAACATATTCTAATCTCTAAACAGTTGCTTATAAATTACAATTATTTGTACTTTAAATAATTATATAATAGAAAAAGAAAAATGAATTGCTGAATTATATAACTCAAGTTAAATATAAATTAAATTATTCATATAAAAATTAATTTTTCCATATTATTTATGAAGAAAGTAATGAATATTTTGAAATGATTTCTTTATAGCTTAATTAACCTCAATTATTATCAATGTAAAATCTGCACTAAGTCTGAACTTCTATTTTACTGAAATGCACAAAATGCTTTTAATTGATTTTGCAGCATATAACTTTAAGTAAGAGTAATAGAAATTCATTATTAAAAATAAAAAAGAGAATGCAGAGCTCTTTTAAACAGAAGGAAACTCTAGCTGACATCTTTGCTAAAGTCAAAATTGTAGATGAGCAAATGTTTGGTGTCATATTAGAAATATTAAAAAAGGAAAAAGTGCAAGACTGCATTGGATTTCTATCAGACATTGGGAATCAAAGGCAATTAGAATCATAAATTTTACTACAAGGAGAGATTTTAAAACAACGTGATAAATAAAAATTGTCTGCTATTGGAAATGACATTAACTAAATTGCAGATATCTTAAAAAAATTAAAAGATCATGACTTTAATTAGAAAGACTTTTCCTCTGAAGAAAATGAAGAATCCAAATTAAGTCTTATAAACAGCATCAAGGATAATAGAAGAATAATTTAATTTCTGTAATTTTTAGTTCATCTCACATCTGTTGATGAAACTTTAATATAGGGTGGGTCTAATTCATTACATTTATTAGTTTAGATGTAGGTAGATCTTAGAATCAAAAATTTTGAAAACATAAAAATCTAAAATTGTTCTTTAATGGGAGCTAATTTTGTTAAGTGCAATTTAAGTGGATCATAATTTAATAATATCAACATAAGTGGAATAAACTTAAATGGAGCATTATTATTTAATTGTAAATGGAAAGACTTAAGAATCCATGAATTGAATAAATTAAATGGCCATACTAATGGTGTTGTATCAGTTTGTTTCTCTCCTAATGGAAAAACATTAGTTTCTGGAAGTCTAGATAAGTCGATCCGTGTTTGGGATGTCAAAACAGGATAATAAACAGCAAAATTAGACGGTCATAGTGATTATGTTAGATCAGTATGTTTCTCTCCTGATGGAAACACTTTAGCATCTGGTGGTGATGACAAGACTGTCTATTTATGGGATTCTAAAGCAAGAAAGAAAAAAGTTAAAATATTTGGTCGTAATTAAATAATCAACTAAGTCTGTTTCACTTCTGATGGAACTACATTTGCATTTTGTAGTATTGATAACTCTATCCGTCTTTGGGATGTCAAAACCGGATAATAAAAAGCCAAATTAGATGGTAATAGTGGATCTGTCTACTCAGTCTGTTTCTCTCCTGATGGAAATACATTAGCTTCTGGTAGTGGTTATTACTCTATCGATCTATGGGATATCATAACAGGATAATAAAAAGCCAAATTAGATGGTCATAGTGGATTTGTCTACTCAGTCTGTTTCTCTCCTGATGGAAATTCTTTAGCCTCTGGTAGTTGTGATAAGTCTATCCATCTTTGGGATGTCAAAACAGGATAATAAAAAGCAAAATTAAACGGTCATTGTGATACTGTTAGATCAGTCTGTTTCTCTCCTGATGGAAATACATTAGCTTCTGGTAGTGTAGATTAGTCTATCCGTCTCTGGGATGTCAAAACCGGATAATAAAAAGCCAAGTTAGATGGTCATACTCATTATGTCTGGTCAGTATGTTTCTCCCCTGATGGAAACATATTAGCATCTGGAAGTTATGATAACTCTATACGTCTTTGGATTGTCAAAACAGGATAATATAAAGCCTAATCGGATGGTCATAGTGGACCTGCAAACTCAGTCTGCTTCTCTCCTGATGGAAATACATTAGCCTCTGGTAGTAGTGATAAGTCTATCCGTCTTTGGGATGTCAAAACAGGATAAGAAATTAAATCCTATGATAAAAGTTACAAAGATCTTTTAATATAATTTATAATTCCACTACAATAAAATAGTCCTATATCAGAAGCTAATATTAATAATTTTATATTGTTAGTCTCCAATTACATTACTATACTCTTTATATCCTAATCCACAATATTTTAAGCATAAGGAGCTCTTATTCTAAAAGGAGAATTCATCAATCATCAAGGCATTGATTTAAGAAACTTTTTTAAATCCAAAGGAAGTTGCATTTTAGAAGACTTTTAGTGAAAGTTATCATCAACAAAATTATAATTATAACCAATATCTAATAATGTTAAATTTTTTTTGTTTATCAGTTCATCACTTTATCTTAACCTCTAAAGATAGGTAAGTCCATAATTTCCACAGTATATAAAAATCTATACTCAGTATAATTTAGGGAGTAATTATAATATATATATTAATTTAAATTTAAATGAAACTAAATTATATCTTAATGCTTTACAAAATTTTACTGGAGAGTATGAAGCAGAACTTAAAAGAAAATGTGAAACATTATTTAATGAAATAAGGTAACTTAATAAAACACCATTCCTTTTAAAGGTTATAGTTAATAGTTATAATATTTAATTTTTAGTTTATCAATTGTAAAGATATATATTTCTATGATAATTTGTTATGATAGTATGGCAAAAACATCTATTGAATTGAAATAAGTTTAATATACTATTCATATTTAACCTGGTTTAGCAGCAGTACAAATTTGCCAAATCTATTCAACTAAATAAAATAAAGATCAAAGTTAATTAGAATACTTATTTAAAATAGATTAAAATTCAGCTGTGTCTAAAAATGATTGTTGAACTTGGAGATTAGAAAGTTTATGGAGTAATAAAAGAGTTAGAAGAGGCCAAAAAAAATATTAAAAAGGAATTGAAGATGGAAAGACAATTGTGATAAGCTAAGAGGATTAAGAAATATCAAATATTAAAAAAGCAAAAATTGGTTGTTTGAGCCCTGGTAAATTATTAAAAAATTAATTTGTACACATCCAACCATTATAAGTCTTTCTGAATTAATTTAGTCTCTGATTATAGATACAAGTTATCTAACAGTTAATGAATTAAAGAACACTTATAAAGATTATGCTTAAAAATATTCTTTTGTGAAACAACATGTTAACATTTAAACAATATAATTAAATAATAAATAAAATATTAATGTATTAATAAATATTGGAAAAACCAATTACATATTCTTAGTCTCCAATACTATTATTTTTCAAAGCCCGATAAATTTCTCATAAAATTTTAAAAAGAAATAAGACTTTTTAGTACTGATGAAAGCTCTAATTGAAAAGTCTAAAATATCTGATCGTGATATTAATTTTAATGAATAAGAGTATATTTATAAAAATATTAGGACAAAATAGTAAATAACTAGGGAATATTTTATGATTCTTCCTCGCAATTTATTTAATTTAATTCTATATTATATAAGTTAGATCCTTATTAAGTGTTTATATAGTTATTATTTTTAGTTTTTTATTGCTGTTTTGGTTTGTTATATTTCTTTAAAAGTTCCATAAATAAATGAAAATTTGAAGTAATATCATTGCTTAGAGTTATTCGGCTTAAAATATTTACCAATACATTTTATCAACATCATTTTTATGTTGCTTTTATTTTCCTTTAAATATACAATTTCTAATTCCTATTCAATATTTATTGAAAAATTAAGTAATCTCAACTAAATTACTTATGATCTAAAATAGTCTAATGAATATCTACACTTAAAAAAAAAATTGGATTAATTAAACCTACACTTTAAGGAACAGTGTTTATACAGAATCAATATTAATTCCTAAATTGATATTCGGAATAGAATGCTTTGTGAATATTTCAATAATCTTATATAATTCCTTTATAAATAATCGTGTTGATCTGTTTATTCAGAATTATTAGTTTTGCCCTTTTTCTATATAGTTTAATATGCTAACCTAATCAACATATAGTTAGCAAAAAACAGAAGGAATATAACAATATATTAAGTTTTTAGATTGTTCTTGAAGTTGATCGTTTTCTACCTAAAATAATTTCAGCAATTACATCATAGTGAAAAAATTAGTAAAGTTTTATCATAATTTTCCTAAACTAATTTCTATTTGAAAATATACAAATGTTAAATAGGATAAGTCATTTAAGAATATTTCTGGATTGATTTTAGTTTTTCCGTTTTATAGAAGTGCTCAATCGGCAGTCTAATTTGTAAATATTACCCTTTTAAAACAGATCCATATTTATTAATATTGCTTAAATGTCTATTTTGATTTGAACTATAGTTATCCATTTCAATCAACTAGGAAATCGCACTAAGAGGGATCATTTATTTGATGAATTTCAGATTCTTTATTTTCTACTTTATTAAAAGATCCATTCAGATGTACACTTAATTATCTAAAGTTGCAATTAGATGCTTCCACATTCTTTGTTACAATAATATGATTATCTCCAAGTTTAATTTCCTTTTCTTCAATTCATAATTCTAATTCTGATAACATCAATTATCACATATTATATAAATAAAATTACATCTATCTAAAACCAGCCTTTTTACTATTTTTATAACACTTTCTATTGTATTATTGAATTTCTATTTATCTTCAGATAATCCTTTAATCTGATTCTTTTAAATTATCTATCAGTGTTCACTATTCTGTAAGAAATTCTTATACTTTGGTTATCAGAAAATAGAGGGGCAAAATCAAATAGCTTTTAACTTTAGCCGATGTCGATGATAAATTAAATATTTAATAATCCATTTAATTTTGTTGATGTCTTTATTTAATAGCATAAGTGGAATCTTTTATTACTTTAGTAGTTTCTTGGTAAAAGCTTCAATTAAAAACTTTTTAAATCATTTTAATTTCAACATAATTTAGTGTCTAAACCAAATTATTGGTTGAGTATATTCTTGATCGTAAAATTTGGAATTTAACCTGAACCTCCTCATATATTTCTTTAGTTTAATTTAATTACCTTCATCATTTATAAAGATGTTGATCATCTTATCAATTGTCCAAATAACTTCTTAGGTAATAAAACTGATATTAAAAAAATACTGTTAGTTTCTATTTTTTAAATATAAAATTATATCCCTACTTTTACAATAAAATAGCTTCACCATAAAATGTAATTTTGAGTATCTCATCTTTAAAAGAAATGAAGTAGGGCTGAATTTAAAAAAAAATATTTTTGAGTTTCTTTTTTAACAATTTTCTCATTGTAAGATTGAATTTTATCCCTTTTTGTCAGTCTAATAATTTTATCATTTTCCCAGATATTCTGCTTTCAAAAACTATGATATTATTATTTTTAATGATACTTCTTAAGTTATTTTTTTATTATCTAGAGAATTTCATTCGATATAATATCATTTCAATAATTATCACTCCATAATTGTAAATAACTAAAATCACCAATATTTGATTAAATTTAAGTAAATGCAACACTTTTATAATATATATAGATATTGAATATTACATATAATTTAAATATTCTAAGATATTTCATAATTTGTATATTATAATATTCATTATTCCTTATACCTTCTTATTTAGATCTCTTTAGATCCTGAATCCCAAGTGATTAAATACTCTCCATCATCACTTAATTGTCCATAAATATTATAACTACCAAATTAAATACATTATTAAATAATAAAATCCCCATTTTGTTTCTTTCTCATTAAATTCACTTTCTTGCCAGTCTTATTCACAAGTATGCTTTTTGATTTTATGTATTATTATGGAAATAAACAATCACATATATATGAATCAAACTTTACTTCAATTTGTTTAATTTTGTTATACTATTTATTATTAATATCCAATTCATATATATGCATTTAATCTTTACAATAAGGTTAGAATGTAAATAAGTTATCATTAATAAAACATAATCGTTATCCATATACATCAACTTTTATCTTTTATGTAACACTCCAGTATTTATCCAACTTAGACTATTCTATTATTAATATTTATGAATCCCTTGAACAAGATATCAATTTATTTTATTATTCATTTAAACTTAATGAATATACAAAACCAAGATCACTAATGGTTTATTAACATATCCATTAATTATATTTAATCCAAAATTTGATTGTTTTATCATAACTACCTGATATTATTAAATCATCAGTATTATTTATCAATAAACAATCTATCGAATTTGAATTACCATTTAATATTTATTAACAATTCCATTAATTATTTCCAATCACCTACCATATTATAATTGAATTGTCGCTACTTCCAGATACAAAATTATTTGTCTTTTTCATAAAATTTAAAGTATGTACATCATCTGTATGCTTACTCAATAATTAAACTTGATTCAATTTTCCTTATTGATTTTCAAATACTTTAATATGCTATTTACATCCAGCTAAAACAATAGATTAATCTTTATTAAATGCAAAAGCAAAACAACAATTATCAACCCTTATTGAGTTTTAATTCATGAGCTAAAAGGTGAATTAGTTTGAATTTGCTTTAAAAGTACTTTGGTTTTATGGCTATTCTATTTTTGATTGTTTTAAGTCAACACTTTGATATTACTAATTACACTTTTCCTTCTAATTTGTTTAATTCTTTATGTTTTTTAATATTTAATCTATACTCTATTTGATTTATTCGATAGATTATTTAATTTATTTAAATAATATTTCCTCACAACCTTCTAATTAACATAAGCCCTTTATCATGTTATCTATCTATGAAATTCCTATTTATGAGAATTATTATATATTAAAGTTCAAATAAGGAATCAACTTATTTAGAAGGGAATCAAGAGATAATTTACACTCTTAAACATTCTTTTATACATTTTGAGCATTAATGATTCTTTTCTAAATCCATTCATTAAAAAGTTCAAAATATGTTAATTTGTCAAGATGTTGACTATGTTGAGGCAAGCAATAGTGACAATAAGGCCTTTAATTTGGGCATGTGCTATCTATGCAAAATCCAATTATTTATTGATTTTGATGATCAGCTTAGGTACATCTAATCTACATTTCCTATTTCTATTAAAATTATTATTTAAATAGCAAATAATTTTTGATCAATATAAATATCTAAATTTCAATAATAAAATTTAGATTTAAAAAATTATATAGAAATGATAACCAAATAAGTGATTTATTACAAAAGACAGAAGAGTTAAATTGCCATAAATTTGAATAGGCAAGACATAAAATAGTATAAATAATATTCAGGTTAATACTTAGAGAAAACACTATATATTAAACCTTAGCTAAAAAATGATAATGATAAATGCTGTGATTTATCAGAAAGGGAAAAAGGAATTTATCAATTTAAATTCTTTGAAAAAGAATTGTCTTTTAGAATTGCAATAATTAAAATGATTGCAATTAATTTTATAATAAAAAGTATTTGGTTGGTTTAAATAACTAAACTACTTTTTTTTTAATTTAATGCCAAAAAGTATGGAAATAGTGTTCCCTCAAAAAAAGATTACATCATGGCCCATTGTATTAAAGACTTAAACGAAAACATAAGGACAATCAAAATTTCAACCTAATTGATTGTTTTGTAATATAAATAAGAGTAATTGAATAAATCAAATCTCTTTAAAGCTGCCTAAAATAATCAGTTTTATAGTAAATAACAAATTATAATGTAACTTCTATTAAGAAGGATATTTTATGGAAAGTAATATGTTTTAACTATTTTATAATATTAAAAAATATATTGATTCTCATACATTCTCAGAATATTTTAATAATATTAAATGTTTCATAAAAAAAAAAGATGAAAGTCTTAGATGAATACTCCTTTATCAAGCAGTACAGTATTATAATTGATATTATCTAGTTTATGATTCAGCTTTATTATTATTTGAATGATAATTTATGGAATAAAAAGATTAAAGATTAATATATCAAATGAATTAGTATATAATGGTTACTGAATTAACTGATGCAAATGCTTTAAAGAAAACAGGGCCACAAACAATTAAGAAAACAGTTTGTAAAAGTTTAAAAGAACTTATGATAGATAAATAAAATCAATGAGATACCAAATATTACTTTGAATAATATTACATTTAGAGAATGTTTAAGTATATGATATTATGTAGAGTAATTTAATCTTAAACTGCTATTAAATTATACTAAACCTAGAATATTTACTGATGCTTAGAGCGATTTTTCTTTTATTAATTTGAGTAATAGGACTTGGTTGAATAAAAGAAATAATGAAGGCTTAATAATTGAGATGGTTCAATATTTCATTTTATGAATTGTAATTAAATAATAAAATTTATGGACTCACAACATTGTATTATTTCATTATTTCATGGCAGGAGAAATAAAGGATATCAAATTAACCCAGAAGGCAATCAATCAATGATATTGAATAAAGTAAAGAATAGGAACTTGCATTGATTTTCATTAAGCCATTTAATTTCTCAATCTTTTATATAACAAAGTAATAAAAAAATTTGATGAAGAGGAGTGAGATGAGAAATGAAGAATAAGCGCTCTTAGATTATGAAAAAGCCATTGAATTACATTCTAGAAATCTTAAATTTATCATAACAGCAGTTATGAATAAATTATATATAACAAAACTCAATATTATTGAGAGGATATAAGAATATGCACTCATAATTATAACCAGGTTATTCAATTAGATACTAATGAATGTTAAATTATATTTTAATAGATATAATAGAGATATTATATATAATTAGAAAGGAAATAATGAATAGGTATTCATAGATTATAATAAAGCCCTTTTATTAGATTTTAAAGAAGCGAAAAAATTTATTTAACGCAATAGAAATTTATTTTGAATAATGATTGTATATAACAATTAAGCAAATTACAAAATTGCACTCCTTTATACTAACAAGGCCATACATTCTAATCCCTTAAATGCTGATACTTTCACTAAAAAAAAATACTTTTTTTTATCCAATAGTAATTCTAGATAAAGACTTACTCAAGAAAAAAAGAGGCTTGTTGGGTTGGACTCAAAGAATAGTTTCTCCTATATTTAAAAGTAAAATTTTTAAATATTAATTAATTAGATTTCTATGATTTAAAGTTTTGCTTTATTTTAGAAATTCTCATAATGCTTATCAAACAGATCAGTTCATATATAAATTTGATAGATGATAAGAATTTGACAACATTCTCTTAAGTTGGACCAAATAATAACAATTAGATTGCAAGCAATTCACCATAAATAAAATACTTGACTTTAAATAGAGATTATCCTACTGCCACTCAGAACAATAAAATTAGTTTAGAGAAAGGTAATCACATTTCATTTGAATTAATTCTGCAAGGTACTTGGTAAAAGGGATTAATAAAATTTTAATTTGGAGCAGAAATAATTTTATTTTAATATTAAACTCCTACCTCATTTGAAAACTTCTCAATCATTTGTGATTCTTACTAAGCAGAAATTAAAACAATTAATTTTATTTTACAACAATCAGATTCGAAAATAATAAAATTTACAATGTCAAATGACGGAATGGATAGGTTTCAATTAGAAATTTATTAATATCAAAAATTAAATACCATTATTTATGCACTCAATGTACTTAGTGTTTTTATGGAATACATTTGGATGGCATTTGGAATGAATGTCCTATATATACAGTATTTATACCGGAATTGGATGCTCATTATATTGCAATTTTAATCGACATTTTTTTAAATATCTCCGTAAATAAATTTTTATCTAATCAAAAAAGGTCGGCAATTATTCCTTTCGGATTAAGCAATCGTTGAAGAGTAGGTTAAAATGGAACTTATATCAGATACATATAATACAAATCAGTTACCCATTCTAATGTAGTATATTGGGAGATCTGATCTCTTAGGGGTCTTAAAAAATAATTAAGGAACTACAAGATTGATAAATGAAGTAAAAAATAACATTGGAACCTATTTAATTTGAATCAGAATTTTAACTCTTTTTAATGAAATATCATATGGTAGGAGAATTTCATTCAAAATTATAGTGATTTTAGGAATTTTATGATTTTACAAAATTTATAATATTGTAATGACACTTTTGTAGGATTGGTATATAATGAATGTCAATAAATACAATTTCATAAGTTCAAATTAGTATAAATTGATATCCTTAAACTTTATTAAAGTTATACTAATTGTTAGGCTTATTATTTATTTTTGCTCTTTCATGTAATATTTAATTAAAATATCTAGTAATCTTTCAGTAACTTGGACTTACGAGCGAATACTTTGACTTCTGGCTATTGCCCAGATAATTGTAAACTATGTGAATTATTGTGTTTTTGATTTCTTTTAACCATACCAAATGAATGTAAAATATGTTCCAACCTTTTTTTATATAAAGAGATGGTTAATGCTTACTTTGCGCAGCTCCATATCAAAAATTGAATGGTTCTTTTTATCAAGATTTTTACGATTAAACACCTTTTAAAAATACTATATTCTTAGATTTTAAATATTTAATTAAAGAATACTATGACTTTGCAAATGATCCTAATTATAATCATATTATTAAATATACTATAATTTTCATAATATATTATATTCAATCCATTTTGTTACCTACTTAATTTTTGGAGGCGAATTAGTTTCGGCTATAGCCAAATTTTCTAGTGCGCATTACATATTAAACCACATCATAGTATAACAATAGGATTTTATATATTATTTGGGCCATCCTTCCCCCAAGATGGTCAATTTATATATAAAATAGGATCAAATAATCCTGTTATTACATTTAAGGACTCATCTCAAACAAAAGAGTATATGAAAGAATAAATCATTCATCATCATTAACTATTTAATCGGAATGTTATGGCCCTAATAATGAACCTAAAAATGCATATGTGGATTTTATAATTATTATATAGCAATATATTATTGTAGACCTTATTGTGAAAAAAATGTACAAGTGAAAATGTTTTGTACATAATCCAAAAATAGCTACTATCCAATTATGATTAAATTTCTTAAGCAGATTGCAATAGTAATTAGTATTTTAATAAAAAGGCTTTAAATTGATTTATATTTCCCTCTACAACTTAAACATGCTCATCTTAATTTCACTGTTTAACTCGCTAGGAATCATTTATAAATTCTTAAAAAGCTTGTACATGCAAAATCAATTAATATCAGTATTTTTATTACTTTTATGATTGTCCTATAGAATGTTAATAATGTGCAAACTCTAAATAGTGCCATAACCGTATATATTCTAATGGTTAATGCAATTGTAGAAATGGACATAATTCTTTAGATTCTGATCCAATTTGTTATAAGTGTTTAACACATTATTGTCATGTTTGTGATAAGTTGATGGTATAAAATGGTATACTTGTTAACTTGGTTATCATTTAATTGAAAAAAATAGCTTTTCTATTTGTGGTGATGGAATAATAACTATAGATGAATAATGTGATGATGAGAATTTAGTAAGAGGAGATGGATGTTTTGCTTGTAGATATGATTGTGATTATTCCAATTAACTTTACCATAGAGTAATCTGTTTAAAATGTTATGATGGCTACATTTTGATATACCTATGAAACACAGTAGTTTTAGTTTAAATAATCAAATATTATGATGAAAGAACTTGTTATAGGAAAAAAGGCCAAAATTTTAATTAAATAAAATTTTGTGATTACAATCCTAGCCGTTTTTAAGAAATTCTTAACTAATTAAATTTCAAAATCATATTTTGGTTCTTTCTAATACTTGAGGTTTCGATTCGTTGATTTAGATTGCTTGATTATGATCTTCTTGATAAGACTTCAGAAACTCACATATTCAAATTATTGAATCCAATGAATAATATATAATTTATTAAAGGAGTGATCAATATTTTATTTTAATTAGGGTACTTTAAGATTATTAGGAATAAGGAATAGGCACATCTAGATTTTGCAAAGTACATTCGATTAAATCTTAGTTTGTTCCTTGTTAATGTTAACATAATAAATATTTTTTCTAAATAGCTTCTAGATATTTAGTGAAGGGAAATCAAGAATAAGCACTCATAGTTTTTAAAATGCTCATTACATAAAGCAAATTCTTAAGATAATAAAAATAGTCTAATTTGATTCGGAGTCATGAAAATAAGGTAAAAAATGAATAAAATCTCCTCAATTTAAGTATGTCCATTTTATTGAATCATAAAGATCTTAAATCTCATTATGACAGAAATAAACAATAAAATATTTCAAATAAGAGTTAGTGCTTTCCGATTAATTTGAGACAAAAGATCTGTAATCAGATAATCCCTTTATTTTGTCAATTTTAGATAAACTTTTTTTGATCAATTCTAAATTATTATACAATTATATATTATTTATTCTAATATAAAAGCAATTAAGTTTTAGATAAATAAATATCTTATTTAAAATAAATTATTTCAAAGAATTTGTTTAATTTTTAAACGATCCTAAGAATTTTCCAAAAGGGCTCAAATTATGTTTCACAAACATAGATGAGTGTTTTCAGAATTATTAATGAGCCTCTCTTTAATAAAAATGAGAATTAACACGAATCTATTGGAATCTTGACAAAAGGTAATTTAAAAAGGGTCAGAGGAGAGGGAGCTTGGGAATAAGTCGAGACGACTGTGTGATATCGAAACTTGATAACAAAAAGCAAAATTAGATGGTCATAGTGGAGCTCTCTAGACAGTATGCTTCTCTCACGAGAAAGTACCTTTACATCTGGTAGTGATGATATATCTATCCGTTTATGAGATGTTCAGGCCTGAGTAGTATCCTGAATAACCATAACTACTATGTCCATCTAATTTAGATTTATGTTTTTTGACTGATGGTACAATATTATCATCTAGTTATTGGAGATAAGTATTTTCTGTTATGTGATGCCAAGACAGAAATGCTTAGAGAACGTAGTATTCAATTTAATTTTGATATTCAAGATTTAAATGTATATATATAATATCAATAATTCCAAATTTTTTTCAAAGATAATACTTTACTTCCTGCAAACTACTTTTCTCACATAATATCCTAATAATTGTTGAAAACTTCCACCTTCATAGTCTAGGCTATTTAGTTAAATTAATAATGGTTTTCTATCTACTATAAAAGGAGAATTTATAAAAAGTTCTTATCGAAAATGATATTGAAAGGCAATTAGGACTAATCAATATATTTTATCGATGATTCTAAATCTTTTTTTTATTTCATACTCTTTCAGTGGTAAGGTGTTAAAAAAAAGAGCCGATTTTCTAATACCATTATTTCCAATAAAAAAAATTCATTTTATCAAGTTATAGACAGAATAAAATTTATAAGAAAATTTTACTCTCTAATTATTAATCTAAATAAAATATAAATAATTTCAGCCAAATTTGATTCTTATTAAATTCATAATTACAATTAATTTCGCTTAGATTAGATAAAGAACTCAAACTTATATTAAATTCAGATTATGATTGTAGAACTTGATAATTTATGGCATTATTAAAATTAGGAAACTACTATTTTATTTTTAAATAATCAATCAGCCTATCTAATATACCTAAAGGAATTAAGTAGATAAATTAATCTTATATTAGAACAATATCTTGTAAAAATAATCTTTTTAGATGAAATAAACGATCAATATTTAAGTTTGTAAGCAATTTATTGATTGAAACACATTATAAAGAATTGTTAAATTCTATCAATACTAAAAATATTCCCTCAAGAAATAGATATAAATTTTGTTCCATTCTAACATTCTAAGATGATTAATAGCAAAATTTTGATATTTGTCAAATTGGAACACTTAATTCCTATCGACCAATATAATAATAATCACTTTGATAGTAACTAACTTTATCTTAATTCTACTGGCTAATGTGTATTTAAAAAGAGAACTAATTTAGAAATCAAAAAGATATAATTTGATACTCAAAATTTTTATTTATTTTCTAATTAATTTAGTTTTTAATTTAAGATAATTTAAATTAGATATACTCATATTATGCAAATTTGAATAAGATGTTCTACATTATCGAAGAAAGTATTGCTTAGAGGACTAAATTTAGGGCATTCAAGGATGAAAAATTTTTTTCTTCAGCTTACAAAGTTTTATATCACCTGTTTTTAGAAAATTGAATTAATGAATCAATCATGACTCTTTGAGCTACCCTCAGTTTGAGCAATTATGAGGGTTTTACTCCAGCCTTGACAATCGCACAAACTCTACAGGGACTTGTTCAAATCAAATAAAACCAAATAAAATTGATGCTTATTAAATTTGCATTTAGTTGTTTAAAATATTATAATAAAAATATTGATAACAATAAACAATAATAGTATCCTTTTGATTGTAGACAAATGATAACTCTTAAAAATAGATGTGTATCAGAAACGTTAATTTATTTGAGCATAAAAAACTTCTGAATAATTTGATGTCACTTACTTCTTTATTATTAATCTAACTTATCAAAATATTCAAAAAAATATTTTATTAAAAATAGTAATATTAAATTTTATTATTTATGATTTCATTGATGGGATGT